TTTCAGTGGTAGGGGAAACCGGAGCACCCTGTGGAAACCTACTCAGTCACCATGCCGCCCCTGGATGGAGCCAAAAGAATGTCGGGTCTATTATCGGATGGAGAACACTGTTGCAATGAGGTAAAATGCTCAAAAAGACAATTTTGCATGTGCTGTAATGTATAACGTACTGTGAAGATGTAAGCTGCCTGTAGGATTCCTGCAGTAACACTGGTATTCACTATTTGCCTTGGCCCTATTGTCCTTCGTGACGGATAAAACAATTTTGTCATCTTAAAAAAAACAGCCAGGTTAAATATATTCATGGATATATCCGATATACATCCTGTATATTAGATTAGATCGTTCGAGATAGTATTGATAGGAAAAATGCATGAAATGATTGTTTGACTCACGTCTTTTTTCTCGAACAGCGGCAGCTTGTTGTTCACATCGATGACTTTGATGATGACCTTACACTCTGTGCTGTACGCTGAGACAGAGAAGGACATAATAAAGGTCTATTAGATTGGGCTGGGCATCAAACAGACTTTACATATCATGTTGTTCTGTTATCTGTGCTGGGAGCCTCTCAATACAGTCTTGCTATCATGGTGTGGATTTTGTGTTATTTTGACAGTTCAGTTCTCTGTGGTTTGGTTTTAGCTTTACTTCCTGTCCTCTTCCCCTGTCTTGATTGTCTGCCCCGCCCTAATGTGTTTCACCTGTGTCTTTGTTTATTATGGAATCTATAATATCTGGATGGGGTATTATTAGCTTATCGCTGTCTCACCAATGGGCACATTGGGCACTCGTGGTACTGCAGACTAAATTCATGTGGGCTTCCACTCAATGTAAACTAAAACAACTCGACCTCAGCTGACAGAGAACCTACAGCTTTCACAAAGGTCAGATTTTGTGGGGATTTTAGTGTCTCTTGTCGTCTTGAACGTTTTCTTTCGTTTTCTATAATTCCACAATTTAGTGCAACAAACTCAGCTTGTTTGTCTCCCGCTCTGATCAGCAGCTCTGATACGTGTGTGGCTCTCATGCACGTGCACAGAGGGACTCGTGCATGAGAGCCAAACATGCGTATTTGGCGCAACGCATCATGGGAGCTCGTCCACTGCGCAGAACCGGGAGGACCTGACGATCTAATCTTTCGGTCCCCATGGCTGTCCCTTGCTCCACTGAGCACAAGCAATTCATTTGAATAAGGCGCCATCTTGGATCACCGGGGCTTCTCCCCTCGCTGCTGGTCCATTGTCTTTGCTTGTCCTTGTCTGTCTTTTTTCCTGGTTCCTGAGTTTTGTTCCAATTTTGAGTTTGTTTTTCCCTGGACATTTATTTTTATCACCACCATTAAATCATTCTTTTGCATTCTTTTTGAGTCCACCTCCTTTCCACCACGTGACACCTGCTCTTGTTATCTTGTCTGACAGTTCATTTTCTCTCTCAGCTTGATTCATTATTAGTGACTCAGGTTCGACAGCCCATTTTTCTTCTGCTGTGCTCTCAAATCACAGCCCATTATTTCCTTTTTCTTTCTTTCTTTTGTTAATTACCTTCTTCATACCTCTCTAAAACTGCCTTAGCTTCTTGAGTTTTACTTTTAATGTTTAATCCACTTATACCATGATCAAAACAATTTAAACAGTTTAACACCAGAACTCCCAGAGCAGTCAATTCGACGGCTTTTAGTTCTAGAAGTGTAAATACTCATCTTATATACCTTGTTGGTCTTCTTAACGTTGTGACTTTTTATCTTTGTAGGTGTAATTTATTTCTATGTCATTATTTTCATGAAATTATGTTTTTTTTTTAATGAATGAGAAGAGTTATGCCTTTAGGTCCATTCATTATGCCATTTTCGATCCCCCTTCTTTCTATGCTACTTAACCTTTTTTTTTTTTCTTCAAAAAGAGGTTCTGGACTGGTCTTGTAGTGGTTCTGGGCTGTTTTTGGACTCTTGTTTTTCCACCAGAGAAGAGCAAGTGCTGGTTACCATAGAAACACACTATTTAGCTTAGTCACCGTTATGTTATAGTCGCCGTATTGAGCGCTTATTAGTGACTAACTTATAATAAAAACTGGTGAAAAATGAAACATTTTTGGGGCAATTTCTCATAATTCCATTGGTTTTAATGGTAGCAGTCAAAATGGAGGCTGTGGGAGTTCCAGCCATTTCATAATTGTGGGAGTCCTAGTGTTAAACAGTTTTGATAAACAGTAGTGTGCATTGGAATCCTTACTAACCACCGTACAAAGGGGGTTAACATATTCTGGAAATATTTAAAGCAACATTCACAAACAGAAATTAAAATATATTCTTATTTTTATATTATTATTATTATTATTATTATTATTATTAGCACATCATCATCACAGCCCCCAACTCCACTTCACCTCGGGCCCCCGCTTTGCTAATTGCACCCCTGCTGGTACCTGGGTCGCTGACTGTCACAGAGAGCTGGTAGACCTTGGCCTCTTGTCTGCTCAGAGTCTTGAGAGTGCGGATCTGTCCTGACGTGGGGTCGATGGAGAAGGCGCTGGACGAGGGCGCCGGAGATTGAGACGCGATGGAATACATGAGCTGAGCGTTCAGGGTCCCCTCTTCATCAGCGTCATGAGCCAACAGCTGTCCGACCAGACTGCCTGCAACACGACCGCTCAGTTAGAAAGAGAGAGATAAGTTCATCCAGAAAATTCTCCTTCAAAATATGTTCATCAAATGTTATTTTTGACTGTACAACGAACAAAGAGGACCGTTGAAACACTGCCAACCTGACCGCACATGTCGTTCATCTGTGTAATAATTTTAATGATGTCAGAATTTGCAATATAGAACCACATGTGTCCATTTTATACTTGCTTCTTTATTATGCTAAAGTTTGTTTAGAGATTTTGGGTACAGAGTTATTGTTCACTTATCTTGTGCTGTTTGCTCCTACTTTCCTACTGTTCCTCCTGTCTATTCCTACAGCCCTGGTGATGCAACACTGAAATTTCCCCTACTATGGGACAAATAAGTTTACACTCATTTTAAATGTGAGACGTGTGAGGAGTTAAAGCATAATTCTGAATTATAATACAGTTTCATTTCGACATTTAAAGGTTTCCCAATGACAAGTCCCATATGAGGATCCTTTTTTTTCGTACCCTTTGACTCTTTCCTTCACAATCTAAACCACAAAGCCGTGATATTGCTCTGCTTCAGTATTTTGACTCAACACTCTCATTTAGAGCTCATAATAACAATACCATTTGCTCAACCTACGCAACATTTCCCAACTCCGCCCGTGCATCTCTCACCCAACACTTTACTCAGGTTCTGGTTCATGCCTTTGTCACTTCCTGTCTGGACTATAGTAGGCCCCTCTGACTGGTTCAACCCAAAAACCTATCCAACATGGCCATAATTAAAATTCTATGTTGCATCACAATTTACAGACAGTAGGAATGAGGAGCACACAGCACAAGATAAATAATAAAATAATAATAGAAAGAAAATATAAAATCTCTATCTTTAACATAATAAGAAATCTCCAACTTCAGCATGACAAAGAAGCAAGACTCAAGCACAAAATCTCTGGCTTTAGCATAAAAAGAAATACTGTATGTTCTAATCCATTTTAGCAGTATGAGGGTGTGGGACAAAGTGGCTAAGCAAAGTGACAGACACACGTATTTCTATATTGTTCATTCTGACATTATTAAAGTTATTGGAATCATCACCCATACTAAATCAACAGATCACATCACTCCGGTTCTCATCCAACTCCACCGGCTCCCCATAAAACACAGAATCCTCCTTTTCACATTCAAAGCACACTATAACAATATTTTAAATGGATTTTATACTGTACTTTTTTCTATTTTGTGTGGTGTTGTATTCTATAGTAAGGCCTCCTTGGGTTTCATAAATATAATGAATAATTTATGCTTTATAACTATTATCATTATGTGTTTTTGTACCGACGAGTTCGTCCTCCTGTATTTCAAACACGTTCTCCTCGAGTTCACACTGAGGCTCGTTGTCGTTCACGTCCTCCACGATCACCTGGATTTCCATGGGTGGATCCAGCTGGTTCCCGTACTGGTCCTCAGCAAAAACCACCAGGATGTACTGGGACAGACAATCAGCCTCGTCAAACACCGCTTTCATTCATACATGTTTGAAGTGGTATATTTTACCCCATCTTTGTCCTCTCGGTCCAGTTCCTGTGTCAGCTGGATGTCTCCGTCCACAGAGATGCTGAAGGGGAAATTCAGAGCACTTCGTTCTTTTTGCACCAGTCGGTAGAGTGCGTTTGCATCGTTAGATTCTACCTGAAAGTCAGCACAAAAACAGCTTAAAATGTATGCAAAGAGACATTTCTATCATGACATTGTACTGAGGAAGGCCACAGGACCGAAATCCTTGCCTTCCAAGGATTAACCACATCAATCCTTGGAAGGAAGGTGTGTGTTGTTGTTTTATTTTTACTTTTCTGTTTACATATTATTCCCTTGTACATGGAGAGCACCTTGGACAGACGAGAGTTACGACTGTAACTACGGTTCTATGAATCCTGGATGACCGCCAGAGGCGGTGCTTAAGCACTGGATGATCATCCTCGCGCATGCACAGATCGAGAGTCAAATAACAACAAAGTCACCCGTGACCTCCGGTAGCTCACGCGAGAGTCTATAAAGCCACGTGACACCGGAAGCACAGTCCCTAGAACCTTTCTTGCACAAGGATTCCGAAGCTCTGGCGGTCATCCAGGATTCATAGAACCGTAGTTACAGTCGTAACTCTCGTTCTATTTCATCCTTCCTGACCGCAGAGGCGGTGCTTAAGCACTGGATGACGAATATCAGCAAGGTCACGAGGAAACCAACCAGAACCTCACCTTACTGTGTGAAACGGATGAGCGGCGCCGCAGAACCCCCTGCAGGGGGTGCGGGGCGGCAACATTAACCCGATAAAACCTGGCGAAGGTGCTTGGGGACGACCATGACGCCGCCGCACAGATGACGTCCAACGACACACCACTCACAGCAGCCCACGAAGTTGACATGCCCCTCGTAGAATGGCACCTCACCCCAGGCGGTAACGGCAGCATAGGCAAGGCATAGGCCTCTGTCACAACCCCCACGACCCAGTGGGAGAGACGCTGCTTGGACAGAGCCCGACCAACGCGAGGGCCGGCGCAGCAGACAAACAGGGCGTCTGAACGCCTTATCGAGGCCGTGGAGCGAATGTACACCTCCAGTGCACGAACAGGGCACAGAGGGTCAGGGGGCTCACCAGAACCAAAACGGGCCAACTGAAGGGGCCCGTCATACCGACCAGAAGACACCTTCGGGACAAAGGACACATCCGGCCACATAGACACACCCGAGCCGTCAGGATGCCAACGACAACAGCCTCGGTCACCGACAGAGCATGGAGTTCACTCACCCGCCGTCCGGAGGCCATAGCCAGGAGAAACGCTGTCTTCATAGACAGCCACTTGAGGGCAATCTCCCCCAAAGGCTCAAATGGCGGGGAACGCAGGGCATCAAGGACAACCGAGAGGTCCCAAGCCGGCACCACAGGACGACAGGGCGGGTGCAACCGGCGGGCACCTTTCAAAAACAGTGAAACGTCAGTAACACGACCGACACTAGTCCCACCAAACCCAGCGTGCCCACACGAAATCGCAGCAACGTATACCTTCAGGGTGGACGGAGAACGGCCTTTACTGAGCAGTTCTTGAAGGAAGGTCAGTATGGACGTCACCGAGCAGAGACGCGGGTCGAGTCCCCTGCCACGACACCACCCGTCGAACACGTTCCACTTACAGGAATACAGCCGGCGTGTGGACAGAGCCCGGGCATTGCACATGGTGCGGCCAACCTCCCCAGTATAGGCTGTAAACGCTAAACCGGTCCCCGGAGGTGCCACACCCAAAGCCGCAGGCGGCCGGGGTCCGGATGGAGAAGCCGGCCCCCCAGTTGAGACAGGAGATCCCGCCTGGAGGGAAGGGGTCTCGCCAAGCCGCAGCAGAGCCTGAGCAGCAAGGGAAACCATGTCCTCCCCGGCCAATACGGGGCCACCAGTATCATCCTGTGGCCCTCCTGAAGGACCCGGAGCAGCGTCTGATGGATCAGAGGGAACGGCGGGAACGCGTACAGCAGAACCCTGGGCCAGTCGTGAGCCAGCGCGTCTTGACCCAGGGGACCGGTGGACTCCAACAGGGAGAACCACAGCGGGCAATGAGTCGTTCCCTGAGAGGCAAAGAGATCCACCCTCGCCCGGCCGAACAACCCCCAAATGGAGACCACTACCTCCGGGTGTAGCCGCCACTCGCCCGGCAGCGAAACGTGGCGCGACAGGAAATCCGCCGACACATTCAGAGTCCCTGGGATGTGCATCGCGGTCAAACCCGCAAGACGGGGATAGGCCCAAGTCAACAGCCCTCGTGCCACTGCCAGCAAGCACTCCGACCGAGTTCCCCCCTGGTGGTTGATGAAATAGACCACACTGGTGTTGTCCAACCGCACCAACACATGCCGCCCCCGCAAGACCGGCAGGAAATGGCGCAGCGCAAGCTGAACGGCCAGGAGCTCCAGGACGTTGATATGGAGCCCCCTCTGCCGCACCGGCCAGACGCCCTGAACCGCACGCCCCTGCCACGTTGCGCCCCACCCTGTCAGGGACGCGTCCGTATGCACCACCTCCCGGCGGGACGGCAGGGGACCCAGCGCGACGCCCGTCAGCACAAACGCCTCGTCGCGCCACCGGGACAGTGACTCTATACACCGAGGAGACACCAGTAACCGCCGACGTCTGTGAACAGGATTGGCCGGGTCCAGCCCCAGGCCATTGAGCCACATCTGCAGCGGGCGCAAGGACAAAAGACCCAGGGGGACCACAGACGAGGCTGCAATCAGCATGCCCAGGAGCCCGAGGAACGCCAGGTAAGGGAGCGACCGTCCTCGACGGAAGCCCGGGAGCAACGCCCGAATGTCCCCGACACGTCGAGGCGAGGGGCGGGCGGACATAGACAGGGAATCCAGAGCCATGCCCAGGAACAAAGCCTGCTGAGACGGCACCACATTGCTCTTTGCCAGGTTCACTCGCAGACCCAACCTGGTCACGTGCTCTATCACAGCCTGCGTATCCCGCAGAGACTGCTCGCGAGCGGGGGCACAGATCAGCCAATTGTCCAGATAGGGCAGGATCCTCAACCCCCTGGCCTGCAACGGGGAAAGAGCCGCCGCCACGCATCTCGTAAAGACCCGAGGAGAGAGCGAGAGGCCGAAGGGAAGCACCCTGAACTGGAAGTGCCTCCCCTGAAAGGCAAAACGCAGGAACCGGCAATGCTGAGGAGCAATCGGGACGTGAAAGTAGGCGTCCTTCAGGTCTATCGACGTGAACCAGTCCCCAGGGGACACCGCCTGGAGGACCTGCCGGACACGCAACATCTTGAAAGGGAGGACCTTCAAGAAAACATTCAGACGCCTCAGGTCCAAGACCGGTCGCAAGTCGCCGGTCTTTTTCGGTACAAGAAAATAACGGGAATAAAAGCCCCCTGGATCCAGCAGGGGGTCGACAGGCACGATGGCATCCTTGTCCAGTAGAGTACGAATCTCCCGGACAAGTGCCTGCGCCCTGACCGGGTCCTGGATGACAGTCACAAGGACCCGGCCGGGAACAGGAGGCCGGCGGCGGAACTGGAGACGATACCCCACGGACAAAGTGGCCACAACCCATGCATCGGGGGATTGGGCCCTCCAGTAACCAAGTTGTCCCGGGGTAAACCGTCCCGCCACCGGCCCCGGCGCCTCACCGGAGGGCACCCCGGCCTTTAGCGGGCCTGGGGGGGCGACGACTGGGACGCAGTGGAGCCTGAGCCGGGGGAAAGTTCCCTCGCCGAGCCCCATGAGCCGACGGCCCATCCACCGTCCGGGGCACAGAAAAACTCCGGGGCGGGGCCACCCGCCCGCGCACAGGGGCAGCAGAAGCGGACGCACGCGGGGGATGCCTGTGCAGTCCCACCAACTGCTGCCGGGTCTGAGTGGCCTGGACCGTGCGCTCCAGAGCCGCAATGGCAGCCGAGCCAAACAGCTCTCCAGGGAGCACAGGAACGCTCCTCAACACTCTGCGGCTGGCCTCGGAGAGAGGGGACTGCGCCAACCACACCTGGCGGCGAGTCAACCAGCGTAGAGAGGAGACGCCCCAGTTCCCTAGACATGAAGGCAAAAGCCTGCAAGGAAGCATCCACCATCCCCTGCGTGGACTGGTCCAATGTGACAGCCTCCAGAGAAGCGGACAGCCCCAACAGCAGATGAGACAGGGAGTTCCCAATGCGGCCCCCCATGTCATAGGCCTTGCAGAGCAGGTCATCTGTGGCCCGACACTGCGGCCGAGGGCACCGGGCATTAGTGCGCAGAGCCTCTTCAGGGTGTACAATCAAGGAGGCAATGGCAGGCTCCACCGCCGGCATATGCCCCAGGCCAACTTTGTCAGGCGCCTGCATAGAAGCCAGGGCCCGACCGTCCGAATTGGGCCTAGAAAAAACCCTCGTGTCAGTCCAACAGGCATGTAGCTCCTTGACATATTCCGCCGAAGGAGGAACAGAGAACCCCGAGGACGCAGACTGGCGGCGAAAGAAGGCACTCGAGGGCCCCGCATCGCACTGAGGCACATCCAGCTTCAAATGCGCCAGAGCCGTTCGGATCGCCGCAGTCACGGGCTCATCGGAAACCGACAGAGACCCGACAGAACCCACCGAACCAGACTCCGAGACCCTGGAGCTCAGAACATCAGAGCCCGGCCGAAAATGTGTGTCAGATGCCGCCACCGAGAGAGCATCATCCTCATCGCACACCGACAAAGGGACCGAGACCGGTCGGGCCACCGACTGGCCAGTACCAGCCTGAAGGTCATGAAGGAGGGTCCGCAACTGAGCCAACTCCACAGAAAGCAAATCGACCTTCGAAGTCAGAACCCCGCGACCAGAGGACTTCGACTTCTTCCGCGGAGGGTCATCACCCCGGGCGCCCTCACGTTTGCGACCAGGGGGTCGGTCAACCAACAGGGCAGACTCACAGTCCCCAGAATCGCCACTGAAATGTCCGTCCAGGGCCGACAGGCGGGCCACGCGCACCGGCCAGGGCATTACCGCACAATCGGGACATGCACGCTCGGTTAGCGCCTCCCGCAGGTGGCCCACACCCAGACAGGAGGGACACAGCACATGGCCATCGTCCTGCTGCATCGGGGCCAGACAGGACTGGCAGGCCAACGGCTCAAGCATCCCAGCGAGCTAACGCGCAGGAGCAGTCGCCGCCAAGTACAGGGGCACTCCCGGTAGGGTCAGGTCGAGCAGAGACGCCACTAGTGACCCACCGAACGCCTCACAGGTTCAGGGAACAACCAATACAGCAGGGTCAGGTCGAGCAGAGACGCCACTAGTGACCCACCGAACGCCGTACACGTGCCGGGAACAACCAATACAGCAGGGTCAGGTCGAGCAGAGACGCCACTAGTGACCCACCGAACGCCGTACACGTGCAGGGAACAACCAATATAGTAGGGTAGTGCGAGCAGAGACGCCACTTACAACCCGCAGAAACACGTGGAACACGCGCAGGCAACAGCCAATTCAACAGGGTCAGGTCGAGCAGACACGCCACCAGTGACCGACAGAAATTAACAAATAATTAACAAGGTAATTAACAAGACACAGGGTCAGGTCGAGCAGAACGCCACTGGTAACCCACCAAACACACGCTGAATACGCGCAGGTAAACAGCCAGATAACAGGGTCGGGTCGAGCAGAAACGCCACTAGTAACCCCCCAATTATAAGAAGTAACGAAAAACAACCGAGCACAAGTCACGGCGAATAAGCAAAACAAACACTCACCAGAGGCAAGCAGCGCGGCTTGCGCAGCCCACGGAGGGCGAGAAACTCGCAGCACCGACCGACGAGCAGTCACGGGGCTACAGGCAGCAAGCGGCGCGAACAACAGGCACAAACAGCTATCAGTTAGCTTCAGCCAGACTCATACAACCTGCATGCGAGAAAGTGAAAAGGGACTGTCCTTCCGGTGTCACGTGGCTTTATAGACTCTCGCGTGAGCTACCGGAGGTCACGGGTGACTTTGTTGTTATTTGACTCTCGATCTGTGCATGCGCGAGGATGATCATCCAGTGCTTAAGCACCGCCTCTGGCGGTCAGGAAGGATGAAATAGAACATGCACGTGACGACTGCGCCTGACAGAGGCATCAGGATGGGTCAAATGTAGAGGACAAAGTTCCCTTCACGGGGATAGATAAAGTGCACATTTACATTTACACATTTACATCCAGAGTATTATCAAGAACTTCTGGATCAAACAACCCCCCCTCTCCCTCTGTCTGACGAATCCTTCAATTCCCCTCTCCTACCACTAGATGGAGGTGTTTCATTACTCAAGATTATTACTTTATACATTTTTCCCTTTTATGCCAAAGTAAATCATCTTGATATAATGTTCAAGGGCTTTAATGAACTAAAAAAATTCATAATATTTGTTCTGGAATCCTTTCAAAGCATGACATAACAATCTCATCCTGCAGTACGGCAGCCACTCCCTGGCGGAGGACACGGAGGTGGGACACACGGTGGTCGTTCTGAGGGCAACCGACGACGACGAAGCTGAGAGCGGCAGTTCTCGGATCGAGTTCATCATTTCAGAAGGAAACAAAGACGGAATCTTCACTGTCGAGACCGAAGGGAATGGAGTCGGCAAACTGGTCATTGCAAAGGTACACTTTTCATTATTTTTTACATTTTTATAAATAATTGTTTTATTTTATTTTAACAAAAGTAAAAAAGGCATATACTCACAGGTACACACCAAATAAAGCTCAATCAAAACATTCACTTGATTGTGTTCATTGTGTTGGATCTTGTGTAGAGAGCTCCAAATGGGCAACTTCCTAAAAAGTTTGTTAATTACATTTATTTTAAATCTGCAGAACAAATTTTTCCGTATCTTTACATTAATACAAGTTTGAAAAGGGGTTGGATGAAGCAGACGCACATTTTATTCCAACCCCGTTTGGCCCAGTCATGCCCCATTACACTTTATTTCCTCTATATTTGTATTATTATTGACAAAAGTGCAGCCCAAGAGGCATGACGGTGCTGCCATTCCACAAAACAAGTCCTGGATCTAGACAGTGATCTGGAAGAACTTCAAAATCAATGTGACAAAATCACCCCACTGTTTTTTGAGTTGTTAGTCACAAACACCACTCTACAAACAGACAAACAAACTCAGATGAAACATAACCCCCTCGTGGACATAATGACATGTTTGGTATGTACTATAAACATTGGTCAAAAGGTAAAATGTCAGCTATATTGAGAAACTGAAAGTAGATGTATATCGCACATAGATGCTTCCAGGTACATTTGCCGTGTTATTATTATTACAAACTGTACGGTCAGTGTCAGAGGCAGCATTTCACATTTGTGCAGTTAAAATCTGTCTTCCTGAAAATGTAGACAGGCTTCTTCTCTGACAGTGTTCAAATCCAGGTTAAAAACAGTTGTTTAGCTGTGCACACAACTGAGGGATTTTATCTTTTTAATATACAGTGATTATTTTTTCTTTTTATCTTTTTTGTTGTTGATAAATAAACATACATATTTTTTTCTATCTTGTTTATCACTTTGAGTTCCCTTGCCTAGCCTATCTTATCCAATCTTTTTTTGTATTTTAAAAATACTCTAAAAAATGTCAAATTCCATATCCCACTCTCGCTTCTGTTCAATCAGCCTCTGGACTTTGAGACATCTTCCTCCTACAAGCTGAAGATCGATGCTCGGAACCCGGAGCCCCTGAAGAAGGGTCTGGAGTACAGCAGCGACTCGTCCACCTTGGTCCAGCTGTCGGTCAGTGATGTGGACGAGGCCCCAGAGTTCAGCCTGGACATCCTGGATGTGACTGTTTATGAAGACCAGCCCAAAGGAACCGTGCTGCTCAAAGTGGAGGCCAAGGACCCAGAGGGGAAAGACATCAGGTACCAAAGGGTTGCATTGCTTTAAAATAAATCAATATTATTGTTATTGGTTCTAAGTCCATCCATCCATCCATCCATTTTCATCCCCTTAATCCATTTCTGTCACAGCAGTCAGAGCTGTACCCAGTCCACAGAGCACCAGCTTCTGGTTCTACGTTGTCTTTAAAAATTCTTAAGTTTCAAAGGTTGGAATTTAAGGCCCTAAAAAGTCCTATGTCCGGGTCTTAAACATAACGACACTAATCTTTAATTTAACTCCATTATTCATTTAAAATCTCTGCAAAAAAAGCTAAAACGCATTAATTCACTTTTATTTGACCGTTTTTGGCAGTATATATGCTGTATTTTTCTGCGTATTTGTTTTTTTTCTTTCCTCGTTTGTCTTTGATTGAGAACCCATTACACTCAGAATGTACGATTTTGGCAAAATCTCAAAATTGCAGTAGTTCTGTGATGTAATCCTTATACCATTTCTTATACCTCAGAAATGGTATAATCAGACATGTTGTGCACATTTTTAAAGTTTGTATAAATAATTATAATGTGAGATGAGAAATGAGATGTCTTCATTTGGAACAAAAAATAATGCTCCTGCAAACGACAAGAGGAAAAATACGTTTTCCTCTTGATTCAAGTGATTTTTTGCTCCTCTTTTGTCTCTTTTTGTTTGCTACTTAAATAATTGTAGTCTTGCGACATGATTTGTTTGCGATTGATCATGCGGCCCGACATTGCACTACTGTGGACTGAGGATAGGGCTTGGGATAGGTTTCCTAATGCATACATTTTAGACAAAAATATGTTATTTTAAACTCATGTCCGTTAGAGCTGATCCGGTGAAAGCTCAACAATGCAGCAGCAACAATTAGCAGCATGTACATTCCAAGTTCTGCCGTCTTTTGGCTCTTTTCAGAGATCTTTTTACATTTCCTTTGCAGTTTTAAGTTGGACGGAGATGCCCAGGACTGGCTGGAAGTGGATAGTGCCACTGGAGAAATCAGGACCAAAGGAAAACTGGACCGAGAAACACTGGAGACTTTCTCAGTCACAGTGACTGCCTTTGAGAACGGTGAGTTCAACATAACAAATGAAACATCAAATTCCCCTTATTCCATACCAACCAGAATATATCCATTTTATTTTGTGACAAAGAATATGTTTGTATTGTATTTTTTTACTTGTTACATTAAGTTTTAGCTTGTTTTTTTTCCTTTTTTTTCCTCTCCAAATAGCAGCACATAGATACATACACACACAATCAATTGAAATGAACATCATTTTACAACAAAACAAAGGGGAAAAACACATATTATTTCTTCGCCACAGCTCCTATTTTTATGATTTTCAAAATGTGTACTTAATCTGCTAGAATCCCACCTGTGTAGTGTAAAGATAATATTTTTACACTGACAAAGCCACAGCCAGTGAAGAAAAGTCATTGCGTTTGCCCTTCGCTGCTGTTCTTCCAGATAACCCTGAGAAGTCTACAGAGCGAGAGCTGTCTGTGCGCCTCCTGGACGTCAACGACAACCACCCCAAGCTGACAGAGTCCAAGGCTTTCATATGCTACAACAAACCCTCTCCTGTGCTCCTCAAGGCCAAAGACGCCGACGCCCCGCCCTACTCCGAACCCTTCACTTTTGCCTTATCTCCCCACAAGAAGTCTCCAAACTGGGACCTGAGCCCAGTCGATGGTAAGCACTGGGAGCAACGCTATGGATAGAAAAAAGTGACCTGGTGAAGGCAATGGGTTGAACAGAAAAACTTCAATTGAATGCTGCAAGGTTCGATCAATAACATTCTCCCCCCAGATTAAGTGCACTGCTCCTGCTAGGTTCTCCTAGTGGCAAATGCAATCATGTGCAATAGTGCAATTTCAGAATGTCCACTGTATGTCACCTTACTTAGTGTTATCCTGCCCTATAGAGGGATCCTACGGTCATGTGACTAGCAGCCACGGCGGCCATACTGGAGGACAACCTCGGCGAGTAACAGCCCTGCTAGCTATCTATAACTGGACGTTCAAAACTAGAACTCTCTCGAACTACATGAAAACTGAACAGAGAATTCGAAACTTCAGCAGTTAGTGACCCAAATATATACTCAACCTAAATTCATGAATCAGATCCTCTGAAAATGCATCCTAAAATGTATTATTAATGTTTATCGTTACATCCAGGTTTACCGCGGTCGCATATTGTCGCATTAAAACAGTGTTTTTTCATGAAAACGTGAACAGAAAATTCTGAAAATCTCTGTGCACGTGTATTAAGAATGTATATGTATAATGTTTTCTCAGATTAACATTTAATATGTTTATTGTTACACCATGGATCTATGTGTGGCTACACTGCAGTGGAAATAATGAGATTACATTCAAATCAATGGAGCTTTCTGCGTCTACTGTGAGGAGCCGTATATTTTATTAATAAATACTAGTACGGGGCACCCTCGAGCATGGCTCAGTCGTTCACATGTCTGCTAGCCTCCGTTAAGTCAGATACCCTGTGAACAGCTATGCTACAAGCTACAGTACAGTCTATGGAGCAACCCCACGTTGCAGTCAGACAGATATGTTTTATCCTTAAACTTCTTTTAGTTTCGGAATAACACTAAATCCGCCATCAAATTGATTTTACTTAACAGAAATGAAATGATCCGAGCATATTCGGGCACTCTGGGGGCTTTTAGTTTTTTGTTGTTGCGAATATGTTGTGCCATTTCTCTCTCGTTTCTTTGAGATTTCTTCTGTTTTTGAGCCGTGTGAAGTAAGGACGGCTGGCAGTCGGTAACACAACTTATTTTCCCTGTCTCTCCTTTTGCTGCAGCCAAAAACGGCAAAAATGTTGAACGTGTTTATGCGGTCCCGGGTGCACGCCACTATCATACAGCGTATGCTTGTCCTCCAGTATGGCGGATGCCCCGCGAGTTCGAGGCATCGTGACGTCACGTGAGATATCTCTATATGTATACAACACTATACATAAGAGAGAGAGAGAGAGAGGGGGGGAGAGAGAAAGAGAGAGAGAGGGAGAGAGAGAGACACACAGACACAATAGTGGTTAAGAATAATAATAACAACGTTGGGAAAGAGTAAACAAAGAATAAAAGTATAATGTGGTTCTTTCACTTCTGTAGGTACAACAGCCAAACTGTCTCTGAAGAAGAGTCCGACTGAAGATAAAACCATCACTCTGTCCATAAGCATTAAGGACAATGCAGGCGTCGGCGTCAACCAGGCTTTTGAAGGTGAGAGTGAAAATCAAATCACTGTTGTTTTTATACAAAGGATGTACTTCTGTTTGCTATACACTGATAGTGTACGTTACCTGTGGTTCATTATTATCAATCAATCACGCAACATTTATCTTTTATAGCAAAATTGTACAAGGTAATTCAAAGTGCTTCACTAGAGCAAGTCAAAACACAGATCCAAATGCACAAAAACATCAAAAACAAACACAAAAGTACGTAAGTACATCAATAAACAAAAAAAATCATATTAAAACAGTGCAGATTAAAGGTATTGGGAATAAAAACAGATTGGGGTTAAAAACAGATTATTTAAACCTACTTTTGAACATGGTCTCACAACCTCAGGAAGACTGTTCCATACAGTATTTTAGTTGCATACATCTGGACTCAATCAACCTTTGTTAGTATGAGTGCTTTTACTTGATAAGGCAACACACATTACAAACAATAATTAAGATGACACAGAATAGTAAAAACAAACATTAAAACCATACAAGGCATTATAATCATAAACTTTCTTCAACAGGATCGGAACATTAGCTCATTTTTAGCAAGACTGTTCCAGGTTATAGCTGCATAAATCTGAAACGCTGCCTCCCCATGTTTAGTCCTGACCCTAGGCCAGTCCCTATGCTCCTCCCTTGGAAAGTAGAACTATGTAATAAAAAGCAATAGTTTTCACATGAGCGACTAGCTCAGTTGGTAGGGCATTGACCTTTGAGCCTGAAGGTTGTGGGTTCGAGCCCCCCATAAGACCTACCTCACGACTGCCACTTATGATTGCTGTCGTTGTGTCCTTGGGTAAGACACTTAACCCCACTTTGCCTGAAGCCCCCACTGAAAGATCTCAGCTCCTGTGGACTCACCACCTGCAGGAGGATCAGTGAGGGGCTGGTGCTCTGTGACTGGGTGCAGCTCTGACTGCCACCCCCCGACCCAGAAATGGTTTAAGGGGAAGAAAATGGATGGATGGATAGTTTTCACATGTGCTTTGGTCTCCGTCACATAATTAGATCACCTTTTGCAGACTGAAAAATTAGAAAGAAAGGACCATCCTCAAATCAGCTCAAATCAACCCAAAGCGACTGTTTCTTAAGTTTTCACAAGATAAAATGTGGTGTGGTCTGATTTACTCACAAAATGTTTCTTTTGCAAGAGTCTTTCTGTTCAAACAAACCAAATATATACATGAAACAAAAAAGTGTCAATGTTTTAAATGTACTGATGCTTCCCTTTCTCAACTCCCAGTGCAAGTGTGTAACTGCACCCAGCTGGGCTACTGCTACGTGGAGCCTGGGAAACACGGCTTTATGCTGGGGATGGGGGCCACTATCGGGATCCTCGCCGGCGTCATCGGCTTCTGCAGTGAGTGTCACCGTTTTACTATTATTATCTCACATCCGTCTGTGTCCTAACGCAGGGTTTGTCCTTCAAATCCTGAGTAAAAAACATGGGATTTTAAGACATGTGCTTTGTCTCAACTCTTGTTTTTCCTTTGCAGTTCTCGTGTTCGTCATTGTGATCCGAAAAATTGGCAACAAGAAGAAGGGGGCGAATCCGAACGATGAGCAGAACGCCATGATGAGTTAGAATTAGAAAATGTTCTTATTATTCTTGTAATTCAGGTTTTCAGCTGAGGAACCTCACTTTCCTATTGATGTCTACTTTCCTACCAGAAAGTGTATTTTAAAGTCGTCGTGTTTTAAACCATAAATGATACAGCGACATATTGAATTGGAAAACATTATATCTTTTGTATACTTAAAGAAGGATCCATATAATCACTGCTTGACACTTTGGGCTGAGAGCTGATTGGCTGAGGAAAGCACAGTCGCTTCCTCTTTTCTGTTTGAGGTTGTACTGAACTAACTACTTTTTTTTGTGTGAGATTTGAGAGTTTGAAAATCAGGTTCCCCAGCTTTAGTTCCTGAAACATATTTGTACGTTTTCTGTTTGTTTCTCTGGATTATTTTATATTATATTTAATCATGCAAACTTCATGGAAACGCATGCATTTAAACAACATTTTATTTTCCAAACAGAGGTGTAGGTTTGATTCCTGCCCTAGATTCAATCACTTGTGTTTCCCCACACTGACTTAATTTATTTGCAGTTTCATCGTCATCTTTTAGCTTTTATCCTGGAATATTGTAAACTTTTCACCACAAACCAAAGTGATTGACATTTTTTGTCAGTCAGCTGTGAGAATGTATTACATAAGTTATTTTGTAATGAGGGTCGCTGTTCTGTGCCAATAAACAAGAGACTGGACGGAGTGTGGCTCAGAGTGTGATGTTGTGGTACCAGGAGCAGGTGTTGTGTTCACCCTCGTGGCTTTGTGTGTTTGTTTGTTTGTGTGTTTGTGGACGGGCTGCAATCCTTCACAAGATGTTTGGAAAATACCATAGAGGTGTGAGCTGGACCATTGACAACAGCACAAATAATGCATCTTCACGTCGTTCAGAAAGCCATAGATGGTTCTAATTTTATAGTTTTTGTGTAATTAAATCAAAGTCCAACATTTTGTTCTTAGGGTTTTAGTGGTGTTTATTTAGCCATTAAAACTGATTACAAGACTAACACTGCTGTTGTTGTGTCCTTGGGCAAGACACTTAACCCCACTTTGCCTGAAGTCTCCGCTGAAAGATCATGACTGTATCTGCGTTGAAGGAGCAGCCATGTTCCTGTGGACCCACCACCTGCAGAAGGAACAGCAAGGGACTGGTGCTTTGATTGCCACCCCCCTGACCCACAAATGGATAATAAAGGGATGAAAATTAATTAATTAATGAATGGTCTTCAAATCCCAAAATTAATTATAATATACATTGAGTAGTTGAACAAGAGTATTAGAAGCACTCAAAAACAAAAATTATCATGTGAAAAAATATTTTGGAAAAATCACCTTAAATTAATTGTTGATTTATTTAGAAAATGTCTATGCTTTATTTTGCATTTATAAGGAATAATGTAATCTGGCAAAGCTGTTGGGATCTGGTCCTATCATAAGATAGATGAGCTGTTACTGCATATCTAAGATTATAAATAACAATGAGAGAGATATAAAACTCTTCCGTTGTATGCAAAGACAAAAAGAATACAAAACAAGATAAAAACCCAAAAAAAAGCAGTCGAGTTGGACACGTGGTTATTATTCAAACATTTTTTTGAAATGTGGTTGGATGTGACCAATGAGAGTGGCCCGAAGCCTGTGTAAGTCTGTCACTGATGAATATACATGTGAAAGGCCAGGGAGTGCTGCTCTGACTCATCCATGACAGCTGGAGACAAAGCTGCAGATTGTGTGAAAGGAGAGGAGGACGTGATGGGGAATTGTGGCATTTATGTCGCACAAAAGAAGCACACAACAACACCCACTGAGAAGAAGCCCCAAACATGAGGCCTGAATTTGGGCTCCACATGTCCTTACCGCTGCTCCATGTGCCACGTTGGGACCAGGTATCAGTTTGCTGGTAGTGGGCTGAAAGAAGATTATTAACCACCTGTTATTAAAGAACCATTATTATTATATTTGCCCCATTTAAGCGGACAAAGTTGTTCTGTCGACTTGCAGGATGAATGACACCTGCACCTAGGGACTGGTCTCATGTCCCTGTTTGTTTTTATTGCATTTCTAGTGTTAAAACTGTTTGATTCTCTGATCAGTTATTGATGAATAGACAACTTTGTGAAGTCGTCCGAGACTACTGTGGATGAATGGATAGAACTCTTGCTTCAGCAAGAAGGTCCTGGGTTGGTATCCTGGTCAGAGCAAGGTCTTTCTGAGTTTGCATGTTCTCCCCGTGTTTGCGTAGGTTTCCTCCAGGTGCTCCAGGTGATCCAGTGAGTGGATGGTGTTTGGTCAGAGGCTTGGATGCACCAGTGAGTTTGGCGTCTCGCTTCCATCATCACCGTGTGTGGAGAGTATGGAACAATCTGAATTCAGAACACTGTAAAGCGCTTTGGGTGACCTTTGTCTGTAAAAATGCGCTACATAAATAAATATGACTTTTTCACTTGTGTTGTTATATAGGGTATATATCATACAAAAATAAAATGAAAAAAATTGTACAGCACTTTGGTAAGCCTAGGCTGTTTTTAAATGTGCTTTACAAATAATATGCTAAGCAGCACAGAACCTGGTTAGCCCTGTGATGGGAGACTTATGGGAACACCAGGTGCCACAGTGGGGCAGCTGCAACTGTAAAATTATGAATTGCCGCTGTGTCCTTAGGCAAGACACTTCACCCACATTGCCTAGAAGGAGTCTGGTGTGTGGTGAATAGTTGGCGGTGGTCGGAGGGCACAGTGACACTGACTGATTGCTTCGCTTCTGTCAGTCTGCCCTGAGCAGCCGTGGAAGTAGTACTTACATTGTATTTGACATCTTTTTGCTTTTCACGAGTTCTTATTGTTTTATATTCTCTAATCTGTTGTTTGACGCATGGACCATTTTGTAAAGTCCTCCGTGAAGACTGCTGTTGCAAATTAGGGCAATAAAATAATTAGTTTACCATGCACCAACCGCGTATGATGAGAAAATCATCAATAAAAAACAATGCATTATTATTATTAGTTAAATGAAATGATTTGACTGTGATTTGATCTTATCGGGTATCACTGTATCAGAAGATATTAAAAGCCAAAGTTTCCAGGTTGTAATGCACCTTGAAGACAAATTTGCTGATGAGACTGTTTTAAATAATCACGTCGGAAAATGTCCCTTGAATTGTCAAAAACATCCAGATAAGTAAATATAACAAAGGCCAATGTAGTAAATGCAGATAAACTGATGAAAAGCTACAGAAGCGATGAACGACATATTTTGAATGAGTGTATTGTGTGTGGAGTAGACCGTGATACAAGTGCAGTGGTCTCTGTGTTTACATGATCCTGCGCAGACTCAATCATAGCAACGCTTTCCAAAACAACAGCAGCGTCTGGACTAATACGGACATAGATCTATAAGTTCACTTTTATTACACCTATAAGACATGAGAAAAGACAGAGTGTTAAATAATTCTGAAGAACAACACAAGTTATGTAGTCGTTTATATTTTATATTTATAGTTTATTTATAGTGATTAAATATGAAAATAAAAACACTTTTAACTTGACTACAAATCATTTCTTATTTCATTTATATATTTTTATTTTATCATAAGTCTTTGCCCACATATGTAATAAATATATAGAGCCATGTGAGACACTGTATGCCTTTTGGGATTATCACTGTGCTGCTGCAGGGTAATCCGCCTAAATTGACTTTTGTGTGAAAAAAACAGTTCTGTGGTTTGCTGGAGATGAAACAATCTGTTCAAGTCATACCTATAGTTGTATGCTCTGTTCGGGTTCTGTTCCAGAGATGAATAATTATTTCTCATGTGTAATGCTTGCAGGTAGTGGAAATGAATCCCACAGAATGTGAAACTACCAGAGTTTTTATGAGGTCAAGAACAATTTTGATTTATACAGGATTTTATATTTCAATGTGCATGAGGCATCACATATAATAATAGTCAAGATTACTAAACATTATTTGGTATAATGCATTTTGAAAAAAAACAACAACAAAAAACGTGTTATTAGACAATACTAAAATGAAACAATCTAATGGCTTGTATTCTATTTTTTTTATTCGAGTGTTTTTCCAGGATGCCGCCTGGAGTCACTGCAGTGGGCCCTTAAAAATCTTTATTGTACCATTGCGTTATACAATCTGAACAACCACCTTTTTGCTGTATGTAAGTTTGTTTAAAAGTTCTTTTCAATCATGAAAATACTTTGGGGAAAATCAAGGTCTCGTTTGTAAAACTCTTTTTTGTACATTACACATGTGCCCTTATGAAATACAGATGATGCATGAACTGTAGCACCATCTAGTGGCCTCACTCCAGAATTACTAAAAAAATATACTACCACGTTGTTTATGTTTTTTATTAAGCCCCAAACAAACCCCATGAACAAAATATACAAACTTAGGTTACATAAGTAATAAATGTTACATGGAGTAATAAATAAGTGAACATGAAACAACGTAAATACTTTTGTGGAAGTTTATATAACATCTTGCTGTAACAGAAATAAAAACAATATAAATGTTTTAAAGCCACACTACGTCCCTTGTCTAGTGTGTTTGTATCTAAGAGGTTATAAACTTGCCTTAGATGCGTCTGATAAGTCACTGGTTAGATCTGTGGAGGAGGGATATTAGAGCGAACCGTCGTACAGGATCGCAATGCTTTTGTTTGGGAGCGTTCAGTGCAAAATGAAGTTAAATCGGTTGAGGTGAAAGTAACACCAAGTGCTTTTGTGTCCAGTTGATGACGAGACACATTTGCTAAAACAACTTCCAAACAAACTGCAAACAATATGAGCAAAACAAGCAGAAAACACCACGAGCCAGCGATACAATTCTTTTGGCACGTTGTAACAAATTGATGATTCCCGTACATTCACTTACATTTGAAAAGCATAGAACATGATAAGAAAACTGCTCTAGCTGGTTTAAAAGTATTATTTCTACACTTATAAGTATGTGCTAAAAAGGGATTTCAATTATATCTATTCAAAACGACTATTGCAGAAAAACATCTTGCAGAAAAAGTGTTCGGAGTGCAGCCTCTTTGGAATATATGTCACAAAACAAAACCGTGACCATTTTGGCACAAATTAGATTGTAACAGAAAGATTTGCAAACAAAATATAACACGTGAAAACCAACATTAACAAAGACAAAAGATCAGAAATCCCAGAAACAGACAGTACAAACATACAAACCCCTATATCATTCATGTAGTGTTGAACTGGATACATTTTTACAGCTTTATTGCCTTCAGAAGTCAAATATATCAGATTCCGGGTCAAGTTTAACTAGTTTAGATGATGTTTGTAATATATAGCTACAATATTTTTTACTTAATTGGCCGATTGAGTTTATTCAAACCAAAAAATAGGGAGATAAACAGGTTAAATAAAATATATCAGGCATTTGTACAAGATGGCAGGAGAGGGAAATTACATTCTCCCATATTTACAACAAATCCAAGAAGGCGTGGTCTAATTGAAGGCACAGTTGTAAAGAACGTCATTTGACTGAGGAAAATAACCAAAACTAAATTTAAATACTGTTTTTCTTTTTTTCAAACAGAACGGTTTGTAACGGTCAAAAGTGTTTGAGATATAAGCTTTCAGACAAAAGCCCAGAAGTTCCTGATGTTAGCGTGGATAGAACAAAAACAACCTGTGAACAGGTTAAAAACTTCATATATATATATATATAAGCATTATATTTTTCCGTTAAGTCATGATGAGTGCAGTAAAAGATGCTTGTTTGCTCCACAGTGCACCAATAGAATCACAATAAATTCAATGAATGATGGGTGCGTTTTTCTCCACTATAAATCTTGCCAATTATTGTGATCTTGTGATATATATAAAAAAAAAAAAACACAATATATTTTTTTTGAATAGTCCGAGGTTCCTCAATATATTTGTGCATATCCAGTTACATAGAACCATTTACTCCTTTTGACCTTTACTCAGTTTCATTGCGATCTCTTAAACCACTTGCATCTGTGGTTTATCGGAGAAACACAGTCAAATTGATGCTCTTTAGTTTTTGTTAAGCTTCATAAAATACGCACCTCAAGATAATTTTGTCCCATCCCTGCCCAGGACGACTCACAGAGCTGCTTATTGATGGTTCACAGACTGGGCTCAGGACTGGTCTCCCTGACGCTGAGCTCCAATCACATGTGGATTAAACTGTGCGATGATGATGGTGATGTCGTCTCTGTACATGCGGGCCAGCTCCTCGGGCAGAGACAGCATTTTGGACAGTCTTTCGTGGTCCACGGTGCCAAACTCGTTGTTGCCAACCGCGTGGCGCATCAGGTGGGTGGAGGAGTTCTGGTCTTCGAAGGCAGAGGACGTGCGAGCCTTCCTCTCCTCCAGCAGCCCCTGCATCTGTCCCAGTGTGACCCTGTAGCCACCCACCTTCAGAGGCTGCCGCTGATGCACTCCGGTCAGGTACTCTCCCACCACACGCACCACCTCCTGCCGGTGGAGCGTCTCCCACAGGCCATCCGAGCCGATCACCTGCAGAGACCAACACAACTGTAAGGTGCAAGTTAAGACCATGTGTAAGGCACAAGTGACGACCATGTGTGAGGTACAAGTGAAGACCATGTGTAAGGTACAAGTGACGACCATGTGTAAGGTACAAGTGAAGACCATGTGTAAGGTACAAGTGAAGACCATGTGTAAGGCACAAGTGAAGACCATGTGTAAGGCACAAGTGAAGACCATGTGTAAGGCACAAGTGAAGACCGATGTGTAAGGCACAAGTGAAGACCATGTGTAAGGCACAAGTGAAGACCATGTGTAAGGCACAAGTGAAGACCATGTGTAAGGCACAAGTGAAGACCATGTGTAAGGCACAAGTGAAGACCATGTGTAAGGCACAAGTGAAGACCGATCTGTAAGGTACAAGTGAAGACCATGTGTAAGGCACAAGTGAAGACCGATCTGTAAGGTACAAGTGAAGACCATGTGTAAGGCACAAGTGAAGACCATGTGTAAGGCACAAGTGAAGACCGATGTGTAAGGCACAAGTGAAGACCATGTGTAAGGCACAAGTGAAGACCATGTGTAAGGCACAAGTGAAGACCATGTGTAAGGCACAAGTGAAGACCATGTGTAAGGCACAAGTGAAGACCATGTGTAAGGCACAAGTGAAGACCATGTGTAAGGCACAAGTGAAGACCATGTGTAAGGCACAAGTGAAGACCATGTGTAAGGTACAAGTGAAGACCATGTGTAAGGCACAAGTGACGACCATGTGTAAGGCACAAGTGAAGACCATGTGTAAGGTACAAGTGAAGACCATGTGTAAGGTACAAGTGAAGACCATGTGTAAGGTACAAGTGAAGACCATGTGTAAGGTACAAGTGAAGACCATGTGTAAGGTACAAGTGAAGACCGATCTCGTCACAGAGGATCTGCAGTACAGGGCCTGGTTACAGAGGCTACAGAAGTATTTTTTACTAATAAAAAAGAACAGTATTTAATATTTCAATTTCCATTACATCTACGTCATATGGTATGTGTCTCCACATAATTGGTCAACATGTACACATATTTGACCTTTACTCTATTCTAAAAATACAATGAACATGATGTCCATGATATCTTTAATCAGTTAGTTAGGTGCAATTTTGCTGGTTTTGACTTGTTATATTTATTTACAAAAAAATATCACCACATATTTAAATCAAAGCAAATACAAAGGATAAGTAGTCATACACACAGAGTTTGTACTGCCTCAGGAGGTCAGCATCAGTAATGAGTACTTAGGAGCTAATTACCACATAATTGTAATTACTTTATTAGATCACCAAGTGTTCATTACATATGATTCATTTCAATACTCCAGTGTATGTAAGTACTCTTTTAATGCAAATATCAGTTACATTTTTAAATGATTAGTTACTTTCAATACAAGTAGTTTATAGGTTTATACTTTAAGCTAAAGATAATATTTTATTTTCAATTACAGTGTTGTGCTATTCTTTATATTCACTTATCGTACTTTGTGTTCTGAACCCGTGAGGAAACTGAAATGTCTGTGGGACAAATACAGGCTTCTAAAGAGTCAGTCATTTCAGTTATTCAGTTGAAGTTAAAGTTATAATTAGTAGACTCTTTACACAATCAGTGAATTATTTACGGTTTCTATTTCCCGAAATGTATTTACTTTTTAAAATGGCCGACAAAAAATATTGACATTTTCAGATGGATCAGTTGTTTTTTTATAGTGCAAAAATTCATTATATATATTATCGTTTTCCCTCCATAAAAATACAACATCATAATATTAGAAAACATGTGATCTTTTGGATATTGTAAGAAGAAGCTCTAGTTAGGTCACTTTGGGCTGAAAGATGATTGAAAAAGAGAGGACCACTCTTGCTCAGCCAGTTTGCCGACAGAAAGTTGTGACCAGTTGTGAAAGTGACCAAGAAAAACACAAATTTGAAAACTAGTGATTAGAACCAACCTGTTCTCAGAGCTAAGATTGTATTGAAGTTATATTTTTTGTTGTCAGCTTTAAGTAAGCATTACCCCTGAAATCGTCTTTAACTTCTGTCACCACTTCCAGTAACATTACACAGTGCACCATTTAATATGAACTATAATCAAACTTAGGACTTTTTCCGTGTATGCTCCTCTAGCTGCACGTGACTCACCAGAAAGCGGTCCTGCGGCCTCAGGCGGTGGTATGTGATCTCTGGCTCCGCGGTCAGATAGGGGGGCGTGTGGTAGTTTGGGGGGATGAACTTTGTGTGCTCGTTTTCATGGAGCTGATCGGGTCCCGACTCCAACACACGCTTCTGCAGATCGATGCTCCATTTGAACTTGACGTCACCGAACGCCCGGAAAGGCATGAGGAGTCCGAGCAGACGATCCTGAAAAGCAACAGATCAATGTGAATTATCACTGACGGCAACAGGACGGGATTCTAACCACAAACATATACAGAAAAAAAGACATCCCAGGCACTTCCTTTGGGAACCTCTGATGCCGATATGTTGCCAATGAGCACTTCCATTCTCTCTTCCACAAATATATAATGTAAAAACTTTTCAAATGGACTTTTCACAAAAAAATCTATCTATATTTTCTAAGTTTTTTTCTGAATCTGATGCAAATGATTCTGCAGAATACAGAAAAACTGCTGCTGTTCAGGGTGACAATGATTTACTATGACAGTGTAGATCAGAAATCCATACAAACGTTATGCTAACATTTTTGGTTTGTGTCGTTAATGATGCACTTTTAACTACAACAACTCTTCAACAAAAGAAGACAGAAGAGTTGTAGAATTGTCTGTTGGACTATAAAATACAGAATAAAGCAGATTATCTGTCCGTATGCTTTTCAATAACACTTTAGAGGGTTGTTATGAAAGGTTCCAGGTGAGTTAATTCATTATAATGAGAAACCACGTCCCATTATTTTCACTTGGATGACTGATATCATGTTCAGGCTAACGGAGATGCAGCAGAGGGAGAACCAAAGGAACCACTACATTAAGAACGCATCTCTTACCAATGTTACAGATTCCCGTGTTTTGTTTCACATCACCTCCATGCTGCCTTTTGTCAGATTGTGTGATGTTAATACAAACAACAAAAATCAACACTAGAACACATCAGTACCTGTCTAATGACAGTCTTTTTCTCCGATGGTGGATGCTCGCCTCTGATCCGAGCCACTTCACTCTCGTTCTGAGCGCTGTGGTCGTTGGAGAGGGTGTGTGCAGTGAAGGAGCCGTCCTCCTCCTGAACCCCTAGCACTGCCCGAGCGTCGCCTGTATTGGCTAAATATCTGTTTTAAAAAATAACAACATACAAATAAAAAAATAATATGTATTTTCCACGGTCTGTAACTTCATGGTAAACGTACAGATCTGGTCCATCGATATGAGCCACGCAGGCCGTAGCCCCTGAAAAGGCCACTCTCAGCACCCAGTAGTGAAGGAAGGCGTTAGGGTCTCCCACCTACAGCACATAAAACAAGCAATATGTAAGATTTTCATGTCAAGTCATCCTTAAATGGCCCTTATCTGTCAAAAGGCATTAATAAACCATGCTCTTTTCGAATAACTATTCCTTAACTGATAACTGTAGTTCAGCCAAGATATCCATCCATCCATGGATAGAACAGAAGAGTTGTAAATTAGTTTCACAGCCCCTAAATCTTGTTATTGTTTTCATTTTGATTCCACTGTTTTACCAATCAGAAAGTCTGTGATCCGGGTTGCCAGAACTCATCACGTCAAGCTAATCTCACTGGTAAAGTAACAAAAAAGGTCTTGTTATGATTCTCAAATCCATCCATCAATCCATTTTCTTCCCCTTAATCCATTTCTGGGTCAGGGGGTTGCAGTCAGAGCTGCACCCAGTACACTTAGCACCAGCCCCTCACTGATCCTCCTGCAGGTGGTGAGTCCACAGGAGCCTTGATCTTTCAGTGGGGGCTTCAGGCAAAGTGGGGTTAAGAGTCTTGCCCAAGGACACAACGGCAGCAGTGGGAGTTGTGTAGTTAGTCTTGTGGTGGGCTCAAACCCACAACCTTCACACCCAAACGCCAATGCTCTACCAACTGAGCCACTGTCAATTCTCAAATCATTATGACAAAACAAGGAACAAAAAAAAAAGGATTTCTATCAGGGTCTTTGTAAAAAAGGTGTTGGTTATAGATTTGTTGCTGACAAAAATCTTGTCTATTCGATTCGTCTGCATATCTGGCAACCTCAGTCAGGGAGAGGGCAGTACCCCTTTTGGCCAATTTTTACATACTGCTCCTGTAAGTCAGAAGGTAAAGAAGAGCTGAGGACACCAGAGCTCCTAAACCAGAGACTATATTTGGATTATCACACAGCAGGAAGAAGAGACAATCTATAAAACATGTCCAGTGACACCAGAACCCTGACCCTAACCCTGATGTAGCAGCAGGAGAGTAGAACATGTACCTGAGCTTCAAGGGATATGTCATTGTCCAGCCTCTTGAACGCGTTCATCAGAGCCTCCCGTGTGTCCGGAACCTCTCCGGGACTAAAAGACAAAATAAATTAGTGTACAAGAGCCATGTTATCAATAGAACGATACTCAGTTATCTAAAATACAGTGTGTCTCTTTGAAAAAAACAACGATATAATTACTGTGGATTGATACAGCACTTCAAGATTCCCAATTTGCTTTAAAATGCAGTAATTACTTGATCCTCAACTCTACTCTACTTCTGTTGCAAAAGTCCAAAGCAGCTTCGCTTTCGTCATTAGATATTTGGTGATTTGCCCGTTTCCTTTAGAATCAATATTGACCTCAGACAGTGAGAAAATCATGTAACTAGTTATTAACTAGTTATTAATAATAATTGTAAGCGCCATTTTTACATGTTTATTGTATTCACATAATTTACATGTCATATTTAATATTTGATTTAATTTAGAAAATGTTATGCCGACATGATTGTAATGAGATTTGATTTGTACTTGGTTTTGGCACGCGCCATGCTCTGATGTTGTTGTTACATGTTGCTACGCAACAAAGTATATAACGGCTGTACCTTGAATAAACTAGAGATGGAGAGCAACACAGTTGTTTTACCGTCTGGTGCGACTGCATCTAACGCGTGAAAACAGGCTCAATTCATCTCATACAGAAGAGGGTAAATTAGAAACTACAAAGAAATGAACTCAAGATTAGCCTCTATATCAAGTAAAACAACTCAGCTCCCGAAAACGAGCCGGAGAAGAGTCCACGGTCGCGGCAACGGCTCTTCAGGGAAAAGAGAGACCATCCACAGACTGGTAACTGACAGTTATGAGCCAAGCCAAGAAATATGAGACAACATAATATTTGTAGTCTTTGCTAGATGACACTTATGAAGAAAGCAATGAATGCTTTGTGTCATAGACTACATTATTAGATCTGTTGAAAATTACGAGGCGAACTGAATATGACGGACGAAAAGTGCGGCGGTGAAGATGCCCACAACAGGGCGCTAAAATATACGGAAAAAGGGCTTGAAGACCAGTTACACAGACAAATGAATACAAGAAGAGCAAAACTCGCTCTACTGACAGCAAAGATGAAGAAAATGAATGCCATGATGAAAAACTCTGAACATCCTGATACAGTTAATGAACATTTAAGTGAGTTTACAACACTTATGAGGGACTTTGATCAGGCAAATGAAAATGTTCTTCAGTTGCTATGTGAAGAAGAGAAAGAAGCTGACCAGACATACTGGTTCATACCCAAAAAGGAACAGTATAGCAATTTCATATTAGAAATTGATAAATGGTCATTTTCTGTAAGACTCCCACAACAGGACGACGTGGACCCAGATGACAGCGCATCGATGACCGGTAATGAAAGGAGACGGCAACCAGGATCCTGCGTGTCCAGGACCAAGACCAGCCTCTGCGGTTCATCAACATCTACATCTTCTGCGCGTCGAAAGGAACAAGCGGAGAGAGCTGCACTGATTGCTCAAGCAGAAAAACTCAAAGAAAAACAAGTATTGGAGTTTGAAGAGCTGAAGTTAAAAGCCAAAAAAGACCAGCTGGAGAAAGAAAAACAAGTATTGGAGTTTGAAGAGCTGAAGTTAAAAGCCAAAAAAGACCAGCTGGAGATGGAAACTCAAATAGCTGTTTCCACGGCAAAGATAAAGGTGTTTGAGGAGTGTGAGTATGAGGAAAATGAGAACTACAGCGTAACTAGCCAACGCTCAGTTAGGAGGTACAAACAAATTCCCATTGTGACTAATGAACAGCCTCATACTTACCACATGAACGAACCTAAAATGGAGTTTCCCACTCAACGATTAGAAATGGACAAAGAGGTTAACCTTTGTGAAGTAATGCTAAAACAAAACGACATAACAGAAATGTTGGTTAAACAACAAAGACTTACAAACTTACCTCAAAGAGACGTTCCCATTTTCAGTGGTGATCCGTTAGAGTTCAGATCCTTCTTTAGAGCTTTTGAGCATACAATTAGTGGCAAAACAGATAACAACAGTGACAAGATTTACTATCTTGAACAATTCACAAGAGGTGAACCTAGAGACTTAGTTAGAAGTTGCCAACATATGAGCCCTCATCTTGGTTACATAGAGGCAATGAAACTTCTACATTATCACTATGGCAATGAGATTAAGATTGCGACTGCTTACCTGAATAGAGCTGTAAACTGGCCTCAGGTAAAGGCAGATGATGCCAAGGCTCTTCACAGTTACTCTCTATTTCTAATAGGTTGTAAAAATGCATTGCAAGATTTAAACCAACTTGAGGAACTAGATAATCCAACTAACATCCGAGTCATAGTCTCCAAATTACCATATAAGATGAGAGACATTTTGATATTCAAGAAAGCTCTGGTAGAAGAGCAAAGTTTTCAGATCTGGTTAGATTTGTAAACAGACAAGCAAAGATAGCTTCAGATCCATTATTTGGTAACATTAAAGATGCTGATGACAGAAAACAGCAAAGTCAAAGACCAAATAATACAAACAGGACATTTAGACCTAGGGGCAGTGCATTTGCTACCAGTGTAGCACCTGCAACTAAAGAGCAGTTGCCAGAAGCTAATAAGAGCAACTTGCAACGGACTGCTTTTCAGAAACCGTGCATGTTTTGTGAAAATAATCACACACTTGCGGAGTGTCAGAAAATAAGAAAACTATCTCATAAGGAAAGAGTTGGGTTTCTAAAGATAAAAGGACTCTGCTTTTCATGCTTAACTCAAGGACATTTGAGCAAAGACTGTAAAAAAAAAATCCAATGTGACTACTGCTCCAAACGGCATCCAAACATGCTTCACTATGAAAAAACTGAGAATGCAGCAGTAGATGACCAGCTATCCAGAAATGAAACGGAAAGCTGTAATGTTGAAGCCGTCAGCCCTATACCAATCACAGGTGGTACATGTGGTGCTACCGGGGCCGGTAATAGCAGTAGAGTTTTGGCAATCGTGCCAGTTCACGTAAAGCTCAAGAAGAACAACAAAACTATCGACACTTACGCGTTTTTGGACAATGGCAGTGAAGCAACTTTTTGCTCAGAGAAACTAATGAGACAGCTTGGCATAGAAGGGAAGAAAACACAAATACTTCTTCGCACCATGGGTCAGAAAAGGTTAGAGCCAAGTTACATTGTTTCAGGCTTAGAGGTTTGCGGTGTAAAAGATAATGTGTACATTGACTTACCAGACACATACACTCACAAGGATATACCAGTGTCAAGAGAAAGCATTCCTGTGCAACTTGATTTAGAAAAGTGGCCGCATTTGCATGGTGTTGAACTGCCTGAGATAGATGCAGATGTTGGACTTTTAATAGGAGCAAATGCGTACAAGGCAATGGAACCTTGGGAGATCATCCATAGTGTAGATGATGGTCCTTACGCAGTCCGCACAATCCTAGGCTGGGTCATAAATGGCCCTCTGAAGAAAAATGACTATGAAAAGGATCATAGTGCTTCAGTAAATCACATTTCTATGTCAGAAATAGAAACACTGTGTTTAAAACAGATCAACCATGACTTTCCAGAAAAGGCTTCAGAGGAGAAGTATGAGATGTCTCGAGAAGATTTACAATTCATGGACTCTGTCAAAGACACTGTTAAGAAGGTTGACGGTCATTATTGTATTGGCCTCCCTTTAAAGAACAAGTCAGTCAAATTACCAAATAACCGCTCAGTAGTGGTACAGAGAGCACAAAGCCTTAAAAGAAAAATGCTCAAGGACAGCAACTTACACAAAGAGTACACAATGTTTATGTCTGACTTAATAGACAAAGAATATGCAGTACCTTTGACACAAGAACAACTTGAACGTGATGACGGCAGAGTTTGGTACATACCTCATCATGGGGTGCACCACCCACAGAAAAGAAAGATTCGTATTGTTTTTGATTGTACTGTCTCGTACCAGTCAAAATCCTTGAACCAGGAACTTTTACAAGGTCCTGATTTGACGAACACACTTATTGGCGTTTTAACACGCTTCAGACACGATCACATTGCTTTAATGTCAGACATAGAGGCAATGTATCACCAGGTTAAAGTACCACCAGAGGACACTGACATGCTACGCTTTCTCTGGTGGCCTGAAGGAAACTTGGATGAGCCCCTGCAAGAGTTCAAAATGACAGTGCATTTGTTTGGTGCAACATCTTCCCCCAGTTGCGCTAACTTTGCTTTAAAGAAAACTGCAGAAGATGCCACAGCTAAGGTGCTACCCATGGCCGTGTGTGCAGTGCAGAACAATTTCTATGTTGATGATTGCCTGCTGTCTGTTTCAAATGAAAGTAAGGCCTGCACTATGGTAAAAGAGCTGACAGAGCTTTGTAGAAGTGGAGGATTTCGTCTTACAAAGTGGAATAGCAACAGTAGAGCTGTTTTAGCCTCCATTCCTGAAAAAGAGAGAGCAACCGAGGTCAAAGCAATAGATCTCTGTCATGACATGCTGCCTGATGAACGAGTATTAGGAGTAAATTGGTGTGTTGAAACAGACTCGTTTAAAATCAAAATCAATGCTAAACCAGTAGCACAAACAAGGCGCAGCATTTTGTCTTATGTGAGTTCAATCTATGATCCTTTAGGATTTTTGTCCCCAGTTATTCTCCCGGCAAAAATCCTATTGCAGCAATTGTGTGGAAAGAAATTCTCCTGGGACGAAGACATTCCGACAGAACTCGCTCGAAAGTCACAGGAGTGGATATCGGACTTGACAAAACTACAAGGATTTACGGTTGACAGATGTTTTAAACCAGTTGGATTTGAAAAGATCATATCTGCACAACTGCATCATTTCGCAGATGCGAGTGAACGTGGGTACGGAGTTGTTTCGTATCTTCGACTCACAAATGAAAAAGGAAAAACCCACTGCTCATTTGTTCTGGGCAAGTCAAGAGTTTCACCTTTGAAACAAACAACCATTCCCAGGTTAGAGCTTACAGCGGCTGCTGTGGCTGTTAAAATGGACAAACTAATGAGAAATGAGCTACAAATGGCTCTAGAGGAATCTACTTTCTGGACTGATAGCACCACAGTGCTAAGATACATTGCAAATGACAGTGTCAGATTTAAGACTTTTGTTGCTAATCGAGTGTCACTCATCAGAGAGCACTCTGATGTCAGACAGTGGAAATACGTGAACTCAGAGTTGAACCCTGCTGATCAAGCATCGAGGGGAATGAAAGCAAGTGAGTTCCTTTCGAGCAAATCTTGGATTCATGGACCGGACTTTCTAAGTAAAGACTGTGCATTTTGGCCAGTATCACCACTAATGTCAAAGGACATTCATAATGATACAGAGGTAAAGGTGATGAGTGTTACTGTTGACATTGTGCAAGTTGATCCTGTCAGTAAACTTATTAGTCACTACTCAGATTGGCATAAGCTAAAAAAGGCTATTGCTTGGGTGTTAAGACTGAAACAGATTCTTCAGCAGAGGTCTGAAGACAGAAAAGGTTTATCACGTTTAGTCAGTGATAATACTAGGTCAAAGAAGATTCAAACTCATTTGACATTTGAAGAACTTGAAAAGACTGAGATTGAGATAATTAAATTTTGTCAAAATCAAAGCTACAAAAACGAGATACAAACTTTACAAAAGGGTGAAAAGGTCAAACGGACAAGTCACATAGTGAAACTAGATCCTTTTATGGACGATGGTGTTTTAAGAGTTGGTGGTAGGTTGCACCAATCTGCTTTACCATCCAGTGTGAAACATCCTGTAATACTTCATCAGGACCACTATGTGTCTACTCTGATTCTTAGGCACATTCATAAACAAACAGGGCACAGTGGTAGAAACATAATGTTATCTAAACTGAGAGAAAAATATTGGGTTCCCAAAGGTGATGCTGCACTCAGAAAAATATTGTCAAAATGTGTACAATGTAAAATGTTGTTGAGCAAACCTGGTGAACAGAGAATGGCTAACTTGCCACATGACAGACTTATACCAGACAATCCCCCTTTCACTAATGTAGGGATAGACTATTTTGGACCTTTTGAGGTTAAATTTGGTCGAAGTCATGTGAAGAGGTATGGTGTTCTGTTTACATGCCTTACCACAAGAGCAATTCATATAGAGGTTGCTCACTCACTTGAAACTGACTCATGCATTAATGCATTTAGGAGGTTTATAGCAAGGCGGGGTCAGGTTTTGGTAATGAGATCAGATAATGGTACAAATCTGGTGGGTGCGGAAAAGGAAATGCGTGAATCACTCAAAGGTTGGAATCAGTCAAAAATAGCTGAATCACTGAGTCAAAAGGGTATTACATGGATTTTCAATCCTCCAGCTGGGTCTCACTTTGGTGGGATTTGGGAAAGACAGATACGTTCTGTGAGGAAAATCCTTAATCAGTTACTCAGACAACAAACTCTTGATGATGAGCGTCTCCATACGCTATTTTGTGAAGTGGAGTCCATCATTAATGATAGGCCGATTACAAGAGTATCAAACGATCCTAACGACATTGAAGCGTTAACACCAAATCATTTGCTCCTCATGAAAAGAAAACCAGTGTTACCACCTGGTGTGTTCCAAAAAGAGGACTTATACTTAAAGAGACGGTGGCGTCAGGTTCAATACCTGTCTGATAATTTTTGGAAACGTTGGACCAGAGAGTATCTCCCATTATTACAAGAAAGACAGAAATGGTTCAATGCTAAGAGAAACATGAAACCAGGTGATGTTGTTCTTATAGTGGATGATAGTGCACCAAGAGGTTCATGGTTAATGGGAAAAGTTGAAAAATCTATATGTGATTCTAAAGGTCAAGTGAGAAGAGTTTTGGTGAAAACTAAAACTAATGTTTTGGAGAGACCAGTTGACAAATTGTGTCTTTTGCTTGAAATGGATGATTAATATACTTTTGAGTTTTAGAACCATACATGTGTAATGTGATATAGGTTGTAAGTTTTGTTTAGAGAGAAAAATGTTTTCTTTCGTTCTATTGTGTAATTGTTATGTCCCTGCAATAACAATTAGGGGCCGGAATGTAAGCGCCATTTTTACATGTTTATTGTATTCACATAATTTACATGTCATATTTAATATTTGATTTAATTTAGAAAATGTTATGCCGACATGATTGTAATGAGATTTGATTTGTACTTGGTTTTGGCACGCGCCATGCTCTGATGTTGTTGTTACATGTTGCTACGCAACAAAGTATATAACGGCTGTACCTTGAATAAACGAGAGATGGAGAGCAACACAGTTGTTTTACCGTCTGGTGCGACTGCATCTAACGCGTGAAAACAGGCTCAATTCATCTCATACAGAAGAGGGTAAATTAGAAACTACAAAGAAATGAACTCAAGATTAGCCTCTATAATAATAATAATAAAAAAATAATAATATTTAATATATATTATATATATATATATATTATATATATATATATATATATGTTATAAGACAATAAGAACATAGTCTTACTTTGTGAGGTCTATGAGCTCTTGCCAGTACGTCCGCAGACTGTTAAAGTAAAGAGTCTGTGCCTCTCGGCTGAAGTAATCGTTGGGGTGTTTGTGCCACTGCAGGATGGGGCTGAGGGCGCGGCCGCTCTCCACGGCGGCCTCCAGCTCACACAGAGTGTCATGAGGGAGGAGTGATACTGCGATGTAGTAGAACAACCTCTCACTCAGAGCCTGGAGCATCACAGAACACATTGTGAAAACTCAGTCACACAAAGTAAACCAAAGAGACTACATAAGTATGCGAGTATGTTAACCTGAGCACAGGCACAGCCTGCGTGGCCGTCAAATACCCCCAGTAACATTCCTCGTGTCTGCAGACATGTGGCCGCGCTGCGACGGTCTTCTATCGGAGCATTTGCTGGAAGTTGGTTACTCTCAAAACCAGCCACTGCTGACACATTCTTCCCATCAAACTCTGGAATCTAACAACATAATAATAATAATAATAATAAAAATAATAGTGCTACAATAAAACAATGTTTGAGAGCCTCATGATTAGTCCACTCACCTTGAAGCTGTACTCGTTGGCCTTCAGAATTGAGTTGACCTGAGGAGGCGTGAGAATGTAGCTGCGCAGCACAGAGCTTGACCGATAGAAACGTCTCGGTGATGTGGTGGACAGCTGGTGTTGGCATGGTAACATACAAGGAGCCAGAACTTTGACTCGCGGTAAACTCCGCAGGACCTGAGACGTCACAACCATGGCTCACGAGGCACTGGAAGTAAGAAAGACATCTTTATTTATACTGTGGACAGAACAGCCTTCACGGTCAGACACTTTGTTTGCACACCGTTTGCCTAATGGCCAACGACCGGGAAAACTACTGATGCTGAGCGAGTGGAAACACCAGCGTTATGCTTCCTCACCTAGCACCACTCATTACAATGTGACCTTGTATCAAAATGATCACCAATAATTCAAATTCAGTCAAACACATCTAACTAGTGCTTCCATATCTTGGGGAACAGTTAAGATTATCAGATGATGAAGAATCTGGAAACATAACATAGCACCCTTGTTTTCAGGTGTACCAATTTTTACTCTGTCACTGTATTTGGCAATGTATCGTACTTTATGGAGTAGATGGGACGATTATCAAATAAACAACCATTGTTCAAACATAACATAAGATTAATGAGTAACTGTTCTCTCTAAAACAATGAAAATAAAATGAGTATATGCTACAAGAATCTGTAAATCATTACTGACAGAAAGCAGCACAGAAGCCCTTCTCAAACATTTAAATCAAAGTAATTGGCATACAAACAAAAAGCAGTTGAATTTACGAATTTTGTATTTTACAGATGCAGGAGCATAATCCCAAACGTTAAGGATTAGGTTTTGTGGTGTAAGTGTTTTAAGGCCATACACCACTCTGTGTCATAGTGAACCCTGCTGCTCAGTCCAGGTTCTTAAAATAGATCTGACTAGAGTTTCAGTCCTATTTGAGTGATGGTCTGTCTGTCCATGACCTACTGAACTGGATCCAAAAGATATAACTGACCCGTTTACATAATAATATTATCATCAGGTGCAAATGTCAGCAATGTCATACAATGGACGAGGTTTAAACAGAGAATCAAATAATAATTTACATAACGCATCAAATTTAAATATCCAATATACTGTGAATGGATTGAATGTCCTTCCTGAAAAGGTTTGTGAGCGACACTGATGCATCTGCAGTCAGTATCCCTGTTATTATAGTTTATATCAGCCACACAGGAGAAAGTTGTTATGTTTGTTGACATTTAGCATTGCTCTTTAGCAGCTTGTGGTTATAAACCCGGTGACATGCCTCGGGGCAATTATCCATCAACATGAGAATGCACAAAGATGAACATAAGGGCAAAACTGTAAAGCAGACTTGAAGTGCTGCACTATTGTGTTTTTGAGGATGTTCTGTGCAGTTATAGATCCGAGGAGGTTTCAGGCTAAAGCTAATGTTGTCCCCACGCCCACTGCTGAGCGCACGGGCGTTTCCATTACTTCAACATGTAAAACATCACATTTATGCAAAACATTCACAAACTGCGTCTTTACGGGGGTCTGGGAACTCACCTGGTCACCTTAACCTGACGGACACAGAGCTGTAAAGTTCATGGCTTCAGAGCGGATTGTGGTCTGTGTGGTTCAGGACAGACGAGAGCCCGCCCATTGGTCCAGCCGGCTCTGCGTCAGACACGTGGTCCCATCCATGTGCCCAGCCAGGGGCCCAGCCAGGGGCCCAGCCTGCAGGGGTGTCATAGATCCATACATAGACATATAGAGAGGATGGATCCATATGTCAAACTCATTTTGGTCAGGGGCCGAATAAATAAAAAAAGGAACTAGTCGGGGCCCAAAGAATAGAAGGGATTTCCTTTTCTTACAATTGTTTTTATGAAGGGATTTTGACATGACTTTTTTCATGAAAACAAAATGAGTTAATTGTTTAGAATTATCCAATACGGGACCAAACATTGTACTATATTTATTTTAAATCGAATTCAATTAAGTTGCTTTCCTGAGAACACATGTTGCTTAACATGCATTGGTAGCCCACTACCATCAATGCTGCAAGTTAATATTAATAATTGGAAATCATATAGGGGCCACTAAAAATTGTCTTGCCGGCCAGATCTGGCCCACAAGCCTGAGTTTACTACTACTACTAGTGCTGCTACTCCCACTACTGCTACTATTACTCAATAACTATTATATCATCTTCTAGTCTAAATTGACTTATTATCTGTAGACAAAATAGACCTTTAAAATTAGTTCACTTAATTGTACATCAATCGATTCTTCTCAGTCTGTTAGTGGTCCTTCCTGCTTATGAAAGCCTGCTGTTGGCAAATCCTAATAGCTAAATAGAGCAAAGTCTGGTTAGCACCGTGATGAGAAACGTCTGGGAACTACAGGTGTCAAGGTAGCATGTCAAAATGAGGCAAGACATTTCACCTGCATTAACTAATATAAGCACCTGTGGCTGCAATAGTATTTATCACCGTTGTGTATGGATGGACTGAATAATGGTTCACATGATACATGGTATTGTGAACCATGTGAACTCAATTTTTCCTTACCGATGCAGGAGGGTCTGAGACTGTTGGTGGATCTAACAAAAAGGTCCTCTGAGACAACTACTGTTGTGATTTAGGGCTATACAAGAATACATTGAATTGAATTGAATGTGAACAGTAAAAGGACCAGTTTCTGTTTTAAAGCCAAGTTCATTGAAACGTCCTCTGCACTTCCATCCTCACACAATTATATAATGAACAATCATAACACATTGCGTTCCGCAAGGAGTTTTTTTATAGTAAAAAGAAAAAATACAAAATATGTATGTACAAAGCATTAAAAAACAGATTAAAAAAACAATTAAAACATCTCATACTATACAAGATAATGTATCACACTTTATATAAGAAATCGTTCATCCACGAGCGTCTTATTTGCAAGATTCTTTCGTCCAAGCGCATTACGAATAAACCTGAATATCTTGAAGCAAAACAAAAAGACATCATTAGATTTAAATGTATTATTGCATGACCTCAGAGTTAAACTTGTGATTGTTACCATTTGCTGGATGTGGGTGAGAATAGCCGCCAGCACAAAGCTCTGAGATCCCAGGTCCACCACACAGAAGAACAATGTGTCAAATATCAGCAGTGTGGCTTCATTTCCATAAAACAGCAAGTCACTGAAGGAATGGACCTCATCTGAAAACATAACACACAATTCTAAACAATAGACCAATAGAATAGATTGTAAAGGAAGTAAGTGATCTTAAGTGTACCTAACTTTCAAACCACAAAATCCACCTTACTACAGCAGTTCCTTGCGGTCCAAACGGTTTCGTTTTTAGCATGTCACGTCTTTATGCTTTTTTCGGACAGAAGAGTGAAAACAGAAAGGACCAAACTCACTCAACCAATCAGCTCTAAGCCCAAAGCTCCTTATAGTGACTCCCAGGGCTCTTTCTTACAACTACTGTATGTAGATTAGAGAAAATGTTGTGGTCTGACTTGAAAAATGTTTGATACCCCAGCTTTAAAATCCACTTTGATTCTGCCAATTAACACATAGTGGCTTGTGTTGTCTGCTGTGTTATTGATTTCATTGATTTAAATTATTTTACAGCTTTTAGTTATATTATTTATCTATTCATATTTTACTGATTATGGACTTGGTTCTTATTATTCTAGCAGTGATAACATTGAAGGTAAAAGTCACTCATTTGTATCCATTTTAAATGAAAAACTTTTACCTTTACTTCTATATGGGATCCATTTTTGACCTTGTGTCAAAACTATTGTCTTTGAATTTGGTCTCATCCTGGAGAGCACCTGTTTGCTTACAAGAGCTCACACAGAGGACCCTGCAGGTCTCACCTTTCTCACGTTTTAGCTCCTTTTTGACTATTAAATACATTTCCATTGTGAAGTGGATTGGGTTGAAAAGACACTAGGTGATACACGGTGCAATTATTGTTACTGTTCATTTTATTGTATTTTATTATTAACTGTAATTATATATGTATGTATGTATGTATATGTGTGTGTATGTATGGATACATGTATGTATGCATGTATGTATATACATGTATGTGTGTATTTAATATATTTGCTTATAACTTATTTCAATATATTGAATTAACATAGGGAAGAGGGTTAGGATTTAATAAGCTTTGGCTTCTTTGTTTTGTTCTTACTTTTTTTCTTATACATTTATTTGATGTTCAAATAAACAGACTCAATTTAGGGGCGTGGCCAAATATACAAATCGTACAATACTAGAAGATATCGCCAACTGCTGTATCGATATCTCTATGTTTTTTAGGTATATATATAGTTTTTTCATTATCAGTGAGAGGGTGCACATAATTACTTCCTCTGTAGAAGCAAGTGACTACTCCGTAACTGAATAAAAGAAATATAAATGAGTGGCTAAAGTAGTCATTTCTGACAATACAATGGCCTTTAACAAGGAGGTGTCATTAAAAAAAGGTTGGGAAAATATTATAGGGTGCAAAGTAAGTCATAACTACTTTCCCTCTTGTCCAGGACTCCCTCCAAAAAGAGGTTCTCATTCTCAATGGGACTTTCCAGGTTAAATAAAGGTTAAATAAAAGCACTGCATTGGGAGAGAGCGCATACACCGCCAACACTACAGATGATCTCACCGTTGTAGAAGATACTTTTGTCATTTGGTTCGAGAAATTCCATCCCAATCACACGCTCAAGCATTAGTTTGTCTCGTAGAATGTAGTCCAAAGCTGGGTGGGCCTGTGGTAAAGATGAAACAAATAGATTACATTCATAATAGGGTTGTTAAAATCTAATAATCCAGTATATAATAATAAAATATGAAAACTCATAGTAAGTATCAATAGTTACAAATACTGTATACAGACAAATTTGGTTTAGTTTAAAGGAAGAATCTGATAAATATTATAACTTTGATAAAAGTTGGTGCCATAAAGTAGTATTATGTTGTTTTTGGTAATAAATGACAGATTCTTGCTCGGAAAATATCACTTGAATCATTGTCTTTGTGTTGAGTCTACTCTTTAGCAGAGAAATGTGGCAGTACAATATGCACGTATGTAAACGATGGAGGGAGGGACTGACATGGTCGATAACAGCTCCCAGGAAGTGATTCATGGTGTTGTAAGCTTTGGTGTACTGCTCAAAGTGGTTTCCGGACGATGTATCCAACAGTCGGGCTGGTCTGTATCTCTGGGGAATAAGAGAATACATTTGAAATAAAAATATGCACAAAAAACATGTATGGAGAAAAGATGATTGTTCAGACCCGGTTGAGCGGCTCTCGTATCCGGTCGTATTGATTTCGCAACGGGATTGTGAGCGCGACCTGAAACGTCTGAGTGTCTGTGTTGGGGAGCAGACCCCTTTGACCACACAGGGACTCCTGACAAAATAAGAAACATTAACAAAAGTGATGACTTTTCTTGGTGGGAAATAAATACTTAAAGTAGTGGTACACCACTAAAACTGCAATTATGACACAATAATTAATCACAATCAAGTTTAAATTGCAGTTTTAGTTGCCGATTTGGTAAGCTAATTGCAAAGGCTGCAACTATGAATTGTAAATGTAATTCTTGGATTCGTTATTTTTCTCAGTTTTTTATACCAAATCTGAAGACATATGGTGACAAATGGTACAGCCCTACATTCCACCTGTAATGTAATCAAATTTGGTTTTTCTGACTGTGTAAACATGTATTCTTAAAGATAAAGGCGTATTATATTTCCACCTCAAGCCCATGTCCAGCTAGGAAACACAATAACAAAAACTTTAAAAACTAGGGAATACATTGAGTCAAACCTTAATCAATCTGAATACGATTTTTGTGAAATTAGAAGTCATACCTGTCATTTAGGAATCTATTGCCAATTGTAAATAGTAATAAAAAAAGAAACACACAGTTAAATACGCACCCCTTCTCTTTTTAGATTGTTGTTCATTTCCTCCATGTTTGTATCGGCGTGACCATGAACTGAGCGTCCGTGAATGTAGTAACCAAAACACCGGTGGGATAAGAGCAACACTGATATCTGTATGAAGAAAGTATATATATTTATAAACATTTAGCAAATTTTCTACATAAAACATGAAGTAACTCGACAAAGGATTCTACGCACATTACTGATGGAGCAGAGGTCTACAAACTGTCTGATTTTGTCCTCAACAAAGCACTCGTAGAAGAGAGAGAAAAAGATCACTTGAAGGAGTCCAATGCAGAGCCACAGTGCAGTAGTGACGGCATAGCGCAGGATCAGGCTGTAGGACGGAGTATACGCCTGCGGGGGGCGCTCTAACAGAGGCGACGGGTCCCTGAGGGCCAAGTTTGAGAAGCCCAGCACCTACAGGCAGGAGACAGGAACATGGAAGTCATAACGTCACACTGTTAAAAAAATACACACTTGTACCGTGCTGGTTAGAGGTATACTTATGAATGCCCATATTTTTGAAACAAAACTTTTTCCAATGAGAACTGCTTAAATTAATCAAATGCCCACATTTGTAAAGCGCTTTGTGACTCTCCTCTGTGAAAGGCACTATGTAAATAAAGCTTGCATACTTACTTAATCAGAAACGCAGTCTTGACATTAATTGATATTTGAAAAACCTTTTTAGGGAACCAATAAGTTTGATACTTTGACATGAAGTAATTAATTAATTGCAATCTTTCAGCTCCTCAAGATATGTTCAGTTTTGCATTCTTTACATGATTAGTAAACTATGACAAATCTCAAGACTTTTTCACAACACTCAGATTAAATTCCAGAAACTTTTTACACTGTGAGAAGCTGTAACTTGCCTTCCTTCAAGCTAGCTGAGTAACTAAAGAAAAAGGCTTATTATTTGCCCTTTACCAAGTAGCTTTTTGAAAAGCCAGATCTGTTTTGGTGCAACAGAAATAAAATGTCACCCCTTCTTAAGCAAATCTTTACAAATGTACTGCCAATTACAAAACATGTTGAAGATTGTAGCTCAAGGAGTACAACTTTTTGATACATGTTAAAAATGGAGATATGTTTTTACAAATGGAGTTTTCATATATTATGTTGATTTTTCAAATCATTTGATGAATCAAAACATTTCATGGAAAATCAAAACTTAAATTAGTTTCACAAAAGTCCATATGAAACATAAAAAACAGACAACTAAAGTATAGAGAAGGATACAGTAATTATGAATATTATAACAAACAAAGGCTGGATCACTTTGCGTTATGAGTTTCAAATATTAATTTCACATTTAATTTCACAGTTGAATAACAGTAGTACATGGATTTCTCATGATATTCTAACTTTCCGAGTTTCACATGGATATTGGGTGAAAAATATGAGAGATGACACTTGCTCTTAATAAGACCACAGTAGTAGCAGTAGTGCTGGTAGTGGTAATACTATTACCAGTAGTAGTAGTGGTAGCAATATATTATTTACCTCAAGAAAGAAAAGCACAGCCATGATTTGAAACGTGGGGCAAATCTTTCGAATAGTCTGGATTTCATTCCATTCATTGGCCACAAAGTAGGTCCTCCAGATGCTTACAGGGGCGGGATCTCGCTTCACATCACTACCAGCTGTGTAAGAGAAAATGTGGGAGAAGCAGTTATATACATTTATTTTGTTTTGTCATTGCAAACACTAAATATTCAGATTGCAAGGAGACCAAGGCATGGACTAAAAATGATCCATTCGACATAAAGTCCACTATACCTTGGCTGGTTCTGGAGGCACTTTGATTGCGGGGCCTCTCCCAATCGATTAAGAACATGTCCACAGACAACTGTAGGGTCAATTTGTGAAGAAATTGAACTCCCTGAACACAAAAACATACATATAAAGTGAGTAATAAGGGTCAAATGAGTGCGTCTTGACTGAGTAGAATTTGTTATATACCTTCAGTGCGAAGGCACAACCGATGTATGTGACAAACTGTTCCTCTTGAGCCGGAAGTGGTAACAACACAGAGACAAACTGCTGGGCCTGAACCAAAGACAAAACAGAATGAAAAATCCAGAACTGCGGCTTAAGCAAGTAAATAAAAAACACAAAGAAGAGAAGCAGAAAAGACTTGCCTTTAAAGTCTGTAAAGAGGAAAGATCATCGATAGTCCCAAAGGAAAAAATCCGTGAAAAGAATAAAGGCAGATCAGAATGATGGGAAAGCGACAGATGAAAAGGTGGAATAGATGACCACAGGGCATGCAAAGAAAAAACCCTCATTATAAAATTGCATCTACAGTTGGAACAAACAGAGCCCACTGTTCAAATCAAATATCATCAGGAGCATATACGATTTTTTATTTATTTCTGGCCATTATAAATGAAAACGACCCATTTACTGTGAATTATTATCTTAAATGGAAAATATGTTGTGGAACAAGTATTATAAATAATGCTATCGACCTGATCTATTCCTATGCTACCACCAGAGAGAGGCAGATTTTTTTTTTGTAATGTCATAGTGATACAATTACATTATACTATCATACTACAGACATGAGCAGATGTCTAGACAGATGGGGCGGAGTTACACGTTTGTGCTCGGCATTCCTGACATTAGCGTGGAGGCCTATAAAAACAAATCCAGGTCTTGTTTTGATGAGAGAACAATATCATAAAAAACATGGTTAAAAGCTCAAAGCTCGATATATAGCAACTAATAAGGCTTTATCATTTATCTTAAAAAACAAATAATTCAAAGCAACTTTTGCCACATAATACTTTTTGCGCACGCCAAATGAAAATCAATGTAAAAATGCAAAAACAAAAATTGATGCGTCTTGCGAGAATCTTGTTCCTACTGAGGACCTTCTCTTTAGCTTTACTTGAAACTATGTCAGCGGGAGTATTTTGAGTTACTAATTAAGTTTTGGGTGATTGATATTTTGATTGTTTTGTTGCTTTAAAGTGACATACATGCCATGTTTGTGCATCTTCACTTGTAGAACAGTCTTGTGGTAATGACTCCCACTCGTAGCTAGAATAGGCCTCAATAGATTTACTCTTGGTTTGTTTGTTCCAACAGTAAAAGAAATTAAGATGGCAGAACTCTCAAACAAACCACATGATGAATGAATTATACTCTGGCGTTTCACCTTAAAAAATATCAGCCAATAAAGTCCAGTTCCAACAGTAACGGCAAAAAAAACATTTGCCAAATCTCCGGCATAGAACAACAAAAACTTGAACACCGTCTGCATAAAGAGAAAAAACAATATTAATTAATCTCTTCATCTTGATAGATAACAAAGACGTTCCATACCCCAGCATCAATGAGCGAAGAGCCAATCCTCCTCTTCCAGCTCACGGTTTTCAACAATGAATACAAGACCGCGACGCCGCCCAACACGCCGAGAGCCGTCTGCAAACAAAGTCATGTCAGAAATGGAAACAGCACAGAGCTATACATCGTTTTCACTTACATTCATTTTCAAGTTGGATTCAATCTGGTCCATCTCATATTGGACTGAAAAAGAAGTCTAGAAACAAAGGGGGAATTTCTGTCATTATCAATCAATCAACTTTTATTTGTTGCGTGCAAAAAAAGGCAACACAAAGCGCCTCACAACCCCCAGCCCATATCACATCAAGCATAAATCATAGATATAAAAATCTAAATAAACATTGAAAAATACAATTAAATTTTACAATTAATACAAAAACCTCTTCACTACCACATGTGGGAACAAAAGGGCATCACTCACCTACGCCACTTATTCAAAAACAATAAATTCATAACATTCACGGAGCTCAGAGAACAATATCAACTTGACAGCAATAATATTTTTCAATACCTACAAATTAAATCTGTAATTAAAAATAAAATTAACATAAAATATAACACATTAAACCCATCCCAACTATTCGAAAACATAAAGAACATTAAAGAAATTAAAAAACTCACCTCAAAATTATACCGACATTTCAACTCTGATACAATACATTTACCTACAGAAAAATGGAACATAGATCTTAATACAGAACTCACACAGGAACACTGGACAGAAGCTTGTAAAAACATCTTTTCTATGACACCCAACACCAATCTGCAATTAATCCAATATAAAGTCATACACAGGTCACACATCACACAACACAGGATGCATAAAATGGGACTAGCAGATACAGCCATCTGTTCACAATGTACTATGGGGGCCACTGATACCTACCTACATGCACTTTGGGAATGCACTCCTGTACAGGCTTTTTGGAACACTATCACACAAGAACTCTCACAATCCTGAGCTGCAGAGTCCCTTTACTTCCCTCGCTTTGTTTACTAGGTCTCACTTCAACAACAACAATACTGCCTAGACAAAGAACAGTCTACTCACATCCCTAACTGTCGCCAAGAAAATAATACTCCAAAACTGGAAAACAAAACACACAATCAACATCAATCATTGGACCAACTCTCTTACTCAATACATAACATCCTCTCAAATAGCAGCTCGCCATGATGATGACATGACTTCCTTTACATACTCCTGGTCACCATTCATTAGTCATTTTGACATCAACCCCAATAATTTCTCAACATCAATTTAATCCCCAACACCCAACCACAAATTAATATACCAAAGAGACTAAAAGTGCTACTCACATTCTTATAATCCTTCACATATAAACAGACGTACATACACAACTGCACACACATGCACGCATACATTCACTCTCGCACACCCTCTCCAAATAGATAAGTTAAAATCAGTTACTATTACTATTTATATATGAATTTAGGATCATTTATTTCCAAATATTTATTTATTTGTTTACTTACTTCCTCACGTCGCTGTTGTTGTTGTTATTGTCATTATTGTTATTATAATTGTTATTATAATTATTATTATTATGATTTACATTTCCTCTCTCACTTAAATTGGATATCTGAACAAACTATACACATTATATCCAAGATTACAATCAGGTACTGGGAAAGAAGGAAAGAAAAAGAATATATATAGCGTTGTGTTTATAAAATAAATGAACAAATCAAATATACATAACATAGAGAACAACAGGGCAGACAAGAAGTGGGCCCGATGTGGGGTATCTCCCACCTCATCGGCCCCACAAATTTCTTGTTTTTTTAATGCACCTCACAGGACTGACAAGAGGACAAGCAGGGCCTGTTGAGTGAGCCCGTCTCACAGCACGCTCTGCTTTTCATTATTATTATGATTTGTTTGTTTGTTTTTGTTAATATTAATTATTGATTTATTATTATTGTCATTTATTCTACTATTATTATTTTTCACCAAAGCCCAGCAAGATAAAATTAGCAATGGGTAATGATTGTGGCAATGACGATGATAATAGTGATAGCGATGATGATGTGTATATATATAAACCCCTTTTTTTATTTTTATTTTTTATTAGTAAAATATATAGACTCATTTGACCACATTCGACATAGCACCTATGCACCCCTGCATTGCATACACATTCACATACATATACAGAAACTCCGCAAACCAAGGCAGAACTGAAACAATAAAAAACGCAACCCGAATAATTTTATTTTATTTTTTTTACTCTCCCCCTCCCCCCCAACCCCTCCCACCTTAACACCTACTGTATTTGTAAACCGTATATATTAGATTTCGAATATAATTTTGTTTTATTTCTTTCTTTTATGTTTTCATTCTTGTAATTGTATTAAAATGTAATAAAGTTAATAAAAAAAAAAAGAAAAATACAATTAAAGTCCCAAATTAAAAACATTTAGATCACAATATAAAAAATGTAAAAAATTAAAATCAGACAAGTAATTAAAAACATTAAAATATTTAAATCACACATGGTATTAAAATCATCAATTTGTAAGTGCCTTTGACAGATTAAAGTCATTTTATAAACAAGCAGGTAAGGGTTTCATATATCAGATTATACTAGAATGCAATGACAATGTGTTTGTTAAGCCGAGGATTGTGTTTCTGAGGAATTAAAGGTAAAGGTGCACTTTATTGATCACCGTAGTGAAATTCAACCCTCTGCATTTGACCCATCCTGATGCCGCGAAGGCTTACGTCAGGAGCAGTGGTCGCCGTAGTACAGCGGGAACCCATCTCCAGATGTTGATGCTCGACTTGGTCAGGACCACAGGAGCTGGAGGATTTAACCTAGTGTGCATGTTTTTAGTGGTAGGGGAAACCGGAGTACCCGAAGGAAACCTACACAGACACGGGGAGAACATGCAAACTCCACTCAGAAAGACCCTGAGTTCCACGCTGCCACCGTGCCGCCCAACAGAGGAAAACTGTCTATTCGCCAGTTCGACAAATATTTCAGGTAAGCAATTTTTCACTGTAAAATCATCAAACTAAAGATTCTTTGTAGAAATAAAAAAACAATGGACCGTAAGAACTCTATTGTAACGCATTATAAATCGTTTTGAGTGAATTGGTGTTTACAATTTTTATTTCAATTTGGAAATATAAAGCATTATAAGGAAGGGATGCACGATACAGATGTCGAACAGTAAAGGTTTTTCAGCTTTTTTTATTAATATGAAAAACTCAAACCACACAAACTGATTATTTAAGTTGTGTGGTTTGAGGACAATTATCAGTGCTATCGAAAGTCAAAGTATCAACGTAAGTATTGAAATCAACAAACTTGTGTGTTTTAACTAAACACTTTTTTGGATCTAAAATAATAATAATACTTACGGTCACTGTTTGTGTGTCGATGTCGGTGACGGGAACATCGTTGTAGGTCACAGAAATCAGAGGAGGAAACACCTGCCCCTCCTGAGTCCGAGGAACAAGCTGAAATCTGATCCACAAACAAAATCGATAAACTACAAACCCAGATGCTACATTCTACAGTTTGTGGCTCACTCGTGTCCAAACTTACTTTATGGTCAGACTTTTTATCACACGGATCACTTTGGGGATGGCATTCAAGTTCTTCTCACGTCCACTTATCGCATCCACCAAAAACAAGCGCCGAGACAGATACCAGTTTTTCATGCTTTCTGTTAGAAGAGACAACAAAAACTGATGAAACTGTGGTTCTGATAAATTATAGTCCGACAAAGTAAACCGAGAACTACCTTGGTTGATGAATCTTCCGTTATACTGTTGGTTGTTGACCAGTGTGGGTAAAGGAAGAAGCTTCTTGTTCTCATCACCTCCAAGATCCATGAAGACATCGTAGAACAGAGGCTCCGGGTGAGAAGTCAGCAGCTCTTTGATTGAGAGTGTACACTGTCAAAAAGGTAAATGAGGATGAAGTCAGCTGGTGAAGAATACTTTATTGTCCCAGTAGGGAAAACTGTCCGCTGCATTTGGCCCATCCTTCTATGCCACAAGGGCAATCCTAATTGATAGAAATAGTTGCATCAATGCATTTTACCATTGTGGTGCACTAAGATCCAGATATTAAAATCTCCCAATATTCCCCATAACACACTTGCTGTAATTTTCGGATCCATTAAAATTATTATTTGGAAGGGTGACAGTGGCTCAGTTGGTAGAGCATTGGCATCTAGGCCTGAGGGTCGTGAGTTCGGTCCCACCTCAAGTATTTATGTATGTTGCATTCGAGTTCAAACATTAAAATGTGTAAAGAATGAATTGTACATTTTTCAGCTTTTGACTTGGAGGGGAATAGCTCTTTTGATGATAAAAGGTCACCAACTCCTGCACTAGGGAAGTGGTTGCCATAGTGCACCACCTGCAGATCCATATTCAGATGATGATGCTCGGCATGGTCAGGACTACAAAGAGGATTTGTACCTATGCATTATAAAAATAAAAATTACTTACAATGGGGTATGGGGTAGTGAGGAAACCGGAGTACCCCGAGGAAACTCACATAAACATGGGGAGAACCTACACAAGTTGGTCATTGGCTGAAGTGAAGGGAACTCAGCTAGAAAAGAGTTTACTTTGTCCAACCTCTTTTCCAAACAGTTTATTTCTGTTTATATTGTGTCCTTGTTTATTGTTTTCATTTTGTACCTTGTTTATTATTTATAGTTTGATTTTGAATATGTTTGAAATGAAATTCTTTTGTACATGCACCGAGTGGTTGTGCTCAAAATATACTTACACTTTCTTGGTACGATGTCCCAAAATGAAAAGCTGCTGCATGTCTGACCGTAGTGTCTGGACAAAGCTGAAAGATGGAAGAGTCCACAGGTCAGTGTGTCTCCAGTTTGTTTGTAACGCCAAAATCTGTTGCTAAGAAAGTCGTCACCTGCAGATTTCCTGGACTGATCTTTTCCCATCTGATGAACTCTCCGCGTACATCATAAACAGCAGCGACCAAATTAATTGCAGTAAACTGTAAAAGTGCATAGTAAACATAAGATTAATCCAATTTCATTCTGATCGGGAATTACAAGTTGCCAGGTTGTGATAATACCTTGTCTTTTCCTCTGAAACTGAATCCAAAGGGCACAGGATTTGTCTGAAGCACTCTGACCGCCAACCCTGGCTCTTCTCCGTAGTAAAGCCAGGGCAAGTTGACTCTCCTGAAGATGATGAAGAATGGTTTTGTCAAATAAATTACAGTGAGATACTGAAAAACACAATTTTTATCTGTCCAACTTTGTTTCTAGCTCTCAGAACCGTTTGGTGCTATCCCTAGTTCTATTTCGTCCCTCCTGACCGCCAGAGGGCAGTGCATAGCACTGAATGTTCCCTTTGCGGATGCGCAGTTCGAGTAGTAATACCAAATGAGTCACAGCTGTGATCCCCTGGATGACGCCCCGGAGTTAATACAGTCCAGCGTCATCCAGCCCTCCAGGCTACCATAAGAGAGACTTATTCTGTTTTTTTTAAGGGAGAATTTATTTTGGTTTTATCCGAAATTTGAAAATTACAAGTAGCAAGCACGACAGCTATTTTAGAGAACATAATTTAATCTGAGAAATTTCCAAAACAAGACATGACTGTCTTGTTTTGGCAAAAAATTTTGTTTAAAAAGGAAGAAAACTTCTGCAATGTCATAATGAAACACTTTTACAGGAGGCAGGACTCTGTTTTAGTAACATGGGTAAAAGCTTGATTTTCAACAACATTTATGTCATCTGCCCCTTATGGACCAACACCAATGTGTTTTCTAACATTGCGTTTATTGTGTTTGAACTGTATATTCACCAGTAGGAGATGTCGTAGTTTGAGCTCAGCGCTGCTCTGGATCTGAAGATGGTGTTGAAGAGTCCACAGGCGTCAGTGCTCACGCCGCTGAAGGTGTGCATGTTCAGAACACACATGTTCCCCAGAGCCTGGCACGCCGTCACGTTAGAGAAGACCTGCAGAAGCAAGACTCAACGTGAAGACCCTACAGCATCTCCTTCAGTATGTCTTTTACCCAGAACAGGCATTATTATTATTCATATATAAATTTACATGTTACATTTTTAGTGAGCCTTTAAGTGAACAGATGAACAATTACACAAAAAATGGTGAAGATGTCCAAAAACGCATTAAACAAACTGATACATTATCATTATTATTTATTTATATTATTCAACAAAACATTATAATACATTTTAATAGTAGATAATAGTAATAATAATAATAGACAGTATATGGCTGAATATGCTACAGATAATTAAAATGGGTCAAGTCCTGTTGTAAAGAAGTGTCCACTTTACCAGACAGGCCGCTGCAGAAGAGTAGAGGTTTCTGACAAACCAAGCCGAATGCACATTTATTTTCTGCAACAGAAATTGGACATTTATCATCACCTCAATTAAAACCTCAGCAATTAAAGCTTTGGGAAGAATGGTACATAAAACATACTCATTGAAGAAATAGGAATACTCTGCCCTTTTTTTCTTTTTTTTTTAAATTTTCTTTTCTTTATTTACTTTGTTTTTTAACTCTTTCAATGTTTGTATTAAATCACTTTATATTAGCAAATTCCCTTTGTTAACAAGATGATATCACTGTAATATCACATGTGAAGATGTCTTTATTTATTATGCCCTTGACACAATGTAAAGTGATTGTCCTTTTGTATTCAAAAACAATAATAAAAAAACCCCAAAATACATACAAATGTGATGATTCATATAAGTGATTATACATGTAAGTATATGTAACTATTATACAATTCACAAAATAATTATAATGTAAAAGTTAAACTGACCAGCTGAGCAAAGTTCACACTTGGATTGACGTTTGTTGGGAGACTTCCGGGTGGAAAACATAATCCTCCAGACTGCAAAAAGCATATGAATGCAGATACTCCGGGATAATGACATAATTATAGAATTGTAGTTTAGAGATGATTTTATTTTGTCACACTCACGAGAATCCCAGGAGACCCACATGTGCAGGAGGTATTCGTGAACGAAGCCTGACATCTCTCACACCTAAACACAATCACATAAAAGTCAACAAAAACTACAGTGGATATAGCTGATAGAATCATATGGGAGAGAACTGGTTTATGGTTGTTCTGTGATGACTGGCTTGAGCTAAATTGCACAAACACTCCAAATCTATTCAGTCCATCTTATCGTAGTCTAAAAAACTAACAGTAAGACATTTTCCTTTAAGCCATGAGCAATAGTGGGTCCCATAGCCTGAAATTCTCCTCTATATCCATTGAACAACCTGGACAATACATTGTTGGCATCACAAAACTATCAAACCGTGAACATTCAAAACTGTTGAGTTTTGATCTTATTACCAAACTTTATGAAAAGGGTCCATTCACCATTCAATAAACAAAGGTGAGTCAAGATAAAAATGCTATAACGCTTAAATACACAACGAATGAAAAATCTAATCCCACTGGTGGATTATTTTACACATAATTTTAGAAATATTTAGAAATAAATCCATCCATCCATCCATTTTCTACCCTTTAATCCATTTCTGGGTCAGGGGGGTGGCAGTCAGAGATGCCACCCAAGTCTCATAGCACCAGCCCCTCACTGACCCTCTGCAGGTGGTGAGTCCACAGGAGGACGGCTGCTCTCTGACTGTGAGCATAGCCTTGATCTTTCAGTGGGGGCTTTGGGCAAAGTGGGGTTAAGTGTCTTGCCCATGGACACAACGACAGCAGTCATCAGTGGGAGTCGGTGGAGAAGGTGCAGAGGTGGGAATTGAACCCACAACCTTCTGGGCTTACAGAAGAAATATATAGATACATATATTTATTTATAGAAATAAATGTAATCTATTTATATGTTTTACACCCTGCACATAGTAAACTAGTCTTGGAACATTTTTAAGAAACATTGAAATCATAAACTAATCATTTCAGAATATGTCAGCAATGTTTATATTTATATTGTATCTACTGTGAACAGTCATTTTCTTTTCAATCAAGTGTGACTTTTAGGATATTTTTAACTATAGCATAACAAGATATCCATCTATAGGAATTGAAGTCTTTGGAATTATATGCTATTGCGACGAGTTAACAAGTGAATTACATTTATTAACAATTCATCTTGCAGCCCATATTGATTGCATATCACTCAATTAGTAAATAGATATATATATTGTTGTCATAATAAATGTCTTTCGTACCTGTCTCCATTGATGTTAGGGGCAGCAGAGGCTGGTTTGCTGCCATTACACATCTCACATTGGGCTTGCTCCAAAATGTTCCCTGCCAGATCTCTTTCAACTGGAAAAATGAAAAGAAAGACACTTTATTTTGCACTACTACGCAATTATGAATGACATTCTTACCAAGGACACTGCCCACCGGACATGTACAAAACCCCTCGTCACTCACACTGCCTGGACAGCGAATACATCCAAAACCATCCTTCGTTACGGCCTGCATCACAAAAAACACAGTGAAATAAATGCTTTACAAAATGTACTCATTATCATGTACGTATAAGATACTCACCAGTTTATCTGCAGGACACTTCTGACACAGTATGGTCGACTTCTCAGCAATAAGTGCAAAAAAACCAACTTTGCAGACGCAAGAAAGACCTACGAAAGATTGTTATTCTGTCACACTGATTAGTAATAATACGTGCACAATGCACATGTAGTGTTTCTGATTAGAGGGTTCTAAACACACAACTCTCCATGGAGTTGCTATTATTTGGCCTGAAAATACAATACTATTTGGATTTAGCAATCTCTGTATGGGCGGCACGGTGGCTGAGTGGATAGCACTCTCGCCTCTCAGCAAGGATGTCCTGGGTTCAAATCCCGGTTGGACCAGGGCCTTTCTGAGTGGAGTTTGCATTTTCTCCCCGTGTCTGCGTAGGTTTCCTCCGGGTGCTCCGGTTTCCCCTACCACTAAAAATACGTACGATAGGTCTCGCATGTGCCTCCTGTACTGGCACCCCCACTCCCAAAAATCACAATTGTAAACTGCTTTGAGACTCCAATGTGCAGTGAAAAGGCGGTATATAAATAAAGATTACTGTAGAAAGAAGATACTGCTCAAAGACAAAGCAATGTATTTTCACAGATAAAATCCAGTGAAATTGAATAAGTGAGGCTACTCCACCTCTGCTGCTGTGACCTGTCCTGCTCCACCCAGAGGCTACTCCATCTGTGCTGCTCTGACCCGTCCTGCTCCACCCAGAGGCTACTCCATCTGTGCTGCTCTGACCCGTCCTGCTCCACCCAGAGGCTACTCCACCTCTGCTGCTCTGACCAGTCCTGCTCCACTGAGAGGCTACTCCACCTCTGCTGCTCTGACCAGTCCTGCTCCACTGAGAGGCTACTCCACCTCTGCTGCTCTGACCAGTCCTGCTCCACTGAGAGGCTACTCCACCTCTGCTGCTCTGACCAGTCCTGCTCCACCGAGAGGCTACTCCACCTCTGCTGCTCTGACCAGTCCTGCTCCACCCAGAGATTACACCAGCTCTGCTGCTGTGACCTGAAGGACTGTTGCTGATTATTACTATTGTTATATTTTTTTAGAATTCTCAATTTTAATGTTTCTGCTACTGGACACCTGAATTTCTCCTACGGGGATCAATAAAGTATCTATATACATTTCAATCCCTAAATTATTTGCACAATAATTTAAAAATAACTATCTACTTGAGATATCCCTGACACAAGTTCAAAGCATTCTAACAACTTTAAGACAGCGCCGCATGGACTATAGAAAGATGAATAATTGGGATTATTGATTACCCATTAAAATTTGAATAGGAAATAGAGTAATGTGTCAACATGCAACGAGAAACAGGACACAATTGACCCAATTTGATTTGTTCTATTCTACAAACCAACACTTTATGCATTTGTAGTGCAACTACATCGAGATACAATTTAGACTTTAGTATTTCCATATCCACAAAACATACTGAAATATTCAGCGTGATAGTTTTATGTATTTTATGAATGTTTAGCTGTAGAAAACAAACCAGTGCTGCTTTGGCGCTGGTCTGAGCCACATTTCGCGCAGTTAAGCGCAGATATGTCGTAAAACTCCTCCGGCCCGCAGTGCTGCGGCTCTTTGAACGGTATGATGTATTGCTGGCAGTTTACGTTGAAGTTTAGGAGAAAAATAAAGCCAAATATGAAGGAAAACGAGGAAACAGATGGCCGCGTCCCCGTCGCCATGGTAAACAACGCTCTGCTCGCAGTCACTTCCGCCGGAAAAGCCATAAAACGCCCCCCCTCTGGTCCGGCGAAGAACTGCTCACCGTACACTCACCATTCAAATGTATTGTCTGAGCGCATGAAACTGCCTTTAAACAAATTCTAACGGCACCTTGCCCTAGCATTAAATAGAGCCTACCTGTGTGCAATCTATTCTTGGTATAATTACAGCTGTTCTGTGTTAAACAGCATCATGAAGGAAAAAGCGCCATATTTAATAATAATAATAATAATAATGCATCGGTTTTATATAGCGCTTTTCTGGACACTCAAAGACGCTTCACATGTGTCATTATTCATTCACTCCATACACGGTGGTGATAAACTACTGCTGTAGCCACAGCTGCCCTGGGGCACACTGACAGAAGCGAGGCAACCAGTATGCGCCATCGGCCCCTCCGACCACCACCAACCATTCATACACACACCAGACTCATTCTAGGCAATGGGGGTGAAGTGCCTTGCCTAAGGACACAACGGCAGTTTGGCACTTTACAGCCGCAGCCGCCCCACTGTGGCTGGTGTTCCCAGAGGTTAAGTGTCTTGCCAAGGACACAACGACAGTAGTCAGTGGGAGTCGATGGTGAAAGTCTTGAGCGGGGCTTGAACCCACGACCTTCTGGCTCAAAGGCCAAAGCTCTACCAACTGAGCTACTGCCGCCCCATTATGGGGTGTTAAATCAACTGTAATATTAGATGGAGAAATGTTTATGCATGTAGGAAATACATGGTTAACGCATCATTTTTAACATGTATCATCAGGCTTTTACTTCATAGTTGCAAAATATATGTATAATAGAATGTGGTCGTACGCAACATGGCACTGCAAATTTTGACCTTTTTTGTGACAGCACCATAGAAAGTGACACAAAATTCCTGAGATGGGATTAATATCTATGAATAAACAAAAAGAGGTAGAAATGTAAGCTTGTAACATAGATGTGTAACACAATCAGAACAGCTGGCACAACAACAATCTCCAGTAGACACCTCTCACAGCGCCTTTTGGTTTAAAACTTGTCTATCCATTGTCCATCTTTCACTCTGTATTCAGACTGCTATACTAGTCCAAGGCAGTGTTGAGATATTAAGCAGTTTAGACTGATCATTTAATTTATTTTAAATAATATTAAATACAAAAATGTGAGTAAGCAATGTCAGGACTTCAATATGAAAGAATTCAGATTGTTCATATGTACAGAAAATTTATCAGAAAATAGTGCATAAATTTAATATTTATGTTTTCGATTCAGCCTTCACACAATATATTTGCTAGCCCATTATTGCTTTTTACAATTTAATTTCAGAACCATGGAAAAACATACTATCTGAACAGAAATTGTCCATAAATGTCGTAATCAACAGGAAGCTGACTATAATGGTGGAATTCAACAAAATTGTACATCCACCAAATCATGACATTTTTTCAGCCGTGTAGATCCAGGCTTACTTCAGGGCAGGCTCCTCTTTTGTCCTAATTTTTAACTTATTTGCAGCTGATACGACGCATGGTTTCCCAAACCTGCATAGGCCCAGAAGGAGATCTCTGTCCGAGGTCATGCTTTCATAAGATGACACCATTGCCTTTATTGGCTCCTGGAATGTAGTGTTTGTTCTTAGTTTCTGCAACAGGTCTTCAAACATATTCTGGAGGCGTAGCTCAAGATCAGCTCCGTCTTGGGTTGGGGGGCTGTCGTCTGGCCACAGCTCCAGGTTTTCAGTATAACATTCGTTGTCGTGAAGAATGAATGTGGCTGGTATGTGCATTTCCTCAGCTGTAGCTCAAATGATGAAAAAGACCATGAATAAAAAAAATCACAATCACAAATTTGCTGTGACATAAAGTGCAAAACACAGATGTAACAGCATGGATGAAACATAGAAAAAAAAGACATAACAGTGCAGATATCTCAATAAATAAAATAAACAAACCTTGTATTTTCTTTTTTCTACATTTCTTGTTAAATCTTTTGTAGTACAATCTGTAATTATATGTAAAATACTTTCAAATGCCATTATTGTGTCTGCAATTAATGTGAATTGTTTCCACCAACCTGTAGCAAAAGCTCAGGTCAGGGCAGACTGAGCGATCAGCAGAAGCAAAGGCATAACTCTCACCCATCTGTTCTTGAAGGTCCCTTTTTAAGATCCTTATTGCCGAAGAGGGAGAATGTCCACTCTCAAATAACATTTCTAATTTTGTAACAGTTTCCTTGGAGACTGGCCGATGCCGAAGGGCTACAGGGCAATCCATGTCATGATTATGGGTGTGTTGAAAGTTAATGTGAAATGTCAGTTGATTTTGAGTATGAGGGTCACAGGATCTGCAATAATAATTTTCATAATCAATGCATAATTCACATACAATTTTCTGATCAAATCTTTGTAAATTGTACCGTGATCTTCTTTTTTGGCTAAAATGATCTTTCTTGAGCACAAGATAGAGCAGCGCAGGGCAGGATGTGTTTCTCTTGGAAGAATAGGTAGATCCACCATGAAGACACCGGAGATCTACCTGCATCCACACAATACAAATAAACACAGTATACATTGTTCATATTGACAATGTCACACATGTTAGCTATTGGTTTGTTCCAGGCAACTGGAACTTTTCCTGAGAAAAAATTCCCAGAATGTTACTCGAAGTAAAGAGATGATGGAGGTGCTCTGACTTCAGGTATAACTCCAAGGGTGACATCTGAGAGATCCATCCATCCATCCATTTTCTTCCACTTCATCCGTTACCGGGTCGTGGGGGCAGCAGTCTAAGCAGAGACGCCCAGACCTCCCTATCCACACACACTTCCTCCAGCTCGTCCGGGGGGACCCCAAGGCGTTCCCAGGCCAGCTGAGAGACATAGTCCCTCCAGCGTGTCCTGGGTGTTCCCCGGGGCCTCCTCCCGGTGGGACGTGCCCGGAACACCTCCCCAGGGAGGCGTCCAGGAGGCATCCGGAACAGATGCCCGAGCCACCTCAGCTGGTTCCTCTCGACATGGAGAAGCAGCGGCTCTACTCCGAGCTCCTCCCGTGTGACTGGGCTCCTCACCCTATCTCTAAGGGAGCGCCCAGCCACTCTGCGGAGGAAGCTCATTTCGACCGCTTGTATCCGCGATCTTGTTCTTTCGGTCATTACCCAAAGCTCATGACCATAGGTGAGGGAGTAGGGATGTAAAAAACTATGAATTTTCATGACCGACCACCGAGCCTCATTAACCGGTTGAAACCGGTTAACCGCGTAGTTTAAAATAGTCCACATTCTTTGAAATAACAGCCATTTCGAGCCGCGTACTTTTCATAAGTGCAGCTGAGCGTTCTACTGGATCAGATTTGAGACAGCGGCGCCCAAACCCGCAACAGCTCCGGCACCTTTGCGCACAGAGAACTGCTTTTTTAATCTTCCCATTCTGCTGTGCTGCGGGTTAATACCAAAACTTTCTAGCAGCAAACGACGGCTCGTTCACATGGTCAGAGCGGCGAGTGACGAGCCGCGTCTCACAGGTCTTCACAAAAGTTTAAATACAAGTGATGTGTGTGGAGCTGATCCCGAGGACCATAAACACAAACATGTTCCATGTGGTTTGACTGGAGCCGCGTATTTGCGCGAATCCTTTGGGCTCCGTGACACAGAGGAGGGCGACAGACCGGTATGTGTGTGTGTATGTGTGTGTAAATGTAAGCTCCAATGTAGTTCTGACCCGCGCCAGTGTGCAACTTTGACGGTAACAGAGGTGTGTGTGTGTGTGTGTGTGTGTGTGTGTGTGTGTGTGTGTGTGTGTGTGTGTGTGTGTGTGTGTGTGTGTGTGTGTGTGTCGTCCCGGAGTTTATAATACATGCGCGCACACAGCTAGATACAGACCCGCTCGTCACACCGTGCAAATAGGGCTTAAAATAGCGTTATTAAGAGACCTCCCCTCTCCCCTTTTTCTCTTTTTTAACCGACAGCTTTGACCGGTTAACGCTGTGACGGTCAACCACCGGTTAACCGGTCGTCGATTTACATCCCTATGAGGGAGGGAACAAAGATTGCCCGGTTAATCGAGAGCTTTGAGTTTCGGCTCAGCTCCCTCTTCACCGCGACAGTCCGATACAGCGACCGCATCACGGCATGGCGCCGTAAAGATGGCGCCGTGGCAAGAGCTCTGGTGTGTGTCGTCTGGCGCACACCGGGGTAGTATTGCACAGTTTTCCAATGTGGTTTTACTGCAAATGGCAAATAAATAAATGAATCTGATCATTGCGCACGCTCCGCCTGTCAATCTCACGCTCCATCCTTCCCTCACTCGTGAACAAGACACCGAGATACTTGAACTCCTACACTCTTACACTTGAGGAAGGAGCACTCCACCCACCTGGAGAGGGCAAGGCACCTTTTTCTGAGAGATCTAATACCATATAGAGTAAATGTATGATCTTCACAGTTTGTATGCATGAGCCATTTTTTAATACAATGCAATTTTCTGAAAGGCCCGGAAGTGGGAAAACTGCCATGACTTACTCTGTACTTGTTAGTGCGTGCCGTCTCAGGGGTGATTTTATAGGTTTTCAGGAACCTCCAGGTTGTTTTGGACCTGGATTGAAAAGCTTCCAACCACAGTTGCACCTCCTCCTCTGCACTAATCTTCAGCTTGATGGAGGCCTTAAACTTCCCGTTATCAAGGCTCTCATATGAACACACAGAGTGCTCATATTCAGGGAGAATGGCCTATAGAAAGTTCAGATAACATTTTTTGAGCACATTTAAAAACAATAACAATGGCAACAATGGTCTCTTTTCCCTTTTCAGAAAAAATTGTAAATGTACCTCAAGTGGATGTAGTAGCTCCAAATCATCAGTAGAAGTCTGGGGATGGCAAAACGGGCACCAAGTAGCTCTCCTGGATTCAGACATCCCACACACACATGCAACTGAGGGAGGACAGGAACATCACTTGTGCACATGGAGAACGAAGTTTGTGCATACAATGAAACACAAGAAAGCTGATATAATTATATAAATTCATGCAAAGTTTGTGACTTCATGTGACTTACAACGGCAATAGAATATTCATATTCCTTCTGAATATTATGAAAACATGTGGCTAGGCTACCTTGAGTAAAAGCCCTCACGTGGTTTCAACTCACCTCCCGACTGCACCAATAAAACTTGGCCCACTTTGTTCTTGTTAAATATGAAACTACAGAGAAAAATCGCTTCGAGGTGACCAATATAATTATAATGCTCCTACTCCGACTAACATCTGCAAAACGCAGACTGCTCTGGGGCATGGAAGGAGGTGAAGCAGCGGCACCTGCCGGAGCGGAGGGCAGCTTACTTCAGCGTGGTTAGGTTTTTTTTTTCATAATTTGTTAGACTGAAACATCTTGATCTACAAAAGAATGCAGATAACTCCAAACAATTGCTCTGAAAAATTTCATTCAACACAGAAATGTCCCCACTGTGGGACGAATAAAGGATTTCTGTATGTTACGATCAGTTACGACATGATGTGTGTGGTTCTCCAATCCTCCAGGTGGCGCTAAAACCCCGATCTAAAGAAAAGTAAAGGGGCGGGAATGGGAACAGGGGCGCGGAGCACATGGCCGATGTTTTTATCACACACGGGATTCACAATAACTCTGAGGGCTTTGTGGATTAAACTGGCTATTACGCATACGTTGGAAGGTTTGTGTATAAATTATGATTTATTTTCATAGCATTGGACATCTAGTTATTTATTTTTGATCTTTTCTTTAGCCTTTTCTGCTAGCATACTCACTTCACCAAGCCATTGGGGGTTTTAATAAGAGGGCTAAAACGGTGATAATGCATTCTAATCATACAACACATAGTCTATCTATCACAAATAGGCTTTAGAAATTGTGTGCTCCCCATTCAGTTAACAAGAGTTTCCAGGAAGATGTTTTTATTGTTCCAGCATCACGATCAGTTTTCACAGCATTAAGTTGAACAAAGGCAAGATTTTTGCATCTTCCACTCGCCCATTATCACTTTGCTACAAACTTGAGACAATCATAACATTAAGTGAAATATGTAATAACAAGCTCTCTATAATGTAATACAAGTGTTATAAACATCCATAAAGAGATGCTATTGTGCTTTCATGTTTTGGGTTTTCTGATCATCTGTAGAGGAGCTGAGCAGCTCTCTCAGTGCAAGAAGGAGCTCTGCTGCAGGGGCCTTTATCCCCACCACTGTCAGACTGTACTGAAGTCATGCACTGCCGTAGTCACTTCTTTAATTGTACTAAAAGATACATTTATTGCACACAAGATACCTTATATCATTTTACTTCAACATCCTGTTTATAACCTGAGTGATCTTATTGAAGCCAAATGTAACATGTACATTTCTCCATTGAGAGATTAATAAGTTTTATCTCTCCATTTTCACTCAAATGTAGATCTCTGATGTTTAAGCAACCGAACTCTACATGTTAAATGTTTTACTTTGTTATGTATATGAATTCTAATGTATATATATATTAGATTGTTATATTCATGGCTTTATATCATTTTATACTTTAACTACTTTGACACAAGATTCTATTTACATTGCATTTTGTCTCACGCATTTTTTTGCAGATCTGTATCATGACGACCATTCTACAATTGCGATACTTGGACCCAATGGCAAGCGCTGAAGATATACGAAGCTTTTTTGGAGGAATCCACATACCAGAGGGTGGCGTGTGCATAATTGGGGGGGAGCTGGGTGAGGCTTTTATTGCTTTTAACACAGAGGAAGAGTGCACTTTGGCAATTCAACAAAGTGGACTTCTCCTCAAGGATTCAAAGGTGGACTTGCACATTAGCAGCATGGTGGAGCTGGAGCACAAAGTGGACGCGTATCTCAAAAGAAAGAGATTAAAGAAAGAAGGCAAACTTGGTACCCCAATTGAAGGTGTGTTACCAGATAAACCCCTGGATCCAAGGACAGTCCGTAGATCATCTGACACAGCACAGTTTGATGTTGGTACTAAACATACTGTAAACATGCATAGTATTGACTCCCAGGCACTTATTCTTGGAGTTTGCACTTTACTTCAAGGACTGCCTTCTTCTCGCGCTCACAACACACTCCCACCAGATGACTCTCCTGAAGAGCCAACTTTCTCTGATCCGCCTAACCCCGGTTTTATCAGGGTGTTTGGTCTACCCAGCACAGTTGGAAAGCAAGACATCTGCCATTTTTTCCAAACATTAAGCGTATCAGAGGTTCTAGTTGATGTTTTGTTGGGAGCTAATCGCGGCTGTCTGGTGAAATTTGATAGTTTTCAGGATGCTACGCAGGCTCTGAGTTTCAACCAGCGTTTTTTTGGCTCAGTACGTGTGGAGGTACGATGTGCAACAGAAAAGATGTGGATCAATGCGCTACATGAACATCCTGAAGACGTGAGATCACAGCAGGGACCTTTAAAGGATACAGTTAACTACAGCAAAAATGTGGAGTTGCCACGAAATAAACGCATTGCAGATTCAATAGATAAAAAACCTAAAAAAATGAAACACGCCATTTTGTCTGAAGATACGGAGTACATTGTCTTGGTCAGTAATCTACCAGTGAATATTGTCAAGGCTGAAATTAAAGAACTCTTTGGATGTCCAACAATGCCTCTTGCAAATGTTCACCCTTTACTGGATTCCGAGGGCAAAAGAACAGACAAAGTATTCGTAAAATTTGACAAGCACGGAGATTATGACTACGCATTAAACCTCAATGGGTGCCATGTGGGACTCAATACAATTGTGGTAACGCAAATAACCAAAGAGGACATGGAAAATACGATCAAGTCCAAAAGAATTCCTCACAAGCAAAACGAGTGGATCAAGCAACCACATAAAAATGGCAAAATTGACAAAAATGAAGATGCCCAGAGCTATAATGACACAAACACACGCAGATGCCTGTACATTAGAAACATGCCTGCAAATGTGCGCAGGAGTCAGATCAGAGGACTCTTTACCGAAAACAGACTGAAGGAAGATGATATCACATTGTTGCACGACAATGAAGGTACCTGCATTGGAGAGGCGGTGGTTCAGTTTCAGTCTCATGCAAATGTTGCCTTAGCTTTAATGCATCACGGAAGAGAGTTCCTGGGAAGCAAAATACTTCTCACCCCCATTACTGTGAAGCAGATGGAAAGTATTGTAGCAAACTGAGCTGAAGAAGTTGTATATAGTTGATATTCATGTTTGCACGGTGCATGGTAAGAGAGCTGTTGCCAATATTTTAAGACATTTTATTTTTATATTTGCTAGTGTTATACAAAACGTTGAAATGTTATGTGCCGCTTCTACAACACACACACTCAAAAACATGTACAAGTAGTTTTAATGTTTTATTGTGAAAACAGTTTGACATCTAAAAAACGAAAGACAAAACATTGGAGATGCAGGTTCATCTAAGGGCAACCTTCATCATACCAAGATCTCCATCCACCTCAGTTTTTTCATTTACAATTTCCCATTCTATGTGCCAAAAAAAAAACATTCCCTTTGTGTTGTAAAAAAATAAAATGACACACTCTGGGTCCTGATCCACCAGTTGAGAAACACTGATGTAGGACAATAGTAGAGTGGTGAAAGCATTTAAACAATTTAGGGTGCATTAAAAGGGAAAAAAAGTTATGTCTTTGTTTAAGGCTTTCAAGTTTATTTTAATAAGATGGTGTAAAAAAGCTAGTACCGCTGCTACCAGATGTGGCCAGTCTTCCGGCATCAACAGCTGAGAGACACGTCACACCATCACGCCTAAACATTTTGTAATTAAGCAGAACTAGCTTCTCGTCATTACAAAAGAACCTAATAAGCCTTGACTCAGGGTGTGTTGTGGACTCTCACTGAACAGAGCACACTTCCTGTTGTTGGAAATGTTCAGACATCAGTAACTACCGTCTGCTCTGGAGGAGGAAGTTTATAGTGACTATGACTGCAGCTAACACTTCTTAATCGCAATCGACTGATTTATCTTGAATTAAAAGGGTTGTATTCATTTATCTCTTTAAAATAATCTTTGTACAAAATATCTAAGTTATAGGCTAACTACAGTACAAATGGGAATACAAATCTTTAAGACAATCAGAAATACAACCTTCATATTCAAATTGAAACAGCAGCCTAAAGAGCACCCTAATCCCACACCTTTATTGTCCGACATGTCAAGAAGAAAAACTTTATAAAAAAGATTTGATAAAATATAATTATATGTATTCGACAGCCCTACTTATGTGTAACAGGTTCAAGAAATTGGGGTACCAACACATTTAAAAAAACTGGGAAAGAAAGCACGAGATTGAAAACAAATTAGCCAGATATCTACAACACAAGACTGGTGGTTGCCCTCCCTTGAAAATATATTATTTGAAGAAGCGGGATGGAGGGTGCATGGGAAAACCTGCAACAAAAATGGTTTAAGTATTAAACAGTTTAGACAAATTAACCTCCAATAAAATCAAACCTCACCAGCTCTAGAAAAGGGTTCTTGAGTTGGTTTTGGAGGTGGATACACGGACGACGACTGAGGACCCTATGAAATTTAAAGCAAACTGAATGTGACATCAAAACATCGTCCTAATCACCAAGGACATTTTACTTCCGAACCCCATTATAAAACATAAACGGGAAGTTAGGACCATTGGTAATACCTTTTCACATCTGAGTCTGTATTCCATCAGTACATCAGTCAGCTTTTGGGTCACCTTCAACACCAGCTCAGCATCGCCTTCATTCTGAATTTTGAAGGTATCCTTGAAAGATATAAATCATTAATTTAAAAATCATCAATAAGTCTTTGAAATCTGCAATGATGATTAAAAGCCCAATCTAGATACAATAGGACTTTTTTTTTACATAAATATTCATGTGTGGAAGGATCCAGTGAGAATTCCCAATTCAAGATTTATCAGGACTGGGTCCAACTCACACTTCACAATCAAAAAGTTGTGGAAGGCTTCTCAACATATTTAAATGAACAGGTTTAAAAAAAAAAAAAAAAGAAGGTAATTCCCCCTCTATGTATTCCTCTGACAGACATAAGTGATGCCATGAATGAAATGGATTAAATATCAGGAAAAGTGAAACACAAGAGGTGCAAAGTAATTTTGCTAAGGTCTATATAAAATGTAGATGCATGTGCAAAAGTTAGGAACACCACATTGAGCAGTAGTACTGTTTAAATATGCTGTAACTCCAACAATGTTAATATACTCAATTGGCAGACAATTGGTAGTTTAGGAACATCTGGTTTGTTTTATTTCAAATATTTGTTGTGGTTGTTAGACAGTAATGAGAATTGTCTCTATGCAGTCTCATGACTATTTACCAGACAACTGAGCAAATTTAGAGAGCAATCCTGGGCTTTTCTTGTCTTCTAAGTTTCACTATCAAGCAAGATCTGGGTATAACCTTTCCATAACAAGAGAGGTATATAAAGGCCAAATCTGGAAGCGTGGTAACTGAAAACGACCTCCGCCTCCGTCATTTTCCTTCTGCTTGCCTGTTTGGCACCGATATGATTCAGAATAGGCCATTGAGAGACTAGTCACACCAACAGCTTACAAACCATTTTCCATTATAGTGAGGAAATATATAAATGTCCTTACCCAAAGTAAATTATTTGTGTTTGGAATTTAATTGTAGCAAAATTTTTGGTATGAACCAAGATTCATTATGCAAAACCTTTGATCATCAGCGGTAGGTATTCTCTTCCTGGACTGTCCAAACAAAACAAACATTCACTTGCCAGGTAATTGAGCAGTGCTCCAGAGCAGTCTCCGCCAAGTACAGGTGGACCAGCAGGTCTTTGAGGAGGTGACAAAGCAGGTTGTGCTGGTCTTGGAGGAGGCCTCGTCATGGGCCTGGGTCCTCTTCTTTCCTCAGAATAATCCCTGGGACGTCCATAGCCATCATAGTCACTAGGACGTCCATAATCATAAACACCGGCTTCATATTCTTCTCTTTCTTGGTAATAACCCCTGTCGTCAAAGTATTTCTGCTCCACTCTATAATCACTGTTTACGTCATCATAGCCGGGTGGAGGTAGAGCAGCACCAGGAATGGCAGAAACTGGAACAAGAAAACCATTTTAAGATGAGAAATACCGAAAGTGGGGCAAGTTTATTCTGATAATATTTTAGTTTATTACCATTTAAATTTGAAATATTATGAGTTTAATCTAAAAATAAATAAATGGGATGAGCCTTATACTCCGTCGTAACAATCAGAATGTGCTAGGATTGCAACACATTTAAATTGTCACATACAGCAGGACATAATCTGAGGAAATGTATTTTTTTGATTGTTGAATTCAATTGGAGTGACCCTTCCCAGACAAACTGGTAACTTGTGTCATGGGCTCAGAAGAGAGCGCAAACAGGAAGGGACTAAGAAAATCCCCTGGCTGAAAAACAATTCTTGCCAGTGAGGGTCAAAGCTGATGGATTATTATAAAGCCCCTGGGTCATTATTCAATGACATTTGTGCTAATGCCAAAATATCTTAATAAAGACCACATGTACTGTGTTTCCTGCCTGTATTAAAGGCCCATGTCAGGTTGCCAATAGCTTTGTCCAACATCAAAACTTTTCACAGACCCCCGGTTGCACCTCCACGCTTATGCTGCCATTTTATTTGTAGTATGATATAATTATGAGATGTACTTTAGTATACAGCAAATTCATTTCACTACAGAAATAGCATTTCTGTAAAATAAGGGTTAGTATTGGTACTAACTAAAAGGTTTTCGGAAAAGTGGTATAGTCACTTTGGAATAATGTAACCACATGGCATGAACTAATAGCAAATTACAAGTTAATGCTGAAAGAATACCCTTTTTAAAATGTACTTACAACGATCTTTGAACTCCGGTACCTCACAAGGTTCTTTGAAGATGACCTAAAACAAAGTTCATGCAATGTGTGACAAGTTTATAAAAAAAAGAAAAGAAAAAGGAAAGCTTAAATATGAACAGTTCTCACTTTGGGATGTCCTCTCCCTTCAGTATGTTCAAGCTCCATTGCAATTTGCTTGAGTGCAAATTTTATAGATTGGTTTGGTTTTTCGATTGCTTCCTCATCATAAGGAAACTTTTCAGGACATACAGTTGTCTGAAAGGTGACAAAAACGTGTTTACAAATAACATTCGTTCCTTTTAAAAAGGTCCCATAATACGCATTTTGACTTATCTAAGCTTTAAACATCATTACAGCGCTATATAGCCTTAGACACATGTCTAAAGTAGTTTTTTCATTGATTCTCTCAGACTTTAGTTAGAGAGCGGTCTTTATCTTTAATTCTCAAGAGGCAAAAAAACGACATGAGAAGCCCACCTCCAGGAGGTGATTGACAGGGGGAGAAACTGAAACAGCGAATCAGCACTGCAGCCTCTCCGAGTCCAGCAGGTGGTCCATAGACTGTAGACCTTAGATAAATGCTCAAGTATTTTCTCATGGTTTCTGTACTGTACTAAGGAAGAACACGAACTATTCTTTAACGTGAATAAAAATAGTTCTCACCACAAATTTGAAGATGTGCTTGCGTCCCTTGACATGCTGAACCATATGATGTTGCAGTTGATTTACACCACACAATTTGCATGCGTAGTGTGGTGGCACGGACTGACTGGGACTGCGGTACTCCCACACGTACTGAAGGCCTGCAAATATGCAACATGAGAGCAGTGAGCAATGCATATGCAATCATGAAGTAGCGTATGGTTTATATACAAGTATATTTCATTACCAATTACGGCGTCAGGGATTTTTCTCAACTCACTGCTAAGCGATGACATAACGATGATCCTACCATCCTCAGCAGTATATACTTCAAAAGAGAAACGTTGTGTTAGAACACCACATCTGAAGCTTTTAGACTCAAATATAAACACAGAATAACCAATTTTATAGTTTGTAGAATTCCAGAAGGAAAAGCAACATGATAGTGGCCATACGCATGTGTCAAGGCCTGATCATCAGATCTCCAAAGGACATGGCAAAACACTTTGCCAGTATGAATTAGTGTGTGAGGGATTGGTGGAGGTTGAAGGGACAGATCCCCTTTTGAAACCTACCACAGTCTACCCCAGGGCAGCTGTGGCTACAGTAGTAGTTTACAATAATGCACGTAGACCGTAGAAAGGAGTAGACAGCACTAGCGTGACGTCCCCTACAGAAGGGTTTCAAACAAGCGGCCATGGGCCGAAAAAGATATTTTGAGGCCCCCTACTGGACAATGTTTTATGTCAGCAAGATCCCCTCTGAGAATCATTAAAAAAATATATTTTCATCATGAAAACAACCACTACATTTAGATTACCATCAACATTTAATCCTAAATGCAATAATTAAGAACTCAATTTAAACATTCAGCCCAGCAGTCTACAATACTAAACACTCATTGCCTTTTGTCCAATTTTATTTCAATCCTCATAGCTAGGGCTACAGATGCAAATATAAAACAAACTTTTTTCCCGTTTTCTGCAATATGATTCAGCCTTGAAGGCTTGGCTGAAGGCATTTAGCAGCTAATCTGCAATCAGCCTCATAGTTGAGGAGAGAACCTTTCGGCTCTTTCCTGCTCGCAGAGAGATTGAGTGACGATCAATTAAACCTGTTGTTAACTGCAGCAGCGGCTGATCAGGGGCCTGCTCAGCAATTCGGTGTTCTTGATTTTCAAAGTCATTGATATAAAAAGTAAACACAGTTAAATCCAAACCAAAAGGGGATGGGAAGTGACAGCAGCTTTTTATGAGTGCTGTTTTTCTATTTAGAACCAGGCTTTTAGCCTCTAGAACTCCCAAGCTCATTTACCATTAGGCACATAGCACTGTGCAAACTGTCCACTCCTTTTTACGTTCTTTGAATAAACACAGTGCACACAATTTCAAAGCGCATGACCAGTTCATTCAATGTATTCAATATTATATAACAGACAAATTACCAGGCATTTGTTATAACAGATTGTAATATTTGTCTGGGACTGCTGGAATCATCCAGATGAATACACCATTAAAAATAGCGATTATAAGATGCAACTCTCTTGCCTTTGGCATTGGGAGAACAAACTTACCAATCTCATCAGAGTTCTGCGGCGGCTGTCTCTGTGAGGGTAGGATTTACCCAAATAAAAAAGAGACACAGGCATTAGTAACAGCATGGCACCCTGAATAATGCCAAGTGGTTCTTTGGAGTTTGTAGTTCAGGTACTATAGGATTGTACTGTGTACACTACTACAAAAGGTTACTTATAACAAGTCACGCCAGGGCAGAATAAAAAAAACGTGTATTTATGAGGCCGATACTGATCTTTAGGGATTCTAAAAAAGAAGATAGTTTTTATAATCAGTGGATTTTCTTGTTATTTTAAAGTTAGGTAATGCCAAAAATGCGTTTACATATTATTGAATGTAAACATTTGACTTTGGTCAAATGTGCATTAAGTACATTGTGCACATTTGCATTTCCTCCATGCTAGTTAAATAACACCAAGTAAATATCTATAATTGGTTTGCTCCAATGTTGCATTTCATTGCATTCGGCTTGGTTCTCCCCCTCTAGCTCTGCACTGACCTGGGGCGCTCTGATTGGTCAGAACGCTCAAATGTCCCTTGTGCACGAGCATGAGAGCAACGTCAGGGAGCGCGGCAGTCCATAGTCAGCGCTGATGAAGAGCTCACGTGTTACTCTGGTCCTGCTGAAGTGGAACCACTGCTCACCTACTGCGCACGGTCGGGAGACCCAGGGCTGATCAATTGCATCGCTTCCACTAATGTTTGGGATGTCCATGGTGCGAGCATGCGCCAATAAGAGCAGGCCATTGATTTGAATGGGCTGACATCTTTGACCACAACCAATGCATGCCAAAGTACCACGCACCCAAAATGTGCTCCAATCGAATTTCTCCCGCTCCAGACAGTCGCAAGACACGCTTCCTTCAGTCAAGATACATGGAATTCATTGAAGTATATTCTTTTTTTTGAGGACGAGATCCTGACCACAAGGCCAGCAGCAACAGCGGCTCCTCTTCAGAGCGCAGTCTCACAAAGCCGCATATCTGCTGCCACGGGCCACCCCTCCACGCAGTTCATACAGACCAATCAGAAGACCAGACGGCATTATCCAATCCATGAGAACCTTCGTATTGATGTCCTTTTATAAAGGGAAAATGTGTTTGGCCCAACGGAATGGCGGTCAATTGATAGGAAAAATGATTAGAGGTGCACCGATCAGGATTTTTTTGGCCGATCACGATCATTAAAATTTTGATCGGCCGATACCGATCATTGCCAATCCAATCAAATATTGAAAACATTAGTGATAAATGAATAGTGGTTTTCAAAATCATCAAGGTACTACGTAGTATAAATAAAATGCCTATAGGGGTACTCAAGACAAAAAGGTTGGGAACCACAAGTATACGTAACTGAGCATTGAGATACATAAAAAAAAATGCAATGAAATACAGCAATACTGTCTATGCTGCATTTCTAAATTGATTAAGAAGAGATAGTTAAGGCTATGTTTTTTCTTCAGTAATATTAGCATCTCAGCATTTGCAGGGGTTGATTACGTTTATCATCCTGAATAGTCCCGCTGCGCTAAACTCTCACTGTCTACACTTGTGCATGGAGCGCAGAGGAGAGACGCTGCTTTGGCCAAAGTAGGGAAGCGCCTTTTATTTTCATTCCAATAAACAAGCGGCTGTCTGCTCCGATGCGCAACTACGTAGTAAGTAACGCTAAATCTACGACACTGTAGGACTGTCTGTACTACCACTACACTCATCTTAATTCAATATTTCTGTGAACATAACATGCAAAGTCCTGACACGGGGTGTTTCTGCCTGTGTTCGGTGTGTGTGCTGTGTCTGCGCGGTGCGACTCTGGCTCGTTATTATAATAGATCCATGCTCTGGAGTGTCAATGTGAGAATATACAGTTTGGTAAAGCTGCGGCAGGCAGACATCAGTCAGATATCTCCGCGATGGCATATTGAAGCAGTGGACATGAGCTGTTTGAACCCAGCGCTTTCCGCAACAAATTTGGCAATAATTTCCATAACTTTCGTGCATATTTCGTGTTCTTTCTTACGTCATTACTGTGTAATTGTTGCCGCTGTAGAATCTCCGTAACTAATAGCTGCACGAATTGCTTGTTTACGCAGTTTTGGCAAGAGAACGTAACTTATACGCATGAATCCTCATGTCATCTGATCGGTCTTTGTGATCGGCACATTTCGCCGATCACGCAAATTAAGCCGTGATCGGCCGATTATAATCGGCTACCGATCGATCCGTGCACCTCCAAAAATGATATCCTCCTAATACTTTGTCAATTAGCATTAAAATTGGCAAATGCATTTTTAAGTTTCCAGTAGTTCCTACTTGGAACCGCCTAGTGCCACAGACTTTTGTAAAATAGATAAATAGATGTTGACATCCACCTTTCTCATTGACTGATTGTACTTACATGTGGAGCTGTACCCCTCCTGATGGGGATTTGATGATGCCCAAATGGAAATTTCCTCTTGACACCTTGGGGAGCATAGGCCTCTGGATTCATTGGATACATTTCTGTAATAACCCTACAAACAGAAGTCAGAATTGAAAATATATTAACTCATTCACTGCCCATGACGACAAAACTCGTCATGTTGAATAGTAACGCTCACTGCCCATGACGAGTTTGACGAGTTTTTCGTGTTATTACACGGGAGGCTACAGTAATGTCTGGCGCACCTTTTTAATGACCCACAACACTGATATATAGTGCAAATGTACCTGTAATGATAAATCACCACCAGTAGGATGCAGTATTGCACCACAGGAGAGGTCATAAGTCAGTGGAGAGAAGGAGGAGGAGTGTGGGGTCTTTGGACAGCGTGCTGCTGTAGCAGAGCGATGATAGCGTAGCATTGAGACGGATCAGATCTAGTTTAGCGATAGTATAGCAAGAGTGATGGCGAAAAAGAATAGTTATAAGCAGTATACACTGCTTCAGAGATTGACTCGCGGATCAGTGAGTGAGGTCGAGAGGGGAGAGAGTGGAGACCCCGGTGGAGGTCCGTCTCTGCAGCTACATTTGCGCGGAGCAAGAGCCCCGAGCAGAGACACACCCTCCGCCTCTCGCAGCGTATCAGCTGCTGTTGTTACTGATGCCTCGGATTCGTTCAGCAAACCTGATCATGATTTATCGGACACACTCACAAACACTCACACGCACTCACTCACTCACTCACGCAGACACTCACACACACTGACATTCACACACACAGACACTCACTCACACAGACACTCACTCACTCGCACACTGACATTCACACACACACACTCAAATTCACATGCTTCATTCTATTTTATACATCTATAGTTTTATTGATCTTTGTGTTGTTGTTGTTTGACGTTTTGGTTGATGGTATAGAAGAAAGTTAAATTTTCTATCTGTGAATAAATTGCCAACAATTTGCCATCAAAAGTATTATTTCAGAGTCATGTTTTTATAATTTTTGTAATGGAACAAGTGTGGAGATGTTTTGAGTTGTCACTAAAGCAGCAAAAATGCATCTAAAAGTCTCTTTTCTGCTTGATATGTTCCTGTTTACATACAGCTCGTTTTCTCTGTTTTCTTGCTCAGACCAGGTGTTATGGGTGAAAGTATGCTTTGTTCTATGGCAAATAACGCAAGAACGGTAAGAGGTAGAAACAAACTGTTTTTTTCAGAGTAAAGCAGAGAGGTGAATCTTTAATTTGGTGCCCTTGGTGTTTACATCGTCTAAAAAATGAATATTCTGTGGCACTTCAAAGTTGGGTCAAATCACCTGAAATTGCTGGCAGAATGCACTTCTCAAATCTGAAAATGCCTGGCAGTCAGTGAGTTAATGACAAAGTAAATCCAAAACAAATGTATGAAAGGAAACATGCGTATGGTCCTGCCATGGCTAAAAACTCATCTCTACTCATTGTTGAAATAATTAAACATTCAAACTGTACATGGCATACACTGCATTGAAAATACTGTTCACTCAAAATAAGAGCTCCTATTTGTGCGTTTTCCTGCATTGCCCTTTCTAACTTATAAGAGAAAATCATCATGTTGCCATGAATACTAGCATGATTGACAAGTGGTGGGTTAAAGTTGGTTACACATGTTTTATGGTAGCCCTGTAACCTTGGTATTTGGAAATAAAATACATTCTGATAATAGGGGAAGAAATTCAGCATGTATAAACTTTTATCATTTCAGAAAAAAACAAAAACAAAACAGATATCGGTCATTGGCCATAACAAACAATATATAATCGGATATTGAAATCTGCCAAATGTTTTAAGAACTACCGGCAAACCAGTTTGCGTTATGTTTGCAAGGAGGGCTTTTTTAATCAATTGTAATTGATTGAGGTAGCTTACATATCGTACTGCATAATTCTGACTACACCCGGCCTTCGGCCTCCTAGGGTATTATTATTTAAGATCTTTACCTTTTACCACCATAAGTGACATTTAACGCCATGCTATATGAGCTAAGCTAACGCTAACACGCTCATGGTTCGTGAACGTTAAAGTGAAAGTTACAGAAGAATGGGGTCGTGTGATAAATGTCATAAAACAACTCAACGCCACATACCTATTACTTGCAGAACTGAATGGCAGGGAACAAAAACTCAACTTAGTTTACAAGTAACCACAGAGTGTAAAAGACTAGCGTCGATTCCAACCATGGGATTCCGACTGGTGGAAAGACCAGATACTGTAGACACCAGTTTTACAGGACTATCTGGCTCTGCCTGAACAGAAACAAATAATAATAATAATAATAATAATAATAATGCTTTCAACCAAGGGCGTTTGATTTATACCTAAACCAAAATAATTCAGGAAATTGGCCGTCAACAGCGCTTGTTAATAATAATACAAATATATCAACTGACTGGATTACGCTATGTGTTCAGGCATCACCTAGAGTCATCGGGGTCTTATGTCTTTTTCATCGTTTTTCAACCACTTCACGGGGGTCAACCATGGGGTCAACGTTTTCAACAGTTTTCAACTAGTGTGCTGCATGGATCTATGATAACTGCTGTGACCAATTAGTGTAATATTTACAACCTCAAAATGTTTGGTGTGCCTTTAGAAAAAGATCCAGTATCATATATTTGGTGAAGATAAGGTGAACAGAAAATAATGTGTGATTGTTAGAAAGACTTTTCACTTGATTTTCTATTTAATTGACTTTGATGAGAATTAAGGGATCCTTTATTTTATGGAGCTATTATTGTTTCAATAATATTTGTGTGTGCGTAAACAGATTTGTGTGTGCGTAAAAAGATGTGTGCATGCGTAACCAGATTTGTGTGTGCGTAACCAGATTTGTGTGTGTGTAAAAGAAATATTTGTGCGTGTGTAAATAGATTTGTATGTACGTATCAAGATTTGTGTGTGTGTAGAAAGATTTGTGTGTGTGTAAAGAAAAAAAAAAGTAAGTTTTACACACAAGTTTTTTTTTACACACGAATCTTTTGACGCAGTCCTGCCTTCGCAGATTCGCAAGTGTAACTTGGACTGTGTGCGTCTGTACCCAGATTTGTGTGTGTGTACTTTGACATTTGTATCTGTAGCAGAACAATCTGTGTGTAAATAACCACGTTGTACGAAGAGAAGAACGGAAAAAAGCCTAAATGCTACGCACAGGCTCCGTTTTACACACAAATCTCTTTTTGACACACCTCTGCCGCCAAGCGTGTGTCAAAAAGATTTGTAAGTGTAATGTGGTTGTTCTAGCAGTGCACCAGCAGATGGTGCTGTTGTAGCTTGTTATTACCTACAGGCAAGCAAACCAAAACCTACTGCCTTGACAAGACACACTACTGCAGCTGTTTATGATATTTTTTTCCTATATTTAAAATCCTGTCATTCACACCACTGTATGATACATGGATCTATTATAATAACTGGATAGGTGTTACTAGCTTGGAGCTGAGGGATTCTAGCGTACTGCAGACTAAATTCACGTGGGCTACACAAACATTTTCCCCATAGAACTCAAAGTAAACTAAAACAGCTGACAGAGAACCTACAGCTTTCATAAAAGTCGGATTTTGTGGGAATTTTTGTGTTAATTGTCTTCCTGAACTCTAGGTCCTGGATCTTAGGCCCGTCCATTCGTGTGGAGCCGATCCCCCTCTCATTGTGGATCTCCCTGACGTTTCTCACTTTTCTCCCTCTGGGTTTTAGAGTTTTTCCTTGTCAATGCAAGGAAAAACTGCTGTTAGACTTAGTGGTCTAACAAAATAGACTGGTGATGATCCAGGACACTTTGACATTCTACATATATGGACATTTATCAACATTCATGGACATTGGTCTCCAACTATGAACCAAGACATGTGTTTGATTTTTTGTGTCTTTACTGTTGATTCTCTGATCTGTGTTGGCGATTTCAACGTTTTGTTAAGTCCTCTGAGATGACTGCTGTTGTGATTTAGGGCTATACAAGAATACATTTTAATTCGGAAATAGTATACATTTAAGTATGAAACACTGTATACTATAGTTTGAAATAGCTGCTGCCTGTATTTTTGTCCACACTAGTGCAGGAAATTTAGACTGTTAATAAATCTGAGGGTTCAATTATTGCAGGTGCATGACATGCGAGTTCAGGTCGGCAGTGTTCATTGGTCTGTATTGCTTGCTGTACAGTCTGACAGCAGCAGGAAGGCAAGACCTGCAGAACCACTCTTTCACACAGTGAGGGTGGATAAGTCTGTCACTGAAACTAATAAGTAATGTTATTTATATAGCCCATTTTGCAGAGCAAGGTCACCCTAAGCGCTTTACAATGTTCAATTAACAATTAACTCCACACACAATGATGACGGAAGCGAGACGCCAAACACACTAGTGCATCAAAGCCATGGATCTATTATCAAAGCCCCCAATCAACACCCTCCACTTACATTCATACCTATTGTGCAAGTTTTTAGTGGTAGGGGAAACTGGAGCACCTGGAGGAAACCTACGCAGACACGGAGAACTTGCAAACTCCACTTAGAAAGGTCCTGTTCCGACCAGGATTCGAACCCAGGACCATCTTTCTGAGCAGCGAGAGTGCTATCCAATCGGCCATCATGCACTGTCCTGCAGGTGGTAACAGTCAGACCCTCCTGTCCCCCACCTGTTGCAGTGTCCAGGGGACAGCCCAGGACAGAGATAGACATCCTGATGATCATGTCCAGAGGAGTCCCCAACAGTGGATACATGTGTCCACTTCTACTGCTGCACAAGTTGTTTTCACAGATTGAATTGAGGTTTTAGACACTGAGAACCTCATGTCTCTAGGTTACTCCTTGCTCTGACTGAAAACAAGTAACCATTCGCAATGTCTGAAAAACACCAAGTCTATTGTTAAAAAAGGGCAGGAGAGAATATACCTGTTGAGGAAATTTAACTTAATTCGTACTGTTCCTTTATCAGAAACCTTCTTAGCTTTTATTCTTGCTTCCAAAGTATTAAATCTGAAGGACAAGTTACAGTACATCGTGAAAAACTTGCTCTAAAATCACAGGAGGAAACCGCAAGAGACTTTCACTCTTTGTGAGAGGAACAGGTGCTGTACAAAGCAGTGTATACTGGCTCAACCGAAACATCCTCTGATCGCTGACTTTGTGATGATTCCGTCAGGGTATTGTTATGATGCTCTAGTTGTTTTTCCACTTATTTTGTGCTCTCTGCCATAAAACTTCTGAACTCTTCTAGAGGCGTTTGAGCTTTTGAAATAGTTATGTATTGTAACCTGCTGTTGTGTGACCCATGAGGCCTGACTCACTGTACCAATGTATAGAGTATGAGTGTTCTGCTCAGATTCAGCTGCAAATTAATTGCCCTTATCTATTTGATAGGGACAAGGCACATTAATGAACATCAGTTTAATAATTGCTCTGGCAGTAGACTGAGGATGTGAAATTCTGGGGAGAGCTGCTGCATTACCATGGTCCACTGACACTCAATACCCACCACACCCTCCTCCCTTGGGATCTGTGAGAAGCAAAGTCCACTGCTCAAACTTCCCATAAATAGTATTTTAAGCATTGCTTCTGAAAAGGAATAAACACATTTCACACATTTCCCCTTTTAATAAAACATTGCCTGTACAACATATCTTTGTAAGACCGAAACTTTAACATCAAAAACTAAAAAATACAATTTGAGAGGAATGTTATCAGTAATCAGAAGATGGTCATTTGAAAAACCGGCTCGGAGGGTGCATGGGCAAACCTGCGAACAAACAAGATTGGTTTAAGTACAACAGTTGGTCAACTGAGGTCCGAAGGTCAGCTCCAGCTTGTGGTACCTAGGACGAGGCTTAAAACCCGGGGGGACAGGGCCTTCTCTGTGGCTGGACCAAAGCTATGGAACGCTCTGCCCCCCCACATTCAAACTGCATCTTCTGTGGAGTGTTTTAAGTCTCGTCTTAAGACCCATTTTTATGCTCTGGCTTTTAACACTGCGTGAGTTGTATGGTCCTTTTATTTTCATTTTATTTCATCTTTTTATTGTTATTTTTATATTCATACATATTTGCACACACGTTTTTTCATATTTGATTTTGTATTTTACTGTTTTACTATGTTTTTAATTTTATTGTGAAGCACTTTGGAAACTTTATGAAATGTGCTATATAAATACATTTTAATCCAATCTAATCCAATCCACTTTAAGACCAGAGCTATTTAACTATGTTTTCTCAGGGGTGGGGGGGGGGTTATAACATGTAAAGAAAAAAAATATATAATATTTCTATATTATTATTATTATTATAATAACTGGCTCCATGTGCATAAAGAATATTAAATTTTATATTTTTGTGGAACAAAACCTACAATAGACAAAATAATAATCTCATATAGCTCAAAAAGAGCAAATATAAGAATTAAGGGCCAGACTGCGGTCATCGAGATTCAAAGAACCGTTGTGAAATATGTAAACTTTGTTTAAACATGTACTTGTGCAAGTTAAGATTTTTTTTAATGAGTTCACAAAAATACTTTATACTACATACAAGTTGTATTATAATTAGAAATTTAATTGAAAACTTGATTCAGCTTGTGTATGAATTCAGGCCGTAAAAAGTGCTGAGTAGAGACTTTCAGTTTTATATTTTGTTAGCAGTGCGTTGCTTTTGTACCATTTCATCAGGGATTATTGTACACCTTACAAGAAGTTGCGCTCATGCTAATGTTAGAATACGTATCAGATCGCAAATAAAACTATATGACTCCATGGAATGAGAGCGTAGGGGAAATGAGAAGCCTGTGAGCGAGTTGGGGGGCGGTGCTAAACATTCAAACCTTGCAGAAACGGGTATAGCGCCTTTAAGAGAGGTACTTGTGCAAAGATTGGTATAAGATTTAATTCATTTCATGAGTCATCAGTCATAATTGCCTGGAGCAGCGGTAGTTCATAAAAGCATTGTGCCTTTTTTTCCTAAACGCCAGTGAGACAGTGCATCCTTGTGCCCTGCTGAGTTGGGAAGAGTTTGTGGAAGTGTGTGACTACGCGCTCAGACGCACGCTCATCTCTTTGGCCAAGAGAGAAATGCGCATTCAAACAATGTGATTTTGTAGTATGTGCGCAGTGGTTGCAACTCGAGGTAGTGATCAGCGGTGTAGGAAAGCCAAGCCAAGAAGTGCGCCCCTAGTGTCAAGTGACACTAACATGCAAAAATAAAACCTAAGTTTTTGAGCACGTATGCTATTATCAGAGCAACCACGAGAGCTAGATGCGCTGCAGAGACTTTTTCCGAGCATTAAGGACTCATTAACGTTGTTCCCTGTGTGTCAGTGTGCGTGAATGACCATAAAGTAAGTGCAATGTGTGATTTGTTGACCAATGTGCCTGTTATATCCATATGTCCGTGTTTAGACTCGTGTTTTCTTCAGTCTCATTTAGCATTAGTGATGTGACGTACATTATTCAAATAGAGTTCTAATGTTAATTGCCCTGCTAATTCATAGCTTACAGTTAATTCTATTGTTAAGTGTATTGTGTATTTGACTGCCTGGCGCTGCGTCTCGCACCAAATTAAAGGGCATGTCCGTAACTTTTGGTAGCACCCAAATAAGTGCTGTTATGTTGCTGTTATTGCATTTTAGTGTCAATTTATAGCTGTTAAGAGTATGTTATGTATTATATGTCTTGTAGTTATGTACGGTGTATAGCTTGTACATTTATTCATTATATGTTTGTTCTTTGTTGCAGACCACACACACACACACGTTACGTATTTGTAAACACACAGTAAACGTGTTAATAAAACAACGACTGAGAAATATCCCTCCTCTGGACCCTGATTCTCTGACCGGAATCTTTCCATACTGTTGCCGCCTCAACCAGTGTAAATCCCTTAGTGGGCCAGTTAAAATATTGAGCCTCCACTTCAAGCGGAAATAACCAATGTTGACGCGCATAGTGAAAATGTATGCAGAGGCAAAGCCTCATGAGAGCAACCCATTGTGCGTTTTTGACATATGGATTGATGCATTGAGAGACAGAAAAACAATAAAAAACGTTACCAGCTCCAGAAAATTGTTCTCTGAAGGTTGGCTTTGAAGGTGGATACATGGAAGAAGCTGTAGTCACCTGTGAAATTTAAATCATACTGAATATAATATCAAAACAACATTTTTACAAAGTCTATTCCAGCTTTTTGCAATTTTGAGGGCGCTGTCCTTTTCTATGGTAACTGCCCTGGAGTCAGGCCATTGTGAAACCCATTATAGTGAAAAAGCATGAAGTAAGGAACATCAGTTATACCTCTGAATGTCTCAGTCTGTATTCCATCAGCACATCAGTCAACTTTTGGGTCACCTTCAACACCAGCTCGGCATCGCTTTCATTCTCTATTTTGAAGGTATCCTAAAAACAAGAAAAAGGATGATAGCCATTATTTTGCAACCAATATTTTCATTATCAATATCATCAGGTTTCAGGAAATGACTTCTTTGTCAGATCAAAATAGCAATTACTTCTACCAGGGGGTAATAGTAGTTTCATAAAGAAATAAACTACTAAATTGGCGGCACGGTGGCTGAGTGGATAGCACTCTCGCCTCTCAGCAAGAAGGTCCTGGGTTCGAATCCCGGCCGGACCAGGGCCTTTCTGAGTGGAGTTTGCATGTTCTCCCCGTGTCTGCGTAGGTTTCCTCCGGGTACTCCGGTTTCCCCTACCACTACAAATATGTACAATAGGTCTGGCATGCGCCTCCTGTTCGGCGACCCCGCTCCCATCTCTGTGTGGAGTGAGAGGACAAGTGCCCAAAAAAAAAATATATAACAATTGTAAACCGCTTTGTGACTCTGGTCTGTGAAAGGCGGTATATAAATAAAGCTTACTTACTTACTTACTTACTTACTAAATTTAGGAGCTGAAACCAGGGAATTTGTTATGGAAAGGAGGTTTGCGATCTACAAGTGATTTTTCTTTGAACTTGTTTTAATATCAAGCAAGATTCAATTGATTCAATAATATTCTCTACCTGGACTGACCAAAACAAAGCAAACAACATTCACTTGCCAGGTAACTGAGTAGTGTTCCAGAGCAGTCTCCGCCAAGTGCCGGTGGACCAGCAGGTCTTCGAGGAGGTGGCAAAGCAGGTTTACTCATTGGTCTCTGAACTGGTCTTGGAGAAGGCCTCATCATGGGCCTTTCCATAGGTCCTCTTCTTTCCTCCAAATAGTCGCTGGGACGGCCATAGCCATCATAGCCACTGGAGCCTCCATAGCCATCATGGTCAACGGCACCTCCATAGCGATCATAGTCACTGGAACGTCGACCTCCATCAAAGTCAGAGCCTTGCCCATAATCATAAACACCAGCACCATATTCTTCTGCTGTTTGGTTATAACCCCCGTCATCATAGTATGTCCGACCCACACTATAATCAGAGGGAGTCTGTAGAGTTGAGTACCCTCCAAAGCCATCCCTTCTATAACCAGCTGGTGGATGAGTAGCCCCAGGAATAGCTGAGGCTAGAATAAAAACGATAAGATAAAAAAACAATAATAAGGAAATAAGTATGTATACATTAGGGCGGGGCGATAAAACGTCAACCATATATGTCGCGATAGACATGTGATCAATATCCATGGAAAATGGGGTTGATAGAAAGTAAAGGAGGATTTTCTACTGTTGATCATCAAGGCTATTCATCAAGGCCTCCCAATTGTCAATCATACTGGTGATACAATTTGGGAAATCCTCCTATATACCTTTAACTCTGTCTGAAAAAAACAGGACGAAAAGCAGAGCCAGAAGCGCATGGCATTCTGGGGGAAGTAGGCAAAGGCTTCTCAACCCATCATGGCCGAGCATGAACCGCAAGGCATTCTGGGAAATGAAATTAATAAAAACTGCCAGGAGTAAAGAGTGCACGGGAGAAAATTGTAGATAAAGAGGAAAGGTCATGTCACCAGATTGGCAGAATGTTTTATTTTTACAGTCCGACACGAGTCAGAGCGATGCGGTCCACTAACTTTGCAAGGTTGTCGTCCCTACCAAGTCTGGGAACACGACAAATGCATTTATTTATTTATTTAGGTAAAAAAAAAAAAAAATCACCCAGCCCTAATATAACAAATATGTGCTGAAAGGTACTTACAAAAATCTTTGAATGCTGGCAACTCACAGGGTTCTTTCAGGATTACCTGGAACCAAATTCATGCAATAAGTCACAAGATTAAGACATATTTAAGATGATATCTCACCTTGAGCTGCCCCCTTCCCTCAGTTTTTTCAATCTCTGCTGCAACTTGTTTCAGGTTGACTTTTATTTCTTGGTCTTTACCAATTGATTCCTCTTCATGAGGGAACTTCTCAGGACACGTCTTTTTCTAAAGAAGGGTAAAAAAGATAGGTCAAAAAAAACCAAAAAACATTTCAATCATAAACAAACAAATTGCAATCACAGAAAAGAGGCAGACGCTTTTATGGCTCCTACCCCTCACCGATATTCTAATACATCCATGCCTCTCACTCATTCAACACATTTACCATCCATTCTTTTCATGGTACCCAATACTGACCAAAAAAAATTGTTAAAGGTTCTTACAATGTATCTGAACATGTGCTTCCATCCCTTGATGTGCTGGATCATGTGTTGTTGCACTTGATTTACGCTGCACAATTTGCAAACATAGTGTGGTTGCACAGATTTACTTGGACTGCGATACTCCCACACGTACTGAAGGCCTGGAAGTATTTAACAAGATCGCTCAGAAATGCATATGGTAATCATGAAGTCAATACATGCTTTATATACAAGTACATTTCCTTACCAATGATACTGGAATCAGTGATTTTTGCCAATTCACTGCTAATCGATTGCATCATCAAGATATTGCCAGCATGTGAATATACTTTGAATGAAGAGAAATGCAGTTAGAACTAAAAATAATTATCTAAAATACATTTTGTTTTGGTTAACACCAAAGCAGACCAATAGTAAAACGCAACTACATGATAGTGGCCATACCCGTTTGACAAGGCCTGAAAGCATCAGATCTCAATAGTACATGGCAAGACATATTGCCAGTATGAATCTCGGTGCGAGGGATTAGCGGAGGTTGAAAAGACAGATCCCCCCTCTTTAGTCAAGTCTACCCGAGGGCAGCTGGGGCCACTGTATTAGTAGTTTCCAAGAATGCACATATTGCAGAAAAAGGGTATGTGTGACACACCCTCTACAAGCCTTGAAGTTAATCTGCAATCAACCTTTTTATTTGAAAGTGTCCGCATCAGTAGTGAAGTGAACCTTTCGGCTCTTACCCGCTCTCACCATCAAACCCTTTGTCAATAGTATCTGATATGGGACCCGTTTGGCAATTAATTTTTCAATGTTCATATCTTGAAGACATTGAAATAAAACACCAGGATCATACAGACCCAACTGTTGAGTGTCAGCAGCAGGGACCAAGTAGTCTTATTTGTACTACCTTTCCATCAGCAACCAGGCTTCTCAACTTGCCCACACTCACTCATTGATCACACGTCAAACAACTAGCTGGCTAGGCCCATTCCTATTTTTCCACAAAATTATAAAGCGCCTAAGCATATCAATGGGAGTGCAACAATTCATGAATCTGTATGATTCACAATGCATAGCTTCTCATTTAATATGTTGTTTATTACAGTCTGCGTTGTACACCCTCTCCGTTGTGGTGCCTCTGAATTCACAAACCACAGCGTGCAGGCTGTCGCCAACAGTGTCCCCGCCTCTCCCTCATTAGCAGCAGTCTGCCACGGAGCACAGTAGAGGCTGGACAATTATTTTGCGGAGGAACATGCTCCTGACAACAGCATGGTCACAGTGCTGTTGAGGCATCGCATGATGAGATGCCAGGAGTGATTGTGTATTTTGACCGAGTCACAATAGCACAGACACACTGCACAAAGCAGACCACTGGGAGGTGTTTGAGGGGCTGTAAAACAGGTATTTCCCAGCGCAGCTACAAATAATGAAGCCTACACTGGCATTTCTGCATTATGATACAATAATTGTTACACCATGATTTATGCTTTGACACAGGACTGTAAGGAAAAAGTATTGATACAACTATTATATTAGCTTTTCATTATTAATACATTTACTATAAAACAGTCCAAAACACTTATTTAGAAGTTTTAAAAAGAGATTTTTGAAATCAGCCACTATAAGCTTGACCAAAATGGGCTGTAGTGTAAATTTAACATCAAAATGAGTACATAAAAATGCTAAAAATATGAATGTAAAAAAAACTTAAGACCAAGGTCTCAAAGTAGAGGTTCCCCTGCCAAAGGTAAGAGAGTTACATCTCAATCCCTTAGATTGGCAGTGGGAGAACAAACTTACCAATCTTATCAGTATTCTGCGACGGCTGTCTCTGTGAGGGTAGAATATACCCAAATAAAGAAGAGACACAGGCATTAGTAACAGCATGGCACTCTGAATAATGCCAAGTGGCTCCTTCTTTGGAGTTTGTAGTGCAGGACCTTTAGGATGTGTGTAGAGGTTACTTGTAGAGAGCTTTATGGAATAAGACATTCATTCGAGGGAGAGCATATGGTTGTCACAGGCAATCTTAATGGGCAAGTCCTCAACATCAGGAGAATGATCATTTATCTGAAAATTCCCCACTGTGGGACAGAGAAAGTATCTCTTAATCTTACCCACTGTAGTGAATTAAAGCACTACGACAAATTATACATCTATAGATAAAATGTACAATAAATGATTTTCTTTGTTGGGCCTTCAACAGGTCTGGATCAAGTCATGAATAAGACTGACTTGAAAATGTCAGTCAATCCCAAGCCTATTTAAGGCATATGGTCCACTCAAGTTTTCATTCTTGAAAACCTTGTTTTTTTATGTGTTTTTTGTGTGTGCAAATGCAATATTTGCACCTTTTATGGCAGCAGTTTGTTTTGCATAAAAGAATGCAAGATCCAACTGCCATGCCAGGAATCCCATTTCAGTGAGAAACTGAAATGAGAGTGAATAGAGTAGATGCAATGCCATACAAATTAATTAAAAACACAGGATAGTGCCCATCCTCAAACAAAAAGAATCCTCTACACGAGGCTGCTTCAGGGAGCATGATGAGACGCAGACTGCAGTCTGTGCCCTATTGCAGGTCCCGGATCCCTACAGCAGCAATTGGGAAGGCAAAATGTGCTACCCGATAGCTATCTTGAAATTCATTCCTGAAAATTAGATCAGTACAACAGATCCCATAGCAAAGGACCAAGACAGCGTTACAAAGTCCAGGCAACGTTTAAAAGGGACCTATTCTCATTTTGTTGGTATATTGTGGTCTTTTTTGTGTTAAATAAAACTCATTTTGACAGATAGAAACCACTAAGGGTGAAACTATCAATAATTATCATGCAAAAAGAAATTCGCGGAAAAATTGCCTAGACCGGAAGTGACGTACACGTAGGGGTCTTTGGGCTTTGTTGATATGCCTTTGCAAGCCATAACGTTGTATACGGACGTTTTAAAACAGATATTTGTTATTCAGTGATGGACAATACATGTCAGGGTTTTTTTTTTAAATGAGCCCTTGCGTACTTGTTATGACAGCAATTCTGATTTTGAGGACTCTGACTCTGTTCAGATGAGGAGCAAGCTTCAAGAACTCAACATTTGCGAACTTTAAGACAGTTTCCACGGGCTGAACTCATGGAACTATGGTCCGACCAGTCTCGACACTGTTTGCGGATGCGGTCAGTTTGAGCTCGATGGCGCCACCCGAGTGAGTGTAAATAAATGTTAGCGAAGATAGCGCTAGGGACGAAGGAATGGATATCACAGTGCAGAGAAAAGTTAAGCGTAAAAGTGAAGACCGTGAAATGAAAGATTCCAGCCGTAAAAGTGGACAGAACCGAAAAGTCTGGAGGTGGTTTGACAACATGGAATATTTTTACGGACATCAGCAAACAAGCTAACATCAGCTAACACGTCAATACCCGCAACACCGAGAGAGAAGCCTCAACTATATGTCCCAGCTCCAGATGTTGAGTTTGAGAGAAATGGTGAGTGCCTGTCTTCAATCAAATGCAAACATGTAGTGTTATGGTCATATTCTGAACATTTGTCTGTGGTTCTAAAGTCTAAAACATAATGGTATGTGTCATATCTATATCTTTTACTAAATGTAGTTATAGAGTAAAACATTGATTCATGGTTCAATGACAGTCATCGTGTTTTCTGCTGAATACTGGGTTGAAACTAGTAAAACTGGTTTTAGTTGGAGCTTGATAGAACTAATTTCAGGTGGCATGATGGAACTAGCGCTGGTGTCTTCTCTCAGTTTGTTTGGACTGTCACCTTCTCTGAATAAGTCAGTCAAAGATCGTAGGGACTGCTGTTTAGACTCTTTCGGTAACTTTCATTGCTGCATCCCGGGGGCATGCAAAATACACCTATTTTAAGGAAATTCTTGTTCGTTTATCTCTAGTCTTATTTGTGTCGCAGCAGAAGCACAGTCATAAACACTTAAGCGAGAGCTTCAACCCCTACAACTTTTGTCAATGTTCTGAGCAATCAGAGGCGTTGATATTGAAAACCTATTTTACTGATTTGTTAATTATCTATAGCATAAAAACACATTGCTGTGGTGGGAAACGCATGTTTGCAATGTGTCTTATACAGTGGGGCAAAGAAGTATTTAGTCAGCCACCGATTGTGCAAGTTCTCCCACTTAAAATAATGACAGAGGTCTGTAATTTTCATCATAGGTACACTTCAACTGTGAGAGACAGAATGAAAAAAAAAAATCCAGGAATTCACATTGTAGGATTTTTAAAGAATTTATTTGTAAATTATGATGGAAAATAATAAATATTTGGTCAATAACAAAAATGCATCAATACTTTGTAATATAACCTTTGTTGTCAATAACAGGTCAAACTATTACTATAGGTCTTTACCAGGTTTGCACAGACACAGTAGCTGGTATTTTGGCCCATTCCTCCCTGCAGATCTTGAGAGCAGTGATGTTTTGGGGCTGTCGCGGAGCAACACGGACTTTCAACTCCCTCCACAGATTTTCAATGGGGTTGAGGTCTAGAGACTGGCTAGGCCACTCCAGGACTTTCAAATGCTTCTTACAAAGCCACTCCTTCGTTGCCCGGGCGGTGTGTTTGGGATCATTGTCATGCTGGAAGACCCAGCCACGTTTCATCTTCAAAGCTCTCACTGATGGAAGGTTTTGGCTGAAAATCTCACGATGGCCCCATTCTTTCTTTCCTTAACACGGATCAGTCGTCCTGTCCCCTTAGCAGAAAAACAGCCCCAAAGCATGACGTCTCCACCCCCATGCTTCACAGTAGGTATGGTGTTCTTGGGATGCAACTCTGTATTCTTCTTCCTCCAAACACAACGAGTTGAGTTTATACCAAACAGTTCTACTTTGGTTTCATCTGACCACATGAAATTCTCCCAATCCTGTGCTGTATCATCTATGTGCTCTCTGGCAAACTTCAGACGGGCCTGGACATGCACTGGCTTCAGCAGGGGAAACGTCTGGCACTGCAGGATTTGATCCCCTGTCGTCGTTGTGCGTTACTGATGGTAACCTTTGGTACTTTGGTCCCATCTCTCTACAGGTCATTCACCAGAATGACCTGTGTCATTCTGGTGAATGACAGAACCATGACAGAATGACAGAACCACACCCCCTGTGTGGTTCTGGGATTTTTGATCACCGTTCTCATGATCATTTTGACCCCACAGGATGAGATCTTGCGTGGAGCCCCAGATTGAGGGAGATTATCAGTGATCTTGTATGTCTTCCATTTTCTGATAATTGCTCCCACAGTTGATTTGTTCACACCAAGCTGCTTGCCTATTGTAGATTCACTCTTCCCAGTCTGGTGCAGGTCTACAATTCTTTTCCTGGTGTCCTTCGACAGCTCTTTGGTCTTGCCATAGTGGAGTTTGGAGGCTGTGGACAGGTGTCTAATATACAGATAACGAGTTCAAACAGGTGCCATTAATACAGGTAACGAGTGGAGGACAGAAGAGCTTCTTGAAGAAGAAGTTACAGGTCTGTGAGAGCCAGAGATCTTCCTTGTTTGAAGTGACCAAATACATATTTTCCACCATAATTTACGAATAAATTCTTTAAAAATCCTACAATGTGAATTCCTGGATTTTTTTCACATTCTGTCTCTCACTGTTGAAGAGTACCTATGATGAAAATTACAGACCTTTATCATTATTTTAATGTGGGAGAACTTGCACAATCGGTGGCTGACTAAATACTTTTTTGTCCCACTGTATATGAAAAAATAGTTTTTAATAAGGATAGTTCCCTTTTAAACGTTGAATTAATTAACAATTGAAAGTGAAGACTAAATCACTGATTTTTATTTCATAGAAAACCGATAGATTAGCGTTGATGTCCAGTTTTGTCAATGACCAATTGAACTTACATTTGGAGCTTTACCCCTCTTATTGGGGTTTTGATGGTGCCCAAACGGGAATTTCCTTTTTGCACCTTGGGTAACATAGGTTTCTGGATACATGGGGTCCATTTCTGAAATTATAACACAAACAAATAAGGCAGTGTTAAATCAATTCCTCAGACACGAATGAGTTAAATGCTGGCTTTGAGTTGGTTCATAGGCCGGTGTAGTCAGACTAAAACCGATCACCAAATTGCTGATGTTTTATTGGATTTATTGGATTTAGGTGATTAACACAACTTCAGCACAACATTATGTTACTATAGAAACACGCCATCAAAGAAAAGACCAAACAAAGCTTTCCGGTGAATGCAATATTGCGGTTGGTAGCGATGAAGCTAAGCTAGCACGCTATAGCTTTTATTGTCAAACGAAACGTTTAGCTTCGTTAGCACTCTCTTAGAGTGGAGTACACAAATATGGATGCCATGTGATAAACACATACTAAAACAGCATATAAAGCTAGATTACCTGCGAAAAAGAATGAACGGTACAGACAAGCCCAAAAAAGTCGATTTGTGTTAGGTCACAGTACGAGTCCTCAAAAGAACTGTGACGTCGTCAGCACGAGCACATCTAAAGACCACAATGACGAGACTACGCGGATGTGCCTGAATAGAAATACGTAAACACGACTAATGAACAATGCTGTTAAAATTGTCGATGCAATAAATAGTTGTTCTCAATACTATGTAACATGTGTAGTTTGCTGCTCTTGGCGCTCACTTATTTTTTTCTACATGTGCTCAGCGTAACGTGCGTCAACACCTCAGGACCCCTGTGTTAGCCTGTGTACACATACCAAGTGTGCGTACGCTGCCTTTGCGTTTTATTCTGCTTTCTGGATAATTTCATACGTGTTCACATCAGTGTTTCATGCTGTCTATACGGCCCTCTAATCCTTCGTACTAGTAAGGTAAACAATATATTTTATGTGTATTACCGGTCAATCAGGCAACACGTTAGCTTGTGGCTAATGCTCAAAACTCATGCCTCCCACTGCACCACAAACCCAGGGCTGACCCATTATACTTACACAGCAGTCATCACTAGGCCTGTCATGATAAAAAAAATATGAACGCTATTATTGAGAAAGATATTGTGCAATAAACGATCATGAAACTACTATATGCCACAGACATGTTCAACAAAGTAATTGACACAAACTTAACTGCAGAATTAAACAATATTTCTCCACAATGGTATTATTAAACCACCTTGCCCAATTTAAACCAAATGAATCGGCAATTATTTTCTTAAGAAAGGGAAATATCCAGACGATAAATATTGACTAGTTGTTACGAACAATAAATTATATTTTTTGTGACCAGCCAGGTCATCACCACATAGAATACAGTTTTCCAAAAACGTGTTCACTTCAGTTAGGCTTGCTGCTCTCATTGCTCACTCTATTTTAAACAATTAGATATATTCTTAAAGTGAGAGGGTTTGAGCAGCAATTTGCATGCTCCATCTTTTTTTTGTATGCTTCCTAAATTCATCTTTTTTTTTACAGAGCTAAGCATAACATTTGACAATGAAAGCCAAATCCAAGAAAAAGAAGAGGCAGGATGATTTCCAGAAAGTGAAGTTGAAGATTGGGAAAAAAAAGCCTAAAGCTGACAATGCCACCAACACAAGCTTCCGTTCAAAGGGAATCAATCTCCCTGCACAACTAAAAAAGGATGCGAGTGGACCTACTACTCACAGGAATCTGGGAATAAATGTAAGTTTATTAATTACACAGCCCTGGTTCAACAGGTTACCCATAAGTTGGTACTGGTTACCCACAGTTTAACCAGTCCCAACTTAAATGGCGTTCCAATCAGCATCTGCCCCTTTGCTTAAAGTTGGATCCAAGCAGCATGGCTCAGAGCAGCGTTTGTCTACTGTTGTGCATTGACTTGTGCGGGGTATAAAATAAACAATATTTATCAAGTCCCTCAAGGAGTTGGAAGGTGCATAGGTGTATTAACTAAAATTAAGAACACAATATTTCAGTAACAGGGGCATGTAGAAGTAAAACATGTTCACCTACTGATAACCTAAAATCTTACACTTAAAAATCAATCAATCTTTATTTATAGGGCGCTTTTCCTGCACAGGGCAACACAAAGCGCCTCACAGTCCACACCACACAATGCACAAAGCATCACCATTAAAATACAATTAAAAACACATATGTAATTAAAAAGCATTAACATCACACAAGAAATTTAAAAACATAAGAATCACACAAGTAATTAAAAACAGTAAAATAGTTAAAAACACAAAAAGTTACAACAATAAATAGTAAGGTGTGTTAAAAAGATAAAATTCTTTAGTTGTATGCACAGGAAAAAAGAAAAGTCTTTAACATGGATTTGAACATCGACAGAGAGGCAGCCAGTCTCACATCCTCAGGAAGACTGTTCCAGACTTTAGCTGCATGAATCTGAAAAGCAGCCTCCCCCTGTCTAGTCCTGACTCTGGGCACTAACAGGAGTCCCGTCCCTGCGCTCCTCAGAGTCCGGGCTGGTTCATATGGGACTAGCATATCATGGATGTACTTTGGTGCAAGGCCATGGAGAGACTTGTACACCAGGAGAGCTGCTTTAAAGTCTATCCTCTGGGCCACGGGAAGCCAGTGCAGAGACCTGAGGACCGGACTAATGTGGTCGTACTTCCTGGTTCTAGTCAGGACTCGGGCTGCAGCATTTTGAATATACTGCAGCTGTTTTACTGCATGTTTGGAGATACCTGTGAGCAAAATTAATAAAGCGTGTGTCCATAGCTAATACTTTGTTGCTCTAGAAAGTAGAAACATTGTCAAAAATCTAGATCGCTAATTTCTCTTTGTAAAAAAGTACTTCTGCAGTCATATGACCGTGGGATTAGAATGTTCCCTCCCACCGTTTAATGAGTTGATCTCAGCAGCATGCAACCAATTCATTATTGAGGAATAAATCTCATTAATGTTTTTACTTTGTAATGTAAAAACATGGTTGGTGGAGGCTGAATGAGTCGTTTACAGTTAATACCAAAAATCCTTTTTTGTTTTTGCTCATGCCTTTTAATGGTAATAATTAAGCATGTCACAAAAATGGGAAGTAATGAGAGTGGGAGTAATTTTGTTAATTTATTTGTAATATCAAAATAAGTATTTATTTATTTATGTGTCTATTTGCCACACATAATGCCGTTGTCTTCTTTTCTTTTAGGATCTTCTGTCCCAGCTACATCATTACAATGCAAACATAAAACATGGTGCCTTGCTTGGTTTGAGGGAGCTACTTTCATTAAATCCACAACTGCTGGATTCGCATCTCTCTCGTTTGCTCTCTGAAGTCGCTGCAGTTTTTACAGACAAGGACGGAAATGTTCGCATGGCAGCCACGCGTGTGCTTAGGTAAATTACGTTACTATACAAGGATCAAGAGTTTCGAGCTTCCGGCTCGACCGCACGGCATTGTGGGTAGTTTTCTCAAAAAAGTGGGCATGACATCACGCTCTCCTATTAGATTACCTGTTGCGAGTGTGATCTGTCTCTCGTGTTTCCAGCCCATCGATTGTTTTAATCGCTACAAAAATCACTAATTTCAGACATTTAGAATTTTAGATGTAAACACAACTGACTGAATATAGAGCTACATGCAGCTTATGCTACTTACGAGGATCGAATGCTTACACGCGAGCTTTATAAACTTTCCCAAAGCTGTACTTTGGACATATTTGTCTGGTGTGGAGCTTCTGAATGTAGAGAAGGCCAAATACCTGGGGCACGTAATCAGGAGAGACCTCAGTGATGCCGATGACATTCAGAGGCAGTACTGTAAGCTGTATGGACAGGCTAACACTTAAGCACGGAGATTTCACATGTGTACAGATAAAGTGAAAATAACTTTGTTTAAAGCCTACTGCACACCTCTCTATACTGCCAGCTCACTGTTTGTTCTTAATTATGTCCCCACTCTGAATGCTCTGATCAGAAATGTTATTTATAAGTTCATGAAACGCTCTGAGGGCTCTATGTCAAAAGTACAGCTTTGGGTAAGTTTATAAAGCTCGCGTGTAAGCATTCGATCCTCGTAAGTAGCATAAGCTGCGTGTAGCTCTATAGTCAGTCGGTTGTGTTTACATCTAAAACCACAAGAAAAAGAATGCATTGCCTTTTTGTTGCATGAAAAAATCTTTACCTTACCATCTAAATGTCTGAAATTGGTGATTTTTGTAGCAATTAAAACAATCGATGGCCTGGAAAAAAGAGAGACAGATCACGCTCGCAACAGGTAATCTAATAGGAGAGCGTGATGTCATGCCCACTTTTTTGAGAAAACTACCCACAATGCCGTGCGGTCGAGCCGGAAGCTCGGAACTCTTGATCCCTGTATTGACCAGATGCATCAACGTCATCCAGTCACGTGATTATGAATGAGCTTACGGCGGAAGTATTGGAAACTAGCATTGCTGCGAGAGCAAAACGGACTACAACTCTTAAAAACGGAGCTTCCTCTCCTAAATCGAGAAGTGGCTGCTTCAAGCACATGTTCGATTACGTTATAGGTGGAAGCAGGACATCAGGTCAGGGCTCACAAAGAGTGGTATTTGGAGAAGTTAAGGATCGCCTAACTGGATGTTGACCCGTACCTTCTCCCCCCAGTCAATTTTATCGATTTAAATAAAATGTCTATTTTTGCCCAAATTCACCCTACATGATCTTTATCATTATCGTTAACAATGCATCCCCTCACACTGGAGCAGATTTATATGTACATTTCGCTGGTAGCATTAGCAATAGTCCACTTTTCTGTGGCTTTTCTATCTACAGCCAAACATGATACGTACTGACGGAGAGGAAAATAGTGAAACACGCAATTGACTTAAAAGATAAAAATGTCAATGTTACAGCGCACATACAGGACAGTAGTAAGAGACACGTTTGACGTGTGTCATTGTCCTCCAAATTAATGGAAATAAATTAAATACAAACTTGTGATTGCTTTATCTTGTAAAAAGTGTTCACTGCATATTAGGGAGTACTTGGATGGGTCCCAGTCCTTTTGGTTGATTGCCGCTGGCCATCGTCGTCTTCTGTCTTCATGACGAGCAGGTATCAGATAAAAAAGCTTATGTCCTTGCCTGTTAGTATAATCAACCGCACTGCAAAATGTCACAGTTTTGGCTGTAATGCGCTGAAACAGGTTGTTTTGGTCAGGTGTCCGTAGGCTCGCAGTTAGACTTCTGCCGTCTGTCATGGTGAGTGGGCGTGGCCGGGACGTCACATGCAAGGGGTCAATACTTAAATAAAACTGACTTGATGGTATACTCATCAGTGTCTTTACTGCATTTTCTGTATGCTTTGCAACTAATTTGATTATGCAAACTGTTCTGTGGAAAACATAACTTTCAACTTTGGTTTTTTTCATTGTATGGTTTAGGGCTGCACAAAATATTGAAAAAATATTGTCATTGCGATATTGGTACGTATATTAAAAAGATGCACAATGCATTTCTCGTACGAGCACTAACGAATCTAGAGTGGAGCACCGGAGACACTTTACCTCCGGTAACACTTTACCTCCGGAATTTGGGATTACTTCAGATCTATAAGACAAGACCACTCACAGAAACAAGTTATTTGCAAATCATGCCAAAAAAATAGTCGCTACGTCGAAGGGAAACAAGACAAATCCCCAGAGCAACCTCCAGCACTGTAACCACAAGGTTCTTTATGTTGTGTATTTACAATCTAAAACTCCACAGCCTTCTCCGGTCAAACGAAAGGCAAATACGCAAACGAGCATTAATGACAGTTTCGCTTCTGTTACTCCTTATGAGAAAACTTCGAAGCGACACAAAGTTTGAACTGCAGCCGTTGCGCGATATATAGCGAATTTCACACTCTTTGTTAAAACTGTGGATATGGAATTGGCTACTTTAGGCAAGATTTGAGGTTAATATGTGTGTCATGCTTTTTTGCGGTTAAATACAGATTGCATTTTTAGGTTAAAGACAAAAATATTGCTATAAAATCGTTATCGAAATACTGAACACCCATATCAAATATTGCTCTAATTTCCAATAACGTGCAGCCCTAGTGCGGTTTCAATTGTCTGTCTTCTATACCGTCTGTAAATGTGCGCAGGTTTATTGCCCAGTCGGTGCCAGCAGAAAGAGTGGCCCCTTTTTTCCCCCTCCTCAGTGCCCACCTGTCTTGTGCCATGTCTCATATTGAAGTGGGAATTCAGGAGGACGCTGTGAAAGTTCTGGATGTGCTTCTGGAACACTACGCCTCCCTGCTCGCCTCCAGACCCGCGGTACTCCTCACCAACTTCTTGGAGTTAATTTCTCACAGACAAAACAGTGGAGCAGTGAGGAAGGCCCAGGATACCAAAGCGAGATCATGGGCGCTCTCAGTAAATCCTGGCCGAGCTGTGACAAGCCAACAGTGGCGGCTAAATGTCCTTCTGAGGTAAGTGCGTGAAACAAAAACATAAATCTGAAATGTCAACCCTGTAGGGATGGGTAGTATCATTTTCACTTATAGGGTGAGTTCTTGTGATTATTATCAAAGAGCGACTGATTTTGACGTTTGACTTATATCTGCAATTTACACAAGACTAAAATAGTCTATTTGATAATAAATCTTTATGGAAGTAAATTGTTTCAGTAGCTAATATGGATATTGATTGTTCATTAGAAGTTGGTATAGTATATTTAATAGGGGCTTTTTGTTTCTTTTTGCAATGGTGGATTTTATTTTCAGGGATTCTTTTGTATGTACAATTTAGGGCTGTCAAACAATGAAAATGTTTTAGTTGATTAATCACACTGTAATGGTGAGTTAACTCACGATTAATCGCATTTTTTAAACATTCTATTTCAAATCCACTCCAATTGAAGTTAAATGAGATTATCAAATTTAATGACACATTGTCATTCATACCAAATGTACTTAAATCTGTTGGACAACCTTTTACTTTTGGGCACAACCAAAATGAGCTGTTAATGAAAGGGGGGAATTTACATACCCCAGCTTTAATTCAGTGAGTTTAGTTTAGTTTCAGGAGGAGACAGGACACTTCCGCGCTGCAGTTGCGTGGACAGGTTACGCACAGGTTGCAAAGACACGAACACAACAAGCAGAGAATAGTTCTGTGGTGTGTATGGTCATATATGACCATGTTAACGCGTTCATGAAAAAATGTAATTGACGTGAGTTAACGCGATAATTTTGACAGCTCTAGTACAATTATAATTATATAATATTAGTAATTATTGGCTATTCTAATCAATTATTAAAATAACTGGATGATTAATCAATAAAAAATGTATCAAGACCCATCTGAGGTGTAGCCACTTAAACAATAATAAATCCTGGTTTTACGCTGTTTGATTTCAAAGATCATTTATCCCATTACTAAATAACTACATTAGTTATCACTATTTAGGGTGGAAACAAGTGAATTAGTTAATCTTAAATGGTTATTGAAATGTTTCACAATGATGGACAATTATTGCTTTGTTTTTATGTTTACAAAGCCAGACCTACAAAAAAGAAAATATTACTAAGTTTACTAAGATTTTCCATGGCTATGATACAATCTCATTTGGGAAGTTCTCAGTAACAAGATTCCTGAGTTATCTTTCTTGTAACATATGGTATTGTACTGGTCAATTTTGCATCTGTTTAGCTTTTCCCATAAGTTTAACGTGTGGAACCAACAGCAACGCCAGCTTGTAAATATTGTTCACCTCTATAGCAGTAATTCTTTGACTGTCATTATTTCACTCTTCAGGCTTGGTCAGTTCCTGCAGGCGATTGTGGATGAGAGACCAGTGGAAAAGATGGACATGTCTCACGGTGACGGAGCGTTGAACAGTAAAGAGGGACAAGTCACCGCTCTCACCCTAACATGGGAGGAGCTTGTGTACAGCAAAGTTTCGGTGAACTTGTTTGAACATTCAGGAGCTAAACCAACTCAGTATTCTGCTTTTAAGCTCAGGTATGAAGCTTGTTATGAAAAGTTGCTACAGTTTAAAAAAAATGTTTTATTAAAACTGGAGAACCAAACTTAACCTGATCACAAAAATTGTTGAGTTCTATTGTTAGTTTTCTCATGGATGTATCTTTGGCTTCACAACAATAAAAGGAGATTTGACTTTATTGCCATATTTCCCAGCCCCATGATGGTGCATAAAAAAAACAAATTTGTAATCACAAATAACTATTTGTATTTTGTAAAACATCTGATAAATTGTTCTGAAATTGAGTGAAAGTGAGGCCTAACTTTTGACTTGTCATAAACGCCACATGTTTTATTTTTTGTGTATGAAACATGCATGTTTATTATGTAGTTTATAGTCTCTTAAACCTAAGATGTTGTTGCTGCTCATGACTCTGTTTTTCCCTAATCTGTTACTATTGCGCAGAGGAAAAAAAAAAAATCTGTTGTAAAGTGGCATCATTGTTTTCCCATTGTATAATTGAATATACTTATTCTTAATCAGAATCATTATTATTGCCACGTGGAAATTGCTTTGGCTCAGTGCAACAGTCAGAAAGAGAGGTGAAGAGAAGGCACAATAATAATAATAAAAAATCAGCAACACTTCTAAGGAATAACATTTAAAATAGAATGATTACGATTATAAATACTAAATACAATACACTAGTGCACATGGTGCACACAATATAAGGTGACAGCAGTAAAGTGACGTTATGATGGACTGTCTCAAGTACACAATTGTTACATGAGTTCTTAAATCCAGGACTCCCACTCAACCAAAACCTGGCTTCCCACAAACGGTTCTCATTTTTTGCACATGCTTTTTTTTTATTTTAATTCCATTAGTGACTTTAGTAGTCTCATATCTCTTATATTGTTTAAAGTCTACAATCTGGTTCACATGATACTTGTGAAAAACCTATAATTACTCTCTTCATGTCATTATAATTCTGCTTTTGACTCCACAGACCTCAAAGCGAATCTATTGGTGAAATAGGAGAGAGTTTGGACTCGAAAGAAGCTGTTCAGAACTTCTCGGCGACACTGGTTCCTCTTCTGCTGGAGGTTTGGGTCGAGGCCAGTGTCAATAACAACTCTGGGAACAGCAGTGAAGCCGCCCACCTGCTCACGCCAGACGCCATGTCCGTCATGTTCCAGGTTTTAACCATTCTGCAACTTCTGAGGAAGTTGGCCCCGCACCAAGAGCACCAAGAAGCTTTGGTAAGACCTGTGGTAAACGGATGAGTAGCCCTTTTAGCACTTTTTCACCACCTTGTAGGGCCTCTTTTTAATTAAATATACTTGAATGATTTTTGCCCATTCCTTCTTACAAAAGTCTTCCCGCTGTGAGAGATTCCCCTGCTGTACCTGTATGCATGTTGGCGAGAATTCAATACTTCAATTCAATGATCATATTTGTTGAAACTTTGATCTGGGTGTCCAAACTTATTGTGCGTGTGTATGTATGTTGGATTTTTACTGCTATCAAAAAAACATTAAATGTCAGGAGAGACAAAAGGGGAAAAAAAAATGTCTTGCTTTTTGTATAATGATAAATTATTATCTGTATTTTATAATTTATAATTATTATTATTTTACCTTATGCTAATGTAATACTTTCTAACACAACACAGTGTACTTGACTGAATGTGCTTTTTCTTTAGGACGCATGGTTTCGTAAAGAATACTTGGGTGATTTTAAGCAACATTTTTTAAAGAATTTTCCCTACGGTAACTTGGACACACCCAAGCAAAAAAAGAAGAGTGAACTTAAACGGTTTGTCTTTTTGATCTTTTTCATATTAAAAGTGCGTAGAATGGTTTGAAATTGTTTTTTTAAATTCTGGCTTTATTCTCTGGGACAATACTGCTGTAATTATAAATGATAGTTTGGAACCAACCAGGAAGTAGTTTAAAAAGTTTAGAGTAAAAAAATATGTTGACAATGACAAAAGTCTATGATTCCAGTTTTGCAGTTAGAGCAGTTTTTGGATGTTTGCATCAAGATATCACGTCTTTCTTAACCGCAAACATCCAAAAATCCTGTTATCACACGTACAGCAGCATCCCGGTTTGTCTTAAAGGAAAAGATAAGGTAATTATTATCCCATTGAAAATAAAGGAGGCCACCACTTTTCTGCAAGTCACTCAAACGGCCGTACAGCTGCGTGCTGCGTTCTGACTTATCTTCTTGTCAAAATTGTGCCCAGAATTGCATGTTTTTTCATAGATACCCAGGTACACGTGAAAGTAGAGTGATAGAAAATGGCGAAGGAGGAACAATCTGAGATGCCTTCAAATTCAATCTAAAATAATGCCCAATTTATTTAGATGTTAGATACTGATCTATTTTCACTGTCTAATAATAAGCAATGTGTTTTGATTGAGGTTATTTTAGTTTTGTGTCATATCCTCATCCTTCAATCATTTTTTTTATTGCAAAACTGGAAAAAAAAAGTCACATTTGAAGCCACATCTGAGGCCCTTGACTTCCTTTTCAGTCATATGCACTTTAAGCGTCATCTTTCTGCATTTGTCTTGCGTCTTGTAGGAACAAGCAGCCGGCTGTGCTCCCCACAATGACAGTGGAGCCTTTGGCTTTGAACATCACCCTGTGTCAGGTCATGGTGTCCCTCAGTCAGAAGGAGCCCACAGACTGTGACTCCGGCTGGTTGACTCCCTTAAGGATCTTTGCTCAGGACACATTGAGCAGTGGATCCAAACTGAGCTCTAAGCAGCTCAACATGCTGCTGGACACTGTGTGGAAGATGGTGCTCACTCAGAAGAGCAGGAGTAAGTATTACTCTTAAAGGAATAGTTCACCGTTTTTACATACTGACATATGTTCTTACCTTACCTTAGACTAGTTAATATGTACCTGTCTGGTCTTAGTCCGTGCGCTCTGTCATGCAAACGGAGCAAAAACGGGAGCACAACCGCAGCCTCCTCTGTATATTTTGTAGCACCAAAAGGTAGCTCCCGCTAGAAGCTACCAAACTCTTCCAAGTGTTCCCTATTAAATGTATATAGTTACGTGACGTGTTACACTGCAAAGTATAGTAACACAGAAATGTAACTGTTGATTTTCTCAGCGGATAAAACGGGTACTATATTGTGAGGCGTAGTAATCTGAGGTGCGCTACGTCCGCGCACTAACTTCTCTCCGTACTACAAGTCACGCTGCTTCTATTGACGGAAGTGAGCGAGAGAGAAGTCTCCGGAGAGAAGTTAGTGCGCGGACGTAGCGCTACTCAGATTACTACGCCTCACAATATAGTACCCGTTTTATCCGCTGAGAAAATCGACTGTTACATTTCTGTGTTACTATACTTTGCAGTGTAACACGTCACGTAACTATATACATTTAATAGGGAACACTTGGAAGAGTTTGGTAGCTTCTAGCGGGAGCTACCTTTTGGTGCTACAAAATATACAGAGGAGGCTGCGGTTGTGCTCCCGTTTTTGCTCCGTTTGCATGACAGAGCGCACGGACTAAGACCAGACAGGTACATATTAACTAGTCTAAGGTAAGGTAAGAACATATGTCAGTATGTAAAAACGGTGAACTATTCCTTTAACTCTACTTACTTGGGTGATCAATAATTGTTATGATTCATGGTTCAAAAGGAAAGTTTGACACTTCTGTTTTTCAGCGGTGACAGAAGACCTGTTGGCAGCCATTTATTCGTTCTATCAACAGAAGCACCTTACGGCTCAGACCAGATCCCTGCTGCTGTCCTTTTACAATAAACTGTACCAGCAGGAACAGCTCCATACGCACATCGCCAAGTAAGTATCTTCTCAAAATAGGCAATATCAGTATTGATATCAGTGGGTATTTAAACATTTCTCTAATCACGGATGATATTATATTAACTTTATAACAGCCATTGAAAAATATCTTTATCAACAAGCGTGACAGGTCAAATGGACAATATCAATATTTGCAAAAATATTTATGCTAACTAAGCTTTGCATTTTTAAATGTACTGTTATATTTGTGTGATGCAGGAGTAAGGTGCTGTCCCAGTGGCTGGCCTCTCTTCCCGTGCAGCTGTCGCAGCTGGGCCATCGTAACCCCAAGTTATCAGCTCAGATGATCCGCTTCATTCAGGCCGCAGCCTCCAGGGGAAACAAGGACCTGCTCAAAAGTTTACAGAAATATGCTTCTGAACTTTACGGTATGAGTGAAATATGACTCTATAGAATACAGAAAATTGACATATTAATAGAAAAAACTCAATGATTAATAATTTGTTTAACTCAATGAGAATTATTACCGCTGTTAATTCCCTTTAACAGTAGGGATTCCAAGTTGGTTGCATGGACCTGCAGAGTTTGGAAATCCGGGTATTAGACAAACTTAAGTGTTGGAGTGATAAAGATGAAGTAACTTGATGCCAGATTTCTGTTGTCATTAGAATTGTGGTCGGACAGAGGGCTGTGTGTCAGGGTGGGCCCAGAGCAGCAGGAGGAGGAGACTCTGCTCCGTCACAAAAGTTATTTTGTCTGAGCTTCTGACATCAGCATCTGCGTCAGAGACGAGATGTTCTTGCTTCCTCAACACTGCTTGTATTTTTTGTCATTTTGAAATTTGTGCACCTTGGTGTAGAGAGCCAATGTGTAGACTTTTAATGGTCCTTTATTAAAATAATTTTGTTCTGGTCTAACTACAGGAGGCATGTTTTTGGTGGTAAGAGAAACAGAACCACAAGGAGAAAATGTATAGATAGAGGAGAACATGTAAGCTCCACTCAGTAAAGTTCTTGGATTTGAACCCAAGACCTTCTTGCTGAGAAGCATGAGTTATAACCACTCTTTTGGCATAAGTCTGATCCACAACAGCAATGTAACGTCATATACATCTGCGGGTGGTGAATGCATGTACAGGTCACATCTTTTAGATCAGATCTGCTCCAGGAATGTAATTTTTATTTGTATAAGCAGATAATTGTACATAGAATAGATACCGTTTTTCATTCAAAATGCAATTCTATTTTTATATAACCTTTATTTAACCAGGAGAATCTCATTGAGATTAATAATCTCTTTTTCAAGAGTGTCCTGGATAAGAGGCAACACACTCAACATAAATTTACAACATAAAGAAATACAAGCTAAATCAAAGCTAAAAGATTGAGATAACACATGAAAGCATATACATCAAATGAAACCAATAAAACACTAAAAATAGGAAATTTAAGTACAATGTGCAGACTGTTCATCTAAAGCATTCAGCCGTCTCTTAAACGAGTACAGGGAGGTCAGTTCCTTGAATCTAAGTTTTGTTGCAGCAGATTCCATGCAAATGGTGCTGCCAAACGGAAAGCCTTTTTCCCAGTTCTGTTCTAACAGACAGGGGGACAGACAGACAGCATCAGGACGCTCTGAGACCTCAGGTTATGGGCTCTAGCCCTCCTGGGCGCTAGATAGTCAGCCAGATATTGAGGCAGCAGACCTAACATTGCCTTATAGATAATAAAGTGCCAATGCTTCAGTCTGCGCAATGACAAAGAGCTCCAACAAACTCTCATAGAGCACACAGTGAAAAGTCAAAGATTTTAGGTTGCCACAAATCTAAGAGCTCCGTGGTACACAGTGTCCAGTGTTTGTAAGACCTGTGATGAGGCATGCATATATAACACATCTCCATAGTCCAATAAAGGCAAAAAGGTGGCCTGGTCGTACCACACCATAGTACAAATTACATTTCATACTGAGGTCTGGAGGTGCTCCATTGAGCTCCGTTTGCAGGTGGGTGGGGTTAACTCCTTTTGGAGATTGAAACGATTGGATCTGAGTTTACCGTGACGTATGTTATGCACCCGAGTGAGTAGCATTTAGCCTAGCCATCTCCTTTGTCGCTAACGGAGCCCGTGGGGAGTAGTGCCACAATTTATTCTAGCCATTACATTTGCTAAACATTCCTGTTGCTCTGGCTTCAATTTCTTGATAGAACCAGACCGGATTACTTTAGTATCGCATTTTTCGCCATTGCCAAACTACGACCTTCCCGGTCGACGCAAACTCTTGACGTCACCCACAACTAAATACAACACCCGCCTCCTGCGCTCGCTGGTAGGTCGGTCGAAATTCAACCGATTGTAATCGCTAACACAGGGACTAGACCCAGACGTTACATGCAGTGAAATGATGATTGAGCGGAGTGTACGGATGGCTAAGGCCAGGCTAGCAAAAAGGTAGCAGACATAAGTTTCCTCTTTGCTTGAAAAGATAAGAAAGATTTAATCCTGAAAAATATCCCAATTTCTTTTTTAATTTGCTTGCCAACCGCTGAATGTGTGGTGCAAAAGAAAGGCACTCATCAATTAAAAAGCCCAGATATGTGTGTTTTAGACCTGTATTTCAGATGACTAGGAACTACATGCCTTCATATACACAACGTCATCTTTTAGTTAACCATCATTGGAATTTCTGGAAAGAATATCCTTTGAAACTCAACTTATGATTGGAACTGGTACTAATAATCCGTTTTTGTAGTATATGTGTATCAGACACATTGGCAAATGTATTAACTGTCAAAATGTACAAAAACTTAAATTAGGTTCCTAGGTTCCTAAAGCGAAATTCAACAAAGCAGTGAAACCATAAAAACCTGAAGTTGTCCTGGCGCAATAGTTATTGTTTGTATATTCTGCTGTAGATCCAAACGAAGGAGTTCTCGTATTTCTCCCATCCGAGTTACAACAAGAAATGGTGCAGCTGCTTTACTTCCTTCCCAAGATGCCCCAGTCTCTTCTGGCCAATCTGAGCGGCTGCTGCAACGATGGTCGTATCTCCGCTGCTCTGAGCACCGCACTCATCCGCATTGTGCACCTGAGGTAAACAATTAACGCTTACCCTCTATATTCACACATTTTTCATTTAGTTTACTGCTTAACGGCTGCAACATTCCACGTTTAGCTAAAGCCGGTTTAAAATGTATATAGTAAATAATTTCTCTGTAACCAGGGACTGCATATAGAAACTAGATATAATATGGTGTAGAACATATCTGTCTCTATGAGCTGACTCTACACTGCCCCTTCAATAAAGATTAATAATGATGATGACGTGCTGAACACAGATATTCAAACAACTGTGGTTGCTTTAAAATGTACTATACAAATACATTTGACCACAATTAAGAAAAAATCATGTTGTTTAACTCAATATAACTGGAATCCCACCCGTCAAAACCAACGCTTCCCTGTCTAAAAATAACCAGAAGGTGGCAGTATCGGACTATGTAATTTTACTTTGTATTGTCACATATTCCCCTGAAAAACTGTCATTGTATTTATAATAAACACATGAAGAAGACGACACATGTTTATTTAATGGCAGTTGATACTCACTATTGGTAACTTGTAGTGAATAGGTCCATATACTCTGTATAATAATATTTTTAGGCATCATTGGTGCCATTTATTAACTAGTGGGACTCATTTAATCGGCCAATAACATGACCCTCGTCGGCCATAACAAATGTGTATTAGGCGACGATTTAATTTAATTAAGATATGCAGCAAATTAACACAACATTTATGTTTTTAATTTAATTCACATTATATTGATAGCTGTTCTCGTACTTCTTTATCTTAGTTATTTATTTATTTTATAGCTGAAAGTCAGATACTCTTAGTTTTAATCACATGCAAATCACATATTTATCAATGTATTACTGTTCCATTGTGTGCCTGAATGATTACTTGGCCTTTAGGTCTCGGACATTCTTTAGTCGATCGTAAATTGTGAAATATAAATGACAAGGATAACTTTTGTAATACTTTGAAATTCAGATCAAACTCTTAATTCACAACTTAAAAAAATTACTCAATTAATATTGCTTTATTTGTGTGTTTTTTTAAAATGTTTTTTATTCAACGTTTTTTTACATATGATACAACCCTCAAAATGTTTCATATAAAACGCAAACAATGAAATACTAATATTTAAGCATGTGGTTGTTATGTTTTGCATTTTGGCGTTTTCTCTCAAATATAAACATGAACCAATATGAACTTGGAAAAATATCTCAACAACTCACAAATGTTATAGATTCATAATAATTATAATAATAGCAAAGCTTGTCATAAACATTGCAATTCGATATTAAGCTTTTCTTCTCCCGATGTAGCTGCCTCGGGTTGACGACTGCCCTGTCTTTTGTGTCAGTGGGGCAGTCTGATGTCTTGTATAATGGCTACGTGCGTTGATTAGCCTGCGCGTGCAAAACAGAAATTATACAATGGGACTCTTTTACGGTCAAGAATGCAGCGGCGTCATGAACCATTGAGAAAACAGATCATTTGCGCCTGTGCCTCTCGGGCCTCAGAAGCGTACACACTTTTCCTTTTGTTACTAATGGATCTTGTGACATCAAGAAAAGTTGAACTCAATTGCACAGCACAAAACCAGCATGGCGTGCGTCCTGACTCGGCCTCACACATCTGATCGTACTGATGTCAATGGTTGTTGTTAAATGGAAATTATCTGCTTCTGTGGAAGGTTTTTTTCTTTTTCTTTTTTTTTTTTCAAGCAACACCAGATAGAAATTTTTTTTTTCCAAGTCCAAGCAAGGTTTTGTGGTTGAGTGTTTCTCAAACTGTGGTGCAGAATGGATTTATGAGGGGTCCTCTCAGAATTTAGATTAAAACAAAAATCTTCTTTGTAGTAGCCATGTAGTCATCATATTGTTTTAGATGTTATACTTTACAGTACAGTAATGAAGCCCCAATTTAAACTGCTCTAAAATTACCTGGTGAACTCATGAGATGGTTCAGAGTGGTCAACAATGTTCATATATTTTGTTTTTCTGTCGAGAAAAAGTAACATTTAGTGAGAAAATCAGACCACAATGTCTTCATCTTATAAAAAAAAAACATTTTATCTTTGGGCTGAGACCTGAGTAGTTGTGGTCCTCTCTTGTCTATTGTTCATTATTTCTAATTCATTGTGAGATCAATGTATTTTATCTTATCTTGTCCAAAGGATTTGACTAGTTGGATAGATTGTATTACATAGTTACATGTGATTGTGGTTTGAAAGTTCAGTACCCCAGCTGAAATTATTAAAATTGAACTGCATTCTCATGTTTCTATGTGTTCTATTTAGTTGATGAAAGCAAATAATGGCCTGACAAAGCATGTGTGAATAAGTAACACATGGCAGTGGAAAAGTCTGGCAGTAGTTTTGTCATGCGAAACTCTCTCAAATGCCCGTAATCTCCTCACACACACACACAGGTCTCCAGCGAGCGGCTGGAGTGTGGGCAGCCAGGAGGTGGCGCTGCAGGACATGGACTACCTCAGCTTCCTGTTCTCCTCGCTGGCCGGGTTCTCGTGTGAGAAGCTGTCGTCGCTGCAGAGGCGATCGGACGGATATGCGCTCCCCCTCCGCGCCTTGTCCCCCCTGAGCCTCCACCCCACGCCCACCGAGCACTTCAAACACCACTGGACTGTTGTGGAGGTGGGCTCACACCACATGCAAACACATCCACACACAAACACACATACACACATACACACCTACACACACACACATACACACCTACACATGCACACATGCATGCACGCACGCACGCGCACACACGCGCACACACATGCACACACACACGCACACACATACACACACACCACACACCTACACACACACACACACACGCTCACACACTAATGTCTTGCAAATATTGTAGGGATAAATCAATATGTCTATTTTTTTTCTGCAGCAGGTCATAAATGGAATAACCGATGTTTCCGATAATAAATGCTAATAAGGAATTCTACATATAAAGATGCTACAATCACAATACATAGTACATTATATAGGGAAGTATTTCCCATTATTTTCGACCATTAAAAAGGATTTTATTGTTAAACTTCTTTATTCATATTTTAGAATGTAAAAAGTAGAAAATATGCTGAAACAAATGTCAAGGGATAAATAATGCTATCCACCTGCAACGCTTTATGCTATCACCAGAGGGGGGAGTTGAGTTTAACAATGTAATTTTACTTGAGAATATGCCAAAACTAATTTATGGGTAATGCTATTGTTATTTAAGGCATACAACTGCTCTGCTCTGAATTAAATCATACTATTACAGGACTGAGGCAGGAGCTTTAGATTGAGGGGGCGGAGTTACATGTTTGTGCCAGAATAATGCTGCTGTGTACAAATCATTTCAAACTGCAAAGCCTAGAAACTCTGGCCAAAATGTTCACATGGATTTGGTGACCAATCACAGAACAGTAGATGATGTTGCACTATTCTACAGTTGGTTTGTTTACCGCAGTTGTCAAATTTCTGTTGCGCGTCATACTTTATCAGGTTGAATTGATACGATTTGCATAACGTGCAGACGCATATGATAGACATTTGTACCGCTCAATGAACGGCTCTGGACAATTGTAAACCGCACCCATCCTATGAGAAAATGTTGTGTGGAATGTTCCTTGAAGTGAAACGCATTTTGAAAGCAAGAAATGCCCTAAATAAATGTGACCGCTTACGTGCGTAGTCCAGATGCGTTCATTCGTTCTTCTCATCTTGTCTTTTCCACGACAATAATCCAAGATATGAAACATTGATTCAGATTCAGTTTATTTGCTATTTTCGGTAAAACCTCATTGGAAAAAAACTGCAAGACTACACCAACGTGCACCAGCTCTAGCCACACCGCCATTTACAATTAAAAGTTAGTCTATGTTTACATCCCGAAGACGATAGGCGTACTTCAGGGTTATATGTGTTATATGTATATCATTTAGAATTTCTTCCACAGATAGAAGTTTCTTTATCACACTAACCCTAAACCTAACCGTAAATTCACAAAGGATATATTGTTCTTGCTATTGTTTATAACAGTTAATAATAGCAAACCCTAACCCACAGTATGCTTTTTGTACAAAAAGTTCTTACTCTTTCTAAGTCATCTCCTACAGCCAATCATGTGGTTCGAAGAGAAGTCAATTAAAAAGCCCCAATCTAATAATTATAGTGATCAATGCAATCACAATTCAATTTAAATTAGATTATTGGCACAGCCCTAAACTGATCAAATACGGTTGGCTGTAAAAGGGGATCATTTTAAAAATGGAATAATGTTGATATTCTGGACAGCGCTGTGGTCTTTGAGTGGCCCTCTGGTCTCTCTATATTGCTCATGTAAAATCAGAGGGGGGACGTTTTATCGAGGCGCTCCGGCAGAGTGGGGACCTTTATCGCGGTGCACAGGTTGGAGATGCGTGGTTATCGGGCACAAATGCTAATGAGAGCTTATGGCATGATGGGAGTGTGACATTTGTGCACTGAAATTACAGCGAACGCAACGCTGCCCCGGGGCAAGTGTGTATGGGCGTTTGTGCAGGTTGGAAAGGCTTATAATCACTAATTCGGCTCCTCAATTAAGGCCTCAGATCCCGTCTCTCATCTCCCTGTCGCAGTCAATCACGAGCGGTGGAGAGAGGAGGAGGGAGGGGCCGCAGAGAGCGTGCGGGTGGCAATAAAGCGCGCACTATGTCAAGTCTGCACGCACTAATGAGACGAGATGTTTTTAATGATGGGCCGAATGCCAACAGGTGGGCCGCTCGGAAACTTCTGCTACGCAACTCTGGCTGCTACGCAACTCTGGGTCACGGTTCAGTAATCGAACAGCCTGAACAGCCTGTATGATTCCAAAAGTAATTATCACTGCAGAATGGATCATAGAAAGTAAAACAATTTTATTCTTAATAAGTCCACTCACTGAAGGTGTTCCCAATCGGCATAATGACATCAAACATTATTTCAGCCTATACAGACCTGTTGTATATCATTTTAAAGGTCTGAATCTGCAAAATATCCTTTTCGGATTGAGAATTTATACAGATATTATAGATGACTGTAAAACATCTGCAATGTATGCCAACACTAGCCCAAAGCAGAGATCTTACACAAAGTTCACAATGTCGCTAAAGCTTCGGGCCCAGTGTGAAAAAGCATTCAGGTGACCCCAGATCCTCCAAACGTCCATGTCATACCTCATTTTAAGTAATTAAGTAAGTAATCTTTATTTATATGTGGGCGGCACGCAAAGACGTCGGAACTATTTTCTGAGAGGGGGGGCGGGTTTTTGTTGGGAGAGTCGAGGGAGAGACTCATACTTGGATTACACTGGATAAAAACATACCATCTTAATTGTTAAGAAAAACAAAATAAACAATATATATCAAGCAAGTCACTTATCAAACTGAACTTTTTTTTTTTCAATACGCATTCATGCGTCAGTCTCTCCGGTGGCTTCATTGTGTTGTGTAGCCCAGTGACGTGCGGTCAGATGAGGCAGGCAAGGCCCTCACCTAAGATCATAGAAAGAAAAGTAATAAAATGGATACAATAATGTTTGGTCACTTTATCAAGTGATTTGTGCTGTGCCTTATTTCATTTATTTATACCTTGAAATTGCAGATTTGACAGAGCGGCGCTGTGAGGCAGCCTCTCTTGGGAGACGTAAAAAGCAACAGCTCACAGGGAGAGTCCTGTGAGGTGCTATCAAACTGTTTTCTCTGTTTATCACAGTTTAAAAAGTTCAAAAATATTTAATTTACAATCAACATGTTTACATTTAAGAGGATGGCTCATAAATTGTGTTTTTGAAGCAAATATGGGTCTTAATCGCGCTCAACCACAGCTTGTAAGTGAGGAAAGCCTCAAGGGGGCGCTTGTGAGCCCAAACTTTGGCTGCATCCAATTCCATCAGAAAGCTCCTTTCTTGTTCTTCTTCTGCTAAGGGCAGCTACAGGTTTGGCTAACATACCTATAATACATTTTAAGATAATTTAAAATGCACTTAGAGTAATGTTTTGCTTCCAATGATGATATGAATCATAAGAAAAGGAGGTGAAGGGTAAGGTTGAATTTAGAAATTGGATTTACCCGGGAGTCGGCTGCAGCAAAACTCGGAGTTTACGGAGGAGACACCCGTTTATTTTACTTTTTAAAACTCATTGAACTTATTTCCAAATGGAGGATTACATGTCTGTGCTCAAACTATTATCTGGACTTAAACATGAAACTGGTCCTAACTGAAGTGGTCTGTGCTGTTCATTAATACCTAAGGTAAGGCCCATAACACACTTTGTACTTTTTACAAACGTTTGCGTTTTGTATGAGAAAACAATGCAGACATTAAATCATATTCTGCTGTAGCCAAACAAATTGTGTATAAGCCGCTCCTGTTCCTGTAGGTCCTGTTGGTTTATATGATGTATAATCATATGAACACATGATTGATCCCCCACCGCACGTCACTGGTGTAGCCAGGTCTCTAATCTGCGCAAGGCTGAGAAAGAGCGCTCAGAGGCTGCGACAGATATTAGCCAGACAGAGCTTCATAAGCACCTCCGACAGCATGGAGCGGGTTTTGGGCTGCAAGGAACGCAGGATAGTGATAACTTCTCGCTCCCGGCACACGCGGAGGGGGTGCGGCCGCACCCCCCGCACCCCTAGTTCCGACGTCTATGGCGGCACGGTGGCGCCCTGAGGTGGGTTCGATTCAACCTCCAGGCCTTTCTATGTGGAGTTTGCATGTTCTCCCTGCGCTTTTTGACTCTGGCACTATATAAATAAAGATTACCTTCTGAATCCAGTTGGTCAACCAGTGTCTGTCCAAATTGTTCGGTCTCTAGTATCGACTAGTGCTATCCTATCATTGTCTAAAGTTTGAAAGTAATATGGATCAAGGACTTTCTGACTGGTGAAATGGTGGAGGGCGGGACATTGAAATGAGAACAATAACAAGATTAAGGGGTTGTAAATCCAATTTGAAATACGAGTACCCCGGCCGAACTACTGTTATCAGTTAAAGAAGTATTCAAAAATTATTGAATAGACATTGAAAACGTTCTAGTTACTCTTAAGGATCATGACCTCACTGATTATTCTAGAAAATACCAGATTTAAGCCTTTAAAAAAAAAAAAAAAAAAACATATTTTTGCAATGCAGTACATTGTTTTAGCATTTGTAAATATCTATTGGATCATGCCTTTTATTAATTGACTAATTACAACTGATAAAACAAAGTATCTTTTCAAAATTTTCTGATACTGACCCATACTTTCTGGATTTGACACTGATATTGGATCCCACGTGAACAATACAAAATTGTGCACTTCCCGAGCAGCTTTAGGAAGATTTAGAAGAAATTCGACTATTTTGCATAATAAAACTAGATTAGGTAAAATGTTAGGTAAAATTGCTAATCGAAAGGGTTCAAATTGCGTTATTTAATCTATTGCAATGTATATCTTGCAGCCCTTGAGCAATATTATATTGCTGCAGAGATATATTGCAACATTGGAATGACTTTGTGCCGATGAGAAGTGAACAGAATAATTCCAATCATAAAAAGCTTGTCTAGAGTTTAATCATAGAATCCACTTTGGTGAAATCAGAAGGTAATCATTCTTGTTTAAATTCTGTAATTCTGTTTGCAGGAAGTTTGCCTCTGTCTGGAAAATGTGGGATCAAAGTCTCAGTGTTTTGAGTTCGTGCAGAGTTTCATGCTTAGATATCTGGTAAGCACAACTTGCAAAGCTGAAAGATTCATTCAAGTGTATTGAGTGTTTGTGTGAATTGAGTGTTTGTCGTGTTTATTTTTCAGGCCAAGTTAAGAGTGGTTCCAGACAGCACTGCGGCAGCTCTGCTCAAAGCCGTCACCAGGCTGAGGGACCGGGCTGTAGTCCCGACTGAACCAGTGCTGAGGCTGCTGTCCCAGTGCTGCCTCTGTCTGCTGGCCCTGCTCACCAGTCTGCAGGCGGAGACCCCCGAGACCAACCAGAAGAGGTAAGACAATAATTATAAGACTCCTTTACCAGGGAGTCCATGGAGAAGAGGGGCTGGCAACAGTGAGTGCCAGAGGTGGCAGAAGTACTAAGTACTGTATTAAAAGTATAGTAGTTACTTAGCTTAAAACATATAAAAGTACTCAAGACACCCATACAAGAGTAAAAGTAAAAAAGTACATTAGTATACATTTCAAGAGTACAAAAGTAAATTACTGCCTATTAGGATAATATATTTTTGGAGTTTGCAGAGAATGGATAGCAGCTATTAATATGGTTATCCTTTTATATTGTTCATTAAATAATGATTAATTATTGTACAACAGATGTCACCTGTGGCTTGGATGTATAGCGAACTATCTAAATGACGTCACTAAGACACGCCCCCGCCGCCTGTCAACTCCCGCCCACATGTTTCGGACAAACACTGCCGAAATGAATCAAATACCACTTGTCACTTTAGACGAAAATGATATACCAGGGGCAAAAATCCACCATCAAACCATCAGGGATCATAGTGTAGACCAATTATAACGTTGGCTTGAATGTCGTGGTCTTCCAGTAACTGGTAGAAAGTTTGATTTGATAAAAAGGTAATGGTGAGGATTATGCTAACATTATCTAGTCATTTAAATTGCAATGCTAGCGCCTTCTTTGTTTGTTTTGCTGTGATTAACTTCCATTTATCAAGTTGTTTTTGCACTATCCACTTTGTAATTAGTTTGATCATTAGTTAGCTACAGTCAGCTGATATTATAATAAATCCATGATCACAACGGGTTACGCCACTGTCTCTGAGAGAAACTATCAGAGCTAGCCACACTCAGTAAACGCAAATGACAATCAATCAACACATTTAAATGTTAATGGGAGAATACATTATACACATTCATAACACAAGTGCACGGAGGTTTTCAGAATTAACTGTTCAGGTTTTCATGACAAAAATACTTTTTTAATGCGACTAAAGCGATCGCTTTTAGGTTAACTATCCTCACTGTTACTCGCCTGCCACGGGAAAACCTTTGGGAACTATTTTCTTTGCACTCATTAAATAAACCTTTCGGCATGAGTAGTGAATGACGTTTATTTTGTGTGTTCAATTGGTACAAAGCCGTATAATAAGCAGACACAAAGTTGAAAAAAATCCCTCTCATCTTTCTTCAGGTGTGAGAATTGTATACTTTCTGGATTAGGACAAACAATACTAATATGGATTGATGGGGGTAAATGGTGTAAAGAGAAAGTTTGTGCTAACTACATTCAGAAGAGCTCAGACGGACCTGATACAGCGGTCCAGATCCAGTCCCAGCTAAACGTAGCTAGGACTGGATCTAGATGCTCCACAGTTGGTCCAGCGAAGTGTTTTGAAAAAACATGTGCCCTTTTTAACCTTTTCATGAGAGAAATTCTGCCGACCACAAGCACCCACCTGGTCTGATCTGGTCCTGGTCTGGTCCTGGTCTGGTCCGATGTTGTGGTTTAACGAACGGGTTGAATGTTACTTTCATATAGTCCTTTTCAGAGTATCTGAAATCGCTCCGACAAGCACCATAACTGCAGTGTTTTGTTGTCACCATGATTCAATGATTTAGCCCAAATAAATACACACGCGTATGAGGAGAACACAGTAGAACTCAACGAGTCGTACACAATGTTTGTCCGAAACATGCGCGCATGCGCAGTCATCTGAGCTATTTTTAGCACATTTCGGAAACCGGACAGTGCCCTATTATGTTGGCAGAAAACTTTTAAATTCTAAATTCTTGGAGGATGCTAGGGAGCTTAGTGATAGCTCCTAAGCTGTATTTTAATCACTACTCTGGTGTAGAAATTGATATTGTTGATCCTATTTAAGCATTGAAATAGAATAAAAGAATAAGAGATACTGTCAGTGTGAATTAAGGAATAATCTTCTATTATACATCTTTGTCTCTCTGTATGTGTGTATTGTGTGTGCAGGGAGGCCATATGGGGAGCGTGTGTGTCTGCGCTGGGCTCAGTCCCGCGCCTTGTCCGCTCAGTGTTGCAGATGTTCCGTGTGGCAGATGTGGATGAAGACGAGCTGCCGCTTCTGGGACAAGTGCTGTCGATGCTGCTGCAGCACGCGCCGCTGCACAACCAGCTGTTGGGAAACACTGCCCTGCTCCAGGAGATCATCCAGCAGCTCACCGTGAGACACACAGAGAGCCACAGAGAGAGAGAGAGACACACACACACGCAGAGAGAGCCTCACAGAGAGAGAGAGAGCCACACAGTGAGAGAGCCACACGGAGAGCAAGCGCCACACAGAGGGAGAGAGCCTCACAGAGAGAGAGAGAGCCTCACGGAGAGAGAGAGAGAGCCACACAATGAGAGAGCCACACAGAGGGAGAGAGCCACACAGAGGGAGAGAGCCACACAGAGAGAGAGAGCCACACGGAGAGAGAGAGCCACACAGTGAGAGAGAGCCTCACGGAGAGAGAGAGCCACACGGAGAGAGAGACACACAGAGGGAGAGAGCAACACAGAGAGAGAGAGCCACACAGAGAGCCACACGGAGAGAGAGAGCCACAGAGCGAGAGAGAGCCACATGAGCTCCAGGCGCCAAACCAATTAGAATGTCCAGAAATCAGCTGCTTCTACTGAATGTGGGCTGTGTGTTTTGCTGTCTGTGGTTGTGGTCTTAATTAAAATTCAATTAAATGTTGAGTATTTATGAACACTTAACATCTTTTATATGGTCTCTGCTCACATATTAATTGTATTAGAAATGCAGAGGAGGTTTTGAGTGCTTTGGCCCAATCACGGACTGTAAATTGAGTTGTTTTTAAAAAAACTAAATTTATGTTGCGTCGTTGCTAAAGGAAACTGCTAATACGGCATGTAATCGTAGAAAACTAATGGCTCATGTGTTGTTTTCAGAGATACTCGAGGAGCGGCAGCCGGGAGCAGTGGATGACGGACCTCCTGTACTGCTTCAGTGTGACCATGGCCCACAGTTCGTCTGCGCACCGCGACACTGTGGCCATGAGGGACATGTACTAACTCTGTGGACGTCGTGTTGGAATTTTTGTAAACTCATGTCAACTCAGTCCATTTTGTACCTGTCCAGCCTCATCTAGTCTTTCCAAACTTTTCTTTTGCCTACTGCGAGTGACTTGTTAATAAAATCAAAAAAAGAACCAACTTTTCCTTATTTATATTACTATATGAAGCTATGAAGCCTGTTACCACTGAGGATTTAATCAAAATTGCATTTATTTATACAGCACATTTTATTAAAAGAAGGTGTTGCGTAAAAACAATTATATATTTCGAGCCCAATGGAATCCTTATTAAAATGATGAAAAGTGCAAAACCAAATATGTGTAGGTTACGATTGTGCTTATAAGCTTGCATACCTGGCAGAATCTGTGGGCTATTTTTAAGATAATCCCAATGACTACACATACAAATACAAAATCGACCAAAGGTTTAGGAAATGATTTTTGGCTCTCAAGATTTCAATGAGTTTTAAAGATAACCTTGTTCAGTTTAGCTTTGAAACATGATCTTGAGAATGATCAATTTTGACATTTAATGTGAACTAAAACATGTTTTTTTATGTATATCCTTACAAGAGAACCATCAAGGTAGAGGTGACACTTTTTTGCATAATGTTAACATAAATGTTCAGATGATAGATTAAATGAACAAAACTAATTAAAGCTGGAATAAATAACTTTTGTAATTTGATATGTTATAATAAAATAATAATGCATTGATTTTATATAGCGCTTTTCAAGACACTCAGACACTTCACATGTCATTGTTTCACTCCATACACAGTGGTGATAAACTACTGTAGCTCTGGCTACAGTAGTTTATCATCACTCCATACACAGTGGTGATAAACTACTGTAGCCAGAGCTGCCCTGGGGTACACTGACAGAAGGCGAGGCAACCAGTATGTGCCATTGGCCCCTACGACCACCACCAACCTTTCACTCACACGTCAGACTCATTCTAGGCAATGGGGGTGAAGTGTCTTGCCTAAGGACACAACGGCAGTTTGGCACTTTACAGCCGCAGCCGCCCCACTGTGGCTGGTGTTCCCAGAGGTCTCCCATCACAGTACTAACCAGGCCTTGTCCTGCACAGCTTCAGAAGTCTGATGGGATCTGGAAAGTTTGGCCATAAACTTTATTTAACATGGTTAAAATACTTATGTGGCATTATCTTTGTCCATTAAAAAAATTTGACTATTTTTGTTTTAAAATATGAAATAGTGTCTTAAGTAGAAAATATATGAAATACGTATGACTCCCTAACACTCCCTAAGCTACTTCTTGAGGGAGGGAATTGAATTAGTTATTTCCTGATAAATTTAAAAAATACCAGGTGCAAATACAGGCATGTCATTTGTAAAGGACCTGCAAAATTTTCAAAACTTGTGAGAACTACTTTTGTTTTGAAAAGGAAAAATCGCTGAGTGTGATGTCATAGTAGTACAATGACATCATACCATTACAGAACTGAGACAGGAGCTTTTAGACAGAAAGGACAGAAATTTCATGTTTGTGCCAAAAGTTCTTGATACATTTCTATGGATGGATCTAAAAACAAGGTCTGTTTTTGATGAGGAAAAAAATTGTTAAAATATTTAGCATGATACGTTTCATTTAAGTGGCACATAGTGCAAAAACATCTCTTATCGTTCATATTCCCTTAAAAAACGCACAAGCATAAAACCTTACGAGCACAAGTGTATAGAATATGTAAAATATATGGCACATGGTTTAAGATAAGAGTCCTGGGGAGAGTGGGCAGTGCAAATTGAATGCACGCCGGTGGCTGCAGGTGGGCGATCTCTATGACCGGCTGTTGATAGAGCGCCTCATTCTCCACAACGGGAGGAAAGGTTATCTCGGTATGTGAGCGGAGCGGCCAGACGAATGTGTGTGTGCCGCGCCACAATGGCCCAAAGGTTATCTATTACACACGCCGTTTCTCCAGACTTAACCCCACCCTGTGTGAGGTCACGGCTCTGATGTCACCGGGACTTTATTTTGGCCGAGCCGCCGCGTTGGAACAATGTGTATAGTGATTGTACAGGAGGAGAAAGGCCCCAGTTCATCGTTGCTGGAGTGTTTTCCTCTGTCGCTGGTCGGCGCTCTGTGGTCGGAGGTGGTAGGAATAGAGTTTGGACTGGTTCACTGCTTCGGTCAAGTGCACACCGTCTATACCGCTCACTGCGAAGACATCAAGTGAAGGATTAAAGACTTTGTACAGGAACCACCTCTATCCAGTGTTTCTTCATGGTATTAGGTCTGATATGTCAAAAGTTAGAGTTTAAGCCTTAAAACTGGGGTAACCTAAAGAAAATGTTTGTCCCAATGGAATGAGTTGCCTCAATCACTTCAAAAAGATCATAAACATGTAATGTCGGCCAAACTAGTAATAGAAACAAAATGCGTTGAGAACAAATAACTCAAAACATTTCATTACATGGCTCCATCTGGTGAGCTCTGGTGAGGTACCACAGCCTCAAGAAGAAAATAAATGAATAATAATAATGCATTGGTTGTATATAGAACTTTTTGGACACTCAAAGACATGTGGCATAATTCATTCACTCCATACACAGTGATGGCTGTACAGTTTGGCACTTTACAGCCACTGTGGCACCTGGTGTACCCAGGTGTGGCCCCTGGTGTCCCCAGGTGTCACACCTGGTGTCCCAAAGGTCTCCCATAACAGTACTAACCGGGCCCTGCTTTCACAAGCAGATGACAACTCAGGATAGAAATAGTCCAATTGAAGGAACACAGTTATGGAATTGTTCATTATGCAAACGTTCATTGTAACTGATTTTAAGGCAATACAGCTTTGTGCATTAGTCACTACAAGACAGTATTTTGACAAAAGGGGCGTGGGAGCTCAAAACTCCAAGTTTGTTTTTTATAAAGGAACAATGTAGTAACATGGTATTTTGTCTCTGCCTATGTTCTCATGTTCACTCTAAGGACAAGTCAGCATGGTGGTATAACAAGCACGTTCACACAAATGCAAGTTATCTGAAGTGCAATAATACACAATGTAAATGTATGTGCACGTGGCACGTGTAGTTGTAAATATCCCCACTGTGGGACTAAATAAAGGATCTCTTAATACATATGCACAATGTTTTGTATATATCACGTTTGTCCGTCTTGCAGTTCCTCCTCTTCTTACCCATATCTAAAATCAGTATTTGCCTCCTACTATGCAATGTTTATGTTGTAAACTATAACTCTTAAATGATAATAACAATACAGTTAAATCCATTACTCGTGATTCTCAAATGTTTGTGTACTGTACTTACTCTGGCTGGCAGTGCGTAGAGGAGAGTCCACTGGCCCCTGGGACTGGGACCCCCGAAGACATCGCCCCTTTCGCGTCATGGAGCTTCCTATTACGCAAAAAATTATTTAAAATCCTGATCAGCAGCAATATCCTGATTTATATTCATCTTTGGAATATTTGGAATAAACAAAGTAGCGTTATGTGTGTATAAACTACTCTAACATGCATTTTGTGAACAATGTATCGTTCGATTTGGATTTTACCCTTTAGGTGCTGGAGTTTTTTCAGAAATTTATGTGAAACAGACAAAGGGAGGAGCCCTGAACCATTATAAGAGATAGAGGAAATCCAAAATCGAATACAGAAGTAAATAAATATTTCAAAAACGTGTAGGGAAGCATTTGTGGGTTGCTGCATGTGTTCTGGATTGAACACAATTTCTGTGTGAAATCTGTGATGTTGTGTAGAATAAAAATCCATCTATCCATTTTCTTCCCCTTAATCCATTTCTGGGTCGGGGGGGGGGGCCCTCACTGATCCTCCTGCAGGTGGTGAGTCCACAGGAGCCTTGATCTTTCAGCGGGAGCTTCAGGCAAAGTGGGGTTAAGTGTTTGCCCAAGGACACAACGACAGTAGTCATGAGTGGTAGTCGTGAAGTAGGTCTTGAGGTGGGCTCGAAACCCACAACCTTCAGGCCCAAAGGGGAATGCTCTACCAACTGAGCTACCATCGCTACTGAATTGAAATATTGAACTGATTCACTTTCCAAAACAAGTTACAGTCGACCCATGAAAATGTGTTTGGAAAATGTGTAAAAAAGTTTTAGTCCTTTCAATCTTCAACACTTTGGTGGCATTAGCAAGGAGTTGTGAAACAACTCAACCGATTTTCAACCGATTTTTCAAAAATATAATACAAATAAAATAAGGCTTGTAAAAGCCTTCATTTACATCTTAAAATCAAAACAAGTGCAACATGCAACAATAATAAGGCGGCAACAAGGAACAGACCAACAGACAACATCGTGGACATTTACGTGTGTGTGTGTGGAGTGTACGTGTACGTGTGTGTGTGTGCAAGCGCTTACCAGAGCAGAGAAAAATGATCCTAATAGTGACAAATAATAATATAATGGGAAACCTTCATTTGATAATAATCTTGTCAGTGGCATCACCAAAAAAATCCATTAAAATCAATTGTTCAGTTGCTGAGCGCACACACACACGCGCTCGCGCACACACGCTAATTAAATAAATGAAATCTAATCCTATATATTTGGTATTATTATGCTTTATTTATATATAAATTATGTAATCCATCCATGCACTACCTAATGCCACTCTTTCCCCTTCCTTTTGTGTGTACAAATATGTTTGTATTTAAGGTATGTGTCTCAGGTGGTGCATTAAAAAGAACACTATGGGAGAACTGTTTCACATACTTTTCTCATAAAACGTATCTGTTTTTGCAAATGAACTTTTCACACGCTTGTCTTCATGATTGGTTCTGCCTGCAATGTTTCAAAGCCTGTCATTAAATGATGTGGAATCACCGTAAAGCGGCGTCTCGTGCTTAATCATCAGCAAGAAGATAGACGCGCCTAATGCTGCACTGCGGAGCGTTCCATGCAAAACGCAGACATCTCCATGGAGATCAGACGGTGCGACATGACGCACGGTGCACCTTTTACATTTCAAAACGTTGGTGATGATGTCAATGAAACGTGACCCTGGACAAAGTTGCGTGTCAAATATCCGTCGACATCTTGTAAATTACGACGGGAAGTGAGAAAATGAGTGGAAGATCGGGGGGAGGCGGCTCCGTGTGTTTAGCTGATAGCTCTGGCTCTGACATTCCTCCTGACAGCTTTGAACTTTTCACAGAGCTGGGACTGTCAGAGAGAGAGAGAGAGAGAGAGGCCAGGCTGCACTGCAAAACACCACTACATACAAGTAAAAGCTGGGGTACCTGAATTTCTAATAGCTAATGGTAGAAATACACGTTTAAAACATCTAACAGTTTAGTACATCACTAGTTTTCACGTGCACGATATTGTGGCTGATATTGTGGCTTCGAGAAGAACTTTGATCAGCTTTTTTGGATGGAAAACGTAAGAAAAGATAACCAGTCTGCTCACCTAAACAGTCAACATGGCGGGGTGTATTTGAGGGCAAAATTTTACAAAACAATTTTTGAGCCAATTTACATTTGTTTTAAAGTGTGACGTAATAGTGGTACAATAACATTATATTACAGGACTGAGAAGGCAGCTTATAGGCAGAGTTACACATTTGTGCCTGAAGTTCTTATTATGAGCATGAATGGATCTAAAAACAACTTCAGGTTTTTGACGATCGAACATTATTGTAACATGGTTAAAAGATTTTTCATAATGTGCCTCAGCCATAAGACAGCTCTATCACTGACCGCACAGTGTATGGATTTGTCATAGTTTGCCGTGTTTTGGCAGATGGGGCAGCTTTTTGATGAGGGATCATGGAAATATAATCTCTTTTCCTGTGCCCACATTAGTGTCTTTAAACGTACTGAAAGCACTAATGAAACATGAGTTTTTGTCATGTTTTTGTAGTGCCCAGGGCTGGACTGCAGGAACGACATGCATACTTGTAGGTTTTGGTCGCAGCCAGGTTTCTATGCAGTCGTCCCATCATCACCTGCTGATGTGTGATGAAGGTCAGGGCTGTCTGCGGAGCGAAACCCACCGGAGGTTCTGGAGGCCGCCGCGCGATACTGGCCTGGTATTTGGGAGGGGCACATCGACGCACTTCCTGCTCATATCAGCCTCTGCGCTCAGAAGGCAGGGTGACAGCAGTGTGCTCATCCGCAGATAACAGGTACTGTACATATGCAGATTTCTTTATTTCTGCTGTCCTTTTGAAAATATCAGAGTTGGATTTTTATTTCTAAGATTTTGTCCATCCAAAATGACACTTACCTGAGTAAATAATTTAGTCGTCAAATAATTTGTTGTTATACTGCTGTTTATATATATATATAGCGCATAGTATGAAATGAAAGGAAAAGTATGAAAAGTATTATGTATGCCTTTCTAGAATGACTATCAAACAAGACAATAATGAGTATAATTTATTTGGCTATGAAATAAAAAAAATACATATTAGCAGTTTCCGTCAGTGCTGCTTAAAAATTATATGTTTTTACCCCACAGCGAAAACTAACTATTACACACATGAGATATTTGTCACGTTGTCCAACACAAAAATGCTTCAGCAGCAAAACAAAGGATTTGGCAATAGATGAAATACTAATGTGACAGAAGAGAATGGAGACATGTTGTTTTTATGACTACACATAGATCTGCCGCATTTTTACAAAACAATATAATAATTTAAACGTCAGGATGAAGTTCAACTTTTTAAGTGGCATTGCTTCATTTTACCACTGTGGTTTAATCATTGGGATAAAGAATATAAAGCTAAAAGGGCCTAGTCAAGTTTGATCTTCTTTATTGATAAACGTGTGAGCTGTGTGCGTGAGCTGTGTGCGTGAGCTGTGTGTGTGAGCTGTGTGCCTGAGCTGTGTGTGTGAGCTGTGTGCCTGAGCTGTGTGTGTGAGCTGTGTGTGTGAGCTGTGTGCGTGAGCTGTGTGCGTGAGCTGTGTGCGTGAGCTGTGTGCGTGAGCTGTGTGCGTGAGCTGTGTGCGTGAGCTGTGTGCGTGAGCTGTGTGCGTGAGCTGTGTGCGTGAGCTGTGTGCGTGAGCTGTGTGCGTGAGCTGTGTGCCTGAGCTGTGTGTGTGAGCTGTGTGCCTGAGCTGTGTGTGTGAGCTGTGTGTGTGAGCTGTGTGCGTGAGCTGTGTGCGTGAGCTGTGTGCGTGAGCTGTGTGCGTGAGCTGTGTGTGTGAGCTGTGTGCCTGAGCTGTGTGTGTGAGCTGTGTGTGTGAGCTGTGTGCGTGAGCTGTGTGCGTGAGCTGTGTGTGTGAGCTGTGTGCGTGAGCTGTGTGTGTGAGCTGTGTGCGTGAGCTGTGTGCGTGAGCTGTGTGCGTGAGCTGTGTGCGTGAGCTGTGTGTGTGAGCTGTGTGCGTGAGCTGTGTGCGTGAGCTGTGTGTGTGAGCTGTGTGCGTGAGCTGTGTGTGTGAGCTGTGTGCGTGAGCTGTGTGCGTGAGCTGTGTGTGTGAGCTGTGTGCCTGAGCTGTGTGTGTGAGCTGTGTGCCTGAGCTTGTGGTGTGGCCAGGCTCGTGTTACACACTGTGATTCCACAAAGCAGCCGCTGAGGTTTATCCACAGTCCAATGGGACTGATGAAAAGAAACAGATACAACATTGTTTTTAAAGTTATTGATAAATGGAAGCTACATTTTTTTGGCTTGTGAAATCTGACTCGAGCACATAAGGCAACAATGATGCAAACACAAACAAATCCGGATCTGGATATCAAGAATACAACTATTTATATGCTTCTCATGCCCAGGACCTTCATTGTTCTCTGTTTTATCATGACTGGCTTGACTCTAAGGGCTTCCGTAGACGGGTCATCAGAGCTCAATAGTGGAACTCACCGTAGATGCTTTGTAGCACAGAGCTCTTACTCCCCACAGATTTACACACTGCTGTTCGAGTCCTGTGGCTTTGCTGAGACACCGGGACGACTCGCTCACACGCTTTGGCCTCAGAGCGCCTTTTCGCACAAAACCTGTGAACAAACAAAAAAAATCACCTCGTATCAACCTTCAAAGCCTTTCCCATTGCTTGCTACCCTTCATTTTCTCACGATGCATCAACCGAGCGCAACTATTTATTTAGGACAATTAATAGGCATATACAGGAGGAATATGGTTGTGTCGGCTGAACGAAAGCAGAGCCTATGCAAGCGCAGATATTTGCTGGGAGCCATTAGTACAGCAAGACTGAACTTTTAGCCTCTTGTTAAACTGATATCAAAGCCTTAAATTACAGGTCGTCTGCGCAGTGCCGCCGTGTCTCCCGTGCTCTCCGCTGGAATGAGTGTGGTGGGAGCGGGGGCATGTGGCGAACAGATGGCCTACGCATTGTTCTCAAGGAGCTACTGAGCATCCAATTATATATGACCAGAAGATGTTGCGTTAATGGGTGATTTCCTGCCTCTGTGATGTCTGATATAGTCATGTAACAGTATGATTGTAACCACCCAGAATACCTTACTTTCAAATTACAAAGAAAATTATGATATAAAATCTAACTAAATGATGATTTTTTTGTGCTTCATAAATAAGGCCTGACCGAAAGGGGTTTAAGTTGAAGTTGAGACTTATACTGCCTAACCCCTTTGGCAAGTATTTGAAGTGGCTTCGGTCACATCTTCAGATTAGCTTTGTCTAATGAAAAAGCGAGCATGAGGTTGATTGACAAATTAAATTAATAATGACGTCCCACAGAAGTACAGAGAGGAAAGCAGAGGAAAAATATTTAGGTAAAAGTTGGAGTGAAATGATCCACAAATAATGTGTTTTATCATTCTTGATCAACCTCACTCAGCCAATCAGCTCCCAGCCCAAAGAGTCAAACAGTGAATCACAGGGCTCTTTCTTACAAGCATGTAAAGGATGTTTCCTAATAAGATGAAGACAGCATGTTGTGGTCTGATTTGTTCATAAAAATGTACGTTGGGACAAACAGATTTTCCTCCAATCTATTATTTGAGGAAAAGTTTGGTGCTACAGCTTTAACTGTCAACCAGTCAAACCTGCGGGAATTGCTCTAAAATATCTTTCAATGTGTACAGTTCAAAATCTGCTACAAGCCTTATGATTTTGCACGCTATGTCTCATTTAGAAAATGTGCTAAATCATTTTGGTGTGTATTTTTCAATCTTTTAACACAGACTGAAGATTTACACATGTATAACTTTTGTGTTTACTACTACTCTTTTGATTTTTGTTTTGGCTAGAATACACAGTACTTTTTACTTGCTTCTTATAATACCAAAGTTAGAGATTTGTACATAATGAGTTTTTTGTACTCAATATGCTAAAGATAGAGATGTTATACTTGTTTCTTTTTCATTATAGAGTTAGAGATTGTATTTTATTTGATTTAGTATAGAGTTATTGGTCATTTATCTTGTGCTGTGTGCTACTCATTCCTACGGTTCTGTAACTGGTGATGTAACACTAAAATCTCCCCACTGTGGGACGAATAAAGGATCTCTCTTAATCTTATGTCTCTAACTATGCTCTCACAACAGTCCACAAGCATGTCTTTTTTTAGGCCTGTTACTGCTTTTCAGACAGAAAATCAACCACAAGCATCAAATAATGACTCACAAGGCCCTTATGTTTAACGTGGGATTTGTTCATTATGAAAACCAGTTGGGTACCCTAGCTTTAAGCAATAATGTGACTCCATCCCTGTCAAAATGCATTGAATCATTTCATTGGCCATTTCAGTGTCATTGCAACCAATCTTATAACGCATTCATAATTAAAGGAGCAATATGTAATATTTGCATGTCAAGTCATCATTAAATGACCCGAATATTTCAAAAGGCGTTATTAAATCATACTCTTTTCGAATTCATCTTTAACTGATAACAGTAGTTCAGCCGAGATATTTCATCATCAAAATTAGTTTTACGACCCGTAAAAGTTGTTATTGTTTTGATTTTGATGTCCTACCCTCCGCCGTTTCGCCAATCAGGAAGTGTCATGTAAGTCCGTGATCGGGTTGCCAGAACTCCGTGCGGCTCACTAATCTCAGAGGTAAAATAACATGTGGTGCAGAACTAAAAAAGGTCTTGTTATGACTCTCAAATAATTAATGACAAAACAAAGACTAAAACGAGGATATAATCGGGATGCCTTTGAACAATTGAGACAGCTGATAAAAGTTTACGTGTGATGCAGAATTTTCTAGTTTGACTCCGTTCTTCACGGTGTCTCTGTTCGTGTGAACAGGTGGCCTAACGGTCTAAGCTGCGCGCTTACGATGCAGGAACCCGGGTTCGTTCCCGGGCTATGTCTTTTTGTATTTATTGCATGTTATCACATTCTATGACAGATTGCTCTAAAACGGTAAAAGATGAAGGTCAAGACGTTTTTTTGCAGATTATAGCTTAATTGTAAAAATAATCATTTAAGACCACATGTACCCCAATTAAAATAATGTTAGTCTCTTTTTGATGTGGGACTTTTACATGTTTGTCTAAAAAATAGGGAATAAATAAAATTGAAAGGTGATATCCTCTTGAGCAAACCCTGATGTTGATACGCTGAAGAAATACGTTCCAACATCCATTCTTCCCACTCCTATTTTGGACATCAATTTCTTATTTATTTTGCATAAACTATGTATAATTACATTGCTTTTATTTTGTTTTTGTTTTTTATCTCAAATGTCCAAATTATAATAATAAAAAAACATGAATCAAAACATTCATTCAGCATTAGCACGGCTGTCATGGCATGTGAATGGAGACGGACAAACAACTGATAAAATAATTCCCTGTGTTTGCTGCTGGATTTGGTGTGAATCTGGCAACCTGAGTCAGGGAGAGTGAGAGAGGACTACAAAATATTGACTGTGACTGCAGTACCACTTTTGGCCAGATTTTTACATATTGCTCCTTTAAATACTACGTCTACAATAAAATCATTTTTTGTTTTACGTAATAATATTATATGATACTATTCTCACCTCCTCCAGGCCTGTTGGATGGTGCACGCAGCCTTGTCTCGTCTCCTCCGTTCTTCACGATCATATTTCCGCTGTGGTGTTGGTCTGTTTTGCATAGAAGAAGCCTGAACACTGGACCTTTTCCCTGCATGTTTCTCCTTGGAAGCGCGTGTGCCTGACGAATGTCTTTGTTGAGGTTGTTCTCTGTTCGATGACTGGTCCTGTCTCATTTTCAGCTTTTGCGATGAGGTAGAAGCAGAGGCAGTTTTAAGTGCAGTTTGCTCTTTGCTTGTGGCGTCGGTTTGGTTCATAGTATAAACGTTTCTGTGAGTGAATGATGTTCTTTCTTTTATTTTAGGTAAAGATGGAGGTCTGGGCTTGAAAGTGAGTTGAGTTTCAGCTACAACAGCAGGCGTATACGTGTCATTGTGGCCTGAAGCTGGAAAAACGCTGGAGGTTTCTGCCATTGGACTTCTCCTGGAAAATCTCCTTTTTGGGACTGAAAAGAAAATGACAACAATATATTATATTGTACATCAATTTAAATAAAATTATGGAAGCGTGTAAACAATAAGATAAAGATGTGACAGAGCTATTATTCAAAGCTATAGGCACTCCAGCTTTGAATAATAGCTTCATAGTGATGCTTTTGAGTGATTTCTAAAAGCTCTGCACATGATGGCTATATTATTACTGGTAATGTTGACATTTTGTATCTTGGGTAAATATAGTATGCAATCAGGAAGCAGGATTACAATCCATGGACCTCATTTGGGTTTCATTGGTCTCAACCGCAGCAGATGAACCACATCAGTGATCAGGGCTGGAGGAGCATCAGAAACGTGTGTGTGTGTGTGCGCGCGCATGTTTGTGTGTGTGTGTGTGGGCGCGCATGTTTGTGTGTGTGTGTGGGCGCGCATGTTTGTCTGTGTATGTGTGTGATCTACATACAGGAAAACTGGTAAATTGTTTGAATTGTACTGGGTCCAAAAATTGGGGGCGACAGTGGCTCATTTGGTAGAGCACTGGCTGATGAGCGGCTCGAACCCGCGAGACCTTCTCCACCTACTCCCACTAATGTCTGCCGTTGATGTGTCCTTGGGCAAGACACTTAACCCATGCTGAAAGATCAAGGCTATGCTGTCGCTGACAGTGCAGCCATTCTCCTGTGGGTGCAGCTCTGACTGCCACCCCCTCACCCAGAAATGGATTAAGGGGAAGAAGAAGGTTTGAAAACATGTCTGAAGAGTTACAAGAAACCTCTGCTTTTTTTGTGTAAGCAAATGTATCATGTTTGAAATGATCAGAACGATCAAGTAAATAGAAGTAAACTAATGATAGATATTTTAGAACAACATGTCAAGTGGTTTAGAAGTTTATACATGTTTTGTACCTTCAAGCTTTTCCTCTTTGTTTGTAGAGCGGTGACTTTGGTCACTGTGATGTTTCTTAGTTTGGTCGACAGAATCGTTGAGGAACAGGTCTTCCATGATGAGGAGCAGGGAGGATTTTTGTTCTGGTCTCTTCTCACCACTCACAGACACAATCCTTCGATTCGCAGCCCTCTTCCGGTGCTCTTCCTCTCGCTTCCTAAACATCACAAACAATCATTGATTTTTGAAAATAAATATTTCCATCCATACAGCACTGTAAGAATGTGTTTATTATGATCTCATTTACAAGGAGATTACTGAAGCCTAAAATTAAGATTCAAGTACATTTTAGCTCATTTGGGCAGCTCAAAATTAAAAAAATAATAATCAAAAAACATATACTGTCATATGGGTTGTAGCGGTAGTGCCTCACAGTAAGGGCTTTTCTGTGTGGAGTTTGCATGTTTCTCCCCATGACTGTATGGGTTACCTCCAGGCCCATATTTGTAATTTGCATTTAAATCAGCCCTTTTTTTTTCTTTTTACAGCTTTTTTATAGTAACTATCTGTACACTAAATTACATTATTGACTCTACATTTAGAATTGATATAGGATTTTTCCACATATCCAGGCCACGAGTTGGGAGAAAATATTTCAGAGTCGGGTCTTAAAGGCCCCATAACAGCCCCATACTGGGACCATCGTACACTACAATCACCCCAGTCACGCTTCTGTGGGCTTCTTGTCATTTTACAGACCAAATGTAAAATGTCAAATGTAAATAATATGGTGAAAAAAGCACTGCTGACCACGAGCAATAAATAAGGATAGACTTTTGTTATTTAAATTATATAAAATGTAATGTAATCTATAAAAAATTAAATTAATAAAACATCATGGTCAAGTGCTCATCAACTTTAGCTTTTAGTCTGATTTCATGACATTGACACCAACCTGCCCAGGGACAACAGGTGGAAATGAGCAGTTATGCTAATAATAATAACCCTGTACAAGGCATTTTTCATTATCAACATAAAATTGTACTCTGCTCAAATAAAAACATACCATACCACACCTTCAGAACCAAAAAACGGCCCTGTACTAGAATGCTCTGAAACTGTAGCATCCATAAAATCAACTCCTCTTTCAGGCCGGACAAAACTCGCTCAGGGTGATATAATTACTAGCTACTCAGGCAAGAAATAACATAAACTTAGATTTAAAAAAAACACATTGTTCTGACGACTATGTTCAAATGTTCCTATAAATGAGGGATTGTGCAGACTTTTCGCTGTGACATAGTAATGATGCAAGTGTGGACACAATAAGCATGAGCAAAGAAAAGGCGTTTGCGCACGGGTGACACAGCGAAAGACCGATGTGTCCAGAGTGTGACTTCTATAGGTCAGGTGACGCAGACACAGACAGATGCTGATGAGCGCAGTGCAGTAGTAAATATAACAGTCGAATACTTCCACTGACAACGATGGAGCAATGAGCTAAAGACAAGAATTGGTCAAAATAATGTTGGTACGGCACAGTATGTTTTATTGCGCTGTACATTTGAAAACATGTAAAATATCCAAAGGCAATCCTTCATTACGATTGTAATAGCAATAACTTATTGATTTGTTTTTCGACACCATTCAAGAACCTTTATTCTCTATAAAAATAAAGCCATTAATCACTAAATAGCTTAAATGTTGTAAATAGGTTATTATTTGCGATCACTGACTCCATGAACACAGCAACAGTGAACGCAACATTGGGTGTTTCCATTGCTCATGTGTCAAACTTTCTGAAGAATACAGTAGTTATGTATGTATTATCATTCCCCATCTACTCTCTTTCACTTTACTGAGATGTGGAGACTGGAGTCAGAGTAGACCCACCACCTCCAACTCCCCAGGAGGAATCCGGAACAGATACGCGAGTCACCTCAGCTGGCTCCTCTCCATGAGGAGGAGAGGCGGCTCTACACCAAGCTCCTCACACTATCACTATGGGACCTCCCAGCCTCTCTGCGGAGGAAACTCATTTACTTGAATCCGTAATTTTGATGATGAGCATTGATGATATGATTGTTACCCCAGCAACTGATGGTAATTTCTGTATTCAATGATATTCAACAATACTCCAATAACAACAGCTGTCTCTTGGAAGCATGATAAACGGTGTTATTATGATACTGTACATCCACTTGAGTAGCAACCCCTGCTGTTCAGGGGCGGAAACATTGCATTTGCGTCGCAGACACCAGCTCGCCATTGGAGAGTTTTGGAGAAGTAAGCTGAGCTGGAATTTGGTGTGTAGAGGCATGATAGGAAGAACTCATTAACATTTTGAGTTCAGTAGTGTTGGTTGGGTTTGCGATCTCCGAGTGCACATTATAGATAGTGATTGTACTTCCTGGTTCTAGTCAGGACTTGAGCTGCGGCATAAACAGATTCCTTGCCTTATATGACAATTTAACCAAACAACCTCCTCATCGTTATCATCTATCCAGCACCTACAGACATGCACTAACGGGCTCGTGTCGTGGAGGGAGGGGCATACTTGGCTGCATCCTTGCGAAGTTGCTCGTGCCGCATGAGGAGTTGCTTGCGCTCTCTGAAGGCCTTGCGGACCGTGTAGCCTTTATAGACCGCTTGGATGGAAGCCGCCGCGATGTCCTGGATGGCCGCAATGGACAGGGCTCCGTGCTCCAGCATAAACTGTGTGACCTCACTGTGGCCCCCCAGAAGAGCGTAATCCAGTGGGGTGTACCTGAACAAACAGCACATCTGTATTCACACGTGTCCACCCCAGACGGCTCCCTCTCTCCCCCTCTCCCTCACCGCTCCTCTGTGTGCTCCATGTGATTGGGAAACGAAGTGTAGCCCAGCAGCAGCTTCACTGCGTCTAAATATCCATTGTTACAGGACCAGTGCAGAGCCGTTCGCCCCTGTGTCAAAAAGCCTCCATCAGAAATGTATTTTTGTCACATATTCCTCAGTGTCACTAAATTCAATTATTGTAGTGTTCTGAGCACTGCAAAATATAACCTTTATTTCTACTAAAACTAAGTTCTAACGTGAATGTAAGGGACTGAAGAATTGGGTTCATGATCAAATTATGTGAAAATGAAAAGGACTCTCAGAATGTTGAAACTAGAAATCTCAGAGCCGTCATTTTGACTGCTGGACTACTGGTTTTTCGCCAGATTGATTAAAATAAGTAATATTTTACTTATAAAAAGGTCATTTATACGTTTTTTAAATTTTATTTATGATATAGAACTAAACTTTGTAAAACACTCAGTCACGTTATGAAGACCACAAACGCACATCAGATGAGTAATTACACCTTCAAACGTAAAAGCCGTCAAATTGACTGCTCTGGGTGCTAGTGATAATTGTAATTACTGATCTCAAATATAAAAGGTGACCTCTTTGTCTTGTATGTTTGGATCAGCATTGTTCTCCATGAGGACTGCCATGCAGGTGATGTATCCTCCATAAGCAGCGCACTGCAGCGGCGTCCGGCCAGCGTGATCCTTAATAAAAATAATTAAATAAAAAGTTTGGATTTAAAAACAATCTAACTGTTGAGGGTGCTTTACCTGCACATTTGGGCTGATTCCATTCTCCATTAATATCTGGCAGATTTCAGCATTTCCCCCAAGTGCTGCCCAGTGCAGGGCTGTGTGACCATCCACATCTACCAGGTCGACATGACCGAAGCCTGCGGAGTGAAGGGGAATTATAAGATCAGTTAATATTAGAAGGAACAAACAAGAACAGTGTGCAATAAATACAGTACATGCCCACTTCCCTTAAAGGCACCTTTAATGAGGGTAAGTATGACATCCTTGTGGCCCATCTCACACGCCCGAAAGAGTGGCGTGTGCTTCATCACATCCAGAGAGTCCACCATGGCCCCTTTCTCCAGCAGCAGCTTCACGGTGCTCACATGGCCTGATAACGAGGCCGCATGCAGCGCTGTCACACAAACAAACACATTCACACACTGACACTTGCACTGGAACATTAATCCCCTGGATGCTCATTCACTCTCTTATCTTCTCTTTACTTGGAGGCTAATGCCCAGTCAATGGAGGGTTAAACAGACGGAGCAATTTAACAAGCAGTACACACACAAGCCTCTTGTGACAACCCCCATCCCACTCAGGCCACACAGGCCGGCATGAAGTTAAGTGCATGGAAGTGATCTGTGCATTAGCTTCACTGCCCCTCACACCCTCGTATTAGCATAAGTCTAGCATTGCATGTTACGCATGCATAAACAATGACTTGCCCCACCGAGCAGAGTGGTTATGCCAATGAGATTATACATCCAAACCTCCCTGGGGTGAGAGGGCAGCTATAACACACATGTGTTTCTACAGGGACCTCGCTAGAATTGAATAAGTCTATTTAAACAGCTCACACCCACTTTCTCCTGCTCTCTCAGTGCCACTGCTTCACACCTGCGAGTCGCACTCCAGACTTGTTATTATGTGGAATTCTGTTTCAGTTGCCGGAAAGCAATGAAAGCGTGAGTAGTTTCCCTGTGCTCACCAGTGCCTCCATACTTGTCGGCCATGTTGATGTCCAGGTTAGGGGTGAGGGTCAGCATGGTACTGATGACATCATTACTGCCCTTGCCTGCGGCCCACATGAAGGCGGTCCGCCCCTCGAGATCCGGCTCATCTTTAACAGTTGGGTGGGCCAGAAAAACTCCAACCGTCTCCTGCATTCAAGTTCAGAGTTTGTGTTTGTCCAAGTAAGTTGTAAGAGATGGATACGTAGAAGCTTGTCTCACAGCATTGTTGCTCTGTGCCCCATAGTGCAGAGGCGTTGCCCCCTGACTGTCAGAGGGGATTGTGCCCGATGTGTTCCGCTCCAGCAGCAGATGCACAATCCGAGCATGTCCTACAATGGACATGTTTGCAAACAACATGCAGATCTTATTATTTTTATTAAGTCTAGACTGAAATCAATTCCAGAGTAAATGAAATTTCCTCATAAATTGTTCAGCCATTAGAAGGTCACATGCAGGATGTCTGTGTTTTCACTCACCGAGCAGCGCGGCCCAGTGCAGCGGCGTCCTGAACAGGTTATCATAGGCTGTCACATTGCACCCCTCGTATGACGTCAGCACCTCCACCACGGCCTCGTTGCCATCGGCAACGGCAAAGTGCAGGGGAGTCCGGCCCTCGAAGTCTTGCCAGTTTAACAGGGACTCGGTAGGAGCGGCTTCCTGCATTTGCAAAATGTGAAAAAAAAATACCAATGTGGAACCTGACATGCATATTTTGCACTGTGGACCCCCGTCATATCTGCATTACTAATAAACATTATTATATAAAGAACTGAAGGTATTTGTTCAGACACATTGTTACTACTGTATCTATATCTTAAGCACGAGTCACTAATATCTCTGTTCTCATGCACATTGTTACAAATCATATTTTTTTGATCTGAAGGGACTTGAAAATAAACAGTGTTACAGGTGCAATTGCCGCTGCCTTGTCTTAATTTCTCATCACCAAGATAACGTGTTTGCAAAGAAAGCGGTATTAGTATTTACCAAAATACAGCGGACAGTTTGAGTGGCGCTCGGCTCTTGGCTGTGTGCGGCCCAGTGCAGAGGAATCTTTCCTTCGCTGTCTGGGATGCCGATGTTGGAGTCATGTTTGATCAGGAGCCGCACATGCTCAGGCCGGTTGTAAAAAGCAGACCAGTGCAGCGCTGTTTGCTGTGTGTGAAAACAGACTTGTAAATACGTGTCTTACAAAGTCGCTGCTGGATCGTAAGCTGGCTGGGATCAAACTCCGATACGAAATCTCTCAATCAGAAGCAGCAGTCATCTGACTCGATAAATATTGTATTAAAACAAAGTAACTACTGATGACAGATACGCAACAGAGCAACAGGCCTGGAGACGTATGAGAGGGTTTCCAGCACCAATGCAGGACAAAGCCACATATTGTTACAGATTTTGCTTCTGTGTCCAACTCCCACTGCTTTCAATATACTCCAGCTTTCAATCAATTCATTTTTTCAAAGAGTAATTACGACAACCCGACAATCTTGCTTCTGGTTGGTAAAAATCATCCTAAAAGATAATTCTGGACTTGCATTTGGAACTGTGTAAAATGACCAGCATATTTTTACTGTGGACCCGTGTTATATCTGTATTACTGCTAAATATTATCTAAAGAACTGAATGCATTTGTTTTGCCCACATTGTTACTACAGTATCTATATCTTAAGCATGAGTCATTTATATCTTAAGTGATGCACATTGAGACAAATCATATAAATAGTGTTCGATCTGGAGGGACTCAAAACTAAACCATGTCCAGACGCAGTCGCCGCTGCCTTGTCTTCATTTCTCGACAGTACCTTGTTCTTGTCCTGTGTATCCACTTCTCCTGGTCCGATGTATTTGAGTAAGAGAGCGAGTGCTTTGGGGGACGGGTGTCGTGTGGCCAAGTGCAGTGGGGTCATCTCCTCCAGGTCTTTTTGGAGCCAGTTTGCTCGTCTGGATAAGAGCAGCTTCAGGAAGCGCACGTTACCCTAAAACACACACCCACACGGGACCACATGCGTCCGCTGTCACTTTACTTGGTCACTTTAAGCCCACATCCTTCCTACACTGTGAATATTTGAACACACACAGCTAATGACTAACTGCTTCCATAGTGTATTGTAGATTTATAGTGTATATAAATCTATGATACACAATCATGTATCATAGAGTGTATATTAATTTGTACTCGAGTATATAGGTTTATACTTTTTTCTCTTATTTTATTAAAATACAAAAAAACAGACAAACACAACACTAGTACAATCACAAAAGTACAATCCCAAACAGAACAGACATAACACTAGACAGGAAGACAATAAAATAATAATAAAAACATATATATATAGAGAGAGAGAGAGCTGTGGTTTGTGTTTTCTGTCCTGCTCATCCCTCCTGTTCTGTAAGGCATAGTTACAGAACAGTTTTGAGGCTCACTTTTATCACTGAAAACAATCACATGACACACCATCAACTGAAACGGATGCAAACATTATACTCTGCAGTAACACACAAATTAACACAGCACAGTCGCATCAAAGCATGAGAATATTTCATTTCCAAAGGCACAGCCAACAACACGGGTTGAAAAACACTGCTGTAATCTGTGATGCAACACTGAAATGTCCCCACAGAAAGACAATTACAAAATCTATGTAAATCTTAATCATTTTGATTCAAAGATGCACTCTTACGAAGTGTGAGCGTGAGGCAAAGCAGCGCAAACCCTCCTTCGTCCAGGGGGATCCATTCTAAATGTATTTTTTTAGATAGATAGATAAATACTTTATTGATCCCCCATAGGAGAAATTCAGGTGTCCAGCAGCAGAAGACTCTTTTCTTGTTGTTGTAGTACAGTTAGTCAGGTTTGACAGTCAGTCAGGTTTGTTATACAGTCTGACAGCCGAAGGAGCAAAGGATCTTTTGAAACGTTCCGTTCGGCAGCGTAGCGATAGGAGACTGTTGCACGATTACTCCTCTGAGCGGCCATAGTGTCATGCAGAGGGTGTCTGGAGTTACCCAGGATGCCCTGCATTAGAGCCCTCATCCTTCTCTCCAGCACAGCTCCCACAGAGTCCACACTTCTCCCCATCACAGAGACACACTTCTTGATCAGCCTGTCAATCCGGTTACTGTCTCTCGAGGTCAGACTGCCACCCAAACACGCAACCCCGAAGAACACAGCACTAGCTACCACAGACTGGTAAAAGATGTGCAACATTTGACTGCTCACATCAAAGGACCTCAGTCTACTCAGAAAGATCAGCAGAGATTAGCAGAGATCAACAGATATAAAGGTGCACTTTATATATAGATAGGTTTTCTGTGGTGCGATATTGTTAAAGTTTGACAGGCCAATTTACAAGTGAAACCTGGAAAATTAGAATACTGTTTGAAAGTCCATTTTATTTACAATGTGAAACTAATGCATGATGTATATGACGTGTAACGACATTAAGCCTCCATTTGTTATAATGTGGATGATTGGCACACAGCTATAAAAACCTCTGAATATTCTAATAAATTGATATATTCTGTTATATGTCACTTTGTGTGGTATGAGTGTATATCACATTTGGGTTTTACATTGTTGTTGGATTAAAGAAATAAAATAATTTTTGAAAAATGTTCCAAGTTTCACTTCACTTTCCAGATTTGGTCAACATTTGTCTGGTCAATTTAAGTGGAGGGGCAAGGGGCCAATGCAAATGAGCTAGTTGACCAGACTAAAATTTTTAGAGCTCAATACATAACGCCTTTATGGATATTAATGGGAATAGGTTGATTTAAGAAAAGGAGAAAAACACATGGATACCAAGGAAGTATTGAAATTGTAGAAGTTAAACAAAACATATCAGTTTGTTCTTTAACAATGAATCTAAAAATATTTTCTCTTTCTTCACAGCACTCCTCACCACAATTCACAGCTCAGTCATTTTTTGATGATTGTGGTGTACAGTCCATTTTGTAATTATTTTATTTACAGTAGATGATTATTTATTATTTGTCATTTTTTCCAAAGTGTGAACACATTTTCAACATACTACAAATAAAGGCTTGATAATTAATCTGAGTCTCTCATATATTAGTTTCACATTGTAAGATGAATTACAGAAGTAATTGGACATTTGAACGATGTTCTAAGTTTCACATGTAAACACACACAAACACACACACTCACACTCACACTCTCACACACACTCACATCTCCCTGTTTTGTATATTTGCAGTGCTGTGGCTGCGTCTGATAGATCTATCTGGAGTGTGAGCATGCATCCAGACGCCTGGTGTGAGTGCGTCCTGTCCTCCCTATTCCCAGTCCAATTAGATCGGTAATCCCTGGCCTCTCTTCCCGTCTCGGCCACTTATTGATCAGATGTCAGCGAGGCAGGGCTCCCATCACTCGCATCCTCCAACACACACACGGCCTCTGTCACTATTATCTCCAAATACCTCCTAAACTGAACAATAGGTGCTTTCTGCAGACTGTATAACTGATTGTTTTATTTTAAATGGACTTTTCAATCAGTAGACTCTTTATAGTAATTGGGACATGAGGCCATCGAGGGACAGGATCAGCTTTTTTTAAAAGATGTTGTTTGTGTACTGTCCCGAGTACAGTATATGAACAGGTGAAAATCACATAGTTGAGCTGTTTTGCTGTATGTATACAATATTCCGGTCACATGCCTCTTTCATGCACTGTTGTTTATACACTTCTCCATGTGCATGCCTGACTTCATCTGTAAAGTGTGCTATTTCACTATGTAGATGTCTGAACAGCAGTCTTCATCACATACATATACACACACATACAGTATAATGTGAACATCCCTTACCTTCTGCGCAGCCAGGTGCAGAGCCGTGCGGTGGCTGTGGTCGGCTTTGTTCACCGAGGCTCCCGTCTTCAGCAGGATGTCCGCACAGTCCAGGCGGTCGGCCAGCACACAGTACATCAGAGGAGTGCGTCCAAACTGGTCCTCAAGGTCCCGCAGAGACGGCTCCGCTGTGCACACACACCAGGAGAGGAGTCATGGAGGTACACTCATGTCCTGCCAGAGGAAAGGCTTAGACCCTCTTCACTTTAAAAGGATATGAAGGCCTCTCAGAAGACAAATGACATTGGCAAACTGTATGAGATATAATACACTGTATACACTGGATTCAGATATGTGCCTAACAAAAACAGCTTTTCCTGTAGTTATATTTTTCTGTTAGATGGAACTTGCAGTTAATGTTTCTCGGTCAAGTTTTGTAAAAAATACAAATAAAATCGAGCTGTTTCTAACCATTATCTTGAGTATTCTTCTTCTATTTTTTTTATTGCAAAAATTATAATTGATCTCAATCTGTTACTGTAGGTCATTCTAGTCATTTTTTTTCCCAGAACAAGTAGTTTTATGTAATTTTGTAATTTTGTAATTACTTTCCTGTTTTTCTCAGCAAATAAATGTGTTAGGAGTCTGTAAAAAGAGAACTCAAATATTAATGGAATAGTTGATTATTTAATAAACAATTAGTTAATGTATTAATTCATCATTACAGCCCTAAAAGGAAGCGATGCTGAGTTCTAAATGGAATCCTTCCATCTATGTTTTAAAAACATCCAGCACAAACTAATACAGTACCTGGAATATAAGCACACCTGTATATAAACTGCATCAGCAAAATTTGAAAATATCTTTTTTGCTGACGCTGACGTCATAATTTTATGACGATAAACTCTTACCGTAACCGGAAGCTTCCATGTCAGGACTGATTCACCAATATATTTTGACAAGTCCTATAGATACTAACACTAATGATTAGTCCATTAGTCCATAAACCACATGGCTGGATTACTCTAAAGGCCGCAGGGTTCAAGTCGCAACTTTTTAAAAGTTGCGGTTTATAGTCCTGCAACTACGGTAAAGCTCTTCCAACTTCAGTTGTCTCTCATCTTCTTAAGCACAATTTAAAATGATAAAGGTCTTGCCTCATATTTCTACTTATTAACAAGTATTGTTTACAATTTGTAAATAAAAAACCATTGGCCTTTGTTTCCGTTGTGGTTGCTTTGTTAACATCTCCCCGTGTCACCTGTTCTGTGCTGCACATCTTCACTTTAATGTTGTAGGTCAAATCTCCATCCGCACAATGTTTTGTGAAATGTGTCTATTCTGCACTTGAAGCATGAATAACAGAGATGCTTGTACCAGAACGCCTCATACCTGTGATGAATTTGAGCAGCGAGCTTCTGTCTCCGTTTACAGCAGAGGCGTGAACCTGGGAGCCCAAAGAGGCCGCACTCAGACCTGCCGCCTGAAACACACACACAAATCACATCATATCACAATAAGCAATAGCAGTTATATTCTCACAAGAGTAAAGAAAATACAGAATATGAACAACTGCATAAAATATTGAGCCCCAAAATATATTGTTCCATCCATTGATAAATAAATATAATAAGTATTGTGACAGGCCATACCTATTTGTGTGCAAAAGCGAGGAGCACCCTTAACATTGGAGAAAACTGATTTACGATGCACCACAAAGATGGCTCACACTATTTTACTTTCCACTTCAACACCTGGATTGATAAATATACTCCAAAGGCTGGTCATGACAACCAAACGTGATGTAAAATCAAAAATTACAATTCTCAAAACTATATGGGAAGAGGTTTCAAATGCATAATTGAAGACGGCCTTAGACTCAGTTCAAATAATAGGACTTAAGTCAGAGAAGTAAAAAATAAGTACATTTTAAGTACTTATTTTATCTTGACATGGCTGTATACAAAGAGGTTGTTGTGACTGCCCTATGATTTTATAAACATGGAGGAAAGGGTTGAAGCTGGGTTGCAGCCACTTAAATTAATATATACTGTATCATCATAACATCAATATAGATATAATGGAAAAAGATTAGAAGTAATAATTATACTTAGGATGAGCCTCTAGGAGATGAATATAAAGCCAATGTATTTACAAAACTGTAAACCTTAACATCTATTCATTATATAAAAGAGAGTCTTTGTAATTAAATCTCAACATCCGGGATGTGTTCTGTGGTAGATTATATGTGTATGCAGGGTTAATTACAAAACCTTTTTCAAAAATCTAAAAAGTGTGAAATATAATGCAGTGCAAAAGAACACAAGTGCAGTGGCAGCCGGGAGTGCGCGCCCCTGCTGCTGAGGTGTTAAATCTCTTCCTGGCCCCACTTAACCAGAGCCCAGTGAAGGCTGGGTAATCTGCAGACAGGAAGCAGCTGGGGAGGGGAGGCCCTGTGTGAGCATGTACGAAGGGGGTCCCTCTTCATGTCTTATTCATGTCTCATTAATACTGCAGAGAGCTGCCTGCGTAGATGTGTGTGTTAAAGGATGTGGGACAAGCCCTGCGGGGCAAAACACAGAAATCAATTATTGCCCCTAAACACACCAACGCTAGAGGCGCAAAGTCATAGCTAGGGCTGGGCGATATGGCAAAAAAGTAAAACCTCGATTTTATTTCCTGCTTTGGACGATTTCGATTTTAAATCGATTTTCATTAAAGTCACCCAAGACAGACTTTGCCTTTAAAATTGTTTTATTTTTTTGTATCTTTCCGCTCAATATTCAAGTTTCAAAAATATGTTTTTTTACATTTCTTTCCCCCAATACGTATTATAAAAGTCTTGTACAGACTGGGCTGATATTGCAAGTATAATTTATGCGCTGCTGGAACTCTCACAACATCCTTCATTCGATTTCACGATTTTCACATTTTTCACAAATTCAATTTTTTCAAAAGCCGATTAATTGCCTAAATTCGATTTATTGCCCAGCCCTAGTCATAGCCCAATCCAGAATGTCTGTGCGACATTTTTATTAACCCACACATAGTTGTGATGTTCGGGGAAAAGCACAAAGAGATAAGTGAGCAGTCAAACAGCCATGTGTCCCTCATTCTCCTCTCCCTCCTGCATCACTCATAAACACTGCTCCTGGAGACACTGCGTGCAGAATTGCAATTACTGATCATCCTTACTGCTTTCTCACGCTCTGCCAAGAAGTGGTGGAGATTTAATACAGGTTAGTTTGTTCATTTACACTAAATAGGTCTCCGTGCAGATAGAAGGCGGTAGGTTGTAGGTGCAGTGGTTATAGGTGCCTGTGTGTTGGGCACATGTGCCACGTCATGGGAAGTGATGTTTCGTGAGAGAGACTTTTTACAGGGGCTTTACCAAAACCAGCCACAAACATCTCTAATTTACACTCATTACTCAGTTAGTAACACACTGTCTACATAATAATATCTAACACATGCAGAATTTAACAGATGCCATAAAAAGAATATCCTTCACTGTTATAAGTCACAAAACTGAACCAAACTCAGCTGAACTTTCCTTTATTTTGTTTGCCTTTTATTTACTAGGTCCCCAGCTGTTACAATAAAAAATGAATTGATTTCAGAATAATTTTAAATGCAAAAAATGTGTATTTTGACCGAATGCTGTGATGAGGGACTCATGTCGATAGCTCAATTGATGTAAGGGACATTCATATCAACAAGAGAAAGCAATTAGAGTTGCACGAGGACCTGAGTGTTTTGGAAACACCTACAGCGCATCCAAATTTGGCTAAAAAGCCTTTTGAGAAGCAGTGTCTGAAAACAAACAAAGGAGGCAGTAAAAAACAATGCCAGGTCCCGTTGAGAGGTTTGGAGTGGTCTCATTTAGCCATTCATACGTGTTCCTCAGGGAGCACTCCACTTGTTAATATGAAGACAATAACTCAGAGTAAACTATTGATCACTGGCTGAGGTCCAGACCAAGTGATCTGTATAAGTATTGATCCATGCTGATGCTGACATTATTTGGTATTTTTTCATGTTCTGTCTCATATAAGCACAGTTACTTTAACAAAGACCCTTCCATAAAACCTTTTAGCAACTCGACAGGAGAACTAGGAGACGTAAAGTCCAGGAGTTTGCAATGGCGCTTTTAAGACAAAATGGGAAAGTTGAAACAAGGCCTTAAGGCCTACAAATAAATGTATGTGATGTGTATATGATGCGATTATTCATTTAAACTAGTGTAGTAAATGAACAGATTATGAATATCCACCCATAAGGATGTCTGATGTTAAGCCCTATTTCTTGGGGACTTCCTGATTCCCCACAGACCAATGAAGGCGCTCCCTCAGCTGGGGGCAGAGCCCTGGGGCACAGCAGGGCCAATCAGTGTGTGGCCGAAAGGCTGAGTGACACCAAGATTGGCTCATTTACATCATTACCACAATGCATCTTGACAAATGAGCCCCCAGGGCGAGAGCCAATCACCTGGGAAGGTAATGCAATTAGGCGGGACCAGAGCTGTCAATCTAGCAGCTACAGGGGTCAGGCCTGTGGCTAAAACGCTGCTCATTTCCTGTCGTTCAGAGCCACTAGGAGACTTCTATCTGGAGCTACAGAGGGATCACAGTCACATCAGTGGAGCAGATCGCCAAGGGTTTGTTCAGAGGGGGCATTCAGGCTGTTATCGCACTCCTGCGGGCAAAAGAGCGAGCTGCTGTGTGGGACAGACAGACTCTCTGAGGACTGTCACCTGCTCCTTAGTGCACACCAAACCACATACATCTGTGTGTGTTTACATTTGCACAAGCATTATTCACCCACCGGGACTCTCGGCTGTTTATGTTTGTGGAGTTCGCTCTGTCCCAATATGCAACAAAGTGGGAAGCGGGTGTAGCCACAGGGAAATAAACTGGTGAAGAACAGGGTAGTATTTGAGTGGCATGTAGGTGCGCTGCTGGTAATGAGGCCTATCTTTGTCCCATAAGGTGTGGTGATATCATACTGGTGAGTCCAGAACTCCTGCCCATCGAGGAGGTCATATTTATGTGCAGTATAAGTCCATGGAGTGCATGTGACTGCAGATAGTCAGGCCATGTATTTTAATTGAAAATCTATGTGGAAATTACTTTGTCCAAACTACGATCAAGGAGCTACATTTGACCCAATACCAATAATCTAAAAAAAAAAAAAATCTTGTCATTTCCTATGTATATATTATTTATTATTAATTTTATTATCGGGCAAAATTGAAATATTAAGTATCCATCTACAACTACATTCAGTTTGTGACTTTAACAACAACCTGACTCGGAACTATGAAATGGAGATGAGCTATAACCATCGATCAATTATAATATCTGGATAGCGTATTACTAGCTTGGAGCTCAAGGACCCATGTGCTCGGAGGATTCTCGCGGTACTGCAGACGAGACAAAATTCATGTGCTTTCACAAAGGTCGAATATTGTGTCATCCTGAACTTTTTTTCTTCTTAAATCCTTCGGTTATCTTTAAATCCACACTTTAATGCAGTGTTTTTCAACCTTTTTTGAGCCAAGGCACACTTTTTTCATTGAAACAATCTCGCGGCACCGGGAGAAAATGTAAAAATATATACTCTGTAGATTATATTCACACTAAAGAGTCAGTCTCAGCAAAGTGCTTAAATCCAAGCCTTGACATTAAGCTTTGTTCAATATTTCTCAATATAATGAGTTAACAAGAGTTTGGGAATAAAGTGCCACTAACTGTGTGGAAAAAAACATGAAATAATCCACTCTCAGCTGTCCACAAGTCCATGGTTCTGTCTCTCTATGGTCCGCGCTTGGTACTACGGATGTGCGTTTGCTGAGCTGCTGTCAAAGCGGCTGTCAGTATAATGCAGCCACAGCTGCCCCGGGGTCAGAGCGGAGGATGTGAATCTTGTTCAGAAATGGCATAATTCCTTTTCAAAAACGTCTCGATCACTTTCATTTCTCGCCACAATGCTCCCCTACCTGTTACATCCAGTGGTCGGTCCAATTCTTACGTTTCAAAGTACTTAGCTATCTGCTGCCACCTACTGATATGAAAAAGTATTACGTGGTTACTCCACAGTTCAAAACAAGTCAGCGCTCGCCAACGGTGGATGCAGTTATTTTTAGACAAAGTAGGCGAATTCCTCACCGGACAATATCAAACGGCACAGTGGTTGAAAAACACTGCCACAAACTCCACTCGTTTGGCTCCCGCTCTGGTTCCGTTCTAGCTCTGCTCTGAGCTCAGCGTCTGATTGGTCAGAGCGTGGCCAAGCCCCTCTGTGCACGTGCATGAGAGCAGCACTATGTGGCGCAACCAGTGGGGGAGGGTCCCAGCTCAAAAGTGGCCAAAATGAGGTGCGCTGACATGCTTGCAATACCACCCCGGGCCGATGGGGGTGGACCCAGAAGTAGAATTAGCCAATGCTAACATATAGCATTGGCAGACCTCTCAAAAACGTCTTTACAGGATGGACCAAAAGTTGGCTCTTGGCCCAAAGCTCCGTTCCACATGTGTGTCAATGCTGAGGGGGGTGAATTTTTTTGGTCCACTCTAGTTTACTTGCTGTGAATTTTTTAAGTCTCTCTTCAAATGAATGGAGTTGCGCCGGCTAACGCATGCGCAGATGCGTTTTTTCACAATTTTCTTGTGGGCGGGACCACTCGCTGCAATTTTGGATTGCTCCAGTAGAGCACATTTTTTGGCCCATTAGTTAGAACGGCAGAGATAGGCGTGACTCTGTCCATTAATATATACAGTCTATGGTCGCAACGCATCATGGGAGCTCATCCACCAGACGATGCCCAAATATGAGCGAGTTCCGCTAATCTTTCGGTCCCATGGTGGCACATGCCCCTGTTAGTATTAGATAGCAATATGGCCTACGTGCAGGACTGTACAAGGACTCTACAAGGACTCCATGTTATGACTATGATGTGACTGTCTCTTTGTGACACGTATGTCTTTCGATGTGTGACATGACAATGACTATATAAACTGTGTACTGCCTTTATTCTGTCTGAGGGAAAGAAACAGAGTAAACCAGTGGAACTTGAGAGAAACTTAAATAAACTTCCAGAGTTTGGCACACCACGATCCGTCTCTGTCTGCTAAATCCTGACAGATTTGGTGGAGAATGCGCGGCTCAGTGTGTGCCATTCTCTGGATTGTTTTGAGGGAGTTTGCTTTGTTTCTTTTCCTCTGCGTGAGAGATCGGCATGCTGTGTCTGGGAGCGGAGATTCCAGCAGGCTGGAAGAGCTGTTCCTGGATGCTTCTTGTCGCTTCTGTCACTTTTGTTTTTTAAATTGAATATTCCGACGCGGAAAAGAGTTGGCAGACCTCTCGGACAGTCCTTGGAACCTGTTTGACAAGAATAAGGTAAGCAGACACCTTTTTATATGTAAAGTCTGCATAATTGGATACTAGCTAAATTTTGGTCTGTTTTTGGGGTCTGTCAAACTCTCTAAATTGTATTTGAGAAGCAGTCTCAGGGTTTAAGTCCCTTGGAGCAGTCTCAGGGTTTAAGTCCCTTGGAGCAGTCTCAGGGTTTAAGTCCCTTGGAGCAGTCTCAGGGTTTATGTCCCTTGGAGCAGTCTCAGGGTTTAAGTCCCTTGGAGCAGTCTCAGGGTTTAAGTCCCTTGGAGCAGTCTCAGGGTTTAAGTCCCTTGGAGCAGTCTCAGGGTTTAAGTCCCTTGGAGCAGTCTCAGGGTTTAAGTCCCTTGGAGCAGTCTCAGGGTTTAAGTCCCTTGGAGCAGTCTCAGGGTTTAAGTCCCTTGGAGCAGTCTCAGGGTTTATGTCCCTTGGAGCAGTCTCAGGGTTTAAGTCCCTTGGAGCAGTCTCAGGGTTTAAGTCCCTTGGAGCAGTCTCAGGGTTTAAGTCCCTTGGAGCAGTCTCAGGGTTTAAGTCCCTTGGAGCAGTCTCAGGGTTTAAGTCCCTTGGAGCAGTCTCAGGGTTTATGTCCCTTGGAGCAGTCTCAGGGTTTAAGTCCCTTGGAGCAGTCTCAGGGTTTATGTCCCTTGGAGCAGTCTCAGGGTTTATGTCCCTTGGAGCAGTCTCAGGGTTTATGTCCCTTGGAGACACACAGTCTCAGGGTTTGAGTCCCTTGGAGACACACAGTCTCAGGGTTTGAGTCCCTTGGAGCAGGATCCTTAGTCAAACCATGGTGTAAAATTAAAAGTAATTATAAAAAGGGAAACGTGTAAAGGAGGCCTTTGTTACAAAAGCGTTGAAATTGACGAATTTCAGGCTGATAAATGACAAAAGTAAAGAAGCAACAATATTTCAGTGATCACGGTTTAAATTACATACAGAAAAAGGGAGTTTTTGTTTTTGGAGTGAACAGAGTTCACCGGAGAATGCAGAGTTTTATCTAAAGTTGAGCTATGAGAGCTTTCGTGAGTTATTTACATTTTTTGCAGAGTTTTATCTACAGTTAAGCTATGAGAGGATAAAATCCACTGATATTGATTTGGATGATTATGAGTTTTAATAATTTTGTAAAGTTTTTTTTTTTTTTTTTTTTTTAGATTTTTTTTTTTTTTTCTCTTTTTCCACTTTATTGATTGATCAAATTGAGTGATCACATGTGATTATGTGATCAAAGGGGAGGGTGTTAGTATTAGATAGCAATATGGCCTACGTGCAGGACTGTACAAGGACTCTACAAGGACTCCATGTTATGACTATGATGTGACTGTCTCTTTGTGACACGTATGTCTTTCGATGTGTGACGTGACAATGACTATATAAACTGTGTACTGCCTTTATTCTGTCTGAGGGAAAGAAACAGAGTAAACCAGTGGAACTTGAGAGAAACTTAAATAAACTTCCAGAGTTTGGCACACCACGATCCGTCTCTGTCTGATTCATCCCTGACACCCCACTGAGCACAAGCTATTGATATGAATTGGATGCCATCTTGGATCACCGTGGCTTGGCTATAACCGACTGTAAGGCATTCTTCATTTTTGTCATTTATGTTACATAATTTCACGTTTATTTATAAAAAACCTATACAGTCCCATGAAATAAATAACTAAACACATGTTTTATTAAGAGGAATGAACCCTTCAATGAATCATCTAGTTCTCAGTGGGGCCTATACACATTATAGACTAGAGTCTATAAGACTCCTCAAAATAAAACAAAAGCATGTATTTATAATTCCTTGTACAATTATTGTTATACTCTCATATTATTATGCCAAGAGGGGGGCAGAAAAAGGCCACTGTACAATGTTGTGTTTATCATTACATCACACAATAATTGTTTTGCTTTTAAAAATATTGTATTGAGCTTCTTGTGTGACACAAACGTGAAACAATCATGTTTCTTGAAACTTGTCCAGATGATGTGATAGTGATGAAAATTCATCTAGTTCGTTTACCTTAGTTGACATTTCACACGTTTATATAAATATATACGAAAGCCTCTTGACCTCCTCTCCATTAACTGCTATTAGTTAAGCATGAAGCTGGACCCCCCTGGACTAAGGAAGAACAAACGATACCCAGGAAGACTGAGAAAGTGATAACAGAGATGGAGATAGAGATGCGTTTTGTGTCATCCCATTATATCACTAATGAGACGACCTCAGGGGGAGAGCGCAGACAGCACAAGCCCTGCAATGGAGAGGCCTGAGAGCCAGAGAGAGCAGAGAGAGCAGAGAGAGGAGAGAGGAGAGAGACAGGACAGAGGAGAGGGAGGAGAAGCAGAGATCAGCCACAGGAGTTTTTCTTCCACCCGACCTCCACCCCCTCTACGTTTAATTGGACTAAAACTGTGATCTAATTAAATGTCCAATTAAAGTGCAGAGAGCAATGTGCCCAGTGGCGAATCAGAGTACAGGGACATAATCAGCCAGAAAAACAAACAAAAAAATCAATGGCAGCGATGCAAAATGGAAAGAGGAGCCGCAAACAGAAAAGGGAGATGAGGGCAGAAAAGGTAAAGACAGGACAGATAAAATCCTATTAAATTACAGGAGTGAAATGTACAAGCGTAGACGCCTTAAGGTTTTCAGAAGGGCGTTTATGGTGTAAACCTGCTGCTATTTAAATTAAAACAGCAGAGAACATATCTATTGCATTGCCCTTGTCCTAAAAATGTAACTATAAATGTATTACCAATCGTCTATTTGGCAAAAAAAAAATAAGACACCAACAAATTTGCTTGGTTATAATGTGGGGTTAGAGGAGAGGTTGCAGGACTTGCAACCTCTCAGGACTTGGGGTAGCAAAATTATGAAAGAATTATAAAAAAAAGAAAAAAGAAAAGAAAAAGAACTCAAAAACATTCAAGCAAGCAAAATTATTGCAGTTAAAGAAACATGTTAACGGCTTAAAATGATGCATAAAATTAGTTTTATTTAGTTTTGTTATATAGTGGCAGTTAGAATTTGAGCCTATTTTAGAAAAAGAAAATGATAATGATCATGTATTAGTGGGTGTCTCCAAAGCCCCATTACTTACAAAAGACTTACTATATTATTACATTTTCTCTATTGCTTGGTACTTAATAACACTGGTGTTGTGAATGCTTGTTTTTTTTTTTCAACTAAAAACTCACAACACAATCTTCCACTGATTCCATCTGTGTATTGCTTGCACACTGTGAACCCCTATAGACAGCTTTTGCCCATCAAATATTAATGCTGGGAATCAATTCAACATTTTTTTCTCCCTAATCTCCTTAACAATTCTCTCTCTAACGCTCACACAAATTTTTCCCAACTGGTATTAGACTCCCAAGACTCCAATAAAGTCATAAAAGTAATCAATTTAAACAACAGCTTTGTCAACTGACAATATGAAGCAATATACACGTAGTTCAAAACACAGCTACCAAGTTATGTTTGTGTCTGACTCTATGTAGTTGCCAAATTCTTCTTACCATAGCTGTGTAGTTGCTTCAGCAGATGTTCCTCAGTTTAGCGCATTATTGGTGGGTGTTATTTTAGATCCAGGTCCCCTACCTGCTTGATCCTGGTTCCTGATGGGACAGAGAAGAGGATCACTCTCCCACTCACACTGTCATCTCCACCTGCTCACACCAACAACTGCCAGATTACCAGTGACACTTCTGCTGTTATTAACAATAGACAGCAAACATGCCAGTTCTTATAATCACTCCATCTTTTTCATTATCATTCATTGTCAACAGGGCTGGTCCAATAATGACAATCATTAAACCAATAGACAAAGCACACCACATTTTAATTGGTTAAAAAAAAAAAAAAGCTCCCTAAGAAATTAATAGGGTACGGACCCAAATATGATCTTTTATTTAACCAAAAGTCCCACAATTGAAATCTATTTTGTTAAGACACATTTTGAACATGACGATTCACCTCTTCATTTAAACACTCAAAAGATCAAATTATTTGAACATTGTTCACTTTTTCAGTGAGTGAGTTGCAGTGACGTGGGCTCTTGGAAAAATTGATGCGAAGGGCCCTCTGTAAACAAGAACCGACACTGACACAAATACAATAACAACAATAAAAGTCTTAGTTTCATCATTAATGCAATGATGCATTTTCCTGTTCACTAAAAACATAAACTAGGTTGTTAAAAGCTACCAATTCGTTGGGAAAATTGACAAAAAAAGTGATGCAACTCCACCTATTTTACGTGCAATCGCATGCAAAAGTTTTAACAAATATATGCTCAAACTGCACATGTCCGTATTGGCTGCGGTATGTTTCAGGTGATGTTTCACTTACTCTTTTCTTTAAACTTCTTATGTTTAACTTTTCTTCAAGAGTCCCGTTTACTGACGACCAAACAAAAAAATAAAAATACTACGACTGCATCTGAAATGGGTTAAACACCTTCTTCCTTTTCCATACTTGTCGATTTAAATGTACCTTGTATGGGCATGGCAGCTCTAAGTGTTGTCAAAAATATAAAAATGAAATAAAAAATACAAGTTTTATCTGATATCTTATGCCTCCAAGGTTAATACCAATTAGAAGGAAGGGTGTAGAAGGAAGCATTTGTTAAAACTTGGATGCAGCACTACATCTCGTGAATTTTCAGTGAGCTGCTTTGACAGCAGCCATATTTGTAGTTTCTGTGACAACTTCTGACAGTCATTAATAGCATTTAAAAACTACATCACCCATGAAATCTAGGAAACACCGGTTTGACTTCCGTGGTCACATCGAGAGGTGCTCGCCGTGGGTTTCCTCCAGCAAAGAGAAGAAGCGGAGCCGAGTCTGTAGAGGCAAAATCCCACACAAACATCACCCCATATCTGCCTGTACAATGAAACTGCATTTAAAAACTCACTTTCTAGGTGCCAACATTATCCCGGTGATTTTGCTGGTACGTACAATGCTAAGGAAATGGTTTTTGATTTGATAATTACAGGCTAGCTTCAAGCACGGCTACAAGCTAATGGGTTTGAATGTTCTAGTGTGACTGATCTTCAAATGTGTTATGTTGTACCATATGATGTTGAAATCATCCAGACGAATAATGAAAAGCGTCAGATTTGGAAATCATATGATTTCAGGGTCATCTGGGAAACACTTGATTCGTTTTAGGACGTTTAGCTAGTGCTACAATGTCAACTTATCGTGGGTATGATAAATGACCAAGCCTTGATGTGATGGCAAGGCTTCTGTAATGCTTTGATGTTGTTGTAAGCCCACGAACATGTGAGACAAATTTAGAATAGTACTCAATACCCATTGCACTAAATGAATTCAATTCTACCCCAGGTGTGTACAGTAATGTCTGTCGGCGTTGTGTTGGTGTTTATCTGCATTATATGGTACAATCAATTGGATTTTTATGGTACTAAATGCTATTTTGACAAGTGTATACATAATTGTCTTCTTTTTCTTTGCTTGTGGGTGATGCTTTGTGGTTGGTGAATTCCTCTGTTGTGGCTCATTCTGATTGGCTCAGAACCCGGAACTCAACATAACAGCAGAGCGCAGCTGCTTTGCATATATCTGTTTGGGAGTAAAAACTTTGACTTTCACTGTCATTATTATCTATTGAAAAAATCATTTTGTAATGATTTGTCAAAAACAACAAACAATCTTAGCCACTGATGAAATGTAGTGTACTGTATAATGACGACCCCAACCATATTCCTAATTCCATATTTTAAATTCCAGACATATTTGTTGAGGTAGAGTGATATAATTCACAGCGTCACTGAATCTGATATGAAAACTGTTAGACATATCTTCCTAAAGCATCTTTGTTTATATTTACATTCACATCCTGTTTGGCAGGATGTCGTCTTAACACCTGCAGGGCTTTTGGTTCTTGGTATTTTAATATAATTCATGGTCCTCAATGTAATCTTTCAATTCTTCTGTTCTGAATGCCACTAAAAGCAAGTTTAGTGTTACCCACTGCACAGGACTTTCGAGGAGCTGAAGAGCTCCTTCAGTTGAAGACTGAGACACCCTTAGTGCAAGAAGGAGCGCTACCACAGGGCCAACAAGTCACTTGCACTAGGTCAAAAAAAAAAAAAAACTGCACTACTATTTCCACTGTTTCTTTAATTGCCACTTTTTATTGTACATAATATATCCTGCATTTAACATGTTTGCACACTTCTTTCTTTGCACAAATCTTGAGTGATTCTATCCATGCCAGATGTGACATGTAAATTTCAATACTTGAGTATGTATTATCGATACATGTATTTAGTTTCTCCCCAACACTGATCCTGTTCTATGATATAGATAATAATAATAATAAAAAACAAAATACCTCTGAACACCGCCACGGATAAAGATCATTATAGCATTCCAAATATTATGCTCAACTATTTTGAGAGGAATTGTAGGAATTTTTTGTTTAAAAAGGAAAAAAAATGTCCACTATTAAATAGAATGGGTCCCATGTTTACCAAAATTTGCATAATTTTCTTCTCGCAATTCAGACTATACTTTGGGGATTTGTTTGCATATCTTTTTTATAAACTATGTATAATATAAAAAGTTGAAATGTATGCCTAATTATAAACATAGTTCTTAGTGAAACTTTTTGTTATTATGCCTCACAGGTATTGGGCTTCTCCACTCCGGGTCAAGCAGAAATTACCAGTCTGGATTCAGCCAATATTGATGATGTTTTAAGTAAGTGGTCTTTCTGAACAGTTTAACAGGCTTCACTCTGTGCGCTTAAAGGTATACAAGAGGATTTTCTACTTCCGGGTGGATCATCAACACTATTGGTCCTCCCAAATGTCAATCATTCTGTTTATACGTCCTTGTCCTATAAGAGCAGAGAGTTTTGTTCAAAAAGTAGAAAGGGCGGTTCTTTCCTAAAATATGGGAAAATCCTCCTTTATACCTTTAAGTTTCCCAGAAGTTAGTTTGATGTAAAGATAAAACAGAAGAGCAATGCTTATGTGGCTAAAAGCGACTTGTTGCACAACCAGTTTTGAATGCCCTTCTTTAACATAGTGTGACTAAGGCTATTGCATGCTACGAGCATTTTTTCTTTCAAGTCATGTTCTGTTTTTTTTTTTTCATTTATTTTAATTAATTGAATAACTACTGCATCTCGGCCACTGTTTGTGTATTTACCGTGACTGTGTTTCCTTGCAGATAATGCTGGGGTGGCATTAGTGAATTTTTATGCAGACTGGTAAGTGTAGTTTTAACATCCATTAGAGTGTTTCCTTTAATGGGTTTAGTTTTATTATTATTATTATTATTATTGTTATTATTATTATTATATTCCTGCAAATATACTTAACCCGCTAAGATTTTTAAAAGAGAAGTCTGTGTCTGATGCACAAGGTGTTTGTACATTAAAATAAATGTGCAATGTGTAAAATTGTAAATCTAGATAAGAAGTTGTGTCTTTTGATTTATATATATGTATATTTATTTACAATTAGTTCAATAATCTAATCAATTACCTTTTTCCGGCTGTAATTAACCTTTTAGACTTAGGAGAGTTATGTCTAGAATGTTTATGTGAAAGAAGAGAGCCCTGAAAGTTCATAAGAAATAGAGGACGACTGAAATCAATAACAGAAATAAATGTTGGGAACCGTTTGTGAGAATCATCTCGAATCCCCATGTTTAAAAGGGCTTTTGGTCTCTTTGTCATATTGGTGCAGCTCTACTTAAAAAACATTTGGAAAGTCCTCATTTATGATCCGCGTGTGACTGTTTCAGGTGTCGCTTCAGTCAAATGCTTCATCCAATATTTGAGGAGGCGTCCAACATTGTGCGGGAGGAGTTTCCTGACACAAAGCAAGTGGTGTTTGCGCGCGTGGACTGTGACCAGCACTGTGAGTTGAGCTGAATGAATGCTGTACTTTTCATCTTTTGGAGATTTCATCCAAAATGTCAATGTAATTTTTAAGACCATATGATTATCTACCAGTTTAAAGTAAGAATATTATAGTTTTTGTGTTGGCAAATGATGCTCTGGTCTCTGGAAGTTGCAAATGGTGCTTATAATGATTAACGTGTGAGATTATATTCCGTATTTGGCTCCCATTTGCGACAGTAGCTCAGTTGGTAGAGCATTGGCCTTTGAGCCTGAAGGTCGTGGGTTCAAGCCCACCGTAAGACCTACTTCACGACTCCCACTGATGACTGCTGTCGTTGTGTCCTTAGGCAAGACACTTAACCCCACTTTGCCTGAAGCCCCCACTGAAAGATCTCAGCTCCTGTGGACTCACCACCTGCAGGAGGATCAGTGAGAGGCTGGTGCTCTGTGAACTGGGTGGCATCTCTGGCCACCCCCCCGACCCAGAAATGGATTAAGGGGAAGAAAATGGATGGATGGATGGATGGCTCCCATTTGCAGCTCACCAGGTGGTTGGGAGTGGCTAAACCATTCACCTTATTCCAAATGCTTTGAAACCGCTTGGATCCCCATTCATTTCCATTGGGAATGGCAGAAAACGATCAGTTGTATAAAATTATGTTATTTGATTGGTGTAAAGTTTTCCCTGTTTGTGTTCACCAACAGTTCAACTCTGGGCTCCGTCTTGAAAACATCTTTGTAGTCTTTAAAGAAGTTATTTTCTGTGAAGTTCAAACTGTACAATCAAAATCAATAGGACGGCAACCTCTGGAATGAGATGAGTAGCTCGTTTAAAAAAAAAAAAAGTCTATATGCAAAAGATAAATGATAAATTCACACATGCAACAATAAAATTACGACTTATTGATTTTTAATGCAATTATTACAGCTATTTAAGTCTACTTTGTGATCTTAACTTTCAAACAAACTAGTCTCAGGCTATATGGCCCAAATGCAGGACCTATTGGCTGTACGTATACATAGATGACCAGCACACCAAAGCACAGACGCACAAACCGGCCGCCTTCGCCTTTTGAGATAAAGCAAATTAAAAGGAATTATTGATGACCTGCAAAGTGTTTGAAGACTAATGACAAAACTGCTGCTTCCTGTGAAGACCGGGGGCTTAGAGACTCCCCGCGGAGAGATTGACACCTGCCACCGACACACAAGCGTGGCGTCGGCTGTGTGCGTGGAGAATATTTACTCTTGGTGGGGGGTGGCTTTAATGTAGCAGATCAGAGCCTGGGCGCCGACTGAAGCTTCTGTCTTCAGTCCTGGGTCTAACCAGTGTTTGTGTCACCGCTCCGCATCCACCCGTCCCCATGTGTTTTACTCTGCCCCGCCAGACGACCTCTTCATCAATTGATTCCCCCATCTTTGCTTAAACGCACCAGGCTCCGCTCCTCCGGCGCGTTTGGAGTCTTGAGTTCGCTAGTGAAATAGTTAGCCTTAGGAATTGAGATAGAATGAAAAGATAAATGGACGGTGGATGTTATTTGTAGAATAGTGTGTCTCTGGGTGTTTAGAATGGTGAAATATGAATGCGCATGTTTATAGGTTCAAGATAAGATGGTCTTTATTGATCTCCACAATGGAGAAATGTACAAGTCCCATTTGGCATAAATAGTATCATTCAGGTTGTGCTAAAAGACAGGAATAGTGCAAATAGGGAATGTGCAAACATGTTAAAAAGTTGAAGAAGATGACAATGTCTGGGATCGCGTCTTTAATTCAGACAGAAGACATGTTTTATTGTCAATGGTAGAGACAGCACAAACAAAGGATGTTGAAGACAGCAAGTGATAATATACTCAGGAGAAACAGAGACCTCCAATCAGCAGCTGCCACGGTGTGCTTGTAGCTTGGCCTTCAGATATCAAAACAAGTAGTGGAAAAGTACAGGCTTCTGCATATTGATAGAATGATGAGTTTAACTTTAACAAAAGTTGCTTCAAAGTGTTATGAAATCTCACAAAGTGATAAGATCTTTTGTGCAAGATATGTTATGTATGTTTGCAGTAAATATCGGCAATCCCACATTGTCTTAATTTAGCTTGTTTTAAATGTAATCATAAAATTAGTTGCTCTGTGAAATGTCTTGTGACAAGTTTTATACATCCGCCGTACACACGCTCTGTCCTGATGCATTTCTAATCTGTGTTCCATGTGATTGTGGTCGCGTGTAAGTGTGTGGCGAGTCAGCCACTTCTTCCCACTTTCTCCTGTGAGAGTTTGTAGCAGAGAATTTGGGATGTGGAAGAAAAATCCAGTGGTAAATGGTAAAATCCATGGCAAATTTGGAAGGCATGGATTGAACCGTTGCGATGAAGACAAATAATACATAAATTGCAAAGGTGATCACGGTGTCGAATGAGCTGTTTTCCCAAGAAGGATAGCTGATGAGAAGAAAAACAAAAGAAAAACAAGAAAATTAAAAACAAAGCATAGAGCGGACTCTCTGTGGACGAGAAAAACATTCTTCCAGTTTTTGTTCATCTTATCAATAAGGGGAGGAATTGTTGAAGAAATTGAATGAAGGGCATCAGCAGGGAGCTGGACACAAGATACTGATCACTGAAGGGAAAGAAGGGTGTTAAGGGTTAACAAAGTGATCACGTACAAAAGTGCACAAACGATCCACAGCAGTCGGTGGCTGTAATGCACTATTTATGTTTGACAACCGCCATAAAACTCAAGAACTTTGGATGAAAACTTACTGGAGTTGGCAAACCCCTGGAGGCTGGGGTGGAGATTTTGCCTCCAGCAAGAAAATGACCCTAAACATAAAGCCAGAGCGACAATAGCACGGTTAGAATGAAAAGAACGAAGTTCACACCATTTAAAGATGTGGAACAACGTAAAAACTGCTTGTTGTTTTGTAAATATGAATGGGCAAAACTTTCAGTATAGATTCGCAAAGCTAGCTAACCCAATAGACTTTCTGCAGTGATTGCTGCAAAAGCGGTTCCACAAAATGATAACTCAACTGTATGTGGCCATTTGAACCATTTCGGGAGGCGCTACAGTGCTCCTCGATTTAGCAAAGCATATTTTACACATTTCACTGCTCAACAAAAAGTCCCTCTGATGCACTTTCTTTTTGCCAAACCCAAAGTATAATATTATGAATTTAAAACTATTATCGACAATAAACTTCTATGTACTTGTAATGTCAAATACAGCTGGTAACCACGGCTCTCTCTCCTCCTCTTAGCCGACATAGCCCAGCGGTACCGCATCACCAAGTACCCCACACTGAAGCTGTTCCGAAACGGGATGATGATGAAGCGCGAGTACAGGGGCCAGAGGTCGGTCACGGCCATCGCAGACTTCATCCGCACCCAGCAGGTGGACCCGGTGAAGGAGGCCCAGACCGCCGAAGAGCTCGCCGCGGTGGACGTGAGTGTGTGGACGTACAACAAAACACTCAGTTCTACATTCCTACATTTCCAATAATTTTGTCTTTTCTCAAATAGAGGAGCAAGAGAAACATAATTGCATATTTCGAAAGCAAGGATTCGGACAATTATCGCACGTACGAAAAAGTGGCCAACATCCTACGAGACGACTGCACGTTCTTGGCGGCGTTTGGGTGAGAAATCCAACACATTGTTTTATGTTTTGTTCCAACTGTTTTAAGATAGGAATGGTTGGATGCACACGTGTCCTGGCTTTCATCTGGTTTCTTATATAAGCTGGTGTTTAAAGTATAACATTGTGAAGAAAAAAAAAACATTGTTACTTTCACATCATAAAGAAAAAAAATGCTTGATTTGGATGCACATAAGACATAGCAGGACATTTATTGTGCAAATTGGCCCCTAGTTAAATGGTGCGAGCGGTTTCAAATGGTTTTTGATTTGTTACGCTAGAATCTCCCTCTTTCTGAGATAAGAGAAACATTTATTTATCTTATCTTGGCTTCGGGCGAGTGAGTTTGGAGAACACGTCGTGCAGAGCAAGACAAATGGCTTTACACAGAACTCGACGCAGATGCTTTTGAATCGCAACAGAATCAAATCCTAAACGCATCTGCTTTTTATGTATTATTCTGCTTTGAACTAAAGGATGCCTCTGACACATTAACAAACTGTTAAGGGCTCAGAAACGAGGGGAGGTTTGGAACATTGTTGGTGCTTCAATCTCAAGAATGTTTTGCTATTATACCAAACCAATTCTGTCTTCAGTAGAAAAAGAATCTGATCTAGCCCATATTTTACACTGTCTAAACCATTGGCCATTGATAGATGTTGGTTTTATCTATTTGTCCAAGTCACTGCAATATACACGCAGGTGAAACTTGGAAAATTAGAATATCGTTCACGTCTGTCGTTCAACTGATTTATCCCTTTTGATCAATATTTAAATTTTTCAAGTTTCAACTATTTATTTTAAACAAATACAAACTCTTGAAAATAATAAAAAATATATGAATCATTAGTCTGCACACTTTAGTTGTAAAATCATATTGTACTATTAAAATGGCTATGAATACAATATTTTAAGCAACAGTAGGGAAATGTCAGTAACACACATACATACTCTAAATGAAAAACCAAAAGATGTAAAGTGAATGTCATGTGTTCGTCCAGTGGGGTGTCGGCACACGAGCGCTTCAGTGGGGACAACCTCATCTACAGACCCCCAGGAGAGAACGCCCCCGACATGGTGTATCTGGGCTCTCTCACAAACTTCGACCTGACCTACGCCTGGACCCAGGACAAGTGTGTGCCGCTGGTGCGAGAGATCACCTTCGAAAACGGAGAGGTGAGGATGCCAACATTCCCATTCATTTTTCCTCATTGTGTACAAAAAGGATAGAAGAAATGGGATGAGATTTATTCTGAAATTATTGTACCCGACCTGCAGATGGGGCAGAGGGCAGGGAGCTAAGGAGACGTAATATTGATGTTTTGGGCTGAGGGCAAGTGGTGGTGCTGTTTCCTGTTTGATTGGCCTGATTTGAAGATGCTACATAGGCCAAAACTGTTTTTAAAGCGATGAAAGAGATTTGATTACATAGTTCAATTTTGTACAATTCCATGTTAAGCCTATATAGGGGCAGTTTTCCTTTTCCCCTTGTTCACTTTCAGTTCCAATTGTTGTTGCAATATTCCACCTGGCTGTTCTAAACATGAATTTCATAAATACGACTTACGAATAAAATGGTTTCCATGATGTTATGTCCATTATCCAGTTGCTCAAGGTGTGTCCTAGTTTCTATAGGTGGCAGACAGCCAGTGTGAGCATAATTTATTGCTGCTCGTAGTAAAATGATGAAATATAGATGTGCATACAGTACATGGTCACCATCTGCTTGGTTTTTCTGCACCAGGAGCTCACTGAAGAAGGCCTCCCGTTCCTCATCCTCTTCCATGTCAAAGAAGATGTAAAAAGCTTAGAAACGTTTCAGCATGAAGTAGCACGACAGCTCATCAGTGAAAAGGGTAAGCATCTCACCTCAGTCTATAATATATAGAGAGATAGATAGCAGCTGGCTGTATGGCTCCTTGTCGAACAGTTTCTTGTCCGATCAACAAAAAGTGATCACTGATCCTCCTGCAGGTTGTGAGTCCACAGGAGGATTTCTGCTTCGTCAGCAATGGCACAGCCTTGATCTTTCAGTGGTAGCTTCAGGCAAAGTGGGGTTAAGTGTCTTGCTTAGGGTCACAATGGCAGAAGACATCAGTGGGACTAGTTGGTAGGTTTCATGGGGGATCGAAGCCACGATTGTTGGGCTGGAGTAAATTATGAGAAAACACAAGGGTGAAACACATAATTATTTAAGAAATATTGCAAAACTTTGCTCTACTTTGCTCTACTTCTAATGGTGTGATTTGGAAATAAGTCTCTTCACTGTGTCTTCATGCTGTGATTCAGAGGTTGAAACTGATTTAAAGGAAATATCTAGTTAAAATTGTATTCAAATGTATGCAGCCAAATTCAAGGCTTTAGTGCCATTATAATTGAGAGATTATCGCATTACTTTGATTTGTCTCGGCAAGCTTGTAGTTCAGTTTTTCTTTGTTCTTCAAATCTTGAATAAGCTATTGTTGGTTTCTTAGCTTAAATAAATTTTCTAAATTATAAGATTGATTTTAACTTCCCCCCCTGTAAATATCTAGTTGCCTGTATCAGTTGGCCCTCATTGGTGTTTGATAACAATGAAATGTTTAGATTATGATATGCTTTGTTGTTGTCAAATACAAATTGAGTGCCAAAAGTTATTGGTTCCTAAGATATTGGAAACGAGTGGGATATGCGATAGTAGTGTCAAGAACTGCGATAACTCAATATATCGTGATACTTTCTTCAAAAAAAAAAAAAAAAGGTACACAATCCAAGATATTGCATACTTCTGGCACTTGTCTCTTTCCAGCCGCAAGAGCAAGCAATGACAGAAAGTAATGTTGAAGGGAGGGGTTTTGAGGTTGGGCTTGATTGGTCAAAGTAAAATCAAATCATTGCAATATGAGTATTGCACCTGCTTTTAATGGGATGATGCTTGTTTCATATGTTGTGCAGCCTCACTGAGTGTTTTTGTGTCTCCTCAGGCTCCATAAACTTCCTTCACGCAGACTGTGATAAGTTCCGCCATCCTCTGCTCCACATTCAGAAAACACCGGCCGACTGTCCGGTCGTGGCCATCGACTCCTTTAGGCATATGTACGTCTTCCCCGAGTTTAAAGACGTCTCGTAAGTATCATTTCATTTACATTTTTCTCCAAAAGACTATCAGACGCTTCAGTTTTGATAAACGGGAGGATGGAGAGTAGAGAAGCTCAGCTGACACCATGAGCCATGCCATAACTCATTGTTCGGAGAAACTGATGGCTGGTGATCTTTGATCTATTTGGACAAGGCTCAATACCCTTTGAAACAGACAAAACTTATTGGTACTTATCCTGATCCTTAAACCTCTAACCGTGTTGTTGCCAGAAAGTCCAGAATGTTTGTATATTTCATTGGGTCTTCATTACATCTGCCTTGGAGGTAAAGTGATCACCGGTGTTTTTCTGTTTGCTTGTTTGTGAGCAACATACCTCAAAAGGTTATGGGAGGATTTTTGACTTTGTGCAGATTTTTTGATTTGCGTCCTGTCCATGCTTTTCTAGTTGTGAAAGTCATAAATTAACCAAATATTCCAATTGAATAACATTTTAATTAATACTAATTGATTTCTTTTGGACACTCAAAGATGCTTCACATGTCATTATTCATTCAAGGTAAACTACTACTGATGGTTTCAGCTCGAAAGTGTTAAAATACATTTGTATTCATGTGGTTTTGACTAAACAAAGTATCAGCCTCTCCTTCAGGCCAGTAGAGTTCTGCTACAAAGTAAAGAATTGCTCTTTGTCAGCCTCTAAAAGATGCATAAGTGCAACTCATTAAGTCTTTACACCAGCAAGTGTATTTTTCAATTGAAATAATGAGGATGTTATAATTTCAATGTTTTGCTCTCACACATGTACTGAACATGTGTACTAGATATATATATATATATATATATATATATTAGTGCTGTCCAAAATGTCGCGTTATTAACGCGTTAACGCAAATCAATATTAACAGCGTCATTTTTTTTATCGCGCGATGAAAAAAAAAAAAAAGTTAGACTAGTTCAGATACATTGTAGACAGAGATTACAAACAATATGTAGTTGGAGATACAGGGAGCCAAAGAAGAAACCCAGAAGAGCACATAGGAGGGGGGGGGGACATGAAGTGGGAGATGGGGGGGGGGGGTTAATAAAAAAGGCAATACAAGCAAACAGTATACAGTCATAGATATACCGAAAGTAAACAGAGAAACAGCATAGAGTATTTACATGAACAAATTTACAAAATATTTGAAAAAGCAATTGCACACAGCCCGCCTATTCACTTTTTAGTAGTATTAAAATGATAATTCAAGGGACATAAAGAATAGATACAAATGTGTGACTAATTTGCGATTAATCGCGAGTTAACTATGAAATTCATGCGATTAATCGCGATTAAATATTTTAATCGTTGGACAGCACTGATATATATATGTATATGTATATATGTATATATATATATGTATATGTATATGTATATGTGTATATATATATATATATATATACACTAGGACTTCTGTGTGGAAGACTGAAACCTGGTGTAGTGCAATCAAAGGGGTTGGGGCTTTGTGGGACAAGTAATTAATCTTTTCTCACTTTCAACCTTCATCATTTCTCATGGTTTGAAGTGATGAAATTCAACCTGTGTAAATATTCAGATAATGACATTGTTTTTGTAATTGGGAAATATTAGATAAAGTGCCACTGTTCTCCGCTGTGGACTTAACACCAAAGAAATGTCACGCCTCCTAAAATCTGTCCTGTATGAATGGGCCAGGACACCGGCGCTAATGTGACATGATTTGGCACGTGCAATAAGTGATAAACTAATCCAGTCTAATCTAATTTAATCTTATTTATTCTACCCCCCGCCACCGTCCCCGGCCCCCCGTCACTGCTTTGGCCCTGAGGACTGACCACAACCTAATTACATCACATCAGTGCGGCTGGTGGCTCACACCATCACATTAATGTATGTTTTAAATGTACGTGACGCATGATTAGAGCAGAGAGCAGCTCCTGTTTGGGATACTACAAGCTTTTGTGTTGTTCATTTCAGCCTGTACAATATTCCAATGTTCATCATTTGGTTTGTGTTTGACTGAAACTAAACCAAAGATGCATTTGTGCTTTCATCTTGTAGCGTTCCTGGAAAACTGAGGCAGTTTGTGTTGGACCTCCACTCTGGGAAACTGCACCGAGAATTTCACCACGGACCTGACCCAACGGAGAGCACGCCCGGACAGGTCAGACCAAGGACGGAAAATAAACGTCCAAACGTATATTTTGTTTTATTAGGAAATATTTAGATTCTACAAAAACATGATTCTTGTTCATTGGTACGTCTGTTTTTAAAATTATGTATTTATTATTATATGGACTATGTAATATTATAATTTCATATTACAATTTGATCTTTTATACGTGTCCCTGGATAATAGGTTACATATACACATCATATTTGGCCTTTTCTGAACAAAAGATTAAAGTTAATTTATTACATTGTCCATTTTAATAAAACATACAATTGACACGATGTCCACAATATCTGTTTTTAATTCTACTAAATCCACTCATAAATAACACGACACATTTGTTTAAATGAAAGCACGTGAAAAAAATAACCTGCGGGGGTGTAGTAAAATCAGAATCATTTTTATTGCCACGTAAGTAACTTAAAAAAGAAAAAGTAATTTAATAAAAGTTGGATTGTAATGACTTCATTCACCCAGTAAGAGTGCAAACTACATGCTCCCTTTCATATTCAAATTCATAGTAATTCTATTTAATAATAATTTTCAGTGATCAATAAAGCTGGGGATTTTCAAACCGTGAAATCAATCGAACCTGTTCAGGGTTCTCACCAGGTTGTGTTTGTGTGTGTGTGTTTTTGTGCATGAGCGCCGTAAAAACATCCTGGTGAGAACCCTGCTGTTCCTACAGGCTACAGCTTTAGCTACGAGCAGTCGACATCTTTATAGTTTTATCTGAAGTGTGATTTTTGAACCTGCCCTTTTCCATCAGGAGGTCGAAGAAGTGGCAAGCAACCCTCCAGAGAGCTCCTTCCAAAAACTGGCCCCAAGCGAGACGCGTTACACCATCCTCAGCCGGGACCGCGACGAGCTGTGATGGACCGCGCTCAAAGTGATCAGGACAAAAACCCGGCGGCCGTTAGAAAAGAACCAATGAAAATGAGAGGAAAAACTAAACCCACAACCACCAGGAGCAGAGCCGTGTGAGGCGGCACTAAAGCGTCGGAGTGACCTCTATTTTCATAAATCTTTGATGTACTATTTTTATTTGGGAACAAGCGGAGAAGGGGGATATGAAGAAACAGGGGTGGGGTTCTGGGGGGCATTAGAAAAAGAAAAAGTTTTTACGTTTATTTTTGGAGCTTGTAAATAAGTTTGTGCAACATAGGGTTTCTTTTTTTCATCTAAATTAAATCCATAGTTTATTTTATTGCAGGCTTTTTCATGGCTGATTTTGTAGTTTGAACCCTGTCACTCCAGTTTTTACAGTTCAGTTTGAAGAGAACGGAGACGCCAAACGAGGCCCTCTTCTCTTCTCAATGTGGCCAAGTCCATGTTTTTTTTTTTTTTACACGGGAAACTACAAAATCCTTTTGTGCGTGCACATAATTCTGTACATATTTTATATTGCAGAAGAGCTGGTACTAGATTTGAACATGCGCTGGGTAACTTTTCTTGTAGCAGGAGCAGCCACCGACTTGTTTCCATGATGACGATGATGTTGCAGAGAGTATGACATCGACTTATTCAATTAGAGATGCAATAATGCTTTTAAAAGATCTCGAAAACCAAATATTCTTAGCTGAATTGGTATAATAACATGCAACAATATCAACACCGTACATTCCACACATTACCCATTTTGACTGCATGGTACCAAGATAAAAAGCAATCGTAAGCAATTATTCTGATGTTGTTATGTCCACTTGCGTCTATAGATCTGTTCTGTGTCTGGGCCTTTTTTCCATGGTCTGTGTTGACAAATTTTGACAGTCGTAAAGGCAATTACAAAGAAGCAATACGCATTTTTATAGAGGCATTTTGTTTTGCTAACTGTACGGATTTTGCAATATATATCGTCATTTTGTGGTCTTTGTGGAACTTTAATTCGATCTCACCCCGACCATGTACAGAAGTCTTTCTGTACTTATACAAAAAGGAATCCAAAATGATTCCTTGCTGTTTGAAAAAGAAATCGAAATCAGGCTCAGAATCTTACGTGTTGGAGCTTCCAGAGTTGAAAGGGAACATGATATCTAAAGTTGTTTTTTTTTTATATATATATATATATATATATAACATTTTGGGTTAAAAAAAATCCTCCTAAAATCTTTATAAATGAGGCCCCTCACTTATAACTTGGCAAGGGATTACTTCTGCTCTACATCATAGAGATACATGGTTTCATGTCACATGGTAGTCAAAGCAAACATCTGTAGAAAAGTTGCACAGTGCATCATTAAGTGTGCGTGTAAAAAGTTCCCCGATCAGACAAGAGCGAATCGCTCGTTCCTCATTTACAAATGTACATATTGTATGTGACGTAAGCCTGTATTTGGCTGTAACGTATGATCCGTAGTGCCCACATAGTGTCTTAAAGCACACTCACTTTGGCTTTAGTGATCTGGAGGCCCGTCAGCATGAGCAAGATTGAAAGTAACTCACATTGGCAGAAATAATGATCATATCTTTACACAACAGAAACCCATTCATTAAATATTTAAACAAGTCAACATTGTAAACTGTACATGACTGGGGTTTTGTATAACTAGCCAAAGAATAAAGGCCACACTTTTAGAGACTTAATTTTATTTTTTCAAACCAGGAACTCTTTTTTTTCACAAATACATGTGAAAGATGAGCGCAAATAAATACATGTTTGTACTCATCTTTTCCAACTATGGGAATCAAACTAAAGTATTGCTACATAGCTCCCAAAACCATGTTGAAATTATAAAATGTAGTCGTAGTTATTGGTCCAACGCTAAAAACATTAATTTATACAATCATTGAAACGTTTAAAATAAGGTCCATATACGATGAAACAACGGTACAAACAGTAAAAGCACCAAACATGTGTTTTCCTCCTGCGTTTGTGAAGACATGATGGTGACAGGCCTCAGGCTCACAAAGCGCCGCTGAATCAAGATAGTTGCTTTAATTTGGGGCACTTTGATCATAAACGAGATTACCATTGATCTAAAGCTCTGTCCACTCGTTGTATGAGTGGGAAACATTAGTCCCAGATATTTATTATCTATCGGTCACTTTGTAAATAGCGTTCTATCCAAACACTTGTAAAAATCTTGGACGAGTTCTTAGCGCTCATGTCGGGTCGAATAGTTTTTGCATGCACACTTGACTTCCTTGAGTTCCTTATGCCATTGAGTTGGGGTCATGGGGATTCTATTAAAGCTGATCTATGTAACTTTCCTAATTTGGAGGCATGGGGGGGGAGTGTATTCTCGGCTCGTCCTATAGATAGGGTCTTGTTTTGCTTGGAATGTTGTACACATTTCAAAGACACCCGCATCAATATTTGTAAAAGCTCAAATCAACAAAAACCCTTTTCTGTTGTGGCCTAAAATACTCACACCGAGCAGGATAGTTTGTCTGCTTTCAATGTCTCGGAGTGACAACAAATGTGTGTATTTAAAGTGAATGTCAGTTACTTTTCAGATTGAGAAGAGAAACTTTTTGAAGACTGGCACTGGTTAGACCCGCCCCATGCTCACCCCCACAGCCTCCTGATTAGACAAAATTATTACTTCTCTTCCAGAAAATCTATTAGTTATGCTAAAAGGAGGGACTGTTTTAAATATATTACTGTTGGAAAATTCATCATTTACATAACTGTACAGTGCCCTTTGCTCAGTAATGCTTGTTCTTTTAAAAATGATATACAGTTGAACTTATTGACATCCCCTTTAAAACAAGATTTAACAATTGAACAGGCAAAAACCACTTGTTCGCTCAGATTGAGAAAAAAATTGCAACTGCATTTGAAATAAACACAATTCTTGACCCATTGGCAAAAAAAATGTTTTGTTCCAGTGTATGGAGAAACCCTGCAGTGCTATTTCCTTCATTCTCGTGTCTATTGAATGCCGTACTTGCATTCCAACCAGAGCAAAACACACCAGAGCTGAGCAGGAGCCAGGAAAGCAACTAGAACGGCTTTAAACTGTTTTAATTGTGTTCTAGATTTATTAAATGGCTGTTGTCTTTCACCTGCTGTTGTCATTCAGGAAGAAAAAGTACCCATGTTATTTTCACTGAATTTGGGAGAAAATGTACAGGTTTAGTCTTTGTACAAATATGATTTTTGGTTCCGTATGTGAATCGAGAGGATGTTTCTTATCCAGATGACACATCAGCAAAGTGAGCAGCAGACGGAGGGCGGAGACTATGAGTGAGGCCATTTTGAATTCATCTCAAAGGAGAAGAGGAAAATGGAAAACTAAATTAAAAACATTTTACAGTGTCTGTGGTGTGGTCTTGTCATTTACTCATTTACAGTGCAATTATAAAACTCTTGAGTGGGTTCAGGTCTGGTATCCAATAAGAACACATAGGAACTAGGGAATAGTTTTCCATATTTTATTTGCATACATTTGACACAGGATGCTTTAAAACTTGGGCCCATGAATGCAACAAGGAAACCATTACAATTTGAATTGAAACTGGTTAACCAATAATGCCATGTTTGATCGGACTGAGTCCATTTAAATTCTCTCAAACTATTTTTTACACATGCACCTACCTTACAAATGTAAACGTTTCAAACTCCTGTTTATTTGGATTAAAGTAATTTCTCTTAACAGTGTAAACCAAACCAAAGGGGCCTGATGGTTCCTATGATATAATAGCTCCATGTTCCTGCGGCTAAATAACCCCTGGGGATAAGCATTAGTTCCTGGTGGACAATGTTTTTGACCTAAATACAGTACATACATTCACTTTCTGCATGGAGATAAAACTCAGAAGATTCACAAGGATTAGAAGAGTTAACCCATCATTGACAAACATTTTCATTTGATATTATCTTGGCATAACATTGGCAGTTTGTTGCAGATTGTATTTAAGACATGTATAAGGTTCATGTAAACAGGACCCACAGATGTCTGTATAATGTTACGTGGACAAAAGATGGCCATCTGCATATCTTAATAGAGAACTGTTGAACAGTTAAAATAGTGAACATTCAATTTCTGTAGTTATACAATGGCTCTCAAAAGAAAATATTTGTTTGCAAATTAGGGAGAAACAGTAGTGAACAAAAACACAGCATAATATACTTGGGTCGAATTGACCCATCAGTTAAAGACCCTAAATAATTTTGTTTTCAAGCGGAATTTTCACTGGCATGACCACGCCTGGGTCATTTAGACCTTAATTTAGGGTATTTTTCTTCAACTTTTAATCATCTGTGGCAGGTCATTTTGACCCGAGGGTAGCACAACGGACTAACAATAAACAATAAGTATGCTTGTGTTGCTTATTTCTGTGCAAAGATTTTAGGAAGTGAATAGATACATTGATTGAAGACCTCTATGGTTAGATCGCACTCTTTTCAATTGAAGTGAACGCCTTTTCCTGGTTATTGACATTATTTAAGGCATGATTGTCTACTTTTGGTGATAATATTGGTGTTTCTGGTGTTTGATGGGAGGGCTGCTTTTCCACAAATCCAATGAAAAAAACCTCCCTGATGTACAGAATAACTGGGGCGGTAATAACTGATGCAGTCTTTTCATTTCCGATACCAAGCGACACACAATACAAACCCCCTCAAATGACATCAAACCAATTACAACATGGCCCCAATTATCTAAGTAACAACAGAAAAAAGTTGTAATCAACCAGAAGAGCCCATTGGAATATTGCTTTAAAGTGTGTATGACAAATTTTTATAAGAGGTTCCATGAGTGGACTTTGGATTCAAATTTGTGGATGGCAACGACCCAGCAACCAAGGAGCCAATCAGGCGTCATTCTGTATAGAAGTTTTCATTTTAATGACAATATAGTCCAAGTCTACAGTCCTTGCTGCCATATGCACTTTAACCGATACAGTAGTGAATCCTGCACCGATATGCAAAAGTATCAGTGCCTCTCCACCCTCCAACACATGTTTTCATTTAAACAGTTTTGACAATTGCATAACAAATACATTAACATAAGGCATTTCTTCACAGTTTATTCACTAAAAGCCTGTTCTTGGCACTTCTTCAATCTAGTCCCGGTGCACGCTTGTCCTGCGGTCATTTGTCTTTCGCTAACTCCTCTTCAGACGGAGACTTCTGCGGTGGGGCCGTCAGCTGCTTCATCTGCAGATCTAAATTGGCTTTCCGGTGCTTTTGGACCATGTTACCACCGGCGAACCCCAGCGCTCCTCCCCCCACCGCCGCTGCCACCCCTGCAGCTTTGAACCCAGCCAGGAGGCCGAGAGGACCCGCTATCACTCCCCCGAGAAGCGCTCCGGCGATGGGCAGCACGGCCAGCTTGTACCCCACAGCCTGGAGAGACACAAAAGGCGAGATAGGAGCTGGTTCAATTTACACACCTTCTGAGACTTTTGATTCGTTTCGGATGCGGCTCTAAGCTTTCATGATTAGGGCGAAGGCGCGAAGGACACAAACATGGCCGCCCTTACACCTATAGTGCATCAAAGCCTCTTCATTATCTTAATTTGGGGGAACGAGAAAATCACCGGTTTGTGTGTCATTCCCGCTGTTATCTTCAAAGCGAAAGGTGTGCCTCGAACTTGATTAGCACTTACTATTAATTTTAACCGCTGTTCAAACGCCCCCACAACACTGGTCTCTATGCCCCTTTGGCAGCAGAAGGAATTCTAATTTCTTCTGGACTTGAAAGCGGTGGAGCGGTGTTGTTTGACCTGATGACAGATTACGGGCTTTCACATGTAAAAACATCTGACAGACTCAGATCTGTGCTATCTGTCCACACCCCCTACTAGCACCAAATAAAGCTGCCACATCACAGTCGCGACTACGCAAGGAAATTAATGGATTTAATTGTGAATCGCGTTTTTTCTTGTATTGACAATTTTGTATTTGCTTTCAGTAAGAAATGCAAAACAAACTTTGAGGTGCCATTTAAGACGGAAAGGGTCATACAGTCTTTAGTCCTCCAAAAAGGAATGAAAAAAAGAATCATATCCAAAATTGCAATGTTTAAAAAAAAAAAAAAAAATGTATTAGACTAGTGATAGAATCATCCAGTGTGACTTGTCTTTTTGTTTTCTGAATACATTTTGTTTGTAATAATAATTCATTGGTTTTATATGGCGCTTTTTTGGACACTAAAAGATGCTTCAAATGCCATTATTCTTTCACTCTGTACACAGCAATGATAATAAACTACTGTAGCCCCAGCTGCCCTGAGACAGATTGAAAGAAGTGAGGCAACCAGTATGTGCCATCGACCCCTCGGAGCACCGCCAACCATTCACGCACAAACCAATCTCATTCTAGTGAAGTGTCTTGCCTAAGGACACAACAACAGTTTGGCACTTTTTGTGTATGAAAAAGCTGAAAAAGCTGTATGAAAACTAGTGAGCAGAGAGCGAGGAAGTTAGATGGATGTTGTTACATAGTTCAATTATTTGTGGTTTGAAAGTTATGTAGCCCAGCTTTAACCCCGTAGCACCCTCGGTTATAAATGTGCGACGTGAAGATCAACGACTATGGAAAAAGAAGTATGCCTTTTTGTTTTAAGGCATTAAACTCTTGGTTTTACTCATTAACTCTAATTTACTATTTTTCCTGTGAATATTCTTTAATCTTATATCTTGGGCATGTTTAAAATTTTAAAATAAAAAAACCCAGTGTGTACCCAAGAACCTGAAGAAACAAATTACTTCTAGAAAATACTACATTGCCAGATTTGGTCCTTGAATACTGCTTTCCAAAAATTCTCATTCTCAAGTTCTCATTGACCCGCGAGCCCAGTGTGGTGCATTATGAGAATCTCAGCCGTTTTAGTTTTACAGCTAAAAGTTGATCAGATGCAGTGTGCGATGTGTGCGAAGGCCACGGAGTCATCAGGATGACTTGGCACTTTGTTCACAACGGCGACTTTGTGTATTGAATTGACAATGCGAGCAGCTGAAAAACTATTAAGCAGTCACTCAAAGGCCTCTTAATGCTGTACACACGGGGACCCTCGTCTGGTGTCACCCCCATCACTCCATCACTCCTCTCCAGCCCTCTCCTCTTTCCATTTCCTTAATTGCAGCTTTCCTTCGTATTGGAACAGATCAATAGGGACAAACGCGGCGGAATGGCTGCGAGGCAAAGTGCCATCGATCCCCTTATCTCCCAAACACTCTACGCACACACACACACACACACACACACACACACACACACACACACACACACACATGCATCAGATTGTCGGGACCGCACACTGCAAAAAAACAAACAAAAGTCTTTATATTTTTTTGTTTCGGATTGGTCTTTTTGATGGGTAATAATTCATATTTACAGTCTATGGGTAATACTCAAGCCCTGGTGATCCAAGATGGCGCCCTATTCAAATGAATGGCTTGTGTTCAGTAGCGCATGGGACTTCACGGGCGCTGACATATCAGAGGAACTCGCCTATATTTGGTCCTTCCGGTTCTGCGCAGCGGATTATCTCCCATGATGCATTGCGCCAAATACGCGTGTGCGGCTCTCATGCACGTGCACACAGGGGCTCGGCCGCGCTTTGACCAATCACAGCTGCTGATCAGAGCAGTGGTAGAGAAGAGTCAGAGCGGGAAGGAAAGGAGCAGAGTTTGTGGCAGTAAAGTGTGGATTTAAAGAAAAACGAAGGATTTAAGAAGAAAAAAGTTCCGGATGACAAGGGACACTAAAATCCCCACAAAATCCAATCTTTATGAAAGCTGCAGGTTCTCTGTCAGCTGAGGGTGAGTTGTTTTAGTTTACATTGAGATCTATGGGACTTTTTTTTGGGTAGCCCGCGTGAATTTAGTCTGCAGTACCACTGTGCCCATGGGTGGGACAGCTATAAGCTAATACCCTATCCAGTTATTATTATAGATCCTCTTGTTTTAGTGATAGTATGATGTCATAGTGATGTCATAGTGTCACATGACTGAGACAAGAGAGAAGGGGTGGAGTTACATGTTTGTGCCAGAAGTTCTTGATATTAGCCTGGATGGATCTGAAAACAACTCCACGCCTATTTTTGATGAAGGAACAGTGGTGTAAAAAAAATGTGCTCAATGAGACGATTACAATATGATGCAATGTAAGATGATATAAAAGTGTAAATATGACGCTGCTTTTATTCACTGGGTTTGTAGCTCTCTTGGTTAAGAGTCCTCCTTTATTGTGCCCAGACCACCGGCTGCTCCACTTTTGTCTTTTGTTTAGTTCACTTGATTTATACATCAGAGGTCTCCAGCCCCTTTCAGCTCGCCAAAGGATTTAGAGCCATTACGTATCTATTATAAGTATAAATAAAGGGTTATACAGTATAATGGTATATTTTACGTGTGTTCTCCATGTTTTGTCGTAATTATTAGATAGATTTTTATTACGACTGCAAAAAGGAGTAGCTCTCTGCCTCTTCTTTTGTATGAAAGTAGCTGTCCAATTGAATAAGGTTAGAGACCCCTGATCTACACACTGAACACTGCATACACCACTGACACACAGTCAAGTCAATTTTATTAATTAAATTCTTTATAACCGTTGTTACTTGTGTGGTTTCCTCTCCTTGTTACTACTCCTGAGCCATGGTTGTAACAACAAATAAAAGTTGGAGGAGAATAGTCTGTGGCAATCAAAGTGAATCAAATCAATTATTTTGTGTGTGATTCCCAAACAGTTGTCAAACAGCCTCGATGGAGTTCACAGACTCGTTCATTTGCCAATTGGAATATTAAACATCAAAAACCGTCATTGGTCATAAAGACAAACAGATTCACATTCAGGCTACTTCTTTTCCACAAACTCTCTGGAATGTTGATTATGGTTTTTCACACTGCCCCATCCCTTCTGCAATCTCCATCACATCAAAGCACACGCCATGAAAGAGGGGATCTCCTTCACACATGCACAGTTCTTTGAAACATTTCAGATAAAAAAAAATTAAATGGTATAATTAGAGATTAGAGAGAAAGGGATTTTTGTTGTTGTTGGGAGATTTCTATTCAAATGTTGTATTTGAAACAAATGTGAATGCATTTGAATCAGCATTGATTTTTTTTTTAGGCTGAACATTTAGATAATTTAAAAAAAGACAGTTTGCAAGTTAACAATTTCCATCTTTGTGATGATTTAACTATGATTATTGGATATAGGAAAGTGTGATTCAGAATGTTTTTGTATGGTTTAAAGAAGTAGCGATGCTTCTAATCTCAGCAATCTCATCATCCTGTAGATAGAGGTGAATAATCTATTATAAATATCATGTTTAATGGGAAAGTATTGTAATTTACGACAGCTGGCTCATTCTGGCTCTTAAATGGATATATTTTGACGTCATGACTGAACACAAATCAATAACAAAATCAAATCAATTATCACCAATTGTGAATGCACTGGTGTTGTACCTTCCCCAGGCTGCGGGTCCCCTCCTCCACGTTAGCGGCGGCCATGTTGATGTTGTCCTCGATGTTGTCGATCTGCTCCTGCTGGGACTGAAGCACAGGGGTTTAAGGCAACAGAAGGTATTTGTATAGCAGAAATTCATACATGGGGCAACTCAAAGTGCTTCACAAAACAAGGAAACATTACAATCCTAAAACAAGTAAAAGCAAAAATATAATTCCAGTAAATGTGTTAATGTTATTGTTTGAGACAGAAGGGGTGGAGGGGGTTTGTTTGTGCAAGAAGTTCCTGATAGAAGCGTGGCTGTAAGTAAAAACAACTCCAGGTCTGTTTTTGATAAAGAATGTCGTAAGATGGTTAAAAAGCTCCAAAAATAATATTTTGCATCACATATTTCACAGATCTTGCATCACACGTTTTAAAATCTTTCAGTTGTATTCACAGCCAAAAATAACTTTTTAACCTAGACTTGAGCATTGTCAGAATGTCTCATCTTACATCTTCAGGAAGACCTTTCCAGATTTTAGCTGCGTACATATGAAATGCTGCGTCCCTATGTTTAGTCCTGACTCAGTCCTGACCCATGTTTAGTCCCAGCAGGAGGCCAGTCCCTGTGCTCCTCAGAGTCCCAGCAGGAGGCCAGTCCCTGTGCTTCTCAGAGTCCCAGCAGGAGGCCAGTCCCTGTGCTCCTCAGAGTCCTAGCAGGAGGCCAGTCCCTGTGCTCCTCAGAGTCCTAGCAGGAGGCCAGTCCCTGTGCTCCTCAGAGTCCTAGCAGGAGGCCAGTCCCTGTGCTTCTCAGAGTCCCAGCAGGAGGCCAGTCCCTGTGCTCCTCAGAGTCCCAGCAGGAGGCCAGTCCCTGTGCTCCTCAGAGTCCCAGCAGGAGGCCAGTCCCTGTGCTCCTCAGAGTCCCAGCAGGAGGCCAGTCCCTGTGCTCCTCAGAGTCCCAGCAGGAGGCCAGTCCCTGTGCTCCTCAGAGTCCCAGCAGGAGGCCAGTCCCTGTGCTCCTCAGAGTCCCAGCAGGAGGCCAGTCCCTGTGCTCCTCAGAGTCCTAGCAGGAGGCCAGACCCTGTGCTCCTCAGAGTCCCAGCAGGAGGCGATGAAAACTTGTTTGAAATCATTAAAATAAATTCCATGAAATGGAAGAACGATTTAGCACCAAATTGGATTTTTTTGGACAAGGGATTTTTGTTGTTGTTGGGAGATTTCTATTCAAATGTTGTATTTGAAACAAATGTGAATGCATTTGAATCAGCATTGATTTTTTTTTTAGGCTGAACATTTAGATAATTTAAAAAAAAGACAGTTTGCAAGTTAACAATTTCCATCTTTGTGATGATTTAACTATGATTATTGGATATAGGAAAGTGTGATTCAGAATGTTTTTGTATGGTTTAAAGAAGTAGCGATGCTTCTAATCTCAGCAATCTCATCATCCTGTAGATAGAGGTGAATAATCTATTATAAATATCATGTTTAATGGGAAAGTATTGTAATTTACGACAGCTGGCTCATTCTGGCTCTTAAATGGATATATTTTGACGTCATGACTGAACACAAATCAATAACAAAATCAAATCAATTATCACCAATTGTACAAAACCCCTACAATCTGACACTGAAGCCATCCCAGAATGCCACAGATTACACGTGGTGTGAGGGAGTGTGGCGCGGAGCATTGTGTCCATCTCATGAAATATTCAGAGTGGCAGCTGCCCTCCTCTCCGAGAGCCGGCCACTGACCAAACAACATTTCTACTCTATTCTACGCACAGATTTGCTCCATTTAGCCATTTCACAAGCTTTTGTTTGTTTGTAAATAACAGAGCTAAATAGTGGTTGGGCTCTTTTTAATGAATTAGACTAACAAGCGTATTCAGTCTTGTTACAATCAGGGCTTCTAGATATTTTATTATTGAAATCACCAAAAATACAAAACATACCAGTGGATAAGCAGCATTAGCGGTTTTGTAATGACTCGACTGCAGATTCAGTTCAAAAAGAGATTCACCACACTGTACATAGGATTTTAGAAGCAACAAAAACGTATACAAATGAAAATACTATCAACATTAGTAATACCAGATACACCTTTATCTTTTTATCTTAGGAGAATAAAGATCCTCAGGGTATGCACACCCCAAACAAGATTTATTAAATAAGATAATAGATTATAAAAGATAATAAACTCTGGAGATATGAGAGCACTTGGGTCAAAGATTTGTCTGATGTTAAAGATCGTTTACAGGTGAAACTCTGAAATTTCAATTGTTCAAGAGTTACTTTCTGTAATCCAACCTAACATATGAAACCAACAATTTCAGAATATTCTAATTTCCGGAGATGTTTTATTTGGGGTTTGTAGAGCTGTGAGTCAGTTATTGTCATTATAACAAATAGGCTTAATATCCTCACTTTGCGGGTCAGAGTTTATCATATATAGTTTCACATTTTACGTTGGATAAAAGCTGTATTTCACCTGTAAATAGTGAGATTTATACCATGATTTATACGTAAAAAGCACTTTAAGCACTATACATCAAAGCTGCTCTCATTAACGCACACACACACACGCACGCACATGGCAACAACAGCATCTTTCTCTATGAATCCGACCACTCATCAGTGAACTGTATGTCAAGATGAGATTCAAACCTTCTAAACTGCTGTTTTCCAAAAATATTTACAGGGATTTGGACACAAACAAATGGCTGAAATCCTGCATAGAGTTTCTTTGGTAAATATAAGTGGGAGTAAAGCGATGTTCTGATAGACAGAACAGAATGAACCAGTGTTGGGTTTAGACAATTCCCCTTTCACAGCTGATGCAAATAGGACATAGATAAAATAAAAATTCCACAATTAATTTTCTTATATTTTATTTATTATCTTTTTTATATATACATTTTTTTTGTAGTCAAATAGTGTTGGTTATCTTTCAGGGTATGAAGTATCTTCATACAGGGAGTAAAATTCAATTCAATTCAATTTATTTCTACGGGATTTTATCAGCAAAAAATAAACTTTTAGAATATTTGAAGCAAAATAGATTATTTGATTTTTTTAAAAGATTGATTGTAAAAAAAAAAAGTCTTTTGCTTCTGTTTGGAATGTGGGGCTCATTTACAAAATTAATGTATCAACAAATCTGAATAAATAAATCAATACATCAATTTGATAGAAAATAAATAAATAGAAAAAAATCTAATCTAATTTATTTACATGGTTTTTATCAAATCTCTTTTTTTTCAGTCATCATCTGTATCAGCTGTATTCTATGTCTGTATTCTATATCTGTATTCTAAAGCATTAATTTTAAGGGATTAATATGAAAATAAAACTTTTAGTATCGTAAAATCATACAACACTCTTTCAACCTCCCACTGAACACTGAGCACTGACAAACCACTCCCTTTGGGGCGACTTTCAGGAGGCACCACGACACGCCAATGCTTTTTATTCACCCCCATCCACCTCTGTCTTACGCCTCTATTTCCCCTTTCTCCCAGTAACATCTCACTTCTCTACTTTTCACTCTTGTTCTTCCTGTTAATCTATGTTTTCCCCAGCTCGGCCGTCCACGGGGATGGGCTGATAATCTGATGCGTCTGCTCTCCACCTGTTCGTACGTCTCCCCTGATTCTGGCTCTTCCCCTGTGGACACCGCCTCTTGCTCTCTCTCAAATCCTCTCCTCTTCATCCTCGGCTTGTGCCTAAGTGACTTGTTCCCTCTAGGGCGGCCGTGTAGACTCAAGCTGATCCCTCCCAAAGTCTTCTCCCAGGACCTCGCCGGGCAACACAAACAGAGCCAAGCACTTCCTGGCTACGCGGCGCTAGGACGATTCACCTTGTTTTGTTCTCGTGCGCATAAAGCGGACTGTGGATTTATGATGGTGAGGACTTACGTAGACGAGCAGGGAGAACTCCGTCACCAGACCGCCCAGCTCTCTCAGATCCTGCAGAGAAAGAGCAAGTCGTAAAAAGAGATTAACAATCAATCAGGATGTTTATTTAAAACCTGTACAAGGCATTTTTTTTACAAAATGAAATAAGAGATAAAAAGAGTTTTGAAAAGGGGATGGAATAACGCTTTTAAACTTCGAAAACCACCCTAGCCATTCAACACAGAGACAATATGGGTTGGAAAAAATGGTAAAAAAATATATACAACCTCATAAAGGTATAATGCAAGACACACACACCTCAAAAGGTATAATACAGAACACACACACACACTCTCCGACCAAACACCTCTCACTACTTGCACTGTGCTGAAGGAATTGCTCTCTTTCCTCAGAGGAACTTCACTTTCAAACCACAAAAAAATTAACTGTAATAAAATCCAACCAACTATTTCCTCAATCTCAAAATAGTTTGGTTCCATTCCATCACAAGCTTTCACATGCATCTATTTTTAATAATAATAATAATAGTTTTATATATCACTTTTCAGGACACTCAAAGGCAGTTCACATGTCATTATTCTTTCACTCCATACACGGTGGTTATAAACTACTACTGTAGCCACAGCTGCCCTGGGGCACACTGATAGAAGCGAGGCAATCAGTATGTGTCGTTAGCTCCTCTAACCACCACCAACGAAAACACACACACCAAACTCAATCTAGACAATGTGGGTGACGTGTCTTGCCTAAGGACACAGCAACAGTTTGGCACTTTACAGCCGCAGCCGCCCTTCTGTGGCACCTGGTGTTCCCAGAGGTCTCCCATCACAGTACTAACCAAGCCCTGCCCTGCACAGCTTCAGAGGTTTGACGAGATTCTGCCCAGAAGTTAAAGAGGTCACTGTCATTTGTCTATCTGTGAGCCACATAAAAGATTCTCAAAAAGATTATGGAGGAGGATTTGGACCAAACGTGTGCAATTGAACTGCTCCTCTAGGCGGAGGTCTGTGCTCTACGAGTGCTTTTGTAGTTTGCCATGGATCATCCTTCTTAGACAGACAAGTGAAAAAGAGAGGAACACTTTTTCTCCACCGTCAGCTCTCAACCCAAAGTGACAAAGAGGCTCTTTTGCACCACAATGCAAAAGATAAAAAAATGTTTTGGCAATAAGCTAATATCTGATTATTGATAATCTTGACAACAATCACCTCTTCTAGGTTTTCCCAGGACTCTGCTGCGATCTCGTCTGCAGGTATGGCTGGGAGCTGCATCTGCGTGTCATGTAGACCCTGCTCTGCTTCTGTTGGGTGATGGCCGCCGGACGTGTCACTCGTAAGGGAGTCAGAGGCAGAGGCGGGGGTCCGGGCCGGCAGTGGGGGCCCTGGGTGCAGCTGCAGAAAGTCCTGGACCGCGGCCGAAGCCCTCGGACGCACCAGTTTCTCCAGTGAAGCGGCATCTTGCACTCGCACGCGGCCACACAGCTTCTCCATCTCCTTCACGTTTGCCCTCAACTGCTGCAAGAAAGACGGTTTAGAAGCAGTTAGCAAATCAGTCATTTTAACAGTATAAAGATCTATTATTGTAAGGTGTTGGGTGTCTTGAAAGGCGCCATAAAATCAAATGACTAATTCTTATTCTATTCTTATCATTCTTCATTATAGGGGCGACAATGGTAGAGTTGGTAGAGCATTGGCCTTTAAGCCTGTAGGTTGTGGGTTCAAGACCTTCTCCACCCACTGATGTCTGCTACTGTTGTGTCCTTGGGCAAGATACTTAAGCCCACTTTGCCTGAACCCTCCCGTCACTGAGGGAGGGTTTTGTCGTCACTGACAGAGCAGCCATCCTCTGTGGACTCAGTGGAAATCAGGGAGTGGACCGACAAAAGTGCGGACGACATTAGTATTAGCCGAATGTTGAAGACACCGATTTGAACATAAGCTAGCTGTGAGCAAATGTTCTTATATAGCATTTGTTCTGATGGTGTTGGATTTGTGCTGTAACAAGGGCAGATGTTGCTAAGATGGTTGCTAAGGATTTACTGTACACAGACAGATATCAAAATGTAAGCATCAGGATCATAGAGAGTACTGAAGCAGTTTTTTTAAGCCCAAAATGGTGAGTAAGACACAACGGTTTACTTGTTAGCAAGCTAGTATTGTCCATCTTTAGAAACTCCACAACCTCAGTAGCATAGTAAAAAATTCAATTGACTATTTAATAGTTACAATTATAGGTTTAAGTACTTCTGACTAGGATAGATTATGTGAAGAAAATAGCAAGAAACATAATAGGCATTTTGACTAAGTATGGCATTTTACACTTAACCATTAATTATTAATTCATTCATTGGTAGAGATTACTGTAGCGATAGCCATCACACTCTAGAATGATATTAGACATTGTGCGGGTGAAGTGTTCATGTGTGTGTCATTCTGCACATACGTCTTTGATTCTGTCTATGCACAATGTAATTTATCCAGCTGCTCGTTATGAATTCAAATGTCCAAAGCACATTCCTACTTTGACTATAGTGGTATGTGTTGACTTGTGGGGTTTGGAGATGGGTGGGGGTGATATTATTCTGGAGACAAAAGCCGCTGTTCCTGCTGTGCCCTGAGGGGGACAGGGGGATTACAGCAGCCACCAGCCCCCCAGGCCACAGCACAACCCAGGCTCATGGGGTCAGCCTGCTGCCAATATATATTTCTCCTAATCACACAACATGAATAAACATCCCTGCGTCGGCTGCTTCTCGGAGCAAATGCATAAAACTGAAAAATATACTGATTAACGATTGGCCACTTGGGTCCGGCACCTGTCAGCCTGCAGATCAAGCAGACCAAACGTATAAGAGAGATCAAGAAAAACACATTTAAAAAACTGTTTATGTTACGCTGCTTTGCTGTTGATGAAGAGCAAGTTACTGCATAATTACATAAGAGCGTGTAGTATATCAGTAAATAAGCATTGTCAAAGGAGTCCTAAATAATGTGAATCATATCTACATTGTTGTTTAAGCATGTTTGTGAACAGTGTGAGAGGCTTAAGTAAACCTTAATACTGTAGATAATAAGAATGACTAAACTTGTGCTATATTTATCAAGGGGTTGCTCCTTAACATAGAACTAAACCAGCGAAATTCAACACCTGGGATATTTCACTTTGCACATACCATTTTTTTAAATAAGTATACTCGTTAGTGTCTCAATTTCAGATAGTTCAAACTACCCTGCATGGTCAAGAAGTGTTGAATTTACATTGACACTAAGAATTGTATTATCAAATCATTCACATTTGAGAAAAGACTGAAATGTCACCTACTAAACTGTAAGAATCACACCCATTTAGGAACAGAAATATATATGGAGAAACAGTTAACAATCACCGCTATAACACGGATGAATTAAATAATGTGTTTTTATACAAGCGTTGGAGAAAACAAAAGCTGTCCCGCTTACTGGTGATTACTGGACATCCATCAGTTATGAAAACTATCTCCAGGTTACAGAAAAGTAAAAGAGAAGTCGTATCTGCCAATGGATCCAACTAGGTCATGTGACAACTACATTTTACCTGAAGTTTGAATAAAAATGGGTATACACACAGAAGTATCACGTACGGCCTAATCAACAACACAGTCTGTTTTATACAGTCCTAGTTTTTTCTGGGAAAAGCACACAGCTGGCTTTATACTGTTTTATATTTTAGAAGTTCCAGAATACTAGTTATAGAATACTTTCACTATTGACTATGTGCTTGATCATTTAATTTTGTAAGAAATGTCCAAGACTCAAATGACACTTTTATACATTTTTTTGATATATGTGCTTCTTCTATGTATTACAGATCTGGTCTAGAGAGGGCCATCTTTGGACGAAACACGGTGAAGACATGGGAAAGCACTCGAGCCCTGTCCCGCGGGTGAGAGGGGCTATGGTGAGAGGATGGATGTTTGGAAATACTTCACCTTCAGAGCCACACGATGCTTCCAGGCAACAACACGTCCCAAAGGACAGCGAGGTGAGTGCGAGGTCTGGGATCAGCCTCTTCCATGCCACTACTTTTGAAAACATATCCACTTAATCGCAGTGGAATGGAAATTGCAATTTTGGTGAGCGTAATTTAGAGTTTGACGAGTTAATTTGTAAAAGTACATCGTTAGCCTTTCACAAATGTTTCTTTGGTGAAAGTCTTAAGAGTTAGTCCACCTTTGCAGTTTTTTCAAGATGATAGTACAGGGGAGCTACCAGGAGCTAACCATCCTGTTCCAAGTAAGGTTTTTAAAATGACAATACACAGGCCAATAATGTATCTCAAATGCATGTGCACTAATGGTTGCAGCAGGTTGTTGGCTACAGGGCCAATAATACTATACAAATGTCCAAATGTTTTGCCAGATTATTATTTGATAGTGATTAGATTTACAAACCCGCCATTTTTTTCCTTTGTCTGAAAGCCAACACCAAACATGTTACAATATTCTCACCTTAATGAAAAAAATATTTAGACCTCAATTTCTTTTGTCAACTAGACCTCAATTTCTTTTGCACTCACTGACTGTTTTGGATTCATGTGGGCCAGGAATTACATAGCAATTAGGTCTAAACTAAGACTAGAAGTTTTATTTATGAGAGAAAGATTTCCATAAAGGTGTCTAGAAGTGAACAATATTCAAACATATATGCATGATATTGGCCACTCTATTCTTCAAAACTGCAGGCAAAATTTGGCCAAACTAAAGCCCAGAACTGTTTTTAGGATAATGAATTACTATATTAGCTATGAGAGCAGCTTTTTGAACATGTGAAGAATTTCTAAAAACAACAAAAACAAGAAAATCTCATTTGTTTCTTGTTGTACCTGCACAGTTCGAATTGCATTGATGTGTTCGTCGTGAAGCCTGTCCCATTGCTGCAACTGCTGAAACTGTGGAGGAGCAATAAACAGTGTTACATCTATGTCTAATTTAAGCCTGTCTAATGAATGAGTGGTCGAACCTTTAAGATGTTACTATGGTGCTTCTGTAGTCTTTCTAAGTCTGTGGGTATTGCCACTTTAATAAACTTGTGGACTGGGCCCTCCAGACGCCTCAGTGTCAGTCTGTCATTTTCTGCAGCCATCAGTTTTTCTACTGAGAATGTCTGTACAGATTTGAGACATAGCTTAAGTACAGTTCCAGTGCATGTAACCATAAACGCAAACATGAAAAAAAGATTTTGTGATAAAAATAAGCATAGTTGCTGTTTGTTTGGATCACACAAAGTTTAATGATTACAGCTCCATATTTACACCTTTAAGAGACAGCAGGTTTGTCTTCATTCGTTTAACTCACAATCTGGGCATAAAACTAAGTGCGTAGCCTAGACTGTGTACTGCAACACCAAAACAAGACTATATGCTTAAGGATCGTATAAACAACAAAAAGACTGTCGCGCCACTTACCAATAAATGAAACTACCCACTAAGTCTTTGGCTTCTGAGTTCATTTAAAGTATATTTGTATAAAAGTTGTAAACAAATGATCAGCAGCGCGGTGTGAAACCCTTCGGTGTTTGTAAACAACATTTGTGCACCCTTCAATAATTTCCGACTTCCTGCAGACACATCGTACGTAGTTCCACCAGGTTTAAAATGCTGCTACAACTGATGATAATAAAGATTTTTTATTTTATTTGGTATTAATATGAATATGAAATCTACAATTCAGGCTATCAACAGTATTCCATTGTTGGATCACAGGAGGATGTTCTGAAACATTTCACATATGCAGTTAAGACCAAAAGTTTGGACACACATTTAATGAGTTTGGACACACATTTAATGAGTGACTTTTTACAGTCTAGGCTATTGACTGTAGATTCACACCGGGATGTGTAAGGTGGGGCAGTGGCTGGTGTTCTCAGAGCTTAAGTGTCTTGCTAAGGACACAACAACAGCAGACAGTGGAAGTCGATTGTGAAAGTCAGGCTCGAACCCACGACCCTCTGGCTCAAAGGCCAATGCTCTACCAATTGAGCTACAGTCAACTATTTTTAGTTGTTTCAAAATTTTATTTTTGTACGTACATAATTCCACATGAGTTAATTCATAGTTTTGATGGCCCTTTTCATAGTCATGAAAATAAAAAAAAACTCTTTGAATCAGAACTTTTGGTCTGTACTGTATGTCTATGTCCAGCGAAGTCCAGGGTCCCACGATGACATAAGTGTGTCTTGACCAATGCCAATGGCACAGATTAGTAGCCTCACTTCTGTCAGTCAGTCCCAGGACAGCTATAGCTACAGTAGTAGCTTGCCACTACCGTGTACCAAGCGAATGAATAATGCAGTGTGAAGCATCTTTGTGTGTTCGAAAGCGTAATATTAAACCGATGCATTATTATTATCATTATTATTATAATTATTAGTACTAATAATATTATTTGTAGTAGTATTATCATTATTATTATTATAATAATAATTAGTATCATTCATAATAATAATAATGATAATAATAATAATCATCATAATCATAATAATAATCATCATAATCATAATAATAACAATATATTTTATTTTTTATCAAAGCCCAACTGCTGCTTCCAGAGTTTAAATCATTTCAGTGCATGCAAGTTTTTAATTTAGGAATCAAAGTGTTTACAAAATGACATTTCAAACAGAACAATATTTGCAATAACATTGTGTTAAAAAGACTTGGGGTTTCCCCTCCTTGATCAGTCTCATGGTTTCCACCTCATATCTGTGGCCCCTTTTACCTTTGACATTCAGGCTGGCCCCACACCGTCACCTCAGCATGAGGGGTAAGGTCCCAGTCACTGGGGCTTTCCCTGGTGCCAAGGCTGTGTGCGGGGGTGTGTGTCCTGCAGGGGACTCCCAGAGCTGCACAATGAGGAAGAAGAAGAAGCTGACACTGAAACATTGTAATAATTGAGTTTGTTATACAGATGCACTTGTGTCATTTAAATCTTTGATTTCTTCTCACTCATATAAGACAAGAGAATGACTATATGAGCTTTGAAACATAATAGCAGATTTTTCTTCAATATTTGTGTAATTTATAATACTTTCTATCTACTGTAGATGCTTTTTAGATGTATAAATGAAAGGTGTAAAGTGATTTCATTAGAATAATTTACAAGCCACGGCCAGAGAAATGTTCAATGTGCAGCATTGGCCTGTGTGGCTGTCCTAATGGGACGGCTAATTAAGACTCTGGGGGCATCTGGGATCTGTCAGCACTGATCGATCGGCCAATAGACTGACAGCTCACCCCTATGTGTGTTTTCTGTCACGGAGCTGGAGTTTTTACTCAAAACACTCAGAAACCTGCAGAACAATCAGCAATGAAATGAAAAATGACGACTGATGGCAGGTCCTTTTTTTCTATAGAAAACAAACTCTTTTATACAGACAAAAATACAAAATAAATTTATCTATAATGCAGGCATAGCATCAAACTATATTTATTACTTTCTTCCCATTAATATTGAATAGTAATCAGGTGCTGGGGATTAGGTAGAGACTCATGAGATGGAAATTCTCCTTTCTGGTCTCCTCTTAACAATGTCACCATGATATACAGTACAACAACATAAACATTTGGATCAGAAAAGGCATTTCCACAAATGTCTCATCACAGATTTACATTTTTGACCATATTCCAGAGATTATGGAAAATAAAGCAAAAACTTTGTTTTTTGTTACTGGTTGTAAAACGCCTTTATTGTCCAATCAATGTTCTAATTTCAGATTATTCTGACAGTGTACTGCTCTTCTGATCTTGATTAGAAGTTTCCACCCCCCAGTTCTCAATATCGTGTATTGCCTCTTTCATGTCTATGGCAGCTTTTGTGGTAGCTTTCTCTCCTTTGATGGTAAAGCAGCCCATTCTTCCTGGCACCCCCCCTGCTCTGGTAAATTCCCAGGCTGCCATGTAAGAACTGCACGTTTGAGAACTCCTCAGAGCCACTCATTTACTCTTTTTGATAATGGAAAACATTTATTTGACGATACATGGCTTCACACACCCACTACAGTAATAAGTGGAAATAAGTATTTGTGTCATCATTCATACTCTCCAAAAATTGCCGAAACAATGACGTCTCCGGCTACGTGTGTAAACTTTCAGCACAATTCCAGTACACCTTTGCTCTGTGTGTGTACCACTCCATTTTACCAAATAAAACTCCCCAAGCACTCACTCCCGCATGGAAGTATTAGCAGCCACAGTCACTATCCCTCACCTGTGCCCTGCCATGACTGTGTGTGTGTGTGTGTGTGTGTGTGTGTGTGTGTGTGTGTGTGTGTGTGTGTGTGTGTGTGTGTGTGTGTGTGTGTGATAGGCTGCAGCAGTGAGTGATGGTAGTGGCAGTATAGACAGCAGGGCCTGTGAAATGTCACTGTTGCGATCAATGCTGTTTAACTAGGGCTCGGGGCTGATCCGGACCTCATGCCTACACACAGCTCTCCCCCCCTCACGCTCCCCCATAATCCTCCTCCACAATCTGTGAGATGCTGCGGGCCCCTGGGAGCAGGCCGGCCTGGGCCCTTCACCCATCCACGCGCTCTGACAAACACCGACCTGTCTAAATGTAGATGATCTGCTGTTGTAAAGTTAAAGCAGTCGTTACAAGGCGTCTCGATGGAATATAGTTGGAGATTTTGAGACATTTCTCCATTTATCTTTCCATCTATATGTATCTGTCTGTCGTTTGTCAGTCTGTCTGTCTGTCAGTCTGTCTGTCGGCCTCTATCTGTCTATCTATCTGATTTCCAAGATTATACAAACTCTGGATTAAAACGAGCTTCAGAAATTGAATTTAAAGGTGGAACTAAAAAAATTTAGAATATTGTTTAAATCACCATTTCATTCATTGTGAAACACACAAAGTGAAATATGTCATGCCTTTATTATTTTTTATTTCTACTTTTGATATTTGGCTCACAGCTTCTCAGAATATTTTTAAATTAACTGTTAGCCATAATCATCAAAATGATAACAACCAAAGGCTTGGCATATGTCACTTTGCAATAATGAGTTTAAATCATGCACCGGTTTCATATTTTAAGTTGAGTTGCAGAAATATGAATTTAATTTGGAACAACATTCTAATTTTCATCGTTTCACTTGTATTTTTCCCTGTATTAAACGCTGCAAAACCATTTGGTGACTATCTATTTGGCAACTAAAAGTATTCACCAATACATACATTTATTGTTAGTTATTGTTTTAATATCTAAAGCACATACCCAGATATTTACAGTATGTTATTTTTGAAATGTCACAGGTGTTTATCTTGTTTTAATTTGTATTGTTTGAGAGCTGCTTATATTATACTGTTGTGTAATGTGAGCGGCAACACTGACATTTCCCCACTGTGGGACAAAAAATGTCTTCTTATCTTGCATGTATGAACAAAATTACACAATTACACAGTACTCAAAATAAAAAAGATTTTTAAAAGTTGCTTGGGTGTACTAAATGTTGCCTGGGATATGGAAAAAAACATTCGTGGACCAGACAAATCTGCTTTTGTGTGTCAATATTCCTATCCCAAAGTAAATCTCTCTGAGGGCATAAATGGGGGAAAAAAGAGGGACCAAATATGAAACGACAAAACCCAACAACTGTAAAGATCGCCCCATTAAATACTAGAAATATATACTGAAAAATGTATATCTAATTAATGATTGAAGTGCACTTTTGTTTGAGTGTGTTCTGTGTTTGCTCAGGACGGCACACAAAGAAGAGATCGCCATGTTTTTCTTTGTTTTGTTGTTTGAAACACCAGCTCCTAAATGTTATGTTGGATTTTTATGTGTAAGGTTTTGTCATGAATTTGCTTGGAATACTGCAGCATTACTATTATTATTATTATTATTATTGTCCGATACATGGAGAGGGGACCATGCTCTCAGAAATAAATCATGTTTTAACTAGCTTTCTTTGAACAATAAAACAGATTTAATATATGTATAGAATGCTGGTCAGATGAGTGTGTATCGGATAAATGCTATCTAAATACATTTGATTTGCTCATCCATGCTTAACTTTAAGAAACATTTAACATTTCTAATCAAAACACAAGACACAGTTTCTCATAATAATCAAAACGAGTTTATAATTTCAAAGTGCTGAACAGAAATTCCAGTGAACAAAAAAAGAAGAAATCAATCAACTCAAACCAAGGAGGGACATTGAAAAAACAGCAACTTTTTTAATATATTTTTTGTATATCTTCTTCAAAAAACAATGCACAACTTGTACCACAATATTTGAAAAAGCTAAAAACACTTCAAAATATTAGTTTTGTGTATATATATATATATATTTATATCTATGTCATTTGCTTTGTCTGCTTCCTGCTGCAGAGTGCGAGCCATTGTCTTTAAAAGAGCTCGTGTTTGCTTTGTCACACCATGCGCTTGACCTGCTCTCACAGCCTCCGCAACAGAAACACATAGAAAAAGTCTGGAATGTTTTCCCCCTCGGGCCTTAAATCTGTCGACCACCCTCTTCAAAGACGTCCCGGGGCACTTGTCGGGACAGAGAGAGTGTGTGTCTGCACCGCTGCCCCTGCTGCGGGAGCTAAGTGCTGTTTTTCCTCATATGTCTCTATGCTTTTCTTTCAGAACAATGCAAAGGTTCTCGAACAGGTTCAGGTCTGGCTGACTTATTCGTCGTTGATGCGAAGTAGCTCTTGTACGCCACGTCAACAAAATGAGACTAAACAAGTCTCTTTCTTTTCTACCTATAAACAGAATAGGACAGATCCGTTCACAAAATAATTTAGAGTTTGAAATAAAACGGCTCTTTTGGTTGTGATAGAGCACTTAAAGAATTGCACTTGTATGAACCACGTTTCTACATGTTTGTGTACTGCGATGTTTCTTTCACATTTCAGTTCATTTCAGCAAAAGCACCTTCTTGTTGACAGATATGTTATAAAATATGTTCCTTGTATCTACTTTGCAATCCCATATTGAATGGGTGGGTATCAAACTGACAGTTCTCATAAACCAGTGACTTCAGTCTTTGTCCATTAAGCTGCCACCCAGCTGAAGAGTCTTTCCTCTCGTCCTGGTCCGGAGCACCTTGGTCCCCCGCGCTCACACACAATATTACGATGCAGTTAAGCGTGTGCGGTTTGATACATGTGCTGGTCCATTAGTGACAAAGTGTCCACAGATGTCCAAGACTTCTCTCTGCTCTGGATCTCCAGAGCCAGTGTCGTTTAGTGCGTGTGCTCCGTGTGGGGGTTTCAAAGGCCCAAAAGCAAGTGTCATTAACACAAATGTCAGTAAGGCAGGGTGTCCAGAAACCTGTCAATCAAAGGTGGGGGCGGGACCAGGTCCTCCAGTTTCAGGTAGAAGATGCGCTGCAGCCCCTGTGTCCGCTGTGAGCGCAGCTCGGCGCGCAGGCTGAGCACGCGGCTCAACGCGCCCGACGACTTGGAGCCCAACGAAGGACCGCAGCTCAGGTGTTCACTCAGGCAACACATGACTTTACTGTGCAGCTCCTCCACACGCTTTGGGTCTTTGAGGCCTGGGACCTGCTCTGTGAACACAATAAGCAACACATTAGAATATTCTGTTTGTGATGGATTCTCTGTGATTCGCTCGTGTGGTTCATGTTATTGACATAATTTACACAAACTCATTCTGTTCATATAACTGGTAAGTTTAGACGGAATAGAACATGTATGTGTTCACATAGTCAAAGATCTTCTTCATGAAAAGGTCAATGAAAAGAACAAGGATTATTTGTGTGAATAGTGGAGTCCCAGATGATCGTTATGTATACAGAGAATGACTATGTGCACAAACACTCTTAGAGAGTTAATGTGGCTCCAGTCATGCTCTGGTCAGGTCCCATTCCCTCGTGGACATGTGTGAAGCTCAAACAGCAGCTCCATAAAACTATGGCCTCTCTTTGAGGGTTGAGCATCTAAAGCTTATTTATTGTTTGTTTATGTGACTCTTTTGTTTGTTCTGTGTGTTCCACTGCACAGTCGCTGCAGTCTGCTTTTCAATCCGCCTTTCAGACTCTGCGTTGGTTCTGTCTTTTCTGTGGCTGTGTAGCGCGGGGCTCCTGGGGTGGGATCGATCTCTCCTTTCTGCTGGGGCCACTCTGCAACGGTCGATGGCTGTGGCAGCGGCGGCTCGGTTGTGGCAGCGGCTGTGAGTTCTGCCGAGGTGGCAGAGCTGCCTCCACAGTGAGCTGGTCGATCATGCACAGAGTTAAGTGCTCCCCCAGAGAGAGGGCCGGGGCAGAGGGGCTCAGGCCGGAGGAGGCGGGGAACACTGAGGTGGAGGATGTGGAGAGTAGGAGCTGTCCTCTCTCACCTAAAGCTACATTAACCTGTGAATTTGACTATTTCTAATTCATACATAATTCTCTACACAGACAAGCCGCTTTAGCCTCCTGTGTTGTCCTTATCCTCTCGGCCTCACACATTCACACTGCACTGATTAGAGTGGCAGGTGCGGGGCAGGTGCAGCAGGTGCGTCTGGGTGTCAGGTTCTGTATGATGTGTCTAAAGACGCAGCAACACGAGAGTGGGTGTGTGTGATGTGTGTGTGTGTGTGTGTTTGTGACGTCACCTATACACTGTCATATTCAATCAGGACGAGTGGAAGAAGAAAGTCTACACCATGCCTTGTCTTGTCAGGTCTTTCCTTTTAGTAATTCTAACTGCACCTTCTGTTGAGTATTATAAGGCTCATCTTTAAGTTGTGAGGTGCCCTGTGTCTTTTATATTCCTTTATTATCATATAAGCATTTGCAGCACTTTGGAAATTGTGTGTTTATGAAGAGTGCTTGAAAATGTTCAATGTTGTTCAATTGTTGATTTATTTCTGTATTATAACTGAGCATTTGAAACAGATACCCATTATGTCCAAAGTAACATATACCTCCTCTTTGCTTGTTATTCTTTTATGGCTCATGGCTCACAGTCCATTTTCAAAATATCTCAAAGACAAGCTGTGAGCCAAATACCAACATTAAAACAAATAAAGGCTGAATATATGTATGTGTAATGAATCAATTTCACATTTTAAGTTGAGAGACTATAATTTTTGGAGTTTTGCATATAAAGTGGACTGGATCGAACTGTGAGTTAATCCAGTGCTCCTCTATCTACTACGCACCGGCCTACTGTCTTACCTGTGAGCAGCACCAGGGCAGACAAGCAGGCGAAGGCCGAGCTGTCCAGGTTCAGACTCTGGAGGCGAGAGGAAAAGTCCCGTATTGAGTCCACCCACTCGCCGAAGCCTCGAAGACACTGGAACCTGTGCAGCACCAGCCCATTGCAGAACACCAGCTTATCGTCCGACAACATGGACCTGCGGAGAACAAGACGAGGAGGACCATGAAGAGACTGCACAGCGAGATAGAGAGAATACTCCACTATCCCTGGCGCACTGTAAATATCGCTTCAGATACCAGGCCGGGAAGTGATTAAAATAACAATGAGAAAAGTGCACACAAATGAGACACACATCAAACGGCGACTTGCGGCTGATTAAGGCTGTGTTTTCCAAATTATAGCGTTTAAAAACATTCCTTCGTTTCCTTTCTCTGTGGTGGGGTGAAGGGGTTAGGGCACAGGGCTGAGTGTGTGAGCGTCTACAAATAAAGGTAAATAATAGCTGCAGCTTTAATATGGCCATGCTGTGGTGAGCAGTGGAAACAGTGCAGCTTTAACGAGGAAATGAAAAATCCTCTCAGATGTATTTAAACATCGGTTACTCACGACACACAAGACTTCCACTTCTCAAACATGAAGCGCAAGAGAACAAGACTGTTATTTATTAGTGTCCCACAGAGAAACTGCTTTTTCATATTAAAACCTGGGATGCATGCTGTAATCCCAACTATGCCGATTGATAACTAGAGCGCAATAAAAAAAAAAAAAAAAATAAGATCTGGAAGGTTTTAAAGAGGAAAGGGGAAAAGGCATGCAACACAAATGGAAAAAAGGAATAGTTAAGGAGGAAGCCTTAAATTACCGCTTGTGCAAACATTAGTTTAACAGCTACAAGCAACAAACCAAACACCACTTGTGTCTAATTATCCAGGGGTTCATCAGACCAGACTTTGCACACACCTCCACCTCTCATTACAACACCTCGGATTAACATGCAGACACGGGAGCGCTTTAGGAAAAAATGCCCTCTATTCTAAAACTTTAAAAAGAGACATTATGGAATATTTTCATTTAAAATCACATGATGTTCATAGTATTTTCAAGCGTATCATCCAATTGTTTTAGCTGCCAGTTTTTTAGGTGGAAATCATCTGTATTTTTTATATAACAACATTTACAACATTTATTTAATCCTACATTTGATTAAAGGAAATCAGATGCAAAAATAAGCGTATATGTGCATTCATAATACACAGTTTGTATCGTTTCTATCTAAACCCCAGCAGGTCTGCATCAGTAATCAGTGCTTAGGAGCTACTTATGTCACAGGTAGGAAGATTCTGGCAACAAAAGTGTGATTATAATGACTTTATCAGACCTCTGAGAGTGCATGTTACGTACGGCCCCTGTGATATTAATGAAAAGAAAAACATTCCAAATCTATCAAACAGCTGCTGTTTCAATGAAGACATCATGTAAAAAGTATGGCATGAATCACAAGTGCTGACGTTTAGTGATAGTATTTTGGACAGAAGCACATGAGGCTCACACATTCCTCTCGCCCCTGACAACACTGTCACCACGGCGATCGACCCGAAACCACAGAAACGGTTTGGTAATGTGGCGCTTACACCGCGGAGAGGAGCAAATATACTCTTGGCACATACAGCCACGTCACACATCACACTGCCAAGAGGTTCAGCCCCAGGTCAAAGAAGAAGAGACAAAGATGAGGAGTGTGGTGTGTCTCTGCTCTCACAGCACCGACCATAACAGCGTGTGTCACTGTCGGCGTGTGTGTGTACGTGTGTATGTGTGTGTGTCTATTGGTGGAGTGAGTCTGCAGTTAACTCAGGCCACAGCCGCCCTCTGCCCTGTCTGCCCACCCCACACCTGGCGCCCTCAGCCCACCCCACACCTGGAGCCGGTCTCATCCTCTGCAGCAACAAACACACACACACACACACACACACACACACACACACACACACACACACACACACACACACACACACACACACACACACACACACACACACACACACACACACACACACACACACACACACACACACGCACACACACACACACACACCATCATGTTGTGTGCTTAGAGTGACTGAGGGTCCTTGGCTGTGTTAGTTTTTAGTCTTGGACAAAGCCAGACAAAGAGATGCGCTTGTAGCTCACTCCCCTCCGCCCTATAAATTTATGTAGCCAGATGCTTTACAACCGCACGCTGGTAACCCGGGGCAATCTCAAAAAGCTCGTCCTACGCAGGGAAATGACTACTGTGAACAAGACTGTATTGACCTCCCTGGACAAACCTAGGTTGATTCACTTGTGTTCCAGTCCACTGAATTGAATTGAGAATGTTTCGAGCTGTTTTCAGTTGCTCAGCTGACCAGCGTTTAGATGCAATAGATCCGGTCAATTCACAGTTCTCAAAGTTATGCCAGTTTTAGCCCAATGGACGCACACAGAGCTCTCTGTGCGTCAGATATCAGACGAGCTGAGTGAAACTCTGTGGGTGTAGTTGCTGTCATAGCTACAGACTCCATTCATATTTTGGTTCATATGGCGATTACTCAGCTCCCTCCTCCTACTGAATACACCAACACAACAACGCTCAGCCTGGACAGTGCCTTCTTCTACATTACAGTAATAGCACTACATGCAGTTGAAATAATCCTGGACAATCAAAGTTTTTCTTGCAGTTACAGAAACATGTGGATGCTGACCTGTGAGCCAGTCGAAGCACAAACAGCTCTAGGAAGGCCGAGTCTATGAGCAGGTTCTGGTCGTCTCTCTGGAGCTCGGAGAAGCCGGGCAGGCGCTCAGCCCAGCAGCGCGTGGTCTCCATGGACAGGGTGAGCAGCCGGTAGAAGAGATGGATGTGCTCTGCATCTGACGAGGAGGAGGGAGGATCTGCGGCACTGAACTGTGAACACAGAACAAGGTGAGACTTTCACAGGACACTGGCACAGTGAGCATGCATGAGAGAGCACTGTACCTGGCTGTAGTCCAGGTCGCGGGGTGTACAGTGAGAGAAGGCCCTGAGCAGAGCAGACAGCAAGCTCAGAGGAGGAGAGGGAGGGGAGGCTTCTGTCTGCAGAGGGCTCTTTGGTTTGGAAGGCAGGCGACCTCTGCGCCCCTTTAGGCTATCTGTGCGTACAACTGACAACACACATGTTCTGTGATCAGTAAGTCAATCAACCATCAGGGAAAACTCTAGACTATTCTTTGAAACCAACAACAGATTGTGATTTTGTAAGACTATTCATGTGGATGTGACCAGCAGATGGCAGTAAAGCTGCAATACATGTTGGGAATATCTTTACACAAACAAGTGTGTATTGCATGAAATGAAATAGGCACGAGTGAGCCAGAACGATCATCTCTATGAAAGAGACAGTCTGTCATGATCCTCTTGTGTAAAAGTGCACATTTCCACAGACTAAAGACTACTTTACAGTGTGGGGTTTTCTTACCTTCTTTGACCATGCCAACACTCAGACATTTCTGGAAACGGCAGTATTGACAGCGGTTGCGTCTTCTTTTGTCCACAGGACAGTTTTTACTGGCCAGGCATACATACTTGGCATTTTTCTGCACGGTGCGCTGTAGAGAGGAAACATGCAGATAATCAGACCCAAACACAATCAAGGACCTAATATTTGATTTGTTTAATTCAATTTATATGTCTCTCTCTTCCCATCAAACGGGAGCAGAGGCTCGCAGGTCAGATTTTAATTACGCGCTGAGAGGCGGCCGTGATATCAGTGTAATTAGATAAAATTAATTTTCAGCAAGTCTTCCCTGCAGCAGGAACAATTGTATTAGCGCCGTCACTGACAATAGGGCTGAACGTGTGGCACAAGCCGGAGTCCCGTGAGACCAGAACAGTGTCCAGCTCCGCGGTGATACATTTAGGGCTCACGGCTCCTCTGTCTGACACGCAGATGTGTATGAGGCCCGTTTCCTGACTCTGCTTCTGCGCTGAGGATTTTAACACTGATCACTGACCTCTGTCTCTGATCAGTGATTTTGCTTAAAGAACAGAGCTCCTGACTCAAGGGCCCCGTGGGGCCCAGTGCCAATCATTGGGAGAGGATCAAAAGCATGTTCCACAATTGCCTTGGGACTCAAACTGTTACACCACAAAGATGTGATTGAGAATAATCAAACTCAACACAATTGGCCCTTCCACATTTGCACTGAGGGCTCAAGTGTAAGTATAATGTAGAACTGACGCTCCGTGGGGACACACTGTAAATTAAAGAAACAATGCTCCTCTTTAGCGCGTCTAAAACACATCACAACAAATAAATCCAATTAGGAAGCCCTCGCGCCACACATGTCCGGGCCCCCGGGAGACCAATAACACACCAATTATTGCACACGCTCTGGCGCGAGCGCGGAACTGGCGCGTAATGGGCGCCAGCGTTGGATGAGAGCTGTTGCCATGGCACCGCAGATTGCGTTCAATGGTCAGTGACCCGCGCGAGCGGGGATAAGTTACGGTCATTAGCGTGTTAAGAAACAAGCTCTAAATACACGTGTGCAGCAGACAGCAGCCCCACAACAAAAGAGTCTGCTCTTGCTCTGAAGAGGAGAAAATAAGACTTTCCTTGACCCAGCAACTACAGATCGAGGAGTTAAGTGATTCTAAGAAAAGTCTGTTTGAGAGCAGGAGTTTGAGTAGTGATAAATGAGGCTCTCATGCTGCATGTCTCCTGCGTGTCTGCGCATGGCTCTTGTGACATTGCTTTCATGCGCTACGGCCGCCGTCTCCACCGAGACACCGTGATTTAGCGCTAATTCTGTGGACAGATAAGTGTGTGATAGTGATCAGTGCGCAGGTGGACTCAAGCACATCACATTAGCCCAATAGGATTATTCAGATATCTATACTATAGCCTAACGGACTCTACAGAAAACTTTTCAGAAAGTCTGCATTCTTGTGCTCTGAATGGCCCTTAACCTCTTTATAAGAGCGTCTTTTATACAGACAGAAGGTCTGTGCTCTTGTTAATGCAACATGTGCTCTTACACTGCTACACAACCGGCAGTGGATGCATAAATTGTCTGTTTTGTTATAAATGTAATAATCTCGTTTCCCCCTCCCCCATTTACATAACTTATGGGTAAATTGTCTAAAAAAATAAATACAATAGAAATTGTGGGTTTGAGAGCCAAACTGAATGGAGTCAAATGGGTTTTTAAATTACACTAATGAAATGACAATAATTTTCAGCCCTCTAAATGAATGCCTGCTAACTATTCACATATAATTAAAGATAATCAGGAAATACTCTTAGGACACAATAAAACATGGGAATAATGAAGTAATGATGCTGATAAAATGATTTTAAACCTCGCTGTTGGGTGAAAAAACACATTTAGTTTGGCTGCAGCTGTGTGCTGCTGAATGAATAATGTGCATAATATTCCTGCAGAGGAGGTTTGTGACTAAAGTGAGAGCATGGTTTGACAGTCGCACTGAGCGGCGCCCGCGGCCGGCTGCTATACAGCTCTGCTGCCATTAATTACTAAATAAAAACAAATTGTCAAACTAATTGAAAAGAAGGACAATTCATTTCCACAGACCAGAGGCATTATTCAATTACCTCTGTTTCAGCCTGTGTCTTGCTTTGTCTTTTAATTCCTCTCTCTTGTCTCATAAAGCCAATTGAAAGCTTAACAAGTGTGCCTGAAACACCATTATTATAAGCAGGCCACGAATGACTGCATTCATAAGCTGAATATTAATATTTGTCCCAAGACTTGTTCTGTTCAGGTCTCATCACTGGTGTTGCAGGTGGATCTAATATAAGTATTGTGTGTGACTGTGATTGTTCATATTGATAGTGTCTCTTTGACACATGTCAGATGCACTCAGAGCTGTTACCTTGAAGAAGCCCTTGCAGCCTTCACAGGTGCGCACGCCATAGTGCTGACAGGCCGCATTGTCCCCACACACGGCACAGGTGCCCTCCCCTTGAGGGCCCCGCGGCGGAGGAGAGGGGAGGCTGTCTGCCAGAAGGGGCCCACACGGCCCCAGAGCCAGGGAGCGGAAGGCCAGGCTGCCGGCCCCTGCCCCACGGTGCAGCTGGTACATGGGCTGCTCTAAGGCTGAGCCGTGAGGGTGCGATACAGATGATGAAGAGGAGGATGAGGAGGAAGAGGTTCGGACCAGACCCCCACCCAAACTGTCATAGCCTCCCACACTGCTGCCGCTGTGGGGCGGGGAGTGCTGGTAGAAGTGTGAGAAGCGAGGGGACTTGAGAACGTTGCTGTCCAGACCGGAGCCCAGGACATGAGGGTGAGGGGGCGGAGCCAGAGAGTGCTCCTCCCACAGGAAGGCACCGGGCTGCGGAGGCATGGAGGGTGTGGTGGGCGTGGAGGGCGGCGATGGTTTAAAGTACATGTTAGCGGAGGACATGGCCTCCAGAGGGGGCGCTGTGGGGTAACTCTCCTCTTCCTTCTTGATGGTAGGACGATGAGAGGGCATCTGGTATAAACAGGAGGACTTGGGCAGCTCGTAACTGCCCTCCACAAACACGTTGAAGCTGGGCAGGGATGTGGTTGCGGCGGCAGAGATCTCGCCTCCTCCCAGGTCTAGCTTGGTGTAGTCCGGGGTCATGAGGTCAGAGCCATAACTGTCACTCTGGTAACCAAAGGACTGGCCAGAGTAGGCGGAGCCTGGAGGGGCGGGCCCGTACTGAGCCTGCACACAAGGCATGTCTGCCAAAAAACACACAGAGGTCAGCGTCACACTCATCAAAGCAGATGTATGGACATTAGTTTGGAACATAGCATTCTAGTGTTATAGTTGCAACACAAAAGATCGTAAAAACTACAACAGAACTGTTTCATAAGTGCACGGTTCCTCAACAAATGACAAGTGTTAAGTTACGAAATTTTGAGTTTCAGTGTTTTTTGTCGATGAAAAGACAAATCAGCCTGAGGAGAAGCCGCCCAGGCCTGAGAGGCACATGCGGGGCACAGTGGGACATCCTCAACAGCTTCATTGGAACAGGCAGCTTTCAGCTCGAGGTGTTGAGTTCTGGATTGTTACTGCTACTAAAGCTTATGTTTTTCCACCAATTATAGCAAATGAAACATTGACCGATTCTTTCCATTTCTCATATTTCAGTTTCCAGCTTTCACACCTCCTGCACTTGTTGCTTCAGTTTGGGGTGCGCACACACACGCACGCATACACACACACACACACACACACACACACACACACACACACACACACACACACACACACACACACACACACACACACACACACATGCACACGCTCCGGTTACTCGACAGTTAGTGGCGTCAGGATCGTAACAGGGAGGAGGAACAGCAAGGCACAGTTGGCTGCAAAATATTGAAATGCTGTGACTGCTGCGCTGGTTAGTCAGATGGCATCGCTGGTTAGAAGATGAGAAGATATTAAATAGTAAAGGGACCCTATGGTGGTGTTAGATGCACACAGTCAGATAGAGAGACACAGATATTTGGTTTAACTGCTGCAGACGCCAGCCGGTATGTCTTCCCCTTGATTGAATTCAGCAGGACGCCTCATTCTTCTCTTTGGAGCGAGAACCTAATGTAGTAAATCTTGCAGTCTTACCAAACTCCTTATGTAATATTGGAGTGTCACTCTACCAGCCTCCTATAACAGCAGGGGGCATTTCAGTCACAGTGCCATGGTGCTGGGTTCAGGGCTGCGAGACGAATCCTGTTGTTGTGTTAAAGCTAAACCAAACTTTTGTTTCATTGTCCCAACAGACAGAGTCAGCCTATAACACGCTGTCTTTATCCTTTTGAGGTCCAAAAGCTAATCTAAAGACTAAAAATACATGCGTCCTCTCACATGGGTTCGATGACATAGTTAATGTAGCATCAACGTTATATTGTAGGTACTCCTGCTATGAACGGTGATATTGTAAAAAAAACTTGTGCTGTTCTATAGTTAAATAAATCTCTACTAAAACTTAATTTTGAAACAAAACTACTCCACACATCTGTCTGTCTGTCGGTCTGTCTATCTGCTTGCCTGTCTGTCTGTCTGTCTGTCTATCTATCGATCACAAACCTGAATTCTTGTATTGTCTCCTGAGTGCAGTCTCGAGGGAAGAGCTTAAGGCCTTCTGAGGGACATTTCTCAGCAAGTCAAACAGCAAGACCCAGAATATTTGAGCAGATTGAACTAGATTAGTGCTTCCCACAACTAATAGTAATTAAAAGAACATAGCTATGTTAGACAAAATCAATGTTTTACCATTTTTACAATGTATCATGTATATGTGTATGTGTTTTGGTCTAAATATCAAAACCTTTACACAATTTTCTAGGATTTGATATTGGGGTGCCCTGCAGAACCTGAAAGTATTATTATTATTATTATTTTTTTTTAATAAGAATAGAATGTCATTACTTGCTGCAAGTTAAATAAAGTTATTATTTCAATTGAAAGATCCCAAACAATTTGGCTCTGACCAAGAAAATATAGCTGTGTTTGTTGTCATCTAGCCCTTTATGCGCTACAGTTATAGAATTTCTACATGAGCTTCAGAACAGGACACTTTCTATACATTGACAGGGCTTCTCACACAAATTCCCCCACAGTTTTCTTACACATTTTACTTTATTTATTTTAGATATCCATCTTTGTTCGTCAAATCGCATTTCTGAAATAAATCTCTGCTACCTACCCCATTGACTCATCTAGATTATGTATTTTTTGCAGTAAAGATTGGACATTCCTCAAATAAATTGTAATTAGACGTTTGGCTAAACTCATGCAGCTCTGGTTTGTCAACAGAGACAGCGCCCGCACCTCCTCCCTCCGCAGCCTTCGTCACCTCTGTCTGCACAAATACGGGACACTACCATAACTGCAAACAGCTGTGACGCTTGCACAGGTGGAAGAAGGACTGCGGTTTGTAACTTAAAGCTGGGGTACCTGACTTTTTGATGTCATAAATAATACATGTTCTTTGTCCCAGCAGAAAGAGTATCGCCAAAGGGACTTTCAATGGAGAAATCAGACCACAACAGAGGGTCTTCCTCTTCAATCAAATCTATTAAAAAAAACATCACATCTTCTGCATTCGTAAAAAAGAGACTTATGAGTCACTATTTGACGCTTTGGGGTGATAGATGATTGGCTCAGTGAGGGTGGTCCTTTTCTGTCAGAAAAAGCTGATCTAAAAACGTGACAGAGGCCAATAAATACATGTGAAACCAAATGGAAGAATTGTATTATGTTTTTTCATTTTTTGTGGTTTGTGAATTAGACCTTCCATCTTTAAGTAGAAAGTACAGATCCAGACACAAGAGAAATGAAAATAAATGAAAATGTTTATCTGTAAAAGAATAGAACAGTAATAAAAGTGGTACTTGATGCAGTTGTGATCTGCGAAAGTGGTCTTAAAATATTGCAGTGTCGCGTTTAAGTCATTTTTCTCTGTTCTTTGGGCTAATTTGACCTAAATTACAATGTTTGGTGTGAAATATTTTGTGAACTGCAATTAAAAGCTTTGCTCTTATACCTCAAAATCCCACTCCCCCCACTTTGAGAATCACTTCAGAATTGAATGTATACGTTTGTGTGGGATTTTAAATGCATTTATTATGTTTTGGGGCTAGAAAATTACAGAACGATCACACGATGAATGATGAAATATGGACTATGCATTTTAAACAACATGGACATAACATTTTTCAGTCCACCGCAGTAATGCAACGAAACGTACATTCTCTCAAATTCTTGAAGTAAAAGTAAGTCTCCACCCAATACAATCTATAAACATTTAAGTTTTGCTAGTTTGTTATGTTTCACCACTGCTTCCAGATGACAATAATTGCGCAATAGCTCCCCAAAAATCCTCTCACAATCACAGTTTCGTTACAACATGCTTTTTTGACTACATTTTTGCTGTTGCTTCAAATAATTAATTAATTAATTATTATTCTAATTTATTGTAACAGCTAAATTCTGTCCCATTATTTGCTGAGAATGACTGGAAGCACCCAGAGCAATGCAGCTGCAGACAAAAGCGTGCATTAATTTGAGCCATTGCTGCACAATTAATTTATAGCTAAAGGACAAAGCTGAGGTGCTGTCACTGTGACTCAATAAGTTAATTAATAGGGAAAAAAAGAAAAAGCCAACATGTTATCTACGTGCATGCATTTGTGTTACATGGTGTGTTTTAATTTACACACGTTTGGCAATATGGAGGCAAACCGGCTAACGGATACCGAGGATGTGAGTCATGCTTTTGGAGGGACCACCTTTCTTCCCACATGGAAACACAAAGGTACCACAGCAAAGAGGAAAAAAGCATTGGCTGCATCCATATTCATAACTAGATGCCTCCTTCATCCTTGCTTGTTCTTTAAATGGGAACTAATACAAAGAATTCACTTTTTGTAATGTTGTTGTTGTTTTTTCTTGCCATTTACACACTCGGTATTGCCCAGGACATTTCGCTCAAAGGAATCTAACTTCAGTGCTTGCCAACTTCATCTGCGGTCAGAGCGAAGCCTGCGGGGCCTTCGATGATACCTGGTTTTGTGCTGTGGTCGCATACAAAGGGGCAGAGTGCAGAGCCGTATGGTAGGACTGGTTATAGAAGTTCGGCAGCTTGTTACTGTCATTGCATCACCCTAGCTCAGTGAGATTTAAAATGTGCTAAACAGGTCGATGTAGTAATGAGCCACTATGTTTAGTGACTTATCAAAATAGTAAATTGTATGCCGCCAAGGTCAATGGAAAGAAGCAAGAGAGAGTTAAGGAAGTAAGGGGTATCTTTTTTGAATAGGGACGCAGCCATTAAGAGTCTAAGGCCAGGAGGTTGCTGCTATAGTAAAATATCTCCAAATAAAATACAAATTAAACACTAAGGCCACAATCAGAGCTGAAATTGTTATTAAGCCTGTCAATATCAACTCATGCATCAATTGATGGATGGCACAATCAATGTTGAGGCTCAATATTGTACATTCCCATTGCAACAGTGGGATCATTTTTTTTAAAGAACGTAAGCTGTACAGGGTTGAATGTGTCACTTTTTTTTGCATTATTGCTTAATTCTGCAGTTTCAAAGCCTTTTGATTGAGATTATTCAATATTATTGCTATTGCATCATGCCGTGGCAGTATACCTCTACAAAGGCTGGTAATTTTTTTTCAAAAGTACATAGAGGGGAATATTGAAGTGTTTGAACTGCAGTTAAGTAAAGCCAGAGCGAATTTCCTTCATGAATTTGGTTTGCCGACAATGACAATTGAAAAAAAAGAGTTGTGTTTTCATTTGAATGGAACAGGGAGCAGGAGCAGTTTTGCAATAACATAAAAAGTGCCATTTGAAACCGTGAAGTCTTGCAATTTACTTTTTTCCTTGCAGTTTGTAAGAATTTTAAAGTTAGGGTACACACAAAAACATTTGTCAATAATAATATTATTTCAGCGCGTCTTGACAAAATCCAATAAAATATACATCTATATCAAAGAGCTGATATCTAACGCTGAGAATACAATGTTAAACCGATTATTAAAATGTTTTTTGCAAATTAACTGAAATATGCTCTTGACTCTAAAATTGCACATTTGAATTACACTTGTTTTGAATGTTTTATTCTTAAATGTATTCAATAACATGAACTCATTTGCATATGCACAATGAACAAAAGACTGTAATTTCAAATATTGAGCCTGCTGGGAGTGTCTGTTTGTGGGAAGAGGACACGAGAGCATGAAGTGTTGCTCCTAAACACAGCTGATCTTCGCCGTAAACAGATCTGCATGTGTACTGCTAATAATCCCTCCAAAACCTGTCCTTCCACCTGCACACGCCGCTCTCTCCTCTTTTTACCTTTTACTCGGCCCATTTCTGTCCTCCCCCCGTGTCAACCACAAACACTTTTCAATGAAACTTGCACTTGTAAGACAGTAAATATCTGTATTTCTCATATTACATATCAATATCTATGGAAGTGTCTAAAAATATATTACAATTAATATTATTATGTTATTCTCAATCCTGTACCCTCTGTATCAATATTCTGAATCTAAAAGTGTATTTTTTAGATTCTATTGAGTATATGAACATTTCCCCATTCCATATTTTCTTTATGAGCCCAGAACGCACAGATTTCTAAAAGGAATTGTTAAATTTATAATTGCTTTTTATAATACTGCATTATTCAATTTAAAAAGTGTGAGTTACGAACACAAAGACACAACTCAAGTAAACACATGGCATTGAGGGTCGTTGGGGGCAGACAATCATAATTTTTTTTCCTTGCATTTAATTATTTCCAATCACAGCCATACCTTTTCTAATGGCATGAGAACTATCACAATTGTTTAACTGCAGGAACAGAAGAATACAAAATGTAAACAAATAATGCTGATTATGATTATTATTCCGACCAAACAGCTACAGTTGTCTCCATATAAATCAAATCCCTAATTTTATATAAGATTGCTGTCACATCCAACACCACCATATGATTGCTTAGACTAAAATACATGCGTCCAAAAGTGCAGTGTGAGAGGGGGGAAAAGCAGCTCAAGCAGCAAAAATAAAGGCGAAAAAAGTCTCTAACCTCGAGGTGCGCATTTCAACTGGACATACTGCAGCTGTTCCAAAAATTGAGTGCGCTTGTTCATTGTCAGAATGCCATAGATCTGACAAATAAAACACATGAAGGGCACAGATGAACAACATGTGGGGAACAAGTCACTCCAATGAAATATGCCACGCGTGGGTCTCTCAAAGCAGTGGGTCAAAGAAAGCGTCTCAAGCCATTAAGCAACGCACGCGCTCACGTTAAGGATTGTTGTTTGTATACATACATAAAGAGAGAAAAAATTGCACACAAAAAACCAAACAAACAAAAAACTAAAACCACATTGAGTCATTGTAGGATCCATTTCCCTCGCCCCGCAGCTTCTGCAATGAGGTGTGCCCACTCTCTCTTATTTCTGAGTTTGTAACGATTGAAACGCCATCTCCAGTCACTCACACGCACTCACGCGGATAAGTGACATGTGAACCTATTTATGCAACGATTTGGCTTAGCATTCATATTTCAATAAATTTAAATAAAATACTCTGCATCCATTGAAATACACTGTCAGCATTTTTGATGGAGTTGCATAGAAGTTTAGTATGTATTCCAATGCGTGGAGGAGAAAAAGAAAAGAAAAGTGGAGTAAAAGAGAGGAGGGTGAGAGGGAAGAGTGGAGGTGTACCTGGTGAAATGGTGCTGGTCCGCGGGGGAGAGGGCGCGTGGCTGCGGCTGCGGCCGGACAGGGGTTCGTGCGTCGTGGAGGATGAGGCACGCTCTTCCGAACCTGAGTCTGGAGCAGAGTCACAGTCAGACACAACACACAGGCGTCCCCAGGCAAACCCGAGAGCTCCGTGCATGATTCTACTTGGCTTTCAAATCATGAATAGAGTTGCATCACCACTAAATTTATCAAATGTGTCTGGGCTGTTTTCCAGAATCTTCACGTGCAATGCAAATGCAATTTACGGTCTATACTCAGGTCACACATATTTCCCTTTTCCCCTCGTTTAATTTATTCTAAATCTCATCGATTGGGTCCAAACTAAACTGAAACATTCAGACTTTTAAAAAGATTTCTGCTTTCAAAACAATCTACAACCTAAATGTATTTGTTGTGCATAAATACAAATAACTGACTAATTTCAAACGTCACTCTTGGAGGAAAAGTTTAACTTCTACGCTGTCTGTTGCGAAATTCTACTTATTATACATTGTTGTTACAGACCTACAGCACAAGCACGTTTACAAAGAGCGGTGCGTCTCAGAGCGAGTTCTCCCCCGTGCGTCCCTCGGATGAGCGCAGATCTGCAGGGGGGCGACAGAGCCATCAACGTTGGAGACTTCGACCCAAAGCAGTTGCGGCTCTAGAAGTCTGTGGGTCTTCGGCTCTCCTGCACTAAAGCGTGGAGCGCTTTTGGAGAGGGATATGAAAGTGCAGAGCGCCCCCTTTCTGTGACCAACTCTTTACTTTCTCCAACAATATAAGAGCTGCTGTGCTTTGGGCTACACCTGCCCCACACTCCCCCGTGAAGTCCGGACTGTTCCCAGTCACTGTGCAGCATGACAGCGCAGAGAGGCGTGTGATGTGAGGCAGGAGTGATGATGAGGACCCGGCGCAAGACTGAGATGCAGCAACACGAGCATTACTGTAGCTTTTCAGCTTTTACTACAAACCCTCCTGTGTGGTTGATTATTGTTGTTGGTGTTGAACACCTCCACGGCGTTCGTACCACATAGTGAAGGCACCTAATTCCTGAGAGTTGAGACTTTGCCAGACTCTTTGCCTGCTGTCTCTCTGCTGCTCTGTCCGGGCAGCAGTCCGGCTCCGTAACCAGGAGAAGCTCATTAGAGCTGCAAAGCACGCGGCTCGTAGCACCCGGAGCCCCCGGTGAAGCCCCTAGCAGCAATAAGTCGAGACACCAGCAAACACACAGAGCACATAAAAGAAGATGTGTCCGAGGCGTAAATCGTGGAAAGTTACAGCGTCTCCATAGTTTCTTGTGCGCGTTCGAGCTGTGCGTAAAATATGACTCTTGGACATATACGCCAAAAAGTGAAGCACATCCTTCTGGGCAGGACACGGTGTTGTTTGTAAATGTTGGAGGAGCTTCAGATGAATGGACAAGTGTGTTGTGTGTGTGATTAATGGGAGGGGATCTGATGTGTCTTTAGACACAATACGGAGCTTTCATCTGTGCTTCAGGCGAACACTGAATTAAGAGTGTTTGGGAAGTACCACTTATGCGTTTATGATCCCTGCAGGTGCCTGTCGCGGTTTGGGTTGATACACGAAAGAGACAAGCATGTCCCAACTCAAGACCACCAAGTGAACAGGGTCAGACTTGATCATATCTTTTTATAATATTTATAAAGATGATAAATGCGAGCTGTACACCTTAAGCATCTCATTTCCACGACAACCGGACCTTTCCTTCTGATGAAATGAACGCGCGTCTGTAAAGCAGCTGTTCGCGAAGCAACAGGTCAACGCGCAAACTTTGACAGTTCCCTCCAGACTTCCGACAATAACCCGTGGTGTAAGTGCACACATAACGCAGCACATGTCACCTCCAGACATGCCAAACAAGCGGGATTCATTCATTCATTCAAAATGTTTACTCACTGGTTTGCTGTAGCGGTTCCGTCTTTACATGTGGTAATAACCTTGCGTGAGGTATCCTAGTTCCATCCAGAAACGACCAAAATGTGTGTTAATGTGTGTAAAAAGAGTAAAATGGTTGTATGTATTGTTTGGGCGCCGGCGTCAAAAAGTGTCCTCATCAAGAACAGAAAGGTGAAAAAAGAAGTCAATTGCGGTGAAGACAAAAGCCTGCTGCGAGCAGCTCTGCTCCGCTCTGTCAGGGATGTCGGTGCTTTGTAAAGTGTGGACTTGTAACGCGACTTTGTTTATGTGCTCGTCTAAGGGGAGAAAGTCAAATACTGAATTTATGAGGGATCTGCCTCCACACAGACGCCTGGTATGCGCTACGTCAATGTGACGCCATGGGAGAGGTGACGTCACTGCGCGCAGCTCTCTCTCTCTCTCTCGTACAGTAGACTCATAAGCCGCTGTGTATGTGCCAGAGAGAGAGAGAGAGAGAGAGAGAGGGAGCGAGAGAAAGGAGGGGGCGCACGTGGTGTTGGTTTGATGTTTCCAGGGCGCATGTAGTCTACTAGGTCTTGTGTAAATCATAGTCAATATGAAGTGCTCATTCGAGATTCACACTTATTTCCTTATTATTATTATTATTATTATTATGATTGTAATCGTCTCAAGCATCCTATACACCCAACACACACTTCACTCTTACAAAACTACAAAACTGTCTACAAGGATCTCCTGTTCAAATGGCTTGTTTTCCTGGGATGTTATATGATTTTTCACTGAATGCCATCTAGCCATGTTAAAAAAACAACAACTACTTGAACATTTTCCTACATACACTTACCCACAGCACCAGTTATAACTTTAAGTTTACCATCTGTGTCACGGTTAAACGCGCCTATAGAAGAAAACCCTGCACGCCATTTTCGGCCCGAGCGTGAACAGCACACAGAAAATTAAAACATGTCCAAGATCCTCCATAGAGCAATAACTTACCAGAGCCAACCACGAGGCGCGCAAACCTCGGTCAGCGTCCTAATTCTGTCCAATGATTTGCTCCAGGGGGCGGGGGCAGCCTTGACGCACTGAGGCTCGTGATTGACGCAGGCTTTGTTACTAATTTTAGCAACTGGGCGACGGAGGCAGAGTCAGATTGTAGAGAACCCATTCATTGTACCGGGGATTGTGCACCAGCCAAGCCAAATATAGTCTTAGACAGGTATTTTTAGCTGTAAAGTGTGTCCCCAGCTTTCCCTTATTCCAGGAGTGAATTAAAAGCAGCCAGCTGATGGATCTTCATTTGGGGGTAGTTTTACGCACGGCTCATGTGCCATTACTTTGCGTTTGTAGCTCACGTTATTTGTGGACAGCGGTGGAACAGAGGCTATACTGTGTCCAGAGGATGTTCAAGAATGCCGTCTTTGCTTACATTTTTAATATTCCATAAAAGCTGGACATAGACTGATGTATGACATAGCGAAGAGCTCTTGTGTTGGCTCTCATCGTCTCGCGCGTGTCACTGGCGCGCACTGACCAGAGCGAAGGCAAACGCTTCTGGGGAAATCCCTCCCAGCCACGTAATAGAGGCAGGTGCAACCTATAGTGGTGACCTGCAAGTAACGCTGTCTGCTTCTGTTTAACGAGCACATGCAATATCTTGGTCTGTTTTTTCATGGCTTATCTACTGCAATTAAAAAAAAAAGAATGTCTTGTCAAGATTTAAGCATCTCACGTTCAAACCAAACACAAATAACTCGGTCATAAAACCACTTATCTGGTTCCTCGTTCTAAAGAAAGTGTGGTTGTTTCATTTTCACACACATGCATTTTTAGCCACTGTCACATCTTGAGCTCAGTTTTTTCAGTCTGAAAAGGGAAACAGAGAACCACCCTCACTCAGCCAATCATAAGATCAATAAAGCATGTGTCCCAATACTTCTGATCTTTCATTTAACCAAATAAAAGTCTGAAACTTTTGAAGTTGAGAACAAAGTCCTATATATTCAAGTAATTTGAAATAATTTATTTACATGCCAACATTGAACAGGATATTACGATTTTAGTGACGTTTATGGAAGAAGTCCCTATGTGTTTATTTGATGATAGTCTACAGACTGTGCAGTGATGTTGAACATAATAATTGGTTGGGCGACTTTGTGTTTGTCTAATGTAGTTAAATAATGGTTACAGTAATATAATTTGATCAGATCATTATTTGTTTTTGTCTTGTAATTTCCATTAGAAAAAAATCAAGATGAAAATATGGATGCTTTAGATCTGGAAAGACTGTACTAGAACTATAGTGATGAGTTTTGTATGGAGTACACTATTTATTGCCCAAAGAGGCCCTGAAGATTTATGGTAAAAAATCATTTACTTTATTGATATGTACAAGAAAATGTTGGAAATGGCTATGTTTGTCAATCAAAAACGTCTACAGGTGACGTCATGACGTCTGCAGGTGATATTTTAATAAAGATTGTGAACCCATGTTGTAATGACTGGAGAATCAAACGTGCAGACAATTACAAGATTTATTACAAACATAGGTGCAAGCAGGTAGCAGTGGTGGCTGGGCAGGACTGAGCAGGGCTGGAGGCTGAAGCAGGGCAAAAAGCTGGAGGATGACTAGGTCTGGACCAAAAAACGAACCTGGGTCTTGTAAGTTTAACTGACAATCTGGCACATGGTGAAGGGTGAACCAGGCTTTTAACAGGTGAGGCTGATGAGCTGCAGGTGTGGAGGGCTGAGCAAGGGGCAGGACCAGGACTCCAGACACTCCGCCCAGCTCCAGGAACACAGGGGAGGAGGGAGAGCACACACACACACAAACCCTGACAATACCCCCCCCCTAAGGGACGCCCCCTGGCAGACCACCAGGCCTGCCAGGAACAGCCCTATGGAATTCCGCAATCAGGGCTGGGTCCAAAATACGGGCCCGGGGCACCCAAGAACGCTCCTCCGGGCCATACCCCTCCCAGTCCACCAAGTATAGCAAACCCCTACCCCGCCGGCGCACATCCAGGAGGCGACGAACTGAAAACACAGGGCCACCATCAATCACCAGGGGGGGCGGAGGGGGACCGGCAGGAGGGCACAGATCACTGGACCGAACAGGCTTTAACTGGGACACATGGAAAGTAGGGTGAACACGAAGAGCAGAAGGTAACTGAAGACGAACAGTAGAAGGGCCCAAAACCTTGGTTATTACAAAGGGACCCAGGAAACGAGGGGACAGCTTGCGGGAATCAGTCTTCAGGGGTATGTGTTTGGAAGAGAGCCAAACAGACTGACCTTGCTGGTATTGAGGCGCAGGCGAACGGTGTTTATCAGCTGAAGCTTTGGTCCTGGCTGCGGTCCGCTGAAGAGCCGCACGGGTCTTCCTCCACACGTTTTGGCAACGTTGGAGATGGTGTTGGACCGATGGTACTGCCAGATCCAACTCTTCGGAAGGGAAAAGCGGTGGCTGATAACCCAAAGCAGCTTGAAAAGGAGACAGACCAGTGGCCGAGCTCACCAAAGAGTTATGAGCATACTCTATCCAAGGTAAGAACGTGCTCCAGGAAGTGGGGTTCGAGGAAGTGACACAACGGAGCGCAGTCTCCAGGTCTTGATTGGCACGTTCGGTCTGGCCGTTACTCTGAGGGTGATAACCAGAGGTTAAGCTCACCGTAGCTCCCAGAGCCTCACAGAAAGAACGCCAAACTTGTGATGTAAACTGCGTGCCCCGGTCAGAAACAATGTCGAGTGGAATGCCATGGAGCTTGAAAACGTTACTAGTGAGGTAATCTGCTTTCTCTTTAGCTGTAGGCAGTTTAGGCAAAGCAATAAAATGGGCAGCTTTGGAAAAGCGATCTACTACTGTGAGTATGGCTGTGTTACCTTGGGATGGGGGGAGGCCAGTCACAAAATCCACTGCTATGTGTGACCAGGGGCGTTTGGGAACAGGTAGGGGTTGAAGCAGACCGGAGGGCAAGGAGTGGGAGGCTTTGCTTCGGGCACATATTTGGCAGGCTAGCACAAACTCTCGTGTGTCTTTGTCCACAGTCGGCCACCAAAAGTAGCGCGTTTCAGCAGGGACAGGGTACGATTAATCCCAGGATGACAAGCGAATCGTGAACAATGAACCCACTTCAGTACTTCAGTACGAGCACTATCGGGAACAAAAAGAGTGCCAGCAGGACCATTACCTGGGTCAGGCTGAGTCTGTTGAGCATCTCTTACAACCTTCTCAATGTCCCAACTTATAGCGGCTATCACTCGAGAGGATTGGATGATGGGCTCAGGAACAGGAGTGGCTTCTTCTCGGGAGAACTGGCGTGAGAGAGCATCTGGCTTTACATTGCGTGAGCCCGGACGGTAAGTGAGGGAAAAATTGAACCTACTGAAAAAGAGGGCCCACCGTGCTTGTCGCGAGTTCAGGCGCCTTGCAGATTGGATGTAAGCCAAGTTTTTGTGGTCCGTCCAAACCAGAAACGGATGCTCCACCCCCTCCAACCAGTGGCGCCATTCTTCTAGGGCGAGTTTAACGGCCAGAAGTTCTCGATTCCCCACATCATAATTCTGTTCTGCTGGTGACAAACGTCGAGAAAAAAAAGCACAGGGATGCAGGACATTTTTTGGGCCAAACCTTTGGGAGAGTACAGCGCCAACTCCAGTCTCTGAAGCATCCACCTCCACAACAAACTGGCGAGAGGGGTCTGGTTGATGCAGCACCGGGGCAGAAGTGAACAGTTCCTTCAATGTAGCAAAAGCAGACTGGGCTTCAGAGGTCCAACAAAACTGTATGGAGGGAGAGGTAAGTTTAGTCATGGGTGCCACCACTCGACTGAAGTTCTTAATGAACCTTCTGTAAAAGTTAGCAAACCCAATAAACCTTTGTAACTGCTTTCTGGTGCTCGGCGTGGGCCACTCTGCCACCGCCCTCACTTTTTCGGGGTCTGGTCTCACCTGACCGCTTTCAATAACAAAACCCAAAAAACTGACCTTTTTAGCGTGGAATTCACACTTCTCTGCCTTTACAAAAAGCCTGTTTTCGAGGAGTCTCTGGAGAACTTGACGAACATGCTGCTGGTGTTCTTGTAGGTCCTTAGAAAAAATCAGAATGTCATCCAAATAAACAAATACAAATCGATTAAGGAAATCACGCAAGACATCATTGATTAGGGCTTGGAAGACAGCCGGGGCATTAGTTAAACCGAAGGGCATAACCAGATACTCAAAGTGACCAAGGGGAGTATTAAAGGCGGTCTTCCACTCGTCACCTTCTCTAATACGTACCAAATGGTAAGCATTCCTGAGGTCCAGCTTAGTAAACACAGTAGCTCCATGTAACGGTGTGAAGGCAGAGTCAATAAGTGGCAACGGGTATTTATTACGGACTGTAATACCATTCAGACCCCTGTAATCTATACACGGTCTAAGTGTTTTGTCTTTCTTAGCGACAAAAAAGAATCCTGCCCCCACAGGTGAGGAAGACGGCCTGATTATCCCAGCAGCAAGAGAGTCCCTGATATAGCCCTCCATGGCCTCCCTTTCTGGTTTGGAGAGGTTATAGAGGCGGCTGGAAGGAAGAGGTGCACCAGGTCAATAGGACAGTCATAAGGCCTGTGGGGAGGAAGTGAGAGTGCCCGACTCTTACTGAAGACATCACCGAGGTCATGGTAGACTGTAGGGACAGAGGACAGATCCAGCTTTTCCCGTTCATGTAGAGTCTGAAGCCCCCCTACTGGTGACAGAGCAGATTGAAGACAGTGAGCATGGCAAAAAACACTCCACTCAGACACTTTTCCATTGGACCAGTCGATAGAGGGATTGTGTCTTACTAGCCAGGGATGTCCTAAAATAAGTGGAGTGGAGGGAGCGGAGATGACAAAAAACTGCATCCTCTCTTTATGGTTGCCAGACAAAACTAATGAGATTGGCTCAGTAATGTGAGTGACCTTCGCCAACTGACTGCCGTTAAGAGCCAGTGCGGTTAAGGGCGTTTCTAAAGGTTCTAAAACAAAGCCTGCCTGCTCTGCCACCACTTGGTCCAAAAAGTTCTCCTCTGCACCAGAATCAATGAGAGCTTTAATAGGCAGAGTCAAAGTCTTGTGACACAAAGTTGCAGGAATTTGAAGTCTTGAGTTCTTTATTTTTGGGTGAGGATTATGGCTCACCAGTATTCCCAGACCTACTGGTGAGCATGGCCTTTTGGGCAGATGGGACAGGAAGCAATGAAATGGCCCTTCTCCCCACAGTACAGACACTCACCCGCCTGGCGGCGTCGTTGTTGGCGCTCCTCTGGTGTAAGCCGTGCTCGGCCCAATTGCATGGGTTCCTCCACAGGGAGAGGCGTAGATGGGGGCGCACGAGGGCTTGGTTGTAGTGGTAGAGGCTGACGAAAAAAGGGAGTAGAAAAAGGGCGTCTTTCCTTGAGACGACTCTGAAGGCGGTTATCAATCCGATTAGCCAGTGAAACCAGAGATTTGAGGTCAACTGGATCATCACGAGAAATTAGTTCGTCTTTTAACTTATCACTCAGCCCTTTAACAAAAACAGCTCTGAGAGCACTGTCTGTCCAATCAACTTCAGCAGCCAGAGTCCAAAATTCAATTGAATAATCAGCCACTACCTTGCACCTTGAGAGAGATTCAACAAGCGACGAGAGGAATCTGCTTGATAATCCGGATGGTCAAAAACACGTTTAAGCTCAGCAACAAAATCATCATAATCAACGTGCTCCATAGAAAAATTTGAAAATTTAGCTTCTGCCCACGTAATGCTTTTCCTCGTAGTAATCCACAAATATATCGTATTTTACTATAGTCAGAAGGGAATGAAGCTGGACGCTGTTGAAAAACAGACGTACATTGAAAAAGAAAACCACGGCAGTGGCTTGGCTGACCAGAGTATGGTTCAGGGTCTGAACACCGAGACTCCAGGGAGGGAGCAGAGGCCGAAGCCAGAGTAGAAGCAGCAGGGACAGGTGACTGAAGAGACAGTAGGGCAGAAACTTGGGAGGTTAGTTGCGATACTTGCTGTGCCAGGGCGTGGTTGCTCTCAAACAGAATTCGGATACTCTGTTCATGATGACCAATCATGGATCCTTGGTGTGAGACAGCTTGTTGTATTGCCGGAGGTTGGGCTGGGTCATTGTCTGCTTGATTCATGGTGGCCAGATTGTACTGTTGTAATGACTGGAGAATCAAACGTGCAGACAATTACAAGATTTATTACAAACATAGGTGCAAGCAGGTAGCAGTGGTGGCTGGGCAGGACTGAGCAGGGCTGGAGGCTGAAGCAGGGCAAAAAGCTGGAGGATGACTAGGTCTGGACCAAAAAACGAACCTGGGTCTTGTAAGTTTAACTGACAATCTGGCACATGGTGAAGGGTGAACCAGGCTTTTAACAGGTGAGGCTGATGAGCTGCAGGTGTGGAGGGCTGAGCAAGGGGCAGGACCAGGACTCCAGACACTCCGCCCAGCTCCAGGAACACAGGGGAGGAGGGAGAGCACACACACACACAAACCCTGACAACCCAGGTAGAAGCTGAAGTTATAAAGCGTGATGTCCCACTGTCAGGTGGTAATGGGGAGGAGGCAGGTTGCTGCATGAGCTCTGGAAAATGAGGCACTGTTCAATACAACAGGTAAAGCAGATAGTGATGAGCAGAGGCACAGGTGTAGTGGTAGGAAGATTGAAGTGAAAATTTGCTTCAGCCTTCTCCTTTTGAGCTTTGTTTGGAAGACTGCTCAAATAAACTACCACTACGGCTACTAAGATGACAGGCCAAGAAGTGACTTCAAGATATTTCAGTCTTCCAGTCTGAGCCGTTCCTATTGCCCCAAGTTTGTTTGTGTGTATATAGTCTAAGTCTGTGTAGACGATTACATCAAAATGTACTTTCAGATAGCGCTGATGTTGAATTGTCGCACAATAAACATAGTGTTATGTTCCTGAGCTCTGCCGGATCCAGAGCGAGTTTAAATTGGGTGATTCTAATCTTCTGAACAAAATGTACTTCATTTTTTACTTCAATTCATTGAACACTTTCCTTTTCCTTTATTGGGTTGTAAATTATAATTTCACTCATAAAAATTTTTTTCCAGGGAATATATCCTATAGGCATAGTTCGCCGAGTTCCGTACAGGCCATTCTGTTCTAACCCTCGAAACATTAGGGTCATCTGAGGGGAAAAGATAACATCCAAACAGAATCCCAGTGTTCATTTTTGAAGATAACATTACATATCACGGAGTTCAGGATTTAAACTTATTACAGCTGTGTCATTGCTGTGTCTTGGACTGGTCAGTGTACCAAACAGCCCGCATTGTGACGTGTAATCCAGATTACCCCTCTCTTTCATTCAGACAGACGTGGAAGTGCTTAGAGATTATGAGCTGGTTCTGTTTATAGCTCTCGGCATGTGGGCACTCCACTACGTGCCCAGGCCCAGTCAGGCGACTGACCACACACGAGGCCACTCTCAACCACATGTGTTTTTATCAAGTTGTTTATGAGCTCAATGCCAAACACAAATAATTCGTTAAAAATGCAAAAACCAAGGCACTCTAACCCTAACCTTACCGAGCCTGGAAGTGAGATCCAGGAAAACATAAGTATTTGTTTTATGCATTGATCATTCTATCATTTTTTTTTACTCCACTAGTCCGTGGTCACAGCATTCCAGGAAAATAGCATTTCATCTATTTATGTATCATTCAAGTAAGTAAGTAAGTAAGTAAGTAAGTAAGTAAGTAAGTCACAAAGCATTAATCTATTAACTTGATAACCAGTATCAGAGACGAGAAATTGGACTGGTACAGGATGTTATATTGCGATGGAGTGTGATTTCTGACCATTATGTGACGCAATCATCACCAAAAGCAAATACGAAAAAGACAAATACTCACAAGAGACACAGAAAAAATTAGACAGAAAATGGCAGTTAATTGTTCAGTCTATTACAAGTACTTATTATATGTCTTGGACCGTACGCGCGCTCTGATTGGCTGATTACCGGTCTGATATTTTCCCATCTCGGACCGTTACCATGACAATTGGTCCGAATAGCGCGTATCACATTTGATATCTTTCCTCGGACCGTTACCATGGCAATCTGTCCGCAGCGCGTATCACACAAAACCAAGTCGGACATGAACATATTTCACAAATATCTCAAAAGCATTGGTAAAGACACAGACGAGAGTCATATAATAAAGCATTTATTAACCTTGCTTGCTCGGTCTGTACAGAGAAATATCAGACCTTGGCCTTTTTGCACAGACCTCGCCTCGGCTCGGTCTGTACATTAAGGCCGTGGTCTGATATTTCTCCATACAGACCTCGCGCTCGGTTAATAAGCCGTTAGTATCACACACGCCCTATTCAAGTCTGCGGTTGTACGTGACGCTCAGACGACATTGACACGTGAGCCACATTTCTCCACTCTTCATACAGCGTGTTAATCACATTTGGCTCTTTGCCATAATTGTAATCAGCTCTCAGAGTTCAGTTATCAGTAGTTGTGAAATGTTTCTTTGAACTTGTAAACATAATACTGCACTGTAGTGTGGTGAGGCCCTTGTGAGTGCCATTGGGCAAGACCCTGAAGCCGCGTGTATCGATAGCTGATCAGATTTTCCGGGTGGATCATCAAGACTAACGGTCCTTCTAATTGTCAATCATTCTGGTTTGTGCTCCTCAAAACACAAATAAGACTGTTTTTGGGAGATTATTATGATTAAGTGGCAAAAGTAAGTTGGACTTCCGACTGATGCTGCAGTTGCAAAGTTTTGACTCGACAGGTAAAATTTGGCATTCTATTTGGAGAAATTCTATATTGTCTGACAGATGCTGACAGTGACAGCGTGCACAAGGAGAACTGTGCTCGTGCACGTCTTTCGCACATGTTTTAGAAGGCCCTCTCAAAAGCAGGTAGAGCATGTGCATTCTTTTCGAAAAAGTGGAGAAGGCGGTTTTTTTCCTGAAAATAGAGAAAATCCTCCTACATACCTTTAAGTTTAAATGAAAACGAGGGGGGCCACTGGGGTCATTTACAATACTTTTTAACAACACTAATCCAAAAGTAAGGCGAATTCATGACTTCACGAAATGAGAGCCACGCTCAAATTGCTGGAATATTTTAAGAAAGTTACTTCTCCAATGTCGATGAAATATTTTATAATAATAACAATAATAATGCATTGGTTTTATATAGAGCTTTTTGGGACACTCAAAGACGCTTTACATGTCATCATTCTTTCACTCCATACAGTGAAAAACTACTACTGTAGCCACAGCTGCCCTGGGGCACACTGACAGAAGCGAGGCAACCAGTATGTGCCATCGGCCCCTCCGACCACCACCAACCATTCACACACACAGACTCATTCTGTTTTACTACATTAACTACCATCTGGGACAAAATGCAAGGCTACACAACAACTTTGGATTGACTTGTCACAAAAGCGGACTTCAAGTTGTGGAAAGTTAGAAGTTTAAGAAATACGCTCATGACCAGGATAAGGCTCATATTCATATACGTATGTGGATTCATATCAACACAGTCATCAGAGCAGGTTTGAGAAATTTACTTCATTAAGCTGTAAACGTTATAAACAAAAATTGCAAATCTGGCACAAATTAGGTCACATACATTGGACCAGCTTTTCTGAAATGTTGCAGCCTTTTCACCGAGCTCCGGCCCTTACACTCAGGGATCTACGGCCCGTCCATCTACAGAAGTGGACACCGCAGTACTTACATTATGTTGTGGACATACTGCACTACATACACACACTGATCTGTGGCTTATCTCAAAGTGGAAGTGAAAAGTGATTGTGTCACTTTGAATGAGCTCTCTATGTGGACAGCCAAGGCTACAGCACTCAGCTCTGTGACACTGGAGAAACAGGAAAGTAAAGAACAGAGGAAGGCTTTTATCTCCGTGTCACCAAATCTGCTGTAACTGTACGTCAGAGTGCGGGCGAGGAGGGGGCACGGGGTGATGGGAGGGAGGCTGGGGTGCCATGGCAGTGCTCTCAATAGTGGCATTCTTCCTTTTTGCGGACCCACACACACCAGGGGGAATCCCGCGGGACAGCCCGAGTGCAGAAACTGGAGCTCCTCGTAGCCTTATCAGCCCAGTGCCCAAACACAGGACGGACGAGTGTATCGCGGCTCTGCTGGACCTGACCACTACAGATGTTATCCCCTCCACTTTTACACTCAGGCTTTGAAAGTCCAAGGAAATCTGTAGAGCAGCTCCATATCGGGCCTTTCATCCCACAATGACATTTCAGCTTGATTTACAATTATCCTTTAAGATGTGTACAGTAGATGTCTTATCATTGTGAGATAGTGTGGTACTTATGGAGAGAGAAAACTGAATGTTAGAAATCTACCTGCACTTGGGCTATTGAACTTTCTGACCTACAGTATGAATGGTGTGTTTGTCAGTTGTGTAAATGCCTCAACTTTACCAGTATACTCCACGGCAGGTGCGGCTACAGAATCCAGGGGAATGGATCTCTCCATCACTGGGTTTCTCCCCAATGAAAGATGACCCCAGGACAAGGGATGCTCTGGGGTTTTGATCCAGTTAAAGGTGTAGACGAGGATTTTCTACTTCCTGGCGGATCAACAAGACTATTGTTTGTCATAATTGTCAATCATTCTGGTGATACGTGCTCGTCAAACAAGACCAAAGAGTTAGTTCAAAAAGTGAAGTGAACGATTTCCTAAAATTTGGGAAAATCCTCTCAAACCTTTAACTTTTGAGAAATGTTTCATGGTTTCAATTGGCCAAATGTTGTGATTTAAAAAACAAACAAACCCAAATGTACTGAATGAATCTGTATATTATGAATATGAATGAATATTTATTCATGATTGTGTCTTGCATACACCTGTATGCCCAGCCCTTTCATGAGCCCATATTAAGCCCAACCACTTTGCATTGATCTTGTATTTTAGAATATTGTCACCAGTTCTAACACTTTTATGAGAGAAATATTAGATCAAAGTTGTTATGCACTGACCAAGAAGAAGCAGAACTTTGTGACAGTTTTTTTCTTCATATGGATTGGCCCAGGAAATA